CCGTAGTAATTAGCCAATTCTGTTGCGATTTCCAGTCCCTTAAGGCGTCGTGTTAAAGAAATAAAAGATAAATGAATATGTTATGTGTGCAAAAAGCAAGCAGAAATTCAGTTAAGCCTGGTTCTCATCATAAGTCACCGACAGTCGGCGATGTATTGTTTGTGGCCGATATCGAAGAAAATTCATTCAAAACAGCAAAACATTTCATTCATCAGTGATCACCGACAATAGCTATCGCCGACCATCGGGAGTTATATGAGAGCCATGCAGGCCTTAGAAAGTGGAGGGGCTAAGCCTCCCAAATTTCCGGAATTTTATGCCAAATAAGGAAAAATTCTATCATGTTATCGATCTCTATCTAATTTTTAACAAAACTATCATGGAAGATTGTATATTGCAACAGATATCAGTGTTTGATATTAGATATAGCAGTTAAAATCATTGAAATATGACTACCTTCATAATTATATATAATTTGCTTCAATTAAAATTTACAGTGTTACACGTTTTCGCCCGACAATACGGTTTTATTAGTATCAGTTTTTTATCATGGTTCGTGATTTAATTAAGCGAGGATTGGGATCCTTGCTAAAAGGGAACCTTGTTGTTTACCAAAGTTTTGATTCATCGATTTTAGGAAGCGTATGACAACTGTAAGGTCATTTGCTGTGGTAAGAAACTGGGCGAGTCATCCAAATGGAGAGAAATCAGACGAACCGGTGAGTCGCAACGTGACGAACTTGGGCTGCACAGAGAATTTCACCGCGCCATCCAATTCCGAATTCTGGAAATTTAAGTGGAATAAAAGCACAAAAGCGAGACAAAGTTTCTATTAATATGCCACCTGCCGTGTCGCAGGGCCGGGAATTTTACGCAGAACAGAACGCGCTTTACATCATCTTGAACAAACAAATGTCGTGGTATTTACAGTCCATAATGTAAACAAACACTTTGTTTATCTTTCGAACCACTATATATTTATATATTGCCTAAAATATCAAAAACTGTCAAAAAAGAAAAAAATATCAATAATTATTTTGGTTCGCTGTAGAGTATGAGCTGGAGTTTATATTCAAAATATATATTTTTGCTAAATAAAGTGTTAAATCAATTAGCTATCATATCCATGCATTGTTTTGAGCATAACCCATGCACAGAAGCTACCTCAATCCTTCTTAATATGTCAATCTTAATCTATGTTAATCTTAATCTTTGTTAATCTTTTTTAATCTTTGTTAATACGTATATATGCCCATCTATATTTGTGGCTTAACTTCACGTCTGCTGATACTGCAGGCTGCTGATGAACAATCATTCTGTATAATATCTTCAACCCATAGGCCAGTCCATCCAGTCAAAAAGACAATACCCAATCACCCGAACTGTCCCACCAACCACTGGGGTTTCAAGATGTCCAACCAATGTCTGATGATGACAATGCTGATATCCGCATACCTTCTATTCCTGATGACGATGATGATGGCAATGTTGGTACGTGCATTTTATTACTCATTACATCTTTCTCATATATACTACCATCTGGAAATTTCGGGACTTTTTATAAGACCTTGTACAGTCATACATGCACGAGCAAACATAGATAAGCGTATAAAACTTTATTATTTTTGGACGCTGGCCCCAAAAATATAAGTATATATATTTGTTTACTTTTATATTGCATATGCATTTAAATATGTTACATAGGTGAATATTTAAGATATTTCAACCGTATTTCAACAGCACTGTACGAACTCACTGTTTCTATTTCAGACCTTTCACCTCTTGTTGCTTCGAACAAAAAGGAATTGGATGGCGAATCTTCGTCAGATATAACCCAGAACGCTTCAGTGGCACAAGATGACGTATCATCAATGGCAGTCGATGAAAGTCCTACGAAAGATGAATTACCACAAAGTTTCGGCGTAGAGGGTAGTTTACCTGGTGGTGAAGAAACTGTTTCGAAAATTGTCGTTCAAAGCAATTGGGAAACGCCATTATTGAGTACGTATTGTAATTGCTTTTGGCTTGTATAGTTTATATATCTAGTTTTATTCATTTCAGCTAATTGAATTAATTTTAACCACTAGATTTTTCTTCTAACTGGTACAAAAAAGTTTTCAGCGGGAAATTGTATGAAATACACTGAGAAAAACATACAACGAATATAGCTACACATGTTTTGAACTCCATATCTACGAGTTATCGGCACGAACTTTGAAATAGTCTGAGCAAAATTACTGTGAAATATATAGTCGAAACTGGAAATCATGGTCTGCAGAATGTGTCCCCCAAAGCGAAAAGTTTTTAATTTTCATGGCCACCAAAGCGAAAAGTTTTTACTTTTCTACTGCTCTAAAACGGCCTTTCTTCCCCAAAATTGAGGGTTGTATACACGCAGTTTTTGTTATCGTGTAATGCTATAGAAAACAAAATAACCAAATCATTCCAGTTGACACCGTAATTTTATCGCGGCTTTTTGTTATTACAGTTATTCGACTTTTTTTAAGCGATTATTTTTAACAACTGAAGTAGCTAAATCATAAAATAGATACAGGAAAAGAACAAGATTTTGATGAAGAAGATGAAAACGATGATAATCCTTTTGCTGGTGATGATGTTGACATATATGAAGAGAAGAAATCGCCTGAGAATGAGGTATTTGAAGCGAAGATCATTTTAGACGATATTATTTATATTTTATATGTAAGTTTAATTGATCGATGTCAGTCGTTGATAGCTGATTCTGAGGATGTGTTTAAAGCTGGTTTTCCACTGGCGATATTTTTCGCGCGAATCGATATTTTACTTTTGTTCAGAGCTCTCAACCCAAACCATCTGGAATAAATTGATCAAATACAAAGGAATAAAGTCACTTCGGGGGAAAATATGGCTAGTAGAAAACCTTGTCTAATGTCGGTTTTCCACTAGCGGTATTTTTCGCGCAAAGCGAATTTATTCTTTTGTATTTGAGAAATTTGTTCCGGGTGGTTGCAGTTGACAACTCTGAACAAAAGTAAAATGTTGCTTCCAGTGAAAACTATCTCCAGTGGAAAACTGGCCCTACTATCCCGAAAACGCCTGAACGCAGTTTACCATACCAAAGACTATCCCGTCTGCGCACGCGCGGAATCACTTTCAATATGCGAAACAACTATTATATACTTCTGATTTTTTTTAAAAGGCCGGAGAAGCTTCGGAATCGGAACTTTCTATATAAAGGACAGTCTCGCGGGGTGGTCTCGATCTAATTTTGATCAGAGCCCCAAGCTAATAGAGTAAGAAGACCAATTATACTTGCATAGATCCTCGATCTTATTAGGATAAATGCGCCACTCGTAGGAGCAGTCTCCTGGCCCAATGACGTGATTACCAATGGTCTGGAATATGTGCCATACATATATACATGCAGGTTTTCAATCAAACGGTTCTCATTTCCTAAACAGCAGTCTCCATCGTCAAGCATTGGTTTGAAATCTGGGCAACAGAGTCTCCAGTCTCGTCCAACAGCAAAGAAAAGAGTCGTCTTGGACATTAAAACGAGAAAAAATAAGCAGCCTCGGTTTGATGAAGAGGAATATGAAGGTATCGTTAACACGAGAACGAGGCTTAGGGGCCAAGACCGCGAGCCTCGTTCCCGCATTATGACTTATTTCCATACTTATTAGTCAAAATGAAAAATTATTTTCATGCACGGGTTATAGAAGGTTGTTTTGCATCTTCGCACATAGCTTGTGAGAGTGAAACTTAATATCCATCTCATTTAAGGTGGTTCTAAATTTAAAACGATAATGTTGTGACGTAATTACCGAAAAGGTCTATTATTACATCATTACATATATTCACGATGATTACGATTATTATGCATTCATACTGTATTCTCGTGTCTGGTCGAAACACTCCAAATAAATCTCAATATCCGGTTAAATTTCATATTTTCACCGAAAACATCGGTCCAAAAAAATCAATATCCCTTATCGCTTGGTATCAACATCCCTTGGTATCAATATCCCTTGGTATCAATATCCCTTGTTGTCCCTCAGCTTCGCTTCGGCAGATAACTTTGACCTCGGTCTGAATAATTCTTGATATCATGCTCAGCCTCATCCAATGATTGTATATTAAATTAAAAATGGCGTAAAATAATATGCATAATCTACTTCCCAAAACTATAGCGAATGCGATTAAAATGACGATAACTCGTTTCCTATTGAAGCTCCCATTCTAACACTCCTTAAAAGAAGGGCAAGATATTCTACAAATTTGTTTCATGTAAAATAGAGATTCCTTATTTTTTATCGGGTAAAGGTTTAATGTATGCCAATAGTAGATCGTCCTAATCTTTTATGTCTGTATGCATGAGCTTTTCCATCGAAAAGGAACATATATTATATATTTTAGCGCAAAACTTCGTTCGTCTATACAATGCCGATAGGGGAAGAAAAGGCGGTTCTAAAGAAGTCACTGATCTAGATATCGTATTGACTAACGTTGAAGAAATTGCTTTGGATATGAGGTAGCTACTGTATGTCACTCAAAGATTCTGTATATACGCATGTCATATTTGAGTCAGAAAAGCGCCTGAATATGCATGTATACCGTCAACTTTTAATAGCTCAAAATTATGACAAACTAATCTGTGATATGCAACATTGGAAGTAACTTCTTTCAAATATTCAAAAAGGTTTTTCTAAATTATTCTTACCACAATTAAATGGTTAACTATCTAGAGAAAATACGGCTTTAAATAAGGTTGTATTTGAACGGCAAATCATTGCATGGTTACATGAAACTAATACTATGTAACTTGGTCATTTTTTTCTTAGGCGCCAAGCAAATTCACCATTAACCAAAAAGGTCGTAAGGGAAGCGTTCATCCAACTTCGACAAATATTCAGTGATACGGCAAGTGCCTACAGACGCCTTTTTTGTCATGTTTCGTATATATAACGAACTGAGTACGTATATGTTTTTACTCTATGTTTTACTGTATGTGAATGAGCGGAGTTTCCTGACTTTCAGATTGATATCTACAAAGAAAAGAAATATTTACAATCTGCTACGACGAAGGTACCAACAAATTATTATTCATGTATTTGGTAATATTCCGGCATTCGCAACCAGGAATAAAAATTTAACAATCTATTGAACTTTAATTTATGATATAACACATATAGTACGCGCGTGCTGATTGGCCGAGAAGCGTGTTTCTATAACTGCATGTATAGAAAGACGGAAGATGTTTTCTATTTCTTAAATAATTATCAAAGTTTAAAATGGTTTAAATCATGCACGACATCAAGTGTAACCATTTCGCTTTAAGTTGAAACTTAGCTTTAAGTTGTCATCTAATATCGTGACGATCTTAATCGTGCATGAAACTGTGGCCTCTGCCCGCACCTTAATTCATGACCGAGCAATTTCTCTCCCCAGACGAATTCCAGACTGCAGAAAACGAGACAAGAATTGGTGAAAATTCAAGATCAGAGAAAGGAGTAATTATTATACACGTTATATACATATTCATTCTCGCCTGTTTTTGTTCACTGAATTAGCACATTAAGTAATTGGCTTGATAAATCCTATAGAGACAAAGAAAGATAGTTCGTTTGCTTTTTTAAAAAAAAAGTAGGGTTTTTAAAGAATTTCTTATGAAATTCATTTTTCCGAAATTTTCATCTACCACATATAAGTGTTTTCTATACTACAAGCAGGCTTGCGTGCCAGATAGTGACACGTACCTTGGAAAAAATTAATTATAATACGCGGAATGTTATCATTATATACAATTAAAACAGAGATGTGAAAATGAAAAAATCTTTAATAATTTTTTAGAACGGAGACGGAATTGAATAGACTGAAATCTGAATGCGACACTTTGGAGAAACAGATTAAGGTGCGTGATACTGACTTATTTCATTTAAAATGAAGTAATGCATACTAGAGTAATATATTCAATAGAGGCAATAGCTTTGTTTTTTACTCACTATAGTAGGAGCTGCATGTGCAACTTTCAAAAACCTTTTTCTATATTTTATGGTAAAAAAATTAGAATAAATTAGTAAGGAGTAAAGGAATCATCGTCGCCCCAAATATACTTGATGTATATTTGTTAAATCTGCGTCATCACATGAATTTTGGTGAAATTCAAAAAACTGAATATTTCGTGTCTTTCACCTAGTGCAAGAAAGAGGCCTTTGATTTTCTTCATGAGTTTGGAAATTTTCAAGATGACTTGAGAAAAAGCGACAAGAGTCATAATAAAACGGTAAGAAGTAAGAAAAGATGTGAGTGACTTAACGATGTTAGAAAGTGTGAGTTATTTTAGAAAATTATCAGGCATTCTGTCTAAAAATGGTGACAGAATGTCTGAAGATGGTGACGGAATGTCTGAAGATTGTGACAGAATGTCTGAAGATTGTGACAGAATGTCTGATGATTGTGACCGAATGTCTGAAGATGTAACCGAATGTCTGAATATGGTGACAGAATGTCTGAAGATGGTGACAGAATGTCTGATGATGGTGACAGAATGTCTGAAGATGGTGACAGAATGTCTGAAGATGGTGACAGAATGTCTGAAGATGGTGACAAAATGTCTGATGATGGTGACAGAATGTCTGAAGATTGTGACTGAATGTCTGAGTAATATGGTGGCCTAATGTCCGGAGATGGTGACAGAATGTCTGCATGAAGATGGTGACAAAATATCTGAAGATTGTGACCGAATGTCAAATGATGGTGACGGAATGTCGTATAATTGTGACATAAAATCTCATGATGCATGGTGATAAAATGTCTGAAGTGGTGACAGAATGTCTGATAATGGTAACAGAATGTCTGAATATCGTGACTATCGAGAATGAAAGTGTGCGGGATTTATCATATTTCCCCAGTTTGTTTCTTATCTCTAATATAATTTTCTATATTATAGTATAAACGAGCAATAACTATTTTTTCTGCTTGAATGCAACTAAAACTCATTCTAATCTTGTATTAAGGAATGTTGTGCCAACGACGATCTGCCAACATTATTGTGTGAAGCAAGCGGTTACCTTTCAACAGAGAGACAGCTGAGAAATATCAACAATAAATTGCAATCTTGGTTGGATAACAATAACAAATAGACAGTGAAAGATTTTGTGATACTCATGGTGGATTGTCCTGTATGGGGTATTTTCAAGGGGTCGGCCTTTCAACATTTGCAAATGTTGAGCGTATAACGGTTACTTGAAATATCAAGAAAACATGCAGATTATGAAGTAAAACTCGAGGGAGCAATGAGATGGAAGGTCAGTTGAGGACTAGAGACGCGCTTGAAGGATTTAAAAATCGAGGTTTAATTTTAATTTCGAGGAAGAAAATCTCTCTAAGCAAAGCCAAAGAAAGTAGAAAAATTATATTTAACAATCATGTTTTATACATATATAAATATTTTGACATATTGTATATTCTGTATCTGGTTATTTGAATGCACCTATGTTCCGTTGTAGAGACGTTTGAGTTTACAATTTTAATCCTGCATTGAGGCAGGGCGTAGCGATAAATTTTGTGGTCACGTGTGATATCGCTACGTTATGCTTCCGTATTCTTCCATTTGAGTGGCAAAAAGACTGTCAATACCGACATATTGCGGTGAAAACCTGTGAACTAGATATCGATTCGATGAACACAGTTCTTGGCGGTCATATAAGTCGATGAAATATGATAATGGCTTAGGTAATCGTAAGACATGGGAAGAAAATAAGCGGCCATATTTGTGACAGTCGCTGATCTGAATACGTAGACTAGATAGTTCATGTATAGTATAAAAATCATATACATTTCAAAATAAATAAGCGTGTGCGCTTGGATTTAAACAGCGATTATGCATATAAACATTTATATTTTATCAATAGAAATAGAGAATAGAAATTCTTTACAGCCGTTTGATAGAAATTTAATATGTTGAAAGCAAATTATATATGAGAGGTTTTGGCTTGTATTTTGCGATATACCGAGTGTATTTACTGATCTGATGATATAACCTTGATATATCACTACTATAGCAATCTAAAAGTAAAACAAATCAATATTCAAAACCTAATTTGAAAGAAATAATCTGTCACGCGAACCTTTCAAAAGGTGTTTCTGAGTACAGTACTGTCCAGAATCAACCGCTACCTAGAAACTACAGCCTAACCGCAACCGAACCGCAACCGCGGTTAGGTTATTTCTGGACAGTACTGTATGTCTACTAATAGTTTTGTCTAGAGCTTCAGTTTACATTGGATTTCAAGTCAATGCCGTGTGTTTACAGCAACGCTCCTAAAGCCGTATTCCCCCTGGTAACTTATATGCCCTGTGAATACAGATTGTTAAAACATCTAATTTGAAATTAGTTGTCCCGTGTTCATCTCTTTTTTGTCGATTCTATTTGGTAAAAGCAACAAAAAAATTCAGTTTTAAAACCAGGGTTTTATAGTTATTTGAGCCAATATAAATTGGTGCAACAAATATCTGAGGTAACCAGTTTTAAATTGGTACTTCTTTTACAGTGCGGGTCTTCGTGTATTATTAATTCTTGTTAATTTGCGGCCAGAAAATTGCTGAAATTCTACTTCTTAAGTTAGCGTGAAAACTGCAAACCGCCGGAGAAAGTATAATTCATGTAGCTACACCTACTTTAAAGTATACATGTTTAATGCACGATATTTGAATTTACCCATTCACGAGCAAACGTTAATAGTTATTTTGACGGTTGAGTCCAAGCGGGCACAACGTACAACGGACCTGATAGAGCCGGCGTTGAATGACTATAATTATATCTACCGACTTTTGAAACGGAATTTACTTTTAATCTGTTTGAATATACTGTCATTACTGGATATTTTTAATCAATCTTGCGATGTGAACGACCAGCTAAAATATCATGCCGAATTTTTTTCTAGCAAGCAAACCGTCGCCGGGGTTGCTAGCTCACCTGTCGCTGAAGTTTGCACATTTCATATATGCAATGTAAACTATCTTGCCGAGCGGTTAATAGAGCCAGTTACGCTCATAAACAACAAAAATTAATCCGGGGTGAACACAAATGTTATGTAAACACGTTCATACTTCGCCTTATTGTTAATGTCTTTTATGCTATCGTACGGCTATATTTCACTGCCATTTGTTGAAGTCGACACGATTCCGACAATTTTGCCATCGTGAAATCGTCGAAACACCGCGACGGATCATTCGTGACTACAGTTGGCTTTAATCGCAACAGATGTTTGGCTCCCACGGTAAATTTCATTGCTATAGATTAGCATATTCATTCTCATTGCCAAAAATTGCATCCAGTACGCTGTAATCTTAAATCACTAAAAACTTGTGCCTTTTCGATAGCTTTATTTGTGCATGCATTTCATAATTGGCTGCTTCAAAAAATTTATGCTGCAAAAGCTCATTTATTTGCCGTCAGCTTTAGAAAGATGTCTGTATATAAAAGCATATTTATTGCATGAACGAGTTGTAAGCCATGCAGGCTTAGTTAGGATAATCGGCTCATGGGCGACTGGTCAACAATATAGGATCAGTCAGCTCAAAAAGCTATTACGAATAGTTTACTTGCTTCCCTATACGGGCTCGCTTCAAAACTCGCAGAACCGTTTAAGCAAGTAAAACTCGCAATAAAAGCCTACTAATGCATGTAAACTAATGGTTTTGAAGATTAAAGACAATTTCTCGCACAGAGAAACCACATTTCCGGATTTCATTGGTTAAAAAGCATTTAGCCGGCACTCGATAAATTTTTCGTCGTGCTGACATGGGAGACGGGCTGCGGTCGTTGAAATGCGGTATGAATATTGGATGTGTCGTTTTAATCTATCCGCAATTGGTTTAACAAACATTTAATTCCCTTGCACGAGGAATACTTTGCGTGATTATAATGCAGGCAATAAGGTACAAACATTATCAAGCTCATAATAGAATGGCAACACTTTGTTTAACAAAGGATTACCAAACGGATTACGATCTCAAAAAATTCAAATATGGTAATCGGTTATACTTTGAATTATAACAATTTTCCACCTCAAGGTACAGGAGAATTGAAGAAATTAGTTGCCCTTACGGTATATGAGAAAATAAAATAGTTGAAAATTGAAATTTTTTTTTATAATTTTCGTCTTTTAGTAGATGGAAACGATAATATATAAACGCTATGTTGTAAAAGTTTCCATATTTGCACATCCGTAACTTATCCACGCATTCACATGCACCAAAAGACGAAAATCAGCTGTGATCGTTTCTTTCCATCTTTTCGTTAGTCACCACGCTAGTTTATCTTCTTGAAATTCGGTAAAATTTTCAGATGAATTGAGATTAATTCTTCAACATTTAGATATACACAAGCATTGACACTTCAGAATCGAGTCAATAATGAGCCAATTTGAATTGTAATATTTAGTATAAGATATAGTGTGTGAGTGATTGTGCGAGCAAGATATAATTTCATGTTGATACAGGCTACCAGGTGAGCGAGATGACCAGATGTTCACTTCCCAGTATTCATAACTACCATGAATAATCGTTTTGCATCTTAATATGCATGATCATGACCGTTTAAAACGCTTTAACCCACATGCAACACGTTCAGTTCATGTTTGAAAGTTCGCCGATATCTACGTTTCTAAATTTTGGTTCGTATATGGATTTTTCCTTTCAGAAGTGAAAGGAATTGCAGGGAATTATAAAAGAATCCGACGGCGGACTCTGTCCCGTCCAAAGACAACTCAACTGTAAGAACATTTCAAGACGTTTTCAGTGGTATGATTATCGCTTTTGTAATGACTATATAATCCTATTAGAAATAATTTTCTTGTTGTTTCTGACTAAATCCTCACAGAAACAAAGAACGTAGCTCTTATATTTCACCGAAATTCGAGTGCCAAATTCTCCAGACGTGTAAGACAAAATATTTAAACTCGTAGCTTCAATAAAAAATTGTGCATTTTGAAATCGACTATGCCTATATATATTTATATATATATGTGCTATATACTCTAATACTCAGTGCGCCTGCAAAAATTTCATAACAGAGTTACCTATAGCATAGGATTGAAAGTAGTCCAGGAACGAAGAGTGGAATCGTGCAAAAATAATGTTTAAAAGGAGTGATAACGTGATGGGAAACTGAACCCATGAATTGTCGACTTGAAACTGAGACCATGAATAGTTGTATTACGGCCGAAAGTTTGTAACTAATTTAGTTACACGTTTCCGTACGTAATACCAAAGTATACAAAATATGCCAACTTCGCATGGCTATATTTGCCGCAATTTACAGAATTTCGCGGGCAAACCTTGCTTTTGCACTAATATAACTACGCTCTTTCTAGCTCTCGTGGTTTATTTCCTTCTTGTTACTCCTATCGTGAATCGTGAATAGTATAATTTTTGTGCATTTGATGTTTTCATTGATCATAAATTTAAAATTGGTTGAAACCAGCTTCAGTCGCGGCGATGATCGCGCGCGATGAGTCACGCGTGACGAGTCGCGCGTGATGAGTCGCGCGTGATGAGTCGCGCGTGAGTTGCTAATTGCATTTCCTCACCATGATATAGCTATATGAGTTTTACACACGAAACTGCTTTCGGTATTTCAGTGCTACCATAATCCACGGTTAAATATAAGTGTGCCTAAATGTAGAAAAGTACATTATTATGAGGATTTCTAAAGTAAACATGTCAGTTTCTATGCCAGTTATGTACTAAGAGAGCAGGGGGGGGTAAGTTATGTACTGTGGGGACAGGGGGGTAAGCCCATAGCTGAATGATGCAATATAAAATTTTACCATAGAAATGTTAAATTTGCACGAATGGTTGGCTAAACAATGTGTTTGAGGCGACTGCTAGTCGTAATTTAGGTTGATCAAGAGTATCTTGGAACTTAGAAAATGATACAAGCGAATCCTGCACAACAAAACCAAAGGCTGTGTAGATGGTTTTCAATTTAGTTTTTTTTATCGTTTTGATGACCTGAAGACACTTGCGTTATAAGGTAGTTCACTTTTATCTGTGGGGAAGGAATTGACAAGAATTGTGAACTGCGATTCCATTCCGCAAGAAATGTATAGTCGAGAGTTTTACAGAAACGGACCTCTGTTGCACTGTCCAGTCGAAAATTTCCCGTTATATCAAACTGGCTCCAGTTTTTACCGCGTAAACATCAATTTGCCGCGTAAATATCAATTTAGTGTATTCGCGCATGAGAGCGGGCATTAAAAGCCTTGAATTAACGAAAATATTACCGTATGCGGTATGCTCATATATATACTACTATCTTTAAGTTGCGTGTTCATTAGTCAAATGAAGAGGGAATTGTTTCCTTTTATCTTATCTTGAAGTGCACGTGCGTCATGCAAGAGTCAAGTAGCTTTTTGCGGGTACATTTCTATAATAATTATATAGCCATTAGCTTCGACAGCAATTGAAAATGTTGTCATATAGAAGCGTATCGTGTTCAATAAAGCAGCCATATATTTGCAGTATATTCTCCCCCTTTTATATTGTAATAGTTTATGTGTTTAAAGATGGCAAAACTACGGAGATTGAACTAGTTCTTCACTAAGTTTACCTAATTGATTTTTCAAAATGGGTTTTATATATCCATATTCCTAAGCCGAGAACTTACAACCTCAAGTAGCTTGACATGTATGAAGGACATGTTATCAAATGCTAAACGATGCAGTGCAGTGCTCCTCAGAAAAATAGAAGAAGCTAAATCTACTTACATTATTATGTGATTCTGCAATAATATACATGAATATAACAGAAAATTTCACGATGTTTTGACCTATAAAGGCTTTGAATTTTCTAGTATATTTTAGACCTTCGCTACACCGGGCGTTTATGATGTCATTGACGAAGGAAGCTGACTAAAGAGTAAAGTTTTTCTAATAGTCTGTAGTTATTGACTAATTTTTCAAAACAATAGCTGTCGCAAATCGCAATGGCGAACTGTACATTTTGCCTAGAAGCAGCCGTGTTAGTTTCTACTATTTTTCATAGCGAATTGCTATTTGTTGTTTTTTAGAATTGTTAGAAATTGATGCATATATGCATGGATATATCATTTAAACGCATTTTCTTATAATGTATATATACTCAATTTATCTTACACGGCAAAGATGGTCCAAATAGTAAGAAATAGCACGAATTGGGAAATATCGAAATATCGAAATAGGTAATAATTCTCTAGTTATACTTATTGTAATCATGCAGCAGCTATTTAGTCTATTATAGGTAACTATATAAATTATTACATACATGCAGCAGTATTGTTTTGGCGAAATTCGTATTTTTTAAGTGGCTGCATGTAGTTGTACAGAATTAGGAAAATTTTATAGTCAGCTTATTTCATTGATTGATGGAGCTACGTTATTTAGATAGTGTTTGCTTGATGCATATATTCGGGGTCTTTATCGTTCAATCTCTTATTCTCCTTTCAAAGACAGCCTGGCGGATCTGATATATTTTGAAGTTGTTGCAATAAGTTGCATATCTCATGCACTGTCATTATGTCACATCAAAGCTTTTGTAGCCACAAGATAAGTTGTAAAATGTTGGAATACACTTGCAAATTGGAGTGAAAATTTCAGGCGCACCATCGCAATCCATTTTCCATGAGATTTTATGCATCACACGTGTGGTTTTGATCGTATCTCGTTAGAAACATAGCTTCTCGTGTCACGCATTGCTATTTTAGTTTGGTTGAATTCATTTTGATAATTACATGGGAGGGATTCTCGAGGGGTAAAAGAATCAATATTCATCTCGATTAGCATTTTATTCATCGACTCTATCTCTATAATGACAGCACGACTTTGCAGCTAAATTTGACTGAAAGCGCGGGCACTTTAAAACACTTTGATAAGCCTTATACCTGATGCGTGCATTTAATGTCCGTTTTTTTATCCATTTCACCCGATTGTCATATGTTGTTGACATGCTCAATTTTGGAAACGTCAAAATCGAACGCTTCCCATATTTAATCAACTCGAAATACCCGCGCTATTGAAAGGGATTATAATTTAGTTGTTTTGATCGCGATATGCATGCAGAAGTCATATAAAGAGGATTTCCATTGCGTTATGCATTAGCGTGATATCAGTTCTTGCAAGTGGCTTCCTTTGCGCTGTCTTAATGCTTTCGAGTGCAAAGTGAGCATTTGAGGATCTTCATCATTTAAGGATCTGCCGTATATTTTAAAAGTCCTCGTGCATCCATGAAGCTAGTGTGACATAGTGTTCGCTAAATGATACGTGACTTGTGTCGATGAATGGAATATTTGGAAAAGCTTTTGGGCGAGCGAAAATTGGAATGGAATAAATTCGAGGTGATTTGAGTATTTGAGTTTGGGTTCTTGAATATCAATGGCAAATTTCCCTGTAGTTTTTTCAGACTTTCATTTCAGTTCAATCGAATGTTACTATATCGGCGAGCACCTGAAGCAGATTATAAAGCATGTGTAGCATATGTTATCGTAATTTGCAAAGGCACTTTTGCTATAAAGATAGCTCAGCAAATAGTTAACCTGAGGGGCTGACAACTTAATAGCTAGTCTCCGGGCTTTTGTCCGGTCACATTTGTCCGGGCTTGAAACTTTCGGTAGAATGGCTTCACTATTCGTTCACTGTAGGAAGGTAGAATAGATAACTCATAACTGGACGCTATTTTGATCGGCAAACTTTTGCACTAACCGTAGCGAAACTTCAACTACTCTCTTAAATCGGCACCAGAGAGTCGTCTACAAATGTAATCCATTAAAAAACTGTCATTACATAATTATACATACTTTGAATGTAAATCCAGCTCACAAGTAGGATGATGTACATTTTACTAAAACAAAAGTTAATTGCTTTCTTGTTTTCTTCTGCCTATTGTGCGGTTGTGACTACACACAACTTGTATTGACGTAACTAATTCTTCGTTTTAATTTTAGAGCAACGAATATACGTATATACAGACTCTAGGGAATCGAAGATGAACGTTGAAAGATCCGATTGTACTCCTGACGAGAAAGGTAATTTCATGTATCTGGGTTTTTTATGAATATATGTTCATGTCACAAACTATTTCACACAATGAGTCCGCGATACGTTGCTGTTTGATAGCGGATACACCAATGAAGAGAAAAAAACTTGTAGTGTAAATTTATATGAAAAGCATTAAAAACGGGGGAATTTGTAAAATCATCGTTTCCTATTACGATAATTTGATGATTTAATGAAGATCTGTGGCCCAGTTCAAAAATTAAGTGATAATTATAATTTAATTAACCTTTCCTTTTGAGGACAGGATTATTCACGCGTGGGTTCTTCAACAGCAATACACTAAACTGCACAGGATCCTTAATTTTCGTCTTGCCTTTCTAAAAACTCTTCTAACGATCAGGGTTATCCGAAATCGGGCACAAAATTAAATACCTCTCGAAGTAAGTCCGAAATTGAAGTATTCCTTTGAGCAAGTAGCTATAATCTGCTCATTTTTGCTTCAATTTTATTATTAACATAACTAGCAGGCAACTTTGAAGTTAATTTTCATATGCAAATTTGCTGTAATTCCACTGGTAAGGCAAATTCGCTGATGACAGGCATAATTATGGAAATAGTTGGCAATGCATGACTTCTATGTTTGGATTGTCGAAATTGAAATCCATTCCGCAGTTTTTAATCAATTTTACGTTTTGTTATACTTTATAAAACAAGTCGAAATCTTGTGTTTTGTGTAGTTGTAAGAAGTATAGTTACACCTCACTAATATATAATAACACCATTTTCGTGTTGAGCTCAATACGATACACTTAATAGGGAGCTTAAGCAGTGACTACGAGTACGACTACGAGAACGAGATTCGTCATTCTTGTGCGTTGTTTGCTACGCCATCAGTCAAAACTCGTAGTCGTTGGGCTTTTGAGAACGATTTTTTGGCAAATTTCGTACTCGAAAGCCCAACGACTACCAGTTTTGGTTGATAGCGTAAGCAAACAACGCGCGAGAATGACAAATCTCGTACTCGTAGTCGTTCGTACTCGTAGTCACTGCTAAAGCTCCCTAATGTATGCTCCCGAGGGAAATAGTAAGTTTTCTTTTCCCCAGAGTCTGCATGCTTCCCGAGACGAAGTCGAAGTAAACATTGCCGGAGACTCGAGGGAAAACAAAACTCACTATTTCCCGAGGTAGTGTACATTAAGTGCTTTGTTATATAGGAACAAAAAAATACATGTTACACAACAATTTCATTTAAAAAAAATCACTTTACTTTGTTATGACAATATGCGGGCAACAATTTTTCACTTGTTTCCCAGGCGGGAAACATTGCACCAATCACATTTAAAATACACAGCACCTATATAACAATTCTCACTGTTCTTTCTTTTAGGTCAACTGCCCGAGGCAAATTCTGATCAAGGACTGTTGGAAACGTTCAATCTTGCTCTGTCCAACATCATCAGAAACCCCAAAGAAAGGTAATGACTGGACACTGATCATCATCAAAAGCATGATAAAAACCCATCCAAAGCATGATTTCACAACACGATTTGTTGCATACGATTGTCAGTCTGGCGAATAAAATAGTATAGTACTATACCTATATCATATTTTTGCTCATTTTCCCTAGAGATATTCAATAAATACCGTTTGCATACGTGTTTATTTGATCACTTACGCCATGATTAGAGTCGCTTACGATGAAATGCTTAGCGCAAACAGGCCATATTAGATTAACGCAGGTGTCTCTGTGTGAAATCCGGTTATCCTACTGAGTAGGTTGTCCCCTGAACGATGATCTAGGAAAGTCTTAAACTACGCACAGCGCAAGCTATCATACGCGCGATAAAGGTTCAGCATTAAAAATGATTGAATTCATCTTCATCACCTTAACCTGATATTATTCATACGAAGCATGTTTCTTTTTAGTCCAATTTGTTCCTCTGAATTTGTTTCCAGACCGAAGAAGCAAAGGTTTGTACAGAAAGATTAGCCTTTGTTTGTGTCCATATCCTTTTCATCTATTTTTCGATTAAGAAAGTTTTAGAAGATACATCAGCGTTATTTCAATGAAACTGATTATATGAAAATTCACAAAACAGTCCAGGGAGAAAAGCCGGATGAAGACGATCTTATCGGGAACATTATTATGACTTTTATGAGTGCCACTGATTTCGAATGGGTCAGCTTCGTAGGATTAAGAGGGACATTTAAAAAAAGGTTGAGCATTCTGAATGCTGATCGCCTTCACTTTTTAACACACTTATAATCTTCAAAAATGGCTTCCAGAAGCGTATCCAAATCCTCTGCAAATCCTAAAATACTTTTACCATATCAAAAATCTCCTACGCTATTTTTCTTATCGTTTTAAGTCATTTTAGTTGGTGAATTAAAAGTATTTTTCCTTCCTTGTACAGGCCACAGACATCTGACGATGATGAGCGAATTTCTTCAGAATCGAATTTTGATTCTCGTGCTGAATGCAAAAATGAAATCATCGCCTCCGACGAACAACCAATAAAGCAAGAAGACTCACAAACTCATTTTGACGACTACAGGGAGTGGATAGACGGGAATGAGAAGCGTCGATATTGTCTGACGTCACGCGAGGCTCAGTCTCACTCCTCTGGCTGGGCCATGAAGTACACAAACAATCATAACAAGTACGTCTTGAAGAAAACGTGCGTGGGAGTTTTGATGTGTTCCGAAAACTGCCGTTTTAAAGATGGCACAAACATTCGAATTCGTCCAGCGATATCCGATAAAGGTAAATAGAGATTGGAGGAGTGGTATTGGGCATTCTTAATCCCAAACTTTTGTTGAATTGTCGCATTAGTAATAATAGAATTCGATCATAGTAATCGCAGTGTGGTGACTGTGGTCCAAAATGTTTTACTCGCTCTTTAATATCATGTTCCATAGCTTAAATTAATGTATTTTGATGTAGTGAGAGAACGTCAACTTGGCCAACAGTGTCCAAACTCTGAATGCAAGAATGGGCGTATTGTTCACAGAAAATGTTCCGGTATGTTCTTCACATTCCATCTCTCGCATTTAGATTGAGGCTATATAGAACAGTGAAGTCTCCAACTAGACATTTTAGATTTAAATTTTATTCCATAGTATTTGAGTTAAAAGGTGTAATTATCCCATTTAACATTGACTTATCAACCTTCCAAGCTAAAAGGACTAAAAATGACTGGTCTCAAGGTGTTAAGTTGAGAAAAAAGAGAAAAGATGCATGATCAGCGATGAATGATGATGAAAATAAAATTTACCTTACAAATCGAGGCTGTGTGCTAAACTAGACATTGTGAATCGTTGTGGTTGTAGTTGTAGTTCTATCTACCATAATGTTGTCATAACATGCACCTAGCATACGTGTATTTGCTACCGTGTAACCATTGGTGATGTGTGTTTATTCCAGGAAACAACGGTTACCCAGTGACCCATTTCTGGGTCCATCACATGGATCACATTCAATTCGAGTCAAAGGGAACTCACGACCATCCAAAACCAGAACCAAAGAGATCGTCCATCAAAAAACGAGACGATCAATCAAGAAAATGCAGTTCAGACGAAAATTTGGTATGAATGCATTGCTACTTTTGCTTCGCTGATTCTAGAAATAAATAAGACTGTATTTAAAACCCCTCTTCATAAAATTTGGGTTAGGTTTTAAAAGCTTTAGAAGTTAACGGTTTCTTCAATATTGAATAATTGTAACAAATTCAAATAATTTTCACCATTACATTTCACCATTACATTTTTAAGATAAACTAGAAGTTAATTTAGGGTCATCTCCTTGGATAATTTCATTGATGAATGTATTTTCAATTTCATTTCTTGTGTGTTTTCGAAAGTATTCCAAAATGGGATCAATATGGAATATCGATATATCTTTCAGGTGCCTCTCGAGGGCTACGCTACCTACACACATCCATTCCTACCACCATACTTGCGCTCTGAAGATCTCAATAGCTTTGCCCGATATGTGAACTATCACAGCGAATACATCAGGAGCTGTGACGTCACCGACGGCAATGAGCACGTGAGCGTTGCAACCGTGCCGATGAGAGAACTAGCACGAGAAATTTTCTCGGAAGAGAACAACGATGCCAAGTTTTCCGAGGCATACGTATTGTGTCGAACGCTGCCGAATTACTTTCCCGGATTTGATTTACTAGAATCTCGACTTTTATCCTGCGCTACCCCCGAATGTCCGCTGGTGTTGGCGACGTTGTATCGTTCAGGAGGGGTGGATGGAATTTTGGAACATATCAAACATTTGACGGTCATGTGCTCATGTCCATTGCAGAAAATACGCGTTCCAAAGGTATTTTGTCTTCACTTTTGCTCATTCGTTTTTCTACACGAGACGGAGAATGTCGTTGTCTAGTAAATTACGCTAATTTGCGCCAGTCTAGGCAATATTATAAAAATGGACCACTACAACATAGATTGAAATTAGTAAAACTGCCAGGAACGGTTGCAAAATGTTGTAAAATGGTCCAGTTATAGCCATGCAAAATTTGAAATTGTATACTTTTGCATTCGTGTTAATTTTGTTTATCATATTCTGCCAAAGCTACCACCAAGGTAATATTTTTCGTATATAGCAATATTTCTCAGTCAAACTTTGTACTTTTACTGATTTTTGTGACCATTTATTCTTTTTTCAGTGGCATTACCTCGTACACGATTTCTCTCGTGAACTGAAAACATTAGCGGTCGAAACAATCGTGAATCTCATGGTCGATGCGCAAATGCAGACGTTGTTGAGCGAATTTCAGTACAAAAGCGTCAGTTCACTCTACAAGATGTTGCGTCAGAGGATGATGGGTACACTGAGAAGCTTCGAGGAACATTACAGGATATGTAGGTACGAGTTGATGTTGAGGATACAAGATCCCCGAGTCTTGGCGTCCGCCGAGGATATGTTGGCTCGCCTGCAATCACAGTATTGTTCCGGAAAGGAATTCCTGAACATCGATGCTTTGATTAAAGGTGATAAATATTTGCAATTCATGATGATGCTAAAAATTCGTTTTGTGCATGCCTTTTGATCGTAAATAAAAAGCTTCAAAATTATCAATAGGCCTTTCGCTTTTCGCTTTCAAACGCGCAATGCGTGACGTAGTTTGATTGTCAAGGCTAATTTGATTTGTGATTTCGCCATGTTCAGGAACGATTGAGGTTTTCTTACAAACAAAATCGCTTCAAAGCAGAGCGATGTCACAACTCAGTGGCAACAGTATTGAAGGTTGAATAACTATTGTTAGCAATGCTACTAACAGGGTGCAGCACAATATTCACTATTATTTAAAAAACGTTTGTCAACATGATCATTTCTACGCGTGTATTCTTCACGGTATACATTACAATATGCCTTGGAAGAAGACGACTTTGATCTGGTATTGAACTGACATCATCTTTTTTCTGGCAGATGGGATAATAGGTGATCAAGTCAGGGAGTTCTGGTATTTTTGGGGAAGCGATCTGATTTCATCGGCAGTATTTCCGGCTGCAAAGAAAATATATGATTTCACATTGTGTCGACACCATCATTGTTCAATTGCAGGTACGTTCAACACATCTGACCATGATTACACTGATTAAATATACCAGCATATGGTATACTCCACCTTGGTAAAAAAAAAATAGTGAAGGTCCAATATACCATCATATCAGTGCATGGTAAACTCAACCTTGGTAATAAAAAGATTAGTGCAGGTTGAATATACCAGTATGTGGTATACTCAACCTTGGTATAAAAAATAGTGACGGTCGAATATACCGGTATATGGTATATTCGTCCTTGGCAAAAAAATTGTGATAATCGATATATTTTTTCTCGTGTATTCTACCTTGTACTCAAATTGTAATTTTTAATACAACCTGTACAAGAATTGGCTTTGAGAATTGTTTTTGTTCTAGACAATAGCGATCATCCGACCGCCATGCGTGTCCAAGAAGGATTTATTTCCCTGATGGATTGGCTGCAGAAACGAAGTATAATACCACATTCTTTTCATGGTAGGTAATATTGATCCTCCTCATCAGGCGATTTCAATGAAGGAATCGCACACAACAACCGGAGGGGAGGGGGGCACCGGAACCACCGGAACGACCGGGTTGACTGCACCCACCGCCCTTTGCTAACGGGGAAAGGCGGGAGCCTCCCCGTTCCTTTTGCTATAGTATTGCAATACCTTTCATTCAGCGTTTTATCTTAATTTCAAATATAAAACTATGGCTATGTTATATTGAATATGACGACTTAAAATCCAATGATATCATTGAAATAAGTTCTACTGAGAGTCTAAAAATCTGTGTGTACTTACAGGCTCACATTTTTCACCATGTGGCAAAAGAAAATGTGTCCTTTTCTAAATGTCTGCCTCTCACGCCCCTGAGTGGTTCCTGTGCCCCTTATAACAGCGAACAGGAATTTACACCTGGAACTTCGTGTTTAAGAGACTGATGGTTGCATTTTTTTATTATTAATTAATTCCCCCGCCATTTTTCTTGCAGTTTGGACGCAATCGTGCGGGAAATCACGAAATTCGACCGCAGAAAAATGTGGCTTCACTTATGTTCCTAACAAACTCCCGGTGTTAATATCGTACCCAGGCTCATATTCCAGCGAATACCCATCTCGTGGCTGCATTCCGACACCACATTCTGAGCTAACGTACATATGAAGCTGTCAGTTTTAATAATTGCGTCCTGTTAGCGCAAGAGATTTGCTAAATCACGACATGTGTATGTTCCAAGGCAAGGTGGAATATGAAAAGCATTAGTTTCACTCATCCTGTCCATCACAAGCGTAGCCGGCTATCAATCCAAATTTGTCAGCCGAAATGGCAGCTTTTAATAACTGTTAAGAACTTTAATACATTTTTTAAGATATAAAAGTTATTAGAATTATATGCCTAATGGCGAAGAGACGCTAAAATAAATAGCCCTTGAGCACGTTCCGTAGCACACGTGCTTGTGTTGTGTCGGTAAAGATTTGTGGTGTATTGGTGAAGACAAGGGACTCGCAATTGGTATAGGTTGATGGTGCGAATCCAGGTAAAAATATTTTTCACCATCACCTGTAAAAAATTCAATAAATAACTAAGATTCATCGCTATGCACTTAGTGTTGGAGACAATGATCTCGAAGGCGGCAAGCTATGGTTTGAATCCAATTAAATCTGTTTTTCATTATGACCTGATTCATTATGAAATACGCGTCAGTCGTTCAGAAGAAGATCTCGTGGTCTTGTTATAGTAAATTATAAACGATATAATAAATTTAAAAATGCCTGCCATTCAGCACAAGATCTCGGAGTCTAGTGGCGTAGACAACCCTCTACCAAGTGGTAAATCGATAGTTCGAATCCTACTATGACCGTTTTTATACGCTGATTCGTTTAAGCTCTGTTCACACGATCACCGGATTGCTATCGGAAGAGATCAAATTTTGAAGTTAATGGGAAAGACAGTGCTGTTTTCTAATTTTGGAGCCCAGAATAAAGATATAAAATCCACTAAATTAAGAAGCATTTATTAATAATTGTCACCTTGCAAAGGAAGCGAAGATGTTGGGACGAGCGGACACCGCGTGTAAACGCAGCTTAAGAGATTGAAGTAGCGTTTTTAATTGAACGGGGCCTTAATATCTGTTACCTATATGTTGAAGTGCAATTTCAGCTGTGAAATCAGTTGCAAATGTTGAAATATTTTAATGAGACTACGAAATCTGTGACCTGTGAAAAAATGCAGACTTGACCTCATTGAATATACAAAAACAATCGCACCGTAACCATTAGCTTCACCCGGGCCATATTTAACTAGCTTATGTTTAGATGATGAGCTCTTTTGCTGAAGGGTTTCATACTGTGCATGATATTTTAGCGTCAACACACGAATGGTTGATATTAGGTTAAATCTACGAATAAGGTATGTACAGTTGTGCGTTTTAGACACGAAAAAAATCATCATCAAACAAAACTGATAAACTCATTGAAACATGGAAATTTATGTACAATCCTTCGAAAAAGATTCAGTAAAATAAAATAGTGCAAAAATTTGCAATAAGTTTTACTGGTCTAGTGGTGAAGGTAATGCCCTCCCGGGTTGCAAATTGGGGGTTCGAGTCCAAGCATGTTCGTTTTTCATAACGTCTTTTGAGAAAAGAATAAAGTCACTTAAAAACGATAGCCATTGCGCAGAAGATCTCGTAGTCTAGTGGCGAAGAAAATCGTCTCCAGAGTGGTATTTCGATGGTTCGAATCCATGTGTACCTGTTTTTCATTATGTCCTTCGAAGAAAGGATAAAGTAAATTAAATAATTATAACCGTTTAGCGCAAGATTCAGTGGTCTAGTGGCGAAAGCAATGCTTTCCGAAGTGGTAAGTCGATGGTGCGAATCCAATTATCGCTGTTTATCATTATGTTCTTTTCTTATATCCTTACGAAAATGATAAAGTAAATTAAATAACCATGGCTGTTCAACACAAAATGTAGTGGTCTTATGGGGAAGACAGTTGTCTCCCAAGTGGTAAATCGATGGTACAAATCCGACCATAACCGTTTTTCATTATGAACTTCGTGAAAAGGATAAAGTATATTAAATAACTTTAGCTGTTCAGCACAAGATCTCGTAGTGTTGTGGTCAAGATGTTAGTCTTATGTGTCGACCGCCGAAGGTTCGAATCTCGTTTTAGATGAAAATTTTCGTTATTAATAAAACATGGTAAGGTTATGGTGAATAAATTGGTGTAGGCTTCCAACAATCACCAGTTAGCCTTGTGGTAAAGTCGTGGATTATCAAGTACAAGATCGTGTTATCAAGAACGGTACGGTACGTTTCTCATGGCGGTGGAATGCCAAAGAAAAAAAAGAAAAAAATGATAGGTATGTTGCTTGGGGGAGGTTTGTACTCGGTTAATCTTTACCAATCAAAGTTAATCTTTAGGGAAATCAGGGGATATGTAGGGTGAATGAGGGGTATATGAGTACAAAAAGACTTAGTAATAAAAAAAAAGTAGTTGGGCGGCCTCGGCTCCCGGGGCAAGGAAAAGGGTATAGGTGAGGAGGCACCATATAAAATGTTTAAGTCTTTTTGTACTCATTTAAACCTCTTTACCCCTATTTATCCCCCCATTTACTCCTATCTATCCCTGCTTTTACCTATCCTCATATATCCCTGATTACCCCCTAACACGATTAAATGTTTGAAGAAAGCTTGCTTTGAAAGTCAGGAAAGCCGGGGGAAAGAGAACCCCCCTCAGTCTACTCCTCGCCCAAGGCGAGGGCATATTCGCCCTCTCGCTCTACTCTCTCACACTCACAAATTCTCACTTTATTACCTTGTTCTTTTTCGGTTTATCCCGGGCTTGAACCATCGACTGTATACTTGGCAGATCATCGTCTTCACCATTACACCACCAGTTCTTGTGGTGTAAGCCTAGAGTTTCTTATTTTACTTAATCCTTTTTGGAAGGATCTTTGATAAAATAGAAGGAAAAAAACATTCCCATCTGGGACTCGAACCTCCGCCTTTAAACTCGGAGAGCACTGCCTTTACCAGTAGACCGCACGATCTTGCGGTGAAATACTACACTTTTTCATTTTACTGAATACCTTTTGGGTAGGATCTTAAGTGAAACTAACAATTTAAATGAGTTCCGTTTCATGTTCATGATTTTTTCTCGTCTAAAACGCACACAACTGTATATTATTCGTAGCTTCTAACCCAATATTAGCCACTTTGTTTAAAATGTCACATACAGTTACGCTGTGCTATAACGCACTAACTTTCCATAAGTTAGTTATATGCAGCTCAAGTGAAGCTAATAGTTACGGTGCGATTGTTTTGTATTTTTAATGAAGTGAAATCAAAGTAAAGTACGAGAATTAATAATGCATTTCAAAATAGGCTTAAAAGAAAAAAACTACAAGAATTAAGAATAGCCGAATTCATATTAGGGCGGATTCATATTAGAAACTCATCTTAGACGGGAAAGTTGATCGTAGTCGATCAGGAAACCCGTCTGAATATGAATTGGACTATATATGGATGAATTTATACGTATGATGGTTCGGGTAATGAGTAATCATTACGGTAATAATTTTGTTTAGTTTCCCTTAGCTTTGTTCCGTCCTTGACGGTGCTTATATCAGAAACTTGTCTGATTTATCCGTCTAAATGCGAATTTAAGCGAGTTTCTCTTCCTGACGGGTTCCCGTCCAACTTACCCGTCTGTTTAGACGGGAAAATTCGGAAGAGAAACGCGTCTGTGATTCACATCAGACGAGTTTCCCGTCTTCGATGAGCTTCCCCTCTAAGACGAGCTTTCCCGTCTGTTATATGAATTCGGCTAAAAATGTATGTGTATAACGCGTATAGTCATGAGGCAACAAGCATGCGCCTCGTACTCTCTTCATTAGATTACCGCGGATTGGAGCCTTTCAAGCAAACAAAGCAAATGAAGCCATTCTTCGAAGAACTTTCAAATGAAATAGTTATGAATCGTTGCCGTAACATTGTTGAGCTGCTGTTTGTTTGTTTGTTACCCCGGTTAACTTCGTAAATTGTGCTTTTGAACTGATCTTTTTCTTAGCGTATTTTATATTGGACGAATCGACTAGACCAGCTAGTGTTTCGACTCTTTATACAGCAAAGTCTTGAAATAAATAGTCAATGTCTGTTTAACTGGATATTTGCTTCATTTATTTGCGATTTCAGATGTAATCTTCGAGAGTACGACTACGAGGTATCGGGAATCCCGTCTGGAAGAGAAACTCGTCTTAAATTCATATTTAGACGGAAAAATGAGACGAGTTTCTGATATATATAAGCACGGTCAAGGACGGAACAAGGCTAAGGAAAACTATAAACAAAATTATTACAGTAATGATTACACATTACCCGAACCATCATACGTATAAATTTATCCACATGCAGCCACAGCCCAATTCATATTCAGACGGGTTTTTACTATTAACTTTCCCGTCTAAGATAAGTTTCTATATTTGATTTCACTTCATTAAAAATACAAAACAATCGCACCGTAACCATTAGCTTCACTTGCGCCGCATATAACTAACTTATGGAAAGATAGTGCTTTAAAGAACTGTATGCGATATTTCAGCGACAACATAAGTGGCTAATATTAGGTTACAACTTACAAGCTACAAATAAAATACAGTTGTGTGCGTTTTAGACGAGAAAAAATCATGAACCTTAAAAAGAACTCCTTTAAATTGTTATTTCATTTGAGATCCTATCCATAACATATTCAGTAATATAAAAAAGTGTAGCATTTCAGCGCAAGATCGTCCGTCCCAGATGGGAATGTTTTTTTTCTTCTATTTCATCAAAGATCCTTCCAAAAAGGATTAAGTAAAATAAAAAACTCTAGGCTTACACCACAAGAACTGGTGGTGTAATGGTGAAGACGATGATCTGCCAAGTATACAGTCGATGGTTCAAGCCCGGGATTAACCGAAAAAGAACAAGGTAATAAAGTGAGAATTTGTGAGTGTGAGAGGAGTAGTGCGAGAGGGCGAATATGCCCTCGCCTTGGGCGAGGAGTAGACTGAGGGGGTTCTCTTTCCCCCGGCTCTCCTGACTTTCAAAGCAAGCTTTCTTCAAACATTTAATCGCTTTAGGGGGTAATCAGGGATATATGAGGATAGGTAAAAGCATGGATAGATAGGAGTAAATAGGGGGATAAATAGGGGTAAAGAGGTTTAAATGAGTACAAAAAGACTTAAACATTTTATATGGTGCCTCCTCACCTATACCTTTTTCCTTGCCCCGGGAGCCGAGGCCGCCCAACTACTTTTTTTTTTTTATTACTAAGTCTTTTTGTACTCATATACCCCTCATTCACCCTACATATCCCCTGATTTCCCTAAAGATTAACTTTGATTGGCAAAGATTAACCGAGTACAAACCTCCTTCGAGCAGCATACCCAACATTTTTTCTTTTTTTTTCTTTTGCATTCCACCGCCATGAGAAACGTCCCATAGTGTGCTTGATACCACGATCTTGTACTTGATAGTCCACGACTTTACCACAAGGCTAACTGGTGATTGTTGGAAGCCTACACTAACTTATTCACCATAACCTTACCATGTTTGATTAATAACGAAAATTTTCATCCAAAACGAGATTCGAACCGTTGACTGTCGACACACGAGACTAACGTCTTGACCACAACACTACAAGATCTTGTGCTCGACGGATCAGTTTATTTAATTTACTTTATCCTTTTCACGAAGTTCATAATGAAAAACGGTGATGGTAGGATTCGAACCATCGATTTACCACTTTGGAGACCACTGTCTTCCCCACACGACCACTACGTTTTGTGTTCAACGGCCATGGTTATTTAATTTACTTTATCCTTTTCGCCAAGAACATAATGAAAAACAGCGATACTTGGATTCGAACCATCGATTTACCACTTCGGAAACCATTGCCTTCGCCACTAGACCACTGGATTTTGTGCTGAACGATTATGATTATTCAATTTTCTTTCTCCTTTCTTCGAAGGATATAATGAAAAACAGGTACACTCGGATTCGAACCACCGACTTACCACTTGGGGGACGATTTTCTTCGCCACTAGACTAGGAGATCTTCTACGCAATGGCTATCGTTTTTAAATGACTTTATCCTTTTCGCAAAAGACGTTATGAAAAACGAACATGCTTGGACTCGAACCCCCAATTTGCAACCCGGCAGGGCATTACCTTCTCCACTAGACCAGTAGAACTTATTATTGCGAATTTCGACACTATTTTATTTTACTGAATCTTTTTTCGAAGGATCTTTTTTGAATGAGTTTACCAGCTTTGTTTGATGATGATGATTTATTTTCGTGTCTAAATAACTCACATAACTAACGCACATAACTGTACATAGCTTATTCGTAGCTTTAACCTAATATCAACCATTTGTGTGTTGACGCTAAAATATCATGCACAGTATGAAACCCTTCAGCAAAGGAGCTTATTATCTGAACATTACTTACTTATATATGGCCCAGGTGAAGCTAATGGTTACGGTGCGATTGTTTTTGTATATTCAATGAGGTCAAGTCTGCATGATTTCACAGGTCACAGATTTCCTAGTTTCATTAAAATGTTTCAACATTTGCAACAAATTTCACAGCTGAAATTGAACTTCAACATATAGGCAACAGATATTAAGGCCCCGTTCACACTATACCGGATTGCTTCCAGAGTGAGTAAAATGTTGTTGTCAAATTAAAAGGCAGTAAAACATTTTACTTTCAGTGTTTGAAATTAATATACCAAATCTATCAAAATAATAAACATTTGCTACTAACCATCGCCTTTTAAAGGCAAACGAAGATATCGTGACGTGGCCTCTACTCAATAACTCTACTTCTCTTAAGCGGCGTTTAAATGCGGTCACAACATCTTCGCTTTCCGTTGTAAAGCAACGATAGATTTGATATATTTATTTGGCCTCAGAAATTAAGAAACAGAACTGTCTTTCTCATTAACTTCAAAATTTGATCTCTTCCGATAGCAATCCGTTGATCGTGTAAACATGAATCAGCGTCCACAGTCCACTATTTTGAAATGTTGAAAACTCGCTATTGACGATCAAAAACTGCTCTCAAATCCTTATAAGTACATTAATGTTGTCGGCACTTTGACACCACTAAACACCCGTTATTTACTGTCTTTCCGTTGCTCCTTCGAAACAGCGCTGTGGTAATTATGCAACTTTAGTTATCTGTCTTTACTGCGATTATATATATATTATATAATTAAGTATCATAAATCAGTATGAAGATAACAAGTATCGAGTTCGAAATCATCTAGGTAGAGTGCTCAATACCGTATGGTAGAGCGAGATAATAACAATAACAATAACAATGACAAACTGGTTTATTCCATTAAAACTTTATTACGACAAATTTGTTTCGTATGGCAAGCAAAGCTTACCACACTCGTCATGTAACAACTGATCGCGTTTATGAGCGCTATGAAATATTATATGCTTAATTCGGTCGGTGACGTATCGGATAACAACTTTTGTTATCATGAATCCTTACTACTCGGTTCCTAACACTAGTGGCTGTTTTCATGTCCAGTAGCGTAGCTAGCCTGTCGATTTGTCCCGCAATGCTAATATTTTAGTGTTCACTGACTGAGAAAACAATGGATTTATAAAGGCATGGATAATTATAATAACTCGAAATTTACATAGCGGGACAAAATCGTCAGGCTGGCTACGCTACTGTTCATGCCACGTCCGCGTCGTAGATTTGGTGCATCTTAAATGCGCTAATAGGAACCTTAAGATGCCCCAAATCTACGACGCGAACGTGACATGAAATAAGCCGGGGTTGTTAATTGTTAGTTAGTCATTAACACACCGAGAAAGACGACGCTCAGCTCGAAGGCGTTTTCAGCTGAACGAGGTAAAATCCACAGTAGCTCAACAATATTACAAATTAGCCACTAAACAAGATGAATATTTGCTGCTAACATTTACTTCCGACAATGTGTGTCAATTTCTGAGAGATAAGTAAATTCGCCTTTGTCATGTTTAGCCATTCGCTTACAACGCCTTCAATTCATAACCGTTAGGCTTTCACGAGCTGTGATTGACAGTTCTTGAGCGAGCCTTGTCAACATTTGCTGCTGCTGCTAACGGCATTTGACTTGCCACTCATTCACATCTATCAAAGGAGGACTTTGCATCGAAAATCGCATAAATTACTGTAAGTATAAACGCGCGATTAGGCTACCTACGTCACCTTCCCACGTAAATTAAGATTATAGAATTAAAACGACTGTTTCAGTTGACATGCTTATTTAATCCCACTAGATTATCTCCTCAGTCCAATATTATTTGAATCACCATATGGAATTACAAATGCAGCCATCGAAAAAATATAACGGATCATGTTTCTCTCAAACGTAGGGAATACTTCAAAAACAGGGCCCTTGGTGAGGCATTTGCATCTCATAGAGTGTGTTATACACTGTCCCAAGACGAGAAGGCAGAGCCCGAAAGCACGGAACATTCGCTTACAACGCCTTCAATTCATAACCGTTAGGCTTTCACGAGCTGTGATTGACAGGCCTTGAGCGAGCGTTGTCATCATTTGCTGCTGCTGCTAACGGCATTTGACTTGCCACTCATTCACATCTATCAAAGGAGGGCCTCGCATCGAAAATCGCATAAATTATTGCAAGTATAAACGGGCGATTATATAGGCTACCTATACGCTACCTTCCCACGTAGATTAAGATTAAAAATTTAAAACGATTATTTCAGTTGACATTCTTATTTAATCCCACTAGATTATCTCGTCAGTCCAATAGTATTTGAATTACAAATGCAGTCAACGAAAAAATATAACGGTTCACGTTTCTCTCAAAAGTAGGGAATACTTCAAAAACAGGGCTCTTGGTGAGGCATTTGCATCTCATACACTGTCCCAAGACGACAAGGCACTCTTTGAACTAACAGGAACATGAGATATAGGCCTTATGCCCGATTGCCGTTTAACTCGTTATTGTTTGTACAGATGATGTACATGCAGAAGTCTGGAAATAAATAGAATCGTTGAATGAATTAAAATGAGGATAGGATGGAAAATGTTCTCATTGATTACAAATATTATAGATTAGAATCACCCGAGATGTATCTATTGCTCCAGAGTCCCTGGGAGAATAAATATATTGTATAATTATGTAATTAATATTATATAATATATTATAACATAATATAATTAATAATTAACATAATATTGTATAATATATAATTGATATAATATACTGTATAATCATTTTGTAATTTCAAATAGTTTCCCCCAAGGTAACACGCGAACAAACTATATGTCTTCCGTGAATCATTTATTGTTCTCACAAAAGATCTCTTGCTTATTTGGCTTTTGTTTACTTTCTCAAATTCCGTGTGGCCAAGATCTATTTTCAATCCAATTAAGTTGTCCCGTCTTCGGGGTGATCTACGACATATTATGAGCTGGAAAATATATAGAACTGTTGTCAGGATTTTAAAATCATATCATTTGTTTTTGTGAGCAGAATCGCGACCCCTAACCATTTTTTGCCTATACAATTATACTGTCATGTTTGATTAAGATACGCATACAATTATCACAATCATGGGAAGACAATCTCGCTATGTTTACAACTTGAAATAATCTTAATTAAAAACCCATGTTTACCGTGGTTAAACAAAGTTTTCGAGATGTCGAACCGTGTCGTATTCAAACATGCTACGTGCTAGCCGTTGACATTTCATGGCTAATCCGCGTAAACTATGTCGCGTCGTATGGATTATGCTCGTCCAAAGGCAGGAAACAATCGCAGGATGCCAACGGAAAATAACGGTCAAAATTTGAACTACCAACGTGCATTTTTAAATCTGGGGAACAGTATAAAAGCACGATGGTCTCAACGGGTTGGCATTCTTCGAGAGAAGAGCTTGGAAGGTGATTTTGCTCATCTGAAGGAAAGAAACTTAACGAGAAGTACGTCGAATTCTGAAGTGAAATTTGAAGAATGATTTTGCAGTGGCTAGTAGTAATAACACTGTTCGTCCACAAAAGTTTGGCTTACAATCTTCACAATGATATTGACGGTATGTCCAACCGATCTTTGATTTTTTATTGTTTCTTCCAAAAACCTATTCGAAAGGGGTTTCTTACAAGCCCAGAGCGAACCGGAACTATTCGGCGGAGCTCTTAACTGCCTGCCTGCTGAGCTCACTACATGTGTGTGGATGGACTGTACCTGATAAGAAGTCAACCAAATCAGTAGCTTTTCTATATGCTGCAGACTTTATCTATACATTAAAACAAGACGACTGTTCTGGCGTTAACTCCGGCGCACGTGCCAGTTCTTCTATATAGAGCTTCTGAACATAAACAATACAGTTCATATTCGCATTTAGATGCCTTGCGAACCTTAAATGTTCGATCGCGAAATTCAGAAGCACATCATACTTTAAAAGTATAGAAGTTCAATTGTTCAAAAATGTAAATAAACCGCATGATACATTCGCTTTGTCTTACACTTTGCCTTTGGAATTCGCGCTTATATAGTTATAAATCTTCAATCCTGTGCAAACTACGACGTGTCAACGCGTCCGACCACATCTTGTTAAACGGCGAAATAGCAGCGATATTATTAAAATAGGACCAGAATCAACATGTATTAAATATATTCTTACCCCAATTCAACCTAAACTTAATTGGGTGTAGTATAGCTATTTAGTAAGTAATAGAAGATAAAATATGGATTGCAAAAATATAATGTTTCTTTACCAGGCAATCGTCTTTGGCGCCGTCAGGAACCGGTCATTGAACCTCAACCAGGCAGAAATCACGAAGGTACTGGTAAATGAGTAGCCGGAAATTCTTATAGAGAATATACACAGCGCGATAGCTATTAATGCGAACACGGGCAGTCGAGGCAGCTGAATATTTATTGACCAACAAAGAATCCATTTTTATGTTAAACGTTTATAGGCAGAATTACCCACGATTCAATACTTTTTCTGTTCGGATACTTGGTTGAAATATTGAAATGTGTTTAGCTTATATTCTCTCCAAATTTTTAACACGGTTTCTTCATAGAAATATGAGTAAGTGGTATTTACAGATTTGCTCTCGAACAAATATTTAAACAACGAGTGAAAAAGCTCAGTCTCAGTTGACAAAATTAATATCTTTTAGCTTTTGCTTCGATTAATATAGCTTAATTATCACCAAGGTTTTAAATACCTATTTTGCTGGTATTTCTCTTCAAGACCTACCACGTAAAAATACTGTGTGCCCTCATTTCAGAATGCAAGAGTGATATCATTGTGTTGTGGGACAATTCCGCATCAATCGGCTTTACATATTATCCGAAAGTGAAAAATTTTCTGAAGAAACTTATCACGAACGAAGATTTCCGTGTTGGAAGAGATGGCACCCGGTTAGGTTTCGTCACATTTGCAGACGATGCACACACCAAGAAACTGTTGGATGTGGGAGAGATTACGGATCCAGCAAAGTTGACAGACTGGCTGGATAACCTGGATTATAAAAAAGAGCTGATGGGCGGTGAAACGTTTACTGGTAAAGCGTTTGAACTTGCAAACGAGGTAAATCACCTGTAAATCGTCCGAATATAAGATTTGGGTATGTTGCGTTGTTTAAAGCAAGTGAATCCCGGGCTGGCTCGAACAGCTTGTTTAAAATATCTTTAGAAGTGTATCTCGTATCATTTATTGTTTTCTCTGAAATTTTGCAAAAAAAAAATAGTCTGGAAAGGAACACAATTAAAAAGCAGAGAGATGAACAGTTTATCCACATTCTTGAATAATGTCTTGCCTATATACATAGTCTCAGGATTTGCTCACACTTTGCAAATACCTTTGCTCACACTTTGCAAATCAATTGCCATTTTTGCATGTATCGTTCATATCTAATGAACACTAAAAAACTGGCACAGCGGGCCAGACCCATCAGACTTTCTACATAAGTGCTGCAAAAATGCTGCATGCTTATTAGTAGAAGCCAAAAACTGAAAGTTGTTTTACAATTCTTGACGTATGAATATTGGTTTGTAAAGGTTTGTTTGTCTTAAATTGCCTATTCATGCAGCATTGACTTTATATACTAACACTGTATAATTATCAGAATAGTTAAAGATATTTCAACTCGCGTGTTTATGAATCTCTAATACATGTGATGAAATGCTCGTATATACGTATAGAAAAATTCCTTTGTCATTGTCAGATGTTTCAACAACCCAGCCCTAAGAATGTCCGCCCTGATGTACCTGACGTTATCTTGTTGTTTACCGACGGCGCACCGAATCCTGAGTTTCCAACTTCCAAAAGCGAGAGGCAAAAGAAGATGGATCAAAAAAGGATCGCGGATAAGTATGTATCGATACTGAAAAACAAGAATGTTAAAATTGTTGGCATCACAGGAGGAAAACCAGCGCAAGTTAGAAAATTTAAGCCCTACGTTGAAGATTGGGCTTCGTCACCAGATGATGTCTCTGAATCAGAGTTAGACCACTTGGACGAAATTGTTGATAAAATTGTCAAGGATTCGTCGTGCATAGCGCCCGGTAAGTAATTCAAGTAACTAGAAATGTTGCTAATAATGAGCTTCAATACTTTGTGTAAACACGGTCGGCGTTTGTACTCTTATTTTCACAATTTCAGTCAGAAATTGCAGTTTAATACTAGTCTATTATTTCATCCTTTGGATCGTGTTAACAGGGTCTCAAAACGATTAACATATATATATTATCATATATCTGGTGAGATGTAAAATGTCCATACTCGACGTTCCCTAATCGATCTAAGGGTACCCTTAGTCAAATCTGAGCTGGCAAAAACTAAACTCTCATACAGTGGAGTTTTGCTGTTTAACTCTTTGCCGAATGACCTAAAAATGGTCCATGACTACTCCCCTTCAGCCTACAAGTTTAAACTAAAAAAGTTCTTTCGAGATTTAAATTATGAAGTTGACCATCTTGAACATTTTTCTTGCTCTTCATGTACTAACATTGTTAAGTGTATATGTTACACTTATTGACTTTTCACCTGTTCTACTTTTCTCTCAATCTATTCAATATTCATTCTACTTTTATCTCAAACTATTCAATATTTCTTTTGTCAGTTTATGTTGTCTCGTCTATTGTGTTGTACATATATATATTGTGTTGTGTATAGTCTTTGTGTTTTATATATACGTATACATAATATTTTCTCCTTTGTACATATAGTTCCGTTCATTAATTGTGTTGTATTTAATCCTGTAATGCCATTCCTGTATATAGTGACCGCATAAACTATTTATATGTATCATAATGAGGGCCATTTGAAAGAATACCGCTTAGGTAAAAATGTACTATTGTAACCCTCTTTAAATAAAGTTTATTATTATTATTATTATTATTATTATTAACGATGCGAAAACGATTTCGAAAACACTCGATGATCACGCTCATGCATGTCAGTCTAACAACGGCGAAATATTGACCGCTTTTCAACAGCAATTTTAGTGAACATCGATACAGAAGTGCTCTTCAAATCTGCCACTTTGCGTCCTCAAATTTCCAACGTTTCGTGTCTCTTTTAACATACCTAAAAAACTTCACCGTTCAGTTTGGTTAACCAAATTCAAATGATATAGCGGAATATTTTAAATCTTTTGCAGCGAAATTGCCATGCCGCTGCGAGAATTACCTTGTAGAACCTCAATACATCAAGCAAGGAAGTGATGCAGTTGTGACTTGGTTACCCCCATCCCTCAAATGCCCGCAAGGATCAAGTGCAGTGATTCAAAATACCAAAATTACTCCGGAGGGAGCGAGACCAGGACAGAGATTTCAGGCCGGGCCACACAATATCGTATACGAGTTCACATACGAGTTAAATGGCAATTCAAGGACCCAGAGTTGTAGTGTGGATTTCAACGTTATTAGCGGTAAGTTAACTGATCTTATAATATATACCGGATGAATTAGTAACCATAACATTTGAGAACGGAACCGGAATTAAAGCACCTCTGGAACCTCAACTTGAAAGAGCCACACTCCGCTTTCAGCCAGAAAGTCTCGACATCCTTCGTGAAAGATAATTATTTAATGTGGCTATATTAACATTCGTATATTTTCTAAAACGGAATGAAAGAAATAAATGCTTACAATTTTTCCTCAACATTTCGTACGCATCACATATCGCGTGCACTTCGGACTTGAAATACATTCCGCATTCATCATAAATAACATCATAATTTAGAAAAGCCGACAGACAGTCGGCATAGATATTCATTTTAGAGGAGTACGGGAAATTAATAATCTATAATAATACCTATTAATAATACCTATAGAATATGCTAAAATTTTTCGTCACAGGCCTTCTAAAAGACAATTATTTTACAAAATGGTCGCTATAAAAACTCTGCCATCGCGTTCTCATATATTTTTTTTTTCATATCACGATAAAGGGGAATTGTGTGGCAGGAAGATAATCGACTCTGAAACCGAAGTTTGCTGCTGCGGTGAGACGCACCGTGCTATGCCTGGGCACGAGTGTTGTGGCATCGAGTACTATTATACGTCAACAGGAAAATGCTGTGATGAAAAACGTGGGATCGTTGTGTGCAAAGAAGCCAAGTGTCCAGCAGTGTGAGATTTGCTGATGAATAAAGTAGATTATAGTTATAGACTCGAGTCGATGTTGACCACTTCTATAGATATAGGTTTTAGTAAAAAATTCCTCAATATGACAACACTGAGTTAATTTTTGCATGTTGTATTCTTTATATACTTCTTTTGTTGTTGTATAGGGCCTACGTTATATTCAAATCGATGTTGACTATTTCTAGATATATAGGTTTTAGTAGAAAATACCTGAATATGACACCACTGAGTTAATTTTTGCACAATGTTACAATGCATTTCTTATATGTTTCCTTTGGTTTGAATAAAGTATAAAGTACAGTAGACTATCGGACTCCAATCTATATATATGTTAACTATATAAAATGGATTTAGTCGTGAATTGTATAACAACGGCATAATCTAAAGATAGAAAAATCAGTTCTGCATGATTTATATAGGCTCAATGAAATATACCTTCTTCGGTTATTCTTGTTTCGTGTCTTAATCCTGTATAATTTATGATCTGAAACAGAACCTTGGTTGACAAAGCTATTTTTAATTTCTGGTATATCTAAAAATTTTTATCAAGTTTTTTGATAATATATAGATTTAGGCAAGAATTCGAGTTATTGCTTGTATGATTTCAAGGTTTCTCAGTTGTGTTGTAACTATCAAGCTTTATTCAAAATGATACGATGAAGTGCGTCTGCATGGTTCTATACTGCGATTATATTTTATTCGTCGTGGTAAAATAAGGAAACAGGAGTGCACACGTATGGAACCGTTCTGCATGCTCATCGTTAGTGAAAAATTAAGGCCTGTGCCAATTCGAAAGAAATAATGATCACATCAAGGAAGTAAAACTAAAGCTTCTTTGTGAAGCTATTAAGCTTCTTTTGCAAACAAGTTTTGGTTTGAATTTAATCAATAACATGTCTCAAATATAATTTGTCGCTGTGAATGAGCCAATTGCGATAATTTGATACCCTATATGCAGAGTTAAAATACATGAAACTTTGCCTTTGTTTGGTTAGGCGAGGATTTAACAGTAGCCATGGGCTAATTCAATTACTGTGGTTCATTGTTTGTTCCTATTAAGAGCTAATATTGAACTGATAGGAAACCGCAGTACTCGACGACAACCCACGTCCAAAGCACAAGTGATAAAAAAGATTTCAGTCGTGATTCCAATCTTCCGCTTTTCTGAAGATTGAAAGCTATATTATTATGTTTCGGCACATGCATTCGGCGACGATCTAAACACTGAGACGGCTAATTATATGTAGAAATCTGTAGAAGACTTGCGTACTTAGCTAAGACTTCCTCTCCCTTTTCTTTACTTGATTTCATCGTGGTTTACTGCACGTGTATGAGGGTATTCTGCATGTATGGCATTACATATTAAAGTTCGCCACGAAAAAATTGAATTGTAGCTAATGAGTAATGATAATTTATAATAATCCTTCAAGATTGGCACGAAAATTTCCAATTAAATCCTCCTCAAATACTTTTAACTGACTCCAAACAGGATATAGTTTTGTTTAAACATCGTGACCTGTTTTTTAAACAAGCACTACAAGACTTCAACGACACACTCTAACCACTTCAAATAGGTACTTCAACATTTTCGTTTGTTTAAAAGTAACAAAGAAATTGTTACTTTACTTTCTGGGCGTGATTCCTTCGTCAAAAACCTCAAGAACGCGACATTCAGCACAAATATTTCGTGCATGTATGAAATGTATTGACGTAATTATTTGTTTTTATCAGACGTAATCTTTCACTTGACAAAAAAATTTCTGAGTTTCTCCTATAGGGAAGCACGACTTTGACACGAGTAAATCTATAGCAAATGTTTTGTTTGTTGAATCTATTTTGCCGGAAAAATCAGGAACAATATGACGGCACGCATGAATAATTAAGAAAGAAATTTGTGTAGCAGAAAATAGTATCAAGTGATCGTATAAACTGACCAAGTGATGACGTATCTGGCGTTGCCAGACTCAAAATTGTCCCAATCCACTAGAAATATCGTATTTAGTAGGAAAACAAAATAATTTCGTCTATCTAGCAGTAACTTACCATAATATCGACCATCCTGACATAATCATGGATTCATAAACTCACAGTGTAATAAGAAATCTTCCTGCAAATGTTATATAAGTTGGTGACATCTTTACGAGTGACGCGAAGTGCCCGAGACTCCTGATCCATTTTAGGACAATAAAAGGAATACTGTGCTCAAAAGTTATTTCCTTTTCTTAACCGTTTTACTTTGAACTTTGAAGGCTTGTTTCAAACGTCGTGCAATTTCATACATGTACCGAACGCATTAAAAACAAAAGAAACTCAGTTGAGGTGGTATTATCTATTGTTGTTAATGCGTTCTTCAGCACAACGTTTGAAAAAGGCCTAAAGTGTCTGAACTTGCATAATCTTATCATTTGCGGATATTTCGAAAATGCATTCATGCGAAGTAATGGTGTGTTCTCAAACAACCACTAAATTTGCAGCCATTTTATTGAAGCAGCTACCGACTATAAACATGCGTAAAATGTCGTATGCGTAAAATAATAGGCACATGCATAAATATGTACATAACTATATCGTTTCTGCATCGATGTTTGAAATGTATCTCAGTGATTTGTTAGGCGTTTATTATCCCGGTCACGAACATATGGATATTCATTGATAACACTTTGTGACTTGAATTTACGTCTGCGACAAGCCATTAGTAGTTATTAAATTACAAGACAAACACTCCTTACCAATATTTCATGCTTAAACTGTTAAAGAAAGAGCATAAAGTTAATTAAGTGATTAAGTATCCAATATCCTACAGAGGCTACATTGTCTGGTCTTTTGCGATTTCAGTTTTAGCTTCTCTGTTCTCCCTCGACACGAATATTGCATATAATTATATCTTTTTTGTCCCGATCGACTTTGGCGCGAACGACATCCTGTTTGTTTTAGTATCAAAGCAGTTTTAGCGGAGTCTCAACTCAGTTTGAACACTCGGTATCCCATTTGTTGCAACCGTGCCAAACGTATGTGTTGATAATTTGACGTTGAACGATATCCGCGCACTTGAAGTTTTCCTAGTCAGTACGCGAGCAGCGTAATATCAAAATCGTATATTGTTTTACAGTAAGGCGTTTAAAAAAGCAGTCCTGATTATAAAAATTTACACAAATATGCACGACAGAATGTAATAATTTTATATGCCACGGTCGTCAACTGTCGTTTAAAATAAGCAGCAAAGATATTTACTGCATGCAATGCAATGCAATTTTAATTTTAATTTTGATGAATGTTAATTTGTCAACGCTCAAAATGTTAAGGAAACGTCGAAAGATCGTAAAGGCCTATTTAGACTACACGATAAGTTGTATGCATTTATCAATAAGACAAATGCAAAAGAGTGCCTATGCCTCAATCTTCATTCAATTTTGTTCAGGTTAGAATTTTAGGGTCACATTTGTACGGGTGTTCATACTTTCACACACGCCAGGGTACGAATCGTATATACGACAAATCGCATAGTGTACATGGGCCTTAAGAAATGTTCGTATTTGGCAAGTTACAAGGAAAGTTGCATAGTATAACACCGCCTTTACTTAAATGTTGAAATTAACAATTGTGAATTGAATAAACGATTTGATTTAAAGCTGCATGTCAGGTTAGGTTAGTTTAGTTTAGGTTGTGTTTTTTTGCTATTATATGGCAATGCTATAATTCCCCTATAAAAGTTAGCTTTTGCTATTAAACTATAATGTTTATAAATATATAGCTATCGTAATATATATTTGAAACCTTTATTGGAACTGTAGCTGTAGCAGTTTGAAATTATAAAATTAATATCTGTTATATAGCATATGACATTTATAAGAGAAATTATGTTTTAGTTTATGATGTGGTCTAGTTCCTGTTTTGTTCCTGGCTCATCAAATTTTCACCTATTTCCTCAGAATATATTTTGGGAGCCAGGAACTCGTCGATTTCGCCAGAAATCATGTTATCATCACTCTCATCACGTCCACAAAATTAATGAATTCGGGCGGACGGTTTTCCCCATAATTAACTCAAGTGTAATTCCGCAACCTGCCTTGGCGAAATTTCCCTGTCAAAGATGAGACGTGCAAATTCGCAGCCCGATAGACATACAAAAGCAGGCTCGTTGCAGAGATTTTCCATTCATCGAGAGAAGAGCTCAGAAACGAGTTACCTTGAATAAAAGAGAGAAAATCGAATCCAAAAGCTATTAAACAGCGAAGATTGAGGTGAAATAATAAGATTCATACAAATATATCATTGAAGAAAATGTTCAACACGAAAGTAAAGAAGCTGAAATGGTTTGCCTTTTTGACGCTGTTTGTTCAAAACAGTTTAGCAGTCAGCCTTTCTGGTAGCACAACTGGTACGTTTTTTTAGAATATTTTTTGTCTGAATTGATTTAATTTAATCACAGTTGTTAAGTGATCCTATCATGCCCTTTTTTAAACAAATGTATAAGAGCTTGTGTGTGATGATTCCTAAGGGTATACATATTCTTCTGTAGTTAACGACATCAGAAATTGAATTGATATATTGAAGCGTTTCTGAATTTCTTACTACTCCAGGACAAAAGCAGTCAGCATATCCATGCAATTGGTGTTAGAAAAGGGGTAACTTAACTAGGCTTAGGGCAAAGAATGTACACTATAGCGCAGGTATAGCCACGCCATCCTTTTCGATCCTTGCTTGCATGGCGCACTACGCTTTTTTATCATTTTCGATTCTCACATCCCTCGAATGACACTGTGGATATGGCTTAATTAGCGTCAGAACTATAACGTTCAGTTTCCTTAGTTTCTCGATTAATCAGTGCAAGCCCAAGCAGTTTTAAAATATATATATATAGTTCATCTTCTCCTGATGCATGTTATTACGGTTGTTTTGTTTATTTTCAACAACACAGATAACCGCTTACAGAGACGTGAAGCCGGAGAACCGTCTGTGGAAAAGGATCAAAGTCAAAATAAGAAAGGTATTATTTGTTACCCGTCATGCAAGGCCTGTTTTAAAGCTTGTTGAGAACTCTTTGTACAAGACGAGTTGTATACTGAATTGTTTAGTGTGTAAAAAAGATATTCTCGTGCTTTGGGACAATTCCGCGTCTATCGGTGCCTTGCACTACCCTAAAGTGACAGGCTTTCTTAAAGAACTAATCCTAAGTGACGAAATGAACGTGAGAGAAAATAGCACTCATCTTGGTTTCATCACGTTCTCAAGCGCTGAGAAAACCGGAAAATTGTCTGAAGTTGGAGAAAGAACTGACCGAAAAGAGTTGATAAGTTGGCTGGACCATTTTGACTACAGGAAAGATTTAATTGGTTACAAGACTGTCACTGGCAATGCATTTAAACTTGCATATGAGGTAAGATAAATTAGATAATGATTACGCGGTGTTTAATTTGCAAATTCAGTCAGTGGGATAATATGAAAAGCGAATAGGCCATACTGAGTTGCGTAAGGTATGATCACATTCACGATCCATTTGGCGGATCGAAAATGATATCGAAAAGTTTCGCAATGCGTCTCTGACTTATATGGTGTAAGACGCGCCTTTTAAAAAAGATTAATCATTTGTAAATGCTCGATACAGATTTAGAATTTTTAAAATGTCAATCTATGATGACATTCGAAATAACTTTAATTTTACATCCAAGACCTCTGTTTGTTCATATCAGTTATATCTTTACAATCGATCCACCCATGGCTTTTTCTATTTTCTAAGATGTTCTCAAAGCCTAGTCCTGAAAATCATCGCCCAGACGTACCTGACCTGATCTTGTTGTTCACGGACGGAGAACCAAATCCTCCGGAACAAAAAGCCTTGGCAGATAATTATTCTAGAATACTGGGAAGAAACAACAGCATCACAATTATTGGCCTTGCGGGTGGCCAACCAGATTTGGTTTCAGAGTTCAAGCACCAAATCCAACAGTGGGTGACCGACCCTAACGAGGTGTACGAATCGGATTTAGAGAATTTGAACAAAGTCGTAAAAAACATCATTCATGCTGCGTGTGAAAGTCCTGGTAAGTTAAATGCAGAGGTCCGGAAGGCGTTTGTTTGTGCAATCAATTCTTTTTCAAACATGTTGCAATATACCTTTTGCGTTATATATACTTTATACCTATTTTTGTAGGGCTGTAGTTATAATTGGGGAGGGTTGTATTTGTATGTATTCATATGTTACATGCACGACAGGAAGCAGGACCAATCGCTTTTAGACAAGATCTATTTGGCATAAGACAAATATATATGACGATGCTATCCTGGATAAAAGCTTCCAGCTACAGCCTTACAATATTTTTATATTTTTATTAAAACTCCTTTACAATATTTTGCCTCCTTAAAACTACCTCTGCACGTGTAGTTTACAACAATTCAAACTTAATATGAGAATGCATCCTCTCTTCAGCGCCTTGTCCGTGTGGTAATATAACCGCACCGCACATTTATACTGAGGAAGGTAAAGAAGTCTCAGTTCAATGGGAGGACCCCACAGACAAATGCAAAACAGAAATCATTCACCACAAAACAATAACTCCACAAGGCTCGAAGTCTGGCCAGAGTTTTTCAGCTCGTCCGGATGCGTACCGTATTGAATACAGGTACCTCTACCAGGATGGAAAGGACAAGAGGGTAGAGAACTGTCATGTTTCAATAAATGTTACTGGTGAGTGAATATGTCGCATCGTATACCTTTGCGTAGTTGGGTGGAGACTGAACTTTGCATGGTTGTTTAAGAAGCATTTTAGGTAAGAAGCATTAAGAAAATATGTACTTAGAAAAACAACAGCTTGCAAACTCTAGATACTAGTTGAAAAATGACATTGAAATAGAAGTATCATTGATTTTACAACTCATTTTAACTCGAGAGACTTAACAAGATACTGCCCTATAGCTCGGAAGATACTTTTTCTTATATTTTATTAAGTTGTTTGTTATTGAATGCAGTAAGGCTTCTTTAGACGTTCATTCGACAGATTTCACACTGTACACCATAGTTGTGTCAAAATTACATTCCTGTCGATCAACGAGAATTTTTTTTTGCTAAATCATCGTCTCAAAAATGAAACGTCTTGATCTCTTACTTTAAAGGCTGCAAATGTACACCCAGTACACAAACCATATATGCCAACCTTGAAGGTAGTCAGACACGTGCCTACGCCAGCTGGTCGAAACCTGTACCAACTTTATGTCCGCTCAACGCAAGCAAAAGCAACCCCCCAAAAACCAATGGATGGTTTACTGTTGGGGAACACAGACTAACATACAACTATACACACGAAAGCGCCCAAAACAACTTCACGCTGAATTGTCGTGTTAACGTTGTTGTAAGACCAGGTAAGTAATATCTTCCTGTTTGGTCCCAATGGTGTTTTTGCATCCATTCCTACTAATGCTTATTTGTATAATGATTTTAGCTATAATATCAAGATGTAGTTTGTTTAAAGTACCAAAAATGTTGAATTGTACATAGTGATGATTAGAATTACATCATATATTTATAATGATGCGAAATGTCGACATCATATTTCTGAAATTGATGAAACTGGCACTCAGAAATACATATGATTATATAAACATGCATGACACTTGCAACAAAAATACCCGATATTACTGGATGTCGGATTTTTTAACCTTTCAGCTACTGTTATTGGTAAGCTGGTAAGGTCCGCTGGTTGCGACTCACGTGTAATTACCATGATACCTTTTATATTTAGCCTGCAAATGTCCTGAAACCCAAACAGTGAACGCTAGCTTAAAAACAGGCGAGACAAGAGCCTTGGTCAGCTGGTCAGAACCTAAACCAACTTCATGCCAGACTACACCAGGAACAAACAATCTTAAAAATACCACTGGACGGTTTTCCGTTGGAGAGCACAAGCTAACCTACACCTATGCACTTGAAACCACACAACTGGAATGTCATGTGAAGATTGTTGTATCGGGTATGTTATATACTTGCTATTTCACTCCATCCAAAATAGCTCTATTCTTGTTTTATGCAACCGCAAGTATGATTGACATCTTTGAACAAAGCAATTGAAACGGCTCAAATATTTAAAATTGTTTTGTTAAATTTGTAACTAATTATGCAGACTATAAGTATAACTATAAAATGAGATAAGGCTTGAATGTTTATTATGCGCTATTTTATAAAGAATATTTAGGGCTACAAAGTTTATTTCACAAAGTTTTATACGTTAAACATAATTAAAGTGGAAAATTTGCTACAAAGACATTAGCTATTCATTAGGCTCGATTTTCATATGTCCGAAATTCATCTGCTATGTTCTACGATTTCGAGTGATCAATGAAGTAGATATCTTTTTGGAAAGATATATCGGCGATTCAAGCGTTCTCGCGAAGTTTGCGCATTAAAATATACAGATTTTTATCCTGATGCCAGGTTGTTGCCATTCGACCTGTTGCTGAAGTTGCTGTTACATTTTATATAACGTTGTATCTTTATCTTATAGGAGAGTATTGTGGTAAAACGGCTTACAACCCAGCCACTCATGTTTGCTGTTGTGGAGAAGCTCGAGGAAAAACTCCTGATCACAAATGCTGTGGGACAAAGTTATACAATTCTAACGAAGAGATATGCTGCCAGGATTACAGCGTTGTGAGCCGTGAAGGACACTGCCCCAATTGAAAATATGAAATGGTTCTTCATTGTTTATATGACTTTACTTTTACTAATCTTTACTTATACTTAATTTGATTTTGACTATAATCGTGAATGTTTTTAACCATGTTAACACGTTAAGAAATAAATCCTCATCCTAAATGCTACACTGTTGTAATTCTCTCACAATCAATTTCACACAAGATCTGTAGATGATATAGTTACGCTGTACATATAGAAGCACTGTCGAGCTTTCTTTTGATCTTCGGTAACAGAAGTTGTGTTACCCAGCAATTTGAAAGTAAAACTGCGCTAAAAGCCAGAAATATTTAAATACCGATAATGCCAGAGTTTTATTCATTACTTTATTATATTATTCATTAAATTACACTTCAATTGCTCTACTATTTCGTAACAATACTGGCTGATAAGGCTCTTTCTTTCCACGGTTTTTCGATGGTTTTCAGAATCAGCCTCCTATGGAATTTTTACCATTGTTATTATTAAATTATTGTAATAATTTCGAAACTGGTTCGTCAGTAGTATCCACTGAACATTCAAAGAACTGAGATTGCTCATCTTAAGGAAGCTTGATCATCACAACTGTTTCCATTTCCCAGTCATCACTGGTCGAATCAAGTCCATTTTCTTTATCTCCTTCAAGCCTCCCGCCAGCGCTTTACGTGAAAAGTCTCTCCTGCGGTTGAAAATCGATAAAATTTTCTCCGCTTTCGACCGACTGTCATGGTAGATACAAATGTTTCCTCTTATATCTTCTCTAACCTCACTGTCGATTTCAAGGAGGCCAGCAAGACTGTCCCAGTGAACAGAAACTCGTTGACTTAGTCTGCACATTTCCCGGGGGGAGAGAGGCTCAACGTTTTTCTCTGGAGTAATTTCAAATTGTTCCGTTCCTACGACTCCAGACTTTTCATTTCGCGTTGATACAATTTCAACCGCTTCGTTTTCACCACCGGACCCAATTTCCTGTTTTAGAGAAGATTCTTTTAATATCCAAGCCAGAATGATTAAATGAAGGTGGTAATTGAGCGTAGTAATTTGATTACATAGTTTGTGTAATTTTTGGACTATTTTACCGGCGACGTCGCGCACCTTGATTTAGGGACCTTAAGTTTTTGTTGTTTATCACTATAGGGCCTAATTTAAGGTAGAGCTTGCTGCGTTCTGAAATGCAGACGTTCCACACAGCACGTTAAAATCGACGTGTTACTGTTGTAAACAGAACGTAGACGACGTCTAAAACTCCCAAAGGTCTTTTAATTATTTATTTATTTTCAATCAGCTACTTACTGTATTGACAGCCGCCGTAGTCGTGTTCCCATCCTGCATGTTTAAGATCCGTATTCAGATACGTACGTTACAGTATATACGCGCGTTCTATCATTATATTATTAGCAAGGTAAGGCAATTGAGTTGTTGTTTATAGAAGCATGGTAAAAAAATAAAGACTTGAACAGAACTTAATTAAAGTGTGATATGATTACTTTAATAGAAATTAACCTTTACCTGCAAAGGAAGCAGTTCCCTTCTCAAGTCGCCTAGTCCCATTTCTTCGAAACACTTTTCAAGTATATGTAGCCAAAAATGATCGTTGCTATTAAAATCATCCAGAATTTTCTTCGCTTTAGAAGTAAAATCCGGGTACATTGTGTAATTGTTTCTGACCTCCTCGCGTTCTGCGTAAGGAATATCCATAAGCCCGGCAAGGTAATCCCAATCCCTTCCAATTATACGGCTTATCCGTTCTTTTGTGTTCCGGTGTACAGCTATAGAAGAGAAAAATACATTTCTGTTTTCGTAAGGAATTTTCGTTAATGCACGTACGACATTCAAGAGTACTGATACTGAAGAGTTTTGTGAACCGGGAAAGGTTTAGGACTGTGCCTTTGTGTGGCCTGATAAGCTGCGTTTATACGTATACACTACAACGGTCAAATTTTCAACAACGGTTTAACGACGGTCAAATTTTCCGCGCAAAGCGGCATTGTAGACTTTCCGTGCAGGATTGTCTTATACTGCACGCCTACAAACCAATCAAATTGCGTGTTTCATTGTAGTTATTATATAACGTTGTTTGTCTGTGCATGAACTTAACAGTATGATCCATACTAGTATTACCACTTTTCGGCGAGTTTTGGGTCTTGTTCGAAGTATTTTCTCAATTATTTTGGTTATCCGATCAGCAACAAGAACTGAAGACAGTGTGAACGTGGCACATATTACCTAGACTTGTCCTAGACCTGAACCAGCCCAGACCTCTAGTTATAGCTAGCTATAGATCTCTGGCTATAGATTGGGCTGCAATAAATTGTGAAACGGTGAGTACAGTGGGAGTCAAGAAGAGCTCAAGAAGAGTTTTTTGATTATCTTCGGTTTCACTTTTTTCAGTCAAAAGCTTAAAACCTTCTAATAAGTTGTTCTATAAGTAATTTTACGCCAGAAAAAAACACATCAAATAATGCATCAGTACCCAATCGTTGATTTCATAAGTCTCATTTTAACGATTAGGGCTTAAATAGGACTTTCATGTACTTACCACTAGTCAGCATCCTTATGGTTCACAATTTTCAGTGTTCCGCTTCCACACACAATCACGCTATACGCAATATACACGCGTATTTATTGCAATAAATTAACCAATCACATTATTGATTATGAATGACCTCATCTTTTTAATTGTGAGAATTCGACCGTCGTGGATTCCCTTCACTAGTCCACTTCCTGTCCTCCACTTCCCAGTCCACTTCCTATCCTCCACTTCCCAGTCCACTTCCTGTCCTCCACTTCCCAGTACACTTCCTATCCTCCGTAACCCAAAACTTTGGTACAAATAACCCAAAGCCTTGGTTGCTCATAACCCAAAGCCTTGGTTGAGCCGACTAAAAGGTTTATCTGTGCGCCCGTCTTTTATAGCCCAGTATTGTTATATGTTAATCTATAATTATTATTATCCAATAAGGGTTCAGGGATTGTAAATGGGGCGGAATTTTTCGATATTCTATTCAATTGTGAGACAATTGCATTGACATCACTGGTCAAAATGAAAGTTTATCCTCAATCCACTTCCTGTTCTCTCCTTAACCCAAAATTTTGGGCACAAACAACCCAAATCCTTGGTCTCTCATAACCCAAAGCCTTGGTTGAGCCGTCTACAAAGTTTGTTTGTGCGCGCCGTCTTATACAGGGTGAGCATCAAACTATGTTATTTTATAATTAACACTTATTTACTGCGAACTAAGGAAACATTATGTTTTGTGGACCCGAGACCTTTCGATATTTCACGAGGCGAAGCCGAGTGAAATATCGATGTTTGAGGGTCCACAAAACACAATGTTTTCTGAGTTTTCGGTAAATACGTTTTCTATTATATAGTACTTGTCAAAGAAAAACCAAACAACGAAATATCTTTTCATAAAAGACATAAATTCAAATGGATAAAAGTTGTTATTTCCATGAGATAAACCGTTATCTCATTCTGCAGGGGGTCGCGCTGGCGACATTTTAAATTTCGTAACTCTCGCGTGATTCGCTCTCGACCAATGAAACGCTACGAAAACAAAGCTTTGACAAGTGGTATATAATAATTATATACTATTATTAGCATTAATTTGGTTTGCATAATTGCTGTGATTACACGCATCAGTTCTATGCTCGTGTCGAAATACACTCCAAATTTGAATTCAATGTGGTGGCTCAGCCGGTCAAAAATATTGCAGGAAAGCGCATAATATTGTCTGGAGTGGGCAGCAGGAGTGAATTGAAATTAATACGATATACTAGAAGATGGGAGATGTTGTCTGCGTTTCTGCGACAGTTTAGCGAATTTAAAATGCACGAAATCTACGAAGCGCACGTGATATGAAAACTGCTACTAATGTTAGGATACCAAAATTAATTTCTTTTGCATACGGCTCTGACTTTCTTTATCAAAGAGCCTATAATTTCCATCCAGGGAAACTGTGGGAGTTAGAGCACTAGAGGTGAATCTTAAGCTCACTTTTATGTGGCGAGAACGAGCCGACGCCGAGAATAAGTGACGTTCAATATCATTCAAACAAGAATAAGTTCGACGAGAGGGATATAGGAATGTCAGGTTCATTCGGTGAGTCAGGACGTTGGCCTCTTGCCTTAGTCTGTTAATCATGAGTAACAGGTTTAGGATATTTACAGTCGGTAATACTCACTCATTTGCAGTTGAACTACAAGCACGTACAGTACAATACCCTGTGGTTATAAGTTGAATGTATATATAAATATCACTGTTGTATTATAAAGTAGTTAATAAGTTGCTAATATGGTAGTTAATTGTGCTTCAGTTTAGGATCATAAGAAAGGTATATTGCCGGCTATATCATGCAGTAAAAGCTATACGTATATAATATAGGCGATAGCTAACAACATTAGCGGTCCCAGACAATAGGGAGGTTAAGATCGACTTCCGCTACAAGTACCGATACCAATATTCATTCACGCGCATGCGCAGACGTAACAATCGTCCAAAATGTGATAACACCGGAAGTCGCGAGTACCGTTTTGGGGCTGAAAATTGAAGTGGATAGATAGGGGAAGTACCGAATTATATTTACTGTATTATTGTCATTTCCTGCAGTTTTTTCCACTAATATTATTTAGTTTTTAGTTGTGTAATGTTTCTGCTTTGTTTGTTGAGACTTAAGGATTGTGATTGGAGTTTTTGATGTGAATACAGCCGCTATACTCCGCCGTGTTTATTTACTTCTTACGGAAGTCACAATCTTAACGCTTTAAAGTTTCCGCGCTGCCAAACAGTAATACGTCATGTATTTTTGTATCGGTACTGGTAGTGGAAGTAGATCTTAACCTCCCTAATGACGTCGTCCTAGACGGTTTAACATCTCAATCCCATTAGTCAGTCTGCTTCTATTGATAAGCAAGTGAACATAATAATTACACATCTGGCTGTACGACGCGACCTATTGACCCGTTGTTTCAAATGCATGGCCGATGCAACGTGCACAGCAACAAAGAGTCAAAGACGGACCTGCATGCATTATTCATCATAATTTATTCCAAATATTTCTCTTAATATAGCCATAACGAACCGAACATCTTTGTACAGGTGGAAAAGTGATAAGTGTTCTTCGTTCAATATCCTGAAAACCCTCTCATTATCACGTGGCTTTCAACTGGACATTAGCTAAGATGGAAAATTCGTAGTTATTTGCTTGATTTTTTTGTAAATGTACCTTGATAATTCAGTGAAACATATAATACTGTTGTGGTTTGTAAACATTCAACTTCGAGCTCTAAACCCGTTTGTAATATAGGCTGTATAGCTACTCGCCGTATATTTAACAGTTATTCTGCGAACTCGAGTCGTATATGAATTGATAGCTGACTATCGGCCATATACGACGAGAGTGAGCGGAATAACTGTTTTATTATATACACAAACTTTGTCGCCCTTTGGGTGCATTTTGGTGTGCCATTATCAACTAAAGCTTGGATTTCTATTTCACTCAACTCCCCAAATCTTTCAGCCATTTTGTTTACTTTCTCGACTAGACAGATACGAGCTAATATCTGTCTAGTAGCCAACCAATGAAATTGCAGCATACCTCATATATATCTGGCGCTTGTGTATATAATAATAGCAATTATGGTTACGTGTAAAAAAATTACTTTCTAAATCGTTCAGTTTTACTGAAAGTTAGAATGTCGATTATTCTCAACCATGTTTCGGAATAAAACACGATGGTAAAGCTGTAGAAGTGTGCGCGTGGGCTTGGATAAAATTTTACGTGAAGTTATATGACTGTTTCGAATGTTGAGATCATATCAAACAGTTAACCACACAAAAGGTATGTCATTACGTGGAAAACTTCTTACATACTACCATCATTCGATCTTTCTTCAGAGAAGGTTGATTCGATTTCGTTTTTCAACCACAAAGTCTTGGTAATGGAAAGCTTGACCTAAGAATGCCGTATCACCGCGACTTTGAACTGTTCGAAATAATTATACCTTCATTTATTCTGGAGAGGCTGATGGAAGAGCATAGTCTAAGGTGCTGTAATCTAACTTAACAGATGACTTGATAATTACATGACTTTCCATTTTCCAGTGATAACTGGTCGAATCACGTCTAATTTCCTGATTCCTTTCAAGCATTCTACCAGCTTCTTACGGGAGAAGTCTTTCTTGCGGTTGAAAATAGATAAGATTTTCTCAGCTCGTGAACGATGGTCGCTGTAAATGGCAACGTTGTATCTGATGTCATCTCTTTCTTCCTTGGTGATGTCCATGAGGCCAGCAAGACTGTCCCAGTCAACTCCAACGCATCGACTTAACCTGTACATTTCACGAGGGGAGAGAGGCTTAACGTCTTCCTCTGGAAGGATTTCAGTTTCTAGTTCTTGAATTCCATTGCATTCTGGAATTTCAGTTTGCAATAATTCAATTTCGTCCTTCTGACATACATCATTACGAGTTACATCATCCTGTTAATAACAAAGATGTTATTCAATGTCCACACCGTCACCATATCGGCAGCCGAATAGAGATCGAATTGTTTAAAATAAAATAAATGAATTCAATAGGGGCACTCTGTATACTATACGATTTATACAATCGAGAAGATATGACATCAGCGCCTGTAGCGACGACAAATAGCCTCGCTATCTCGTGTCCTAGTTCAACAAATAAACTCTTGGAGCATTCCTTTCAGTATAATATTGCTTTTTTCTAGCAGCCTTATGATAAGATAAGTTATCTTCGTCACTCGCAATTCGAGCCTCTTCGCCTTGCGACATAAAATAAAATAATTGTGCTCCCGAACTGCCGTTTGTAATACAACGCGCTAATATCGCATATCATTAACATTCCAAAAGTTGCTGATGGAATGTGTTGCTGCGCGGAATATATGCGCAGAACAGACTTTACCTCATCTTTAAAGGCCAGGTTACACGATGCAATTTTTCTTTCAACTTGCAATGTAATTCTACTTTTTAACAGGGGCCGCGAAACCGGGTTTGTTCTGAGGCACGATACCCCCGCTTTTTAGAAAATAAAAAAATGTGCGCCTTTCTTAAGAAAACTTGCCCTTCTTTGAGTCATTAAATGTGCGTTATTGTTAACAAAAAAAGGGAAAAGGACTACAGGAGTACATGATCTCAGACAAATTAGAGATTTGTATGTAGCGTTTCTAAACGCTTTCGCGACCCTTGACTTTTAAAAGATGTAAATTAGTGAGGAGTCTTCAAAATGTAAGTGTCACAAACGCCATGAATTGTAATAAAAACAAAAGTTCGGTAGTTGCGAAATTTACATGTCACAAAGGAACATTGCATTGCAAGTTTCAAGAAAAATTACCCCGTGTAAAAGGGCCTAAAGCTGGGAAGAAGGCAGGAATTATTTAATTCGCAAATAAATACCTCGTCTTTCATAGGCTGTAATTTCTTTAATAAATCATGCCTTCCCAATTCATCAGCGCATTTTTCAAGAATATCTCGACCGAAGCAATCGCTGCCATTGAAATGTTCAAGAACTTCTTCCGCTTTGGAAGGAGAATCAGGGTATTTGGTGAAGTTGGTTCTAATCTCTTCACGTTTTTCATATGGAATATCCAGGAGCCCGGCAAGACTGTCCCAATCAATTGCAACCATACGGCTCACCCTCGTTATTTCTATTGTTGTGAGTTTTGTGTTCCGGCGTACAACTAGAAGAGGAAGAAGTGAAATATCTGGAGCTGAAAGACGATGTAGATAAACTTGATGTAGATAAACTTGATGTAGATAAACTTCGCGCGTGCTGATAGGTCTAGAAGAGTGTTTCTATTTAGGAAAGAGAAAAACATTTTCCGTGTTTCTTTACAGTTACAGAAACACGCGTGGGAGTTTGGGAGAACGAGAAATAATCCGTGAGAAAACGAGCCCGTATTATTTCTCGTTCCCAAACCCCCATGCATGCGTGTTTCTAAAACTGTATATAGAAACACGGAAAATGTTTTCTATTTATACTTTAGATAAGATCACCAAAGACACATATTTTCATTGGGCAGTACCTTACTTATTGAGGCATATACCGCAATTTTTTTGTTGCTATCGTGACAAAACTAAACATTCGCTTGACGCGAAAGGGTTGTGAAGCAGCAAAGTTGGCAAAAAACCTTCAAAAATACCTTGTGTCTCGCGTTCTGGTTTTGTCGATTGTACTGAAAATAAACGTGTAGAATGTTAGTAGAATAAACTAAAAAATTTCAACCCAATGCAATTTAGGAGGAATATATAAAAGGCTGCAAAATAGCACACAAAATTTAGTGTAATACTAAATACCAAATACAGATTCAAAACACAAGTACACACAACACAGGAAATAGTTTTATAACTTACCATAATCTTTCTCGTCTTCATTTTTATCTTGCTCTATTTCATGTATATTTAGTTTCCACAGAAACCTTCTTTCATCTTCGTGATCTACTTCGCAAATATTCACAGTTCCGCTTGCAGGCTTAGCTATGGCACTTCCCTTGAAATTATCGATTACAAAGCCCACGGAATCCAGCTCAGGTTGGTCGACTTTAACCAGAATACACTGAGTGTTGATCTCGACACCAGGAAAATTCAAACTCACCTGAAGAGGGTGGTCTATTTCGACACGCTTCAACATTCCCTTGTCACTTCTAACGTAACCTTCTTTGAGATGATCTTTTAGTTGCTTTATCTCGTTTTCTTCATATTCATCGACAAATTCGCTCACCACGACGACCGAAATGTCTATTTTATCCATTGGAGGTTGTCTTCGATAGAAGGCATACGCACAAGAGGTAAACGAATGATTAAGATGGCTCAAAATTCGAGCCAAGACCCCGCGCATTGCTAAAATAAAAGCATAGAAACAGAAGCCGTTAATTTTCGCAGTTACGACCCCTTTTGTCATGTCCTCTTCAATTTCATTCGTCACCAGTTCCCAAACGACCCTCCGATAATCCGGGTTGTAGGAACCGTGCAGGATGAAGAGTTCAGAGTCAGCTAAAGTATTTTCGAAGCTAATTGTGAGATCTGCTGGTCTCACAAACTTCAAACCATCTGGAAGAAGTTCAACCACTCGCGGTGAACCAACAACGAGGCCCAGGTCAAGCAGTGTTTTGATCGCCAAATTATTATCGTCTTTTATCAAAGTGATTTCTGTATCTTCAGCAAGACATCCAGGGGCAAGATTTAATATTATGTCATCGACTTGGAGAATACCCCCGTGATCTGGACGCAGTGTATCAGCTGGAATGAGAGAAGTTGTACATGCAATATTACTATACGTCTGTAATACAAAATCTGAGATGACTGAATATGTACAATTTATGCTGTTGATATTTGCGATAACTAAATAGTTCTCAGCAAAAGTAATTGGGGACAAACCTTGCCCATCGTTAAAGTTATTCAGAATAACTTCTTCTAAACTCGGGTTAGTTTGAATATAAATATGCAGTGCAAAAGAACTTAATTAGGTAATCAATTTTCTTTACAAAATACAAGGGATGGAGTGCCCTAAAAAAACTTGTGATCTTCGGTAAAGCGTCGACGTGCTCGGTAAACAGAGGGAAGATCAGGGGCGTTCGGTGCAAGAGGCCTAGGAGGGGGAAAGGGGGCGCGGCCACTCCTACCTCTGGGGATATTTGAAGCTAAAAAGGTGGGCAAATTTTGATCGAATTCTACAAGCATTCGAGCAATTCTTTCTGAAGTCTGGTAATTTATACTCGCACTGCTCGTCTTCCTCCCAAAAACAATTTGTCGCACTCAATGTTCGAACGTGAGCCTCACCTAGCTATTACCACGCCTCGAAAGAATCTTGCTCGAAGAACTAACCTTATTCACTTTTTTACCAAAATATCATTATTTTATTCATTTACAAAAAAATAATATCGTACTTCCACTGGGGCGCTTCATCAAACTTGACTGCTCTTCCGACTTCTGATGTAAATCACATTTGATTCCATATCGTATTGATTTGCGCTTTGGCTAAAAAAGTTTAAAAAAACCCAAAACACAGTTTTTACACGTTATTATAACAAAAAAGTCTTAAAGCACATTTCCCACATCATAATTGAGATTTCCAGTTGCGGAAATGGAAGCTTTTAAAAATATTCTTGATAAATTACGAAACTTCCCGCTGTAAAAGTAATTTCATTGACCATGCAATAGCTTTTACATATAAAATTTATAGCAATTCTTTTTGTTAGACGTAACACAAATTTGGCTGATTCATTGAACAAAATATCAATGGTTAATTGAAAAACCAGGAAGTTTGCCAACATCCCTGTGCCCTGATGGCTGAATACCCTGCTAAATATTTTATACCTGGTCTTCAGAAAAGTTGTAATCATAACGAACAGGACGTGTCGTTTGTACGTGGCCTGTTGGATAAGGTTCAGGATAGTGTCTTTCACAGTCATCGTTTATTTCTTCCTAAGATTACAAAGTACAAAAGAGGTGCTAACAGTGGCGTACAGGAGACGATAATTGGGGGGGGGGGGGGAAACGCATATTCATATATTCATGTTAACAGACTTGTAAAGACAATCGATTTGATCAAATGAAAGGAAATTAATCTTGTATAACATGAATACATGGATATGTGCCCCCCCCTAATTATCCATCCATCCCCTAATTATTGTGTCTCGTACGTCTCGTATGTCTAACTTACGTTGGAAGTCGAAGGCCTGATGTTTTCGTCGTCGCGTTTCATGGTCGGTCTACGTTTGTGTCGATATATCAACACAGCAACAAAAAACACAAAGACTGCTCCAGCAGCAACACAAACAATTTTCCAATTAAATCTGGACTTGCGATTTTCCCCTGTTTCTTCTGAAAAGCAAAGAATCCCATGCCTTAACTAAATAATATCCCAATTGACCTAACCTTGATAAATATGCAAGCTAAGACTACGTGCACATCGGTAACGTTTTCCAGCGTTTTCATGTTCGTTTTACCGCCAAAACGGTTTCAAACACTGTCAATTTAGGATCGATTGAAGTTGAAGGTAATTTAACATAATATTGAGCATATTTTCCCTTGGATCGTGGTGTGGACAACGCGTCAAAGCAATAAAATAGATAAAACGATTTTTAAAACGCTCGGAAACGACGCTCGTGTGTACATAACTTTCTCTTTATCAAATTAAATATATCATTCCCAAATAATTTCTGTTTTATTAAGTTTTTATTCTGCCAAGGGCTTATAAAGCCATCATAACGTATAAAACGCGAAAAAAATAGTACCAATGCAAATGGGTACCTGGCATTTCTTCTTCCCCAAGTCTGGTAGGATAGTGCGGGCGAGAGTGATTTCTTGAACATGCTGTTAAAAATTATAAACTGGTAAAGTTATATGAATCAATTGCAAATCTGAACCCTGTACATTAACCATACCTTTCGTTTCAACCGATGTTGGTGCTGCTTTTTCTACAATCAATCAATCAAAGAAACACAAGTTCAATTTTCAGTTATTCGCACTTCTGTTTAATTTACTAAGATGCATGGGTATTACTTTGAAAGGAGAAGATGGATGTTTACCAACACCTCCTATTTATGTAATAAATGTTTTCTCTTTCTGTTTTTCCTAGCAAATAGCTGAGGTAAAGACAGCACAGGGGTAAAAACAGCACAGCAAAGGGATTACAGGCATATAGCTGTATAACATTTTATACCTATCATGGATGAACGATGATATGCGGTTCTAGATGAAATGACATTCGAAACCGTCTTTGTGGGCCTCCAGCGAACAACGGTACTTAAAACGGGTTTTTTCAAGGGTTCTATAAAAAATACAAAGCAATTCGAGTTATTAAACACAAAAGAGACTAAATTCTTGTGAGGATTCAACTTTACTCCAAAGCCTATAACAAAATGTTCAACCATGCAAAGGCATCTTCTAGAAATGTCAAAGGCGATCTTTTCCTACATGGCCGTTCAATAATTTTTTCAGTAGTATACTCAGTATATGCCTTACTATATGCTTCAATATGCCTTACTATAATATTTCACATTTATTCTCAGTCATCCTCGAGCTTGTAAATATTAATACTGGTTTGACAATGACTGGTTTAAAATATAGACGAAATATAACCGAAAATTTTTTGTCTTGTTTTTTTCAGTTTACAAGATTTTGTTTTCGGATCGTGTTTCTTTCTTATAAGATTCACCTGCTCTAAAACATTCCACTCCAGCGTCTTCGAAATGAAAACAGTTGTGTTTTCCCACTCTTGCATGAAGGCAATTCGTCAATCTTTTCTCTTTTCCGGAACAATCGACATCGTCCAACCATATTTTTCCAGAACCATCCGGAACGAGGGCTCCGTGAAGGGCTTTTACGGCATCTTGATAACCCAGTTGACGACACACAACTCTTGCATCGTTCAAGTCCCATCCATCGTCACAAATCGTTCCCCATTGACCATTAAGTGACACTTCGACACGCCCTGTTCCAATGTTACTCAACGGTCCTTGCAACCTCACAGATCCAGTGGATATCTCTAGTGGAACGTTTAAAATATTGAATCATACATGTTAACTGGATAGCTATAAAACTATAATCATAAAAAGAAGTACTACTAGCAGTAATCACAGATTAGTGATGTGTGTTTATTTCGGTTACCGATCATTAACAAAAATGTTAACATTATAACGTCACAACGTATGTGATTACCCGCAAAATGAGTAATTTAACAACAGTGATGGCTCATATGCTTTAATCATTTTAAATAACAACAAAATGTCAAAATAGAGCGAGCACATGGTCTCCAGTTACTATGACGACATATATGAGAACGAGGCAAATCTGAGATCGCAAATTTCGATATGACACGGCTAGGAAGCATTCTCCTTCGTCGAACGCAACAAGAGTGCAGAAGTACTACAGCCTTAACGTTTGCGCTTGTTTTTCGCTTGTTTGCGCGTTTTACAACTATACGCTTAACTATGCGCTTGGTATTCCTGAAGCATATTTTGATCATGTATATTTAAACGTCGGCAGATCGCGTCATAATAAACTCCCTATAGTAGTATACAGAAAGGAGTATGAATACCGACACTTCAGAGACTTTCAAATATCGCATTCTTTTTTGGAAATACTATCTTGTATTCATTCGTATAAATTAGAATCTTTACTTCATTGTATTTCCAGGGATGTCAATCATCCTGACTAATAGCCTACTTTCTTTTGCGTTACAGATATTCGAGCTCCTATATAACAATGTTACATAAAAAAATAAAACTATGCAAATTACCATTATTATCATTCTGGAAAGTCTTTGTCGACACTCCAAACGATAAAATAAACAGCAGTACAACGATTCCGAGCGGGCTGAATTTCCACTTCATTCTGTTTCGCTCACCGAGAAATTGATACTAAGAGATTTCTACAGTGAAAAAAAGTAGTACTTAGGTGGCAAATAAACGCATTAAACTTCAGGAAAGTTTATAGGATAAAATCGAGAGAAGGAATTACAAATGATTGATGGGTTTTTAGACTTTGGGAATAAACATCAGGCTAAGCGTGTTTTCATGTCAATCGGTACTTGATTAACATTATGTAAAAATTAACATAATATATCGTATTCTATAGGTTTTGATTGTATAAGCCTGTAAAATCACTTTGCGTTGTATGCTTTGAGAACGCTTATTATAGCCTTCAATCAAACGCATTAATCAAACGCATTTTCCCTTTTCTACTTAATGAAGGTAATCATCTCGAAGGCGTGCGTCACCGCACGTCACGGTTTAGCCTGCGTCGCCAAAGCCATTCGGACTTAATCAGATATACGGAGTTTTGACTCGCTGGAGTGGCAGCATTGCATTCAATGAAAAAGTTCTTATCAGAAATTTGACCTTTGGCCTTCTATTGATATTGTTTTAACAGATATTCTAACAACGCAATTCATAGCTTAGAATACTTTCCCCTCGAAATACTACCACTGTAAATTGAATGAAACAATAATGAATATACTACATATTGCATTGTGTATAATACGGAATTGGGAACAACTTATAAAAATGCCCTAAGTAAAGATCCTTGCACACCAACCCTAAGTAAAATTTTTCGAATTTTTCAATGTCTGTGATTTGAAATCCAATACGCGATGAAATTGCTTACTATATGAAATGTAGTTTTAAATTCTTTCTCAGAAATCGAAACTACATTGGTTTTTATGTCATTCAAGGAGATACTTCATACATACATACGTAAGAAACAATAAATAGTGTGTATTCGTAAAACAAAACCAACACAAACTCTGCGCAATATATCATAAGATAGCAAGCATTAGAATCGTTTAAGCCTATTATTTCTACATATACACGCACAAATTTGCGTAGTTCAAACAATCACGACAGGGAAATATGTCAATAAAAAGGTATTCAGACTACTGATTTAAATCACTAAGGAAAAACAGAAATCAAAATTGTACAAGGAATCCTAGATGCAGTGAGGAACTAGCCAGCTTGATAATTAGGGGGGTTATGCAACGTTCATGTCCCTCAATATTTTTTCCTTTTTAAATCTATCATTCTTACGATATAGAAGAGAAGTTATACCACTGCCTAGGTTTCCTAAGCCATAATTGAATGAATGAAAGAGTACATGCAAAAATAAAGTATCACAATTCCTATACAATGCATGACTTTGTAACAACACTTATTTACGACGCTGCGTTCTTTGAAACTGAATTGCGCAAATTGCTGGTATTATGCCAATTTGAACACGTTTCGAAAGGGAAACGTTTAAACAGTGGTAGAACTGTGCGCAGTGCGCTGTGCTCAATTGGATAAAATTAAACAAGCGTAACATATGGTTAGAAACATCGTATTTCAGACTTGTGGACATGCATGTACGCAATCACAACATCATTTATATGCATAAATATTTACTAAAGGAAAACATACCCTTTGATGAACTGCTTTATTATCTGTCTTAAAGGACAGCGCTCCTGTAATCGCTAATAACAAAGGCGTTAGCTGGGTTTAGAACAATAATTATCGCTAAATATGTAAACGAACGTTCCCGTTTGTACAATATCTGAAACATGAGATTTAACTCTTGTTTTATATCACTTCTATATATAAACCCTAAACGGAAGTCAAAGAAAACAATGTACATTATGGATAATGACGTAACAAGCCGTGACGCCGTCAAGGAAATCTGGTCCTAATACTAATAGTGACGGCGCGAAACTTTGAATTTTGATTTTCTCTTCTTTCCTGCTTCCCTTAATTAACCTCCCTGTCAGTTATGAAAGCAACCGTCAAATAAAATCTCCCATGCACTGCAAGAAAGAGACGAATAAAGATTAAATATGAGGTTTATTCGGTCAATCAGGTTTGTTGGACTCTTGCAATAATTAGCTATCCCAAAAAAATCATGCGGTGTATAAAAAATGCATCTTTTGTGTTCGAATATAGAAAGCAATTATCATGAATATTTAGTGTTTGCGTTTTTTCTGACACAAACCGTATGTCTGCTATCTTCAGTGTTGTAGCCAGCCTGACAATTTAGACCCGCTATATGCAAAAAAGTCCGCATTGTCATTATCCATTTCTTTAGAAACTTATTGTTTTTAGAGTCAACGAATATCGAAATATATTAGCATAGCATGACTAAATCGTCCGGCCTGGCTACACTACAAACTATCCTGTGTGAAAGGTTTACGATATTTATAGTGCAATATTCGTCCATTTCTAGTTGAACTACAGTACACGTACTATTATACACTTTGATTACAAATCGAAGGTATATATCAATATGTAAATATATCGTTGAACAATTATTGTTCAGTGCTATAAAAAGAACTTTCTAAATCACTCAGTTTTACTGAAAGTTAGAAGTGCATTCATTCTCAAACATGTTTCAGTAGAAAACATGTGGATAAAATTGTAAAAATGTGCCGATGTGCTTCGATAAAATTTACGTGAAAGTCATAATATTATGAATGATTCGATTGCTGAGATCATATGAAACTGTAATCACACAAAGGGTATGTGATTAAGTGGGAAACTTCTTACATACCATCATTCTTTCTTCAGAGAATGTTGATTTGATTTCGGTTTTCAACCAGAAAGTCTTGGTGATATAAATCTTGACATATGAAATATGAATGCCGTATCGTCGGGACTTTGAACTGTTCGAGATAATTATACCTTTATTTATTCTGGAGAGGCTGATGGAAGAGCATAGTCAATGGTGGTGTAATCCAACTTAACAGATGACATGATAATTACATGACTTTCCATTTTCCAGTGATAATTGGTCGAATCACGTCTAATTTCCTGATTTCTTTCAAGCATTCTACCAGCTTCTTACGCGAGAAGTCTCTCTTGCGGTTGAAAATAGATAAGATTTTCTCAGCTCGTGAACGATGATCGCTGTAAACAGCAAAGTTGTATCTGATGTCATCTCTTTCTTCCTTGGCGATGTCCATGAGGCCAGCAAGACTGTCCCAGTCAACTCCAACGCATCGACTTAACCTGTACATTTCACGAGGGGAGAGAGGCTGAACGTTTTCCTCCGGGGAGTTCTCGAGTCGTGTTATTAACTTTTTAATTTCTTCATTATCAGCCTCTTTGATTTGCGATGATGGAATTCGTTTCTTCCATCTAACAATCCCGGTGCGTTTATTCTGTATAAGAGATTTTCCAAAATCCAAGTCAGACGTCAAGGCTAAGGTAGTTAGAATCTACGTATTTAAAAGGTAGGTATATTTAAACCTAGAATCAGCAAGTCTGTGCCCAGTCAAGATAAAGCATATAAACCGCTAACATGCACTAGGTGAAGCTTGGAAGAAGGCAGATATTGTTTTATTAGCAGGCTATTAGTTTGAAGGCCAGGTTACACGATGCAATTTTCTTTCAACTTGCAACTTGGGTTTGTTCTGAGGCACGATGCCCCCCGCTTTTTAGAAAATAACACTGAAAATATGCGCCTTTTCTTAAACGAACTTCCCTTCTTTGAGTCATTAAATGTGCGTTATTGTTAACAAAAAAAGGAAAAAGGACTACAGGAGTACATGATCTGAGACAAATTAGAGATTTGTATGTAGCGAAATGTTGCATTGCAGTTTTAATTAATAATTACGTAAAGTAATTCAGATGATTATATAGTTCTATACGAGAATCCCCCCCCCACACTTTCTAAACACTTTCGCGACCCTTGACTTTTAAGAGATGTAAATTGGTGAGGATGTTCAAAATGTAAGTGTCACAAACGATATGAAGTGTAATAAAGACTAAAGTTCGGTAATTGCGGAAATTACATCTCACAAAAGAAGAATTGCATTGCAGTTGCAAGAAAAATTGAACCGTGTAAAAGGGCCTAAAGCTGGGAGGAAGGCAGGTATTATTTAATTCGCAATAAATACCTCGTCCTTCATAGGCTGTAATTTCTTTAATAAATCATGCCTTCCCAATTCATCAACGCATTTTTCAAGAATATCTCGACCAAAGCAATCACTGCCATTGAAATGTTCAAGAACTTCTTCCGCTTTGGAAGGAGAATCAGGGTATTTGGTGAAGTTGGTTCTAATCTCTTCACGTTTTTCATACGGAATATCCATGAGCCCGGCAAGACTGTCCCAATCCATCGCAACCATACGGCTCACCCTCGTTATTTCTATTGTTGTGAGTTTTGTGTTCCGGCGTACAACTAGAAGAGGAAGGAGTGAAGTATTTCGAGCTGAAATACGATGTAGCTGAATTTCGCCTTTCATTCGCTTTGCTGATACGTGTCCACGTCGAACTTTAACATACTGGCGAGGTATCATGCATTATACTGACAATATAATATAACATTTACAGTCCGCGCGTGCTGATAGATCGAGAAGCGCGTTTCTATTTAAGAAAGAGAAAAACATTTTCCGTGTTTCTATACATGCGGTTATAGAAACACGCATTGGAGTTTGGGAGAACGAGAAATAATCCGTGAGAAAACGAGCCCGTATTATTTCTTGTTCTCCCAAACCCCCATGCACGCGTGTTTCTAAAACTGTATATATATAGAAACACAGAAAACATTTCTTAGATAAGATCAGCACAGACACATATTTTCATTGGGCAATGCCCTTACTTATTTAGGCAATACTGCAATTTTTTGTTGCTATATATATATTATATTGTACATAAAAGCAAATTGTTCAGTTCCACAGCTATAAGTAAAACAAAAATTACAAAAAATACAAAAGTGTTTGAAAGAAATTTTCCGATAAATTTTTCAAATAAATAAACATAAAAAATATATACCTTCCGTTTCAGCGGATTCGCCTGAAATAAATTGAAATCAAAATTAAAATGGAATTCCACAGGTCCAACATATATAGATTAATCTTTATGAAACCACAAAAATATTTTTCTCGATAAATATGCAGTTACAGAACAATGATGCGATAAAAATGCTCTTGCATTATTATAACGAAAAATTGTTCTATAGGTCAATTAGCTTGTCTATAGCTAGATTTTTCTTTTAAGAATTATACTACTCGAAATTACATGCAGGACTAGAAATACATGCATGCAGCAACCCCTCGCCATTTTAAATGAAGCAAAATATTTCGTGCGCTAGTCAGCGCTACCTAGACCTAACTTTCTACGCTAATATTATGAAATAACTCGTGCAAATTTTTCGGAAACAAAGACAGTCGTAAAGGTGAACAGAAATCACCTGTTTGCCTGCTGCATTACGTTGCAGTTTAAGTGAGTGTTAAACTTTTCTATAGCTTAACCTTCAAAACATCAAAACAGCACAAATAATTATAATAACCATACAAGCACTAAACGTCGAATGTTGTTTTTCGATTATTTATTTTATTCAATGATTTAGCGACTTTATAAGCTGCAAAGTGATATTTGTTTTATCAAAACTCTGAAGTACACTTTTGAGAACTCTTTTTAAAGTTTAAGCGATGATGTAAAGCCTTAAACGGTCGGTCAGCTCCTTGTAAAACGACATACCAAGCTCGTACTTGTCAAAATAACAATGCATTCTTACAGCAAACACTGAATAAGCAAAATATAGACACCTACCACTTCAAAGATTATAAACTACGAGTCGTTCCTATTTCACCAACTGTTTCTGTGCCGTGATGATCTTTAAATCTTTTATTATTGTTTTAATATTTGACTCCATGATGGATTTCATTTTATCCCCGAGCCGGTGCGGAGCACAGTGCGTGGGTACTAATTCCGCCCGGAGATTAGGAATTACACCCGGGACCCGGGAGAAGATAGCGGAATCCAAAGTTGCCCAAATGTCATGGACGTTCAATGGTCATGGTACTTGTGCGCATGTGCGAAATGCGAACGAGTGTAGACTGGTAATCAGCAACTCCTGATTGGCTAAGACGAAACGTTTGTGTTTCAGTGAAAAACGTCAGCAATTTAACTGTCATTTTGCAAACTATTTTTAAAAAATGTTTCGAAAACAAAATATTAAATGTGGAATCAAAAAACAGATAAAACACTGGGAAGAGTTTAAAATATTATCAGAACTGGAGGAATTAGCGGTGAAAAGGAACAACTCGATTGTAATCCTTGAAATGGTAGGAGTCTATTTTGTTTATTTCGAGGTTTATCGTGTTTGCTGTAGGAATACATTTTAAGACCTTGGTACAGTATGTCGTTTTGCTCGGTTTTGCGAAGACGTGACCGACGATTTAAGGCTACATCATCGTTTTAACTTCCAAAAGAGTCCTTAAAAGTGTAATTCGGAGTTTTAATATAACAAATATCACTTTAAAGGTTTATGTATAGTCGACGGCAATCACTGCATGAATTTATTAATCGAAAAACAACATTCGACGTTCACTGCTTGGTTATTTATATTATTTGGGCTGTTTTGATGTTTTGAAGGTTTAGCTATAATGAAGTATTACCTCTCACTTAAACTGTGAAAGTCTATAACTTAATGCAACGGAAAGCAGCAGGAAAACGGGTGATTTCACTTCATCTTTACGACTGTGTTTGTTTCCGAAATATTTGAAACATCAGCTATCGGCTTTACATTTAGGACATTTCATAATATTGAAGGTTAGGTCTGGCTAGCTCAGGAAATATTTTGCTTCGTTTGAAATAGCGAGGGGTTGTTGCATGCATGTATTTCTAGTATTTTTAAAAAATAGTTTGCAAAATAACGGTTAAAATGCTGACGATATCATCACAGAGCACTACACAGAGGTGGAACTCGCGGCAAATCTTGTCCCCCTATTTTTAATGCGCATGCGCTAAGCTCTGGCAAGTGTTTTTACACTTTTTAATAAGGAAAATTAGATTTTTTAGCAGAAAAAATGCAATTTTAAAGCCATGGGTCTTTTGCTCTTCGTTTTTTGACAAATTTTATTTATCCATCCGACATTGCTCCTTTTGGATTAAAAATGACTGCGATAATACGAATTAAAACGGAAAAAAACGGGAAATATACAACTACGAGGAGTGCGATTTTCACACGAAGCTTGCCAGAAGAACTGCCAGGTAAAAATTGAAGGTTTGGTATTTCATATAATAAATGTAGGTCTATATGACTATATTTCGCCAACATACAGTCATATTTTTTTCTAGATGACAAAACAATCTCTCAAAGTTAACTTTGAGCAGATGACATATCAAGACATTGAGTTCTACTGTTCAACAGTTCAAGATAGAAAGTTAGATGGCTATAAAAAAATGCTTTACAACGTATACGCAGTTTACTGATATTTGTGAACCCTATGTTGTCTCCTATGCGTATTATTATTTCACTTTGGACTCTTCGGACCCTCTTTGGGCCGGTACCAATGGAAATTCTAGAACTGAATTATCTAGCAGCAGCAGCAGCAGCAGCAAGGTTAGACAATGGTTCTAGAATTATAGCTTGCATATCAGTATAAGAAATTTATGTTATTCATATATAGGTAAGCTTTTATATTACCTTTTTTCAAATTATTTAGGCTTGGTCTAAATTCATTCATGTAAATTATCTGAACAAAAAGCCTTGTTCTTGAATCTATCCATGCAAGGTTAATTCTACAACATTAAAACTCCATGTAAAAGGGAAGGTTAGGACACATTCATCATCATATTATAGTTTCATAGCACAAAATATTTATATTTTTCATTAAATATTCACATCCAAAAATTGGAAAATAGCTTTCAATCTTCTCATAGAAACCACACAGAATTGCATAATTAATTTTAGATTAGATTGGAAATCGATTTGCATGTCCTTCATGAATATTACAATCATGTATGAACTGAAATTAATATCTGTTAGCATTTACCATTTGTGTGTGAAGTTGGATTTATACTCATGTAAAAAGTATTGTATAATTATATAGGTGAAAGTTGCATTTGTTTATTGTAAATCCTTTGAATTCAAGTTCAAGATTCGAATAAAAAACATGTAGTTTTTGCTAGTTTTATGGCACAATAAATTATTTTCAAAGATTTTTTTCGTGTGTTTGAATTGTAATATTAACACATCAATCATGCTTTTTTTAAGATCAGCTCAGATGTTTTCTGGATGAAAAAATAACTGCCTAATTTATAATCGGCGACGATGCTAGCAATCAGCTTGATATTTATAAAGAAAATCATTCGCGCTTGTATTTCTTACCTCTTTAACCTAACGCATATATTTTTTACAAAAAAACAACCATTTACCGTTTGTTTTTAAAATTTAGGCGCAAAAATGGAGATCGATAGAGCCAGCTTTAAAATATTAACATTTTTCGTCTTTCGAACACCTTTTTCCCTTACTTTAGAGTCAAAATACACTTGCCAGAGCAATTTGCGTGGTGCGTGGAATGGCGTAGGCAGGGGGACAGCAACATCAAAGGGTTCCGCCGCGAGTTCCACAACTGTATATCATTAAACTGTGTTACTTTATACTTATACTTTATTTCAGTTGTGAAGTCTAAATATTACACTTGACAACAAGGGAATATCATGCATGCTCTCTTTTTGTCTTTATAGTTGATATCATGCATGCTCTCTTTTTGTCTTAACCAATCAGCAAGTTGTAGACGACCGTTCTTTCTTCGTTCAAATTTCACGCACGCGCACAACTACCATGACCATTCAACGTCCATGGTCCAAATTTAGGCGACTTTGGATTCCGCTATGTTCTCCCGGGTCCCGGGTGTAATTCCTAATTTCTGGGCGGAATTAGTACCCTCGCACGGTGCTCCGCACCGGCTCGGGGATAATATATATAAGATTCAGATTGGCTAAGATCAGCACCTCAACGAGCCAAACTGATATATTTCAGCGCGGCAAATTTATAATTTTAGCCCGCAAAATATACCGCAATGCCCGCTAAAGTTAATATAAAACAGTTTAAGCAAAGTAATATGTTTCATTGCGTCTGAAGATGACTTTGAAATTGTCGCGGCTGGACTTGGTTTTATTGGAAATCCAGTTTGTGAAAATTTAAGTACGAACATATTTAGCTAAATTCCTGCAATGCATGAATATCGATTTAGCATTTTTTCAACATTTTAGATGCACGACGTTAAAATGCGCAAGACGGTGAGGTGTGTATATTTAAGTAAAAGAAATACCTGGTGGTTCTGTATCTGTCGGTATTGGTTGGACTAAATAAGTAATCGTGAACCCGGATTAGGATGAGACATAAAAGCACAGTAAATTCAAGTACTGTTATAAAATAAGCAAGATTATTTACCAATTATTTCATCTTTTTTAGCATTTTGTTGTTCTTCATCGATTCTTAGCACCCACGGAAGACCACTTTCAGCTGCTGAATTTTCTTCGGAAAGCACTTCATGTATAGTAATTGTTCCTTTTGCTGGATATTTAATGGGGACTCCCTTGAAATGGTCGATTACATAACCGATGGAATCTAGCTGTCCTTGGTCTACAAAAAACGAAAACGGTCCGCCTTTGTATTCCTGGAAATCTAAACACATTTGAAGACGGCGATCTGTTCCAAGCCGTTTCGCTGTTCCTTTCTCACTTTTAATGTATTTTGCTTGGTAAAGATCTTTTAACTGTTTAATGTTTTCTTCGCCCTTGTCATCGACGAATTCACTCACCAAGACGACTAAAATGTCTATCAGTTCATTATGTGCAGGCTTTCGTCGATACAAAGCATAGGCATAGCAGGAGAATGAGTAATTGAGGTGACTCAAAAGACTAGCTAACATCCCGCGCGTCGCCGATATAAAGAAATAGAAAGAAAACCCTTCAATTTTCGCATTAACAAAGCCTTCTTTTGTGTTCTCTGCAATATCACCGGCTACCAGTTCCCAAACGGTTCTCCAATAATTGCAGTTGTAAGAGCCACGCAGGATGAACAATTCAATATCGGACACGGTCCTTTCATGTTTAAACATAAGATCAGCCGGTTTCAAGAATTTCAAGCCATTGGGAAGAAATTCAACCACATTCGAAGCCCCTTTAATTAAACCTAAGTCGAACAGAGACTTTCGATCAACGCGTTGGTCGTCTATTCTTAAAGTAATTTCTGTATCTTCGTCCAAGCAACCAGCATTGATTCGAAGAATGACGTCTTTCAACTTGATGACACCTCCATCAGTGGTGATGAGCTTCTTTGCTAAATTTGCTCGTGCTAGAGTGAGATATACGGGTTGTATCATAAAAAAGTTAACATTATTTACGTATTGACCTATAAATGAAACGTTCGATCGATCTGCCAAGCGGTCTTAATAAACATGCATCAAATTATTAACAGAATCAGAGATTTTATAGCTGATAAAGCATTTCTCAAACTTGCACCGTGTGAATTAATGGCTAATTATTGTGTTTTAAATATTTCAATTTAACACCGCATTCAAGTTTCATTAAATATTTTTTTCAAAAACTCCCAACAGTTAAATCAAAGATTTTCGGAAGTGCTCGAGTGCTAGAGTAATCGGAAGATCTTAAAGTATCGCTTAATAAATCGAAAATAAATTCTTCGAGAAACGAGTTAAATGTTTTGATTTATATAGCCAAATTGCTAGTTATATATATACATGAATAATTCTTCCACTATAATGTATCAAGAGCTGCCGACAATATTGAATAAGAATTAATATAGAAATATTTATTACGGCCTAATGCGTTTTCTTTTGTACTCACTTTTCTTAGCGGTATCATCATTATTGTAAAACTTGAAGACGCGTTTTTTACGGAAACGTTTTGCGTGAGATAACGACGTGGTTGCATCGCTGGATGACACAGGTTTACTTCGGGTATTTTTACTTTCAAATTTTACATCTGGTAATGGGGGAGCAAGGAGTCTCGAGATCAGTATTGAATCGTCTGGATCATCCTAAATAGGTAAATTTTAATTTTTTTGTTATTTTAAATTGATAAAAGAAGTCAAAAAATTGCCCTTAAATGTTAAGTATAAACGAGAAGCAAAAACATGAAATTTAACATTTTAGCAAAGAACTAAGCAGCTCTCGTATTTCTATATAAGCCGCTAAATAATTCCGTTATGGATATAAATAGAATTAATAAATAAAATTAAGTATTTTAAATAAAATTACAATTTATCTAATATAATAATATATTACATAAGAAAATGCTGTACTATAAAATCAATTATAGTTAAAAAAAATTCCAAAGCTTTACTGGACAACCAATGGTTAAACGGATCAATTTCATGCCAACGTTTTTCAGAAATTGAAATCCGGTGAGTTCATTATTTGTTGAATTACACCTAGAACCAATATTTAGACGCGAACCAATTGAATCAGATCTCACCTACTTCTAAGAACGTATATAACGAGTTATAACCGCATATTTAAACTATGAATTATAGTATATAGTGTCAGTTAAAGCAATCCTGGAAATTATAATGCGGACCCTGTTAGCATGAGAATCGTATATTCAAGTTGGATAAACATCTATGTTGTCGATCTAGATCGCTTTTGGAGTTTGTATATATATATATATATATATATATATATATATATATATATATATAATTATATATATATATATACACCCATTTGCAAAAACGTTGGCCGCAGATAGATAGATAGATAGATACTCGAAGTCTAATTAGAAATGCATATGACTAGATTTGCATGGGATTTCAATCATATTACACAACATATGCAATTCTAATTAGATTTCGAGTATATATATATATATATATATATATATATATATATATATATATATATATATATATATATATATATATATATACAATCGTGTTAAATGCTCACATTTTCACCCACACCACTGTCATTGAGTCTGCTGTTAGTTGAATTACATCTAGAACCAATATTAGAACCGGAACTAGTTGAATACGATCTCACCTAATTCAAAGAAAAGGGTATAATTAATCATAACATATATATTCAAACTTCCGTCACCGAATTTGCTATTAGTTGAATTACATCTTGAACCGATATTAGGATCAGAACCAATTGAGTAGGATCTCACCTAATATTAAATTATAACATATTGAAACTACTGAACCATATAATAATATAACAATAGAGTTGATGTTCGCGGGTATAAATTATGTTTTTCATCAGACTCTGAACTCATTTTAAAAATGTGTTCTGTAGGGGGCCAAAAACACATTTATGCCCAAGAACATCAACTGTATTACTATTATATTAACTTATAATTAAAGGGCAATTTTTGTATAAAAAATTATGCAATGATTTAGATTGGCTAAGATCAAACTGATATATTTCAGCGCGGCAAATTTATAGTTTTAGCCCGCAAAATATACCGGCAATGCCCACAGAAGTACATATAATTATATTTTTGGTTGAGAGAAATCCGGCTTAAAATTTATGATGCAGTTTGGTTGAGGTCCCAGTTACCATCACGTCAATTGTATTAATTAATGCTCACATTTTCACTAATATCACTGTCACTCAATTTGCTATTAGTTGAATTACATCTCGAACCAATATTAGAACCAGAACCAGAACTAGTCGAATACAATCTCACCTAATTTCAAGAAAAGGGTATAATTAATCACAACATATTGAAACTTCTAAACTACATAATTTATATAGTGTTTCTCAAAAGAAATCCTAACAATTATCTGTCTGGAGGACGATAGATTAATCTATGTCGAAAATCATCTATTATAGTCGCTATTGGGGTGGAATGATGCATTAATCCGACAAAGTTCATGACATATTCCAAACGATGTAACCTATTCCATTGGTTATGGATTGGGTATAGTTATCTCACCTAATTTTAAGAACATGTTTATAATAAATTATAACATATTGAAACTACTGAACTATATAATTATAGGATTGGTTGAGAGAAATCCTAAACTTTATGATGCAATTTGGCTAAGGTCCTAGTTACTATTCAGGATCACGTCCATGTTGTGCATTTACTGACATAATTATGTAAGTCTGTACACTGGATATTGTATTAATGCTCACATTTCTACCAACTTCACTGAATGCGCGATTTCTTGAAATTGATCTAGATCCAGTATGATATTCGGAATCAATAGAATAAGATCTCGCCGAGTGAAAAGAAAGCCAATGTATTACTACTTTACTACTGACTGTGTATACAGCTGATTCAGAGAAGGTTGTCTAACTGTCTTCAAAATTTTTGAATCAAAAATCTTAAACCATAAAATCTATAAGCATGCAAAGAATAACGATAATTTGCATGAGGAATTTATCTTTAGTCGTTTATTGCAAGGAGCGCGAATATTCTTCCAATTAACACATAACTTTAAAGGGCCGCACAAATACAGCCACCATTTGTGATGAAAGGTATAACAATATGTTTAAGAAGGTTTAAATTTTGTCGATGGCAAAATATCATTATATGTCATATCGTTTTAGTTGCACGCACTCATTAGATCCATACCTTTCAACCGTTTTAAATCTCATAAATATTACTATTAACAGAAAAATATGATTAGATAATCTTGTGAAATGGTAGCTCACATTTTCACCAACATCACTGAGTTGACTATTGGTGGAATTATATCTGGAACCAACATTGGGACCAGAACCAATGGAATACGATCTCGCCTAATATCAAAAATATTTATAATCATTATAATAACATATTCAAACTATCAAACTATTTATTACGATGCGGTCTGGATGGGGAGCCACTTACTATACCAGGCTGTGTTTACAACTGTTATATTATTTTTTTATTAAAAAACTCACAATTTCTTTCATTTCACCAACGTAGCTACTTCGATCAGGACTAGGATTTGTCGACACCACAGAGTCACATGGAAAAGAGTTATCCTGATTAACAAACAGGAATATCATTTGTTTAAAATCCAACCAATTTCGGTACTAAATTACAGTGTATTGGCTTGGATGAACTTAGTGCAAAACACAAATCACCAAAAAATTTTAGCCATAAAACTTATGATTACGCATGGGCAACGATAGACGGACATAAAATTAATAATAATTATAGTTCTAAGCTATAATATTATATAGTTATAGTATAACATATAAAAATGACCCAGTCTTTCGGATGTCATACAATTTGCAGATTTTATGCATATACCGCGTGGTTAAGCAGCGTTAACATTTCCTTTTTAAAATTCCATTTTCCAAGCTCTTCCATACTTTTTATTAGAGTATTCAATTGAAACTACTGTTGAAGAGTTTTATAAAACAAGCCGGGTTTTCCCGCTACGCATACGAAATAACAATCACATGCAATGGGGGTGGGACCACACCTTTGATTCAAACTTACTTGTTCTTTGGCGAGTTTTGCGGTCCCGTCTTCAGCTGAAAGTGAAAGGTACAAAGGGTAAAATGAGAACAGGAATTTGCAAATCGAGGAAACCCATTTTCGCTGTTGGGGATCGGAGTTTAGAGAGGTGCGTGGTGCGATCAGTTTAGAATCTTTACTTCTGAAGTCTTAGGAGAGCACCCAAAAATTTTGCCCGGTTAAAAGTCGAATTTGTTTAATTTGAGATGATAATATTACTCTCACAGAAATTGCATGTCCTTCAATTAACTTACACACTGTAATTTGCTCATTGTCCTCAGCTATGCTGTTTAAATTGTTGTGGGGATGACCCAATATGGACCCAGATCGAAACCGACTTCCAGCATTAGTAGGTCCATAAGTAATAACAGGGTCATATTCATCCAAGACATTTTTGGCGGTAGACGTCTTCCTTAAACTCATTCCCACTGAAACATCGCGTTCAGGAGTTGAACGTTGAACATCTTCCTGCAAAACGTGTTTTGGCCCTCAGATTTTGCCCAAAATGAATTGTGATTGGGCAGCTGGCTAATTGCCTCAGATTTTTCGCAAAACTATCAAACTATATATAAACCAGCATCTTCCTTAGCGCGAATCATGTTGCTAAATACATTTGAAGGATTCAATTCATCGATTCAGCAGGACATTTATAACAGCATTTATCGCAATACTATATTATGAATGTCTTGGTGCAGCGGAGTATAGGGGAGCCGCGGCTATTCCTAGTGAACGCAATTTCATTATCTTCAACGATAACCGGGGTTGATTTTGCCCGAGAAATCATACTGCGTTTGAATCACGCCAACATTTGCGAGTTTCGTACGTTCAATCCCTTAAGTATCGTTGCGCGGTCCGTACATCGGTTTCAGCTTATCCTGGTATCCTGGCAGGTCGGTGAGTAAATTATAGTCCCCTTGTCCTTCATTGCTGAGTACGAGGTCCGCACGATTCGTTATGATAGCGTCAGATTTGACCTCAGTCTCTTTTTGCAAGCAATATAATTATAACGTTTCCGATAAAGAAATTGAATTTGTTGATTCCTACTCGTGACCGTTAAAAATTATGTAGCTCATTCGACTTACTTTTTCATAGGTGCGTTTTGGGTCCTTGTCATCAGCTAAAAATGATATGGCCAAAAAAGCAAAAATAAGATAAGAAATGCGTGGTGTGCAAAAAAAGATTTTGAGGAAGTGTCTAGAGAAATGTGCACTGCAGGGAATTCTAGAGTAGCAGTGTCTGTATAGAGTTTTTGTTTGGCAATTAATCTGTAAGGCGATTCCATTAATTTTTCTTTTCAAAAGTCGTACTTTTTTCGAGAAATCGTATAAATCGTGTTGTGTGGGGTAGTGTAGTGTAGTATGGCGTTGTGTGGTTGGCATGTGTGCATGGTGTGATGTTATGTGATTGCAGTGGCGGATCTAGGGGTGTGCAGAATAAATTACACAGCTTAATTTTAAATCAAAACGCCTTAATAAATACTCTATTGGTTATAGATTTGAAAAGAATATTTTTTACATTAAAATCTACCAATGCGATTCCGATTTTAAACTGTAGTAATTTATTCTGCACACCCCCAGATCCGCCACTGTGTGATTGTGAGGTATATGGCGTGCGTGGTGTGTTCTGTTTTGGTATCGGTGAGATGTTTTGCGGGGTGGTGTTTTGTGGTGCGAAATTATGAGAAATCATAATTACTTTTACAGAGATCTTCCTTCAACGTGCACATTGGATTGTCCTCATTTTCCAAAGCCACGCTGTTGTAATTGCTAAGGAAATATTTTGATTTTGAACCAGATTGTTCCAGACTATCCACTTTAGATGAAATAACTCCTTTATTAGGAACAGCAGAAGTTGAATGAACCAGTACTTCTTCCGAAAAGTTCGACATGGCTGTAACTTTTATGTCGTCTTCCTAAAAAAATTTAACAGTTTTTTCCATAATAAAAATGGGATTACCTATAACATAGTTCTATGATAAGTTGATTCCTTGATATTTATCGCAAAATTTTCAAATACTATACATTTAATGTATGCTCCCGAGGGAAATGGTGAGTTTTGTTTTCCCAAGAGTCTGAATGTTCCTCGAGGGAAAGAAAGTTAACATTGTCATTGAGACTCAAGAGAAACAAAACTAACTATTTCCCGAGGTAGTTTACATTAAGTGTTTTGTTATATAGGAACAAAAACATACATGTTACACAACAATTTCATTTAAAAAAAATTCACTTTGTTATGACAATATGCGGGCAACAATTTTTGACTTGTTCCCCCCTAGGTAGCCCAAAGGTATTTGTGTTTTAATCTAAAGCGTCCATCCAGTTTAATATCGCGGTCTGTGACGTAAACACCAATTGCTATATTTGTATTATAATAAGATAAGGTTGGCAACTAAATATAAATTAACCACGTACACCCTCAAAACTATCGACAAAAAACATTGAAAATATGCAACATAACTCACAAAAAACATCATAACAATAAAATTTGATGTTTTTAATTGCTCCCCAGTACATTTTCTTGTTGAAAACAACTCTAGAAATACGAAAAATTTAGCGATACTTTTCGTGTTGCCATGAATTTTTTCGCCGTAACGATGCGGGATGTCTTTTGCCTAGCACTGGTTTTCGATTCAAATGGCGAAGCAGCGACACAGAATACCTACCAGAAGTGGAACTCTATACTATTTTTTCGTAAGTGTGATTCGTCATGATTCGTCACTTAGCAAGTGCATTTTTTTGAGGTAGTCACCCCCCTGCCAATGTCTAAAATCAAGCCATATTTAGTATTGGCAGGGGGGTGACAGCCTCAAAAAAATGCACTTGCTAAGTGACGAATCACACTTACGAAAAAAGTACAGGAGTTCCACTTCTGTAAGGTATTCTGTGGCAGCGACCTCATTGGCTGTTAAAATTGGCGAACACCAATTTAATTATTCGCCAATTTTAACAGCCAATGAGGTCGCTGCTTCGCCATTTGAATCGAAAACCAGTGCTAGGCAAAAGACATCCCGCATCGTTACGGCGAAAAAATTCATGGCAACACGAAAAGTATCGCTAAATTTTTCGTATTTCTAGAGTTGTTTTCAACAAGAAAATGTACTGGGGAGCAATTAAAAACATCAAATTTTATTGTTATGATGTTTTTTGTGAGTTATGTTGCATATTTTCAATGTTTTTTGTCGATAGTTTTGAGGGTGTACGTGGTTAATTTATATTTAGTTGCCAACCTTATCTTATTATAATACAAATATAGCAATTGGTGTTTACGTCACAGACCGCGATATTAAACTGGATGGACGCTTTAGATTAAAACACAAATACCTTTGGGCTACCTAGGGTTCCCCTGGCGGGAAACATTGCATTTATTTAAAGTCATGTGACTGCGAATGAACAAATCACATATAAAATACACAGCACCTATATAACAATTGATCATTATCTTCCTCAGTGAGAGTCATGTTTTATTAACTTGGCATTTAATAATAATAAACAATTAATAACCATTAACTTCTTATAACCTCGCTCGCTCGGCCTTTACCGAGAAAGAAATATTGGACCGAGGTCTCTTTGTACAGACGGCGAGCCCGTAGGACGAGGTTTGTACAAAAAGACGGAGGTCCGATATTGATTTCTCAGTAAAGCCCAAGCAAGCAAGGTTAATAAAGGGTTTATTATATGGCATAAGTCTTGCACTTGAAACAAACAAGAAATGCATGATTCCGTTCATAAGTAACCTAGTACGCATTTAAAAAAAACGAAAACAAAACGTTGCATTATTGGGTTTACCTAAAACCATCCGGAGCCATCTTATTAATTTCAATAGCAATTTAATCTGCCTTTTAGCGTTTCTTTGTGCTATATTTCTTAGAATGAATTTGTTTTTCATCCCATAATGGATCGCAAGTAACGCCGGTCCATCACGGGAAAGTAATGGACCGTTGATCGGTAAATTTTCGGTCGCAATCGTGACCTCTTGAGAAATAGACAGGCGTATTTTTTACTACAGCCTGTATTAAATTTGATTTCTGTCACTCCATATTTTGGGCCCAACTCAATTATATACCTGGTGAACGGTACGATGTAGAGAAATATCATCCTAAATTGAAAATAGAAACATTTTTTAAACAACCACTAGCAAAAATATAAAACATTGTTATTAAAGATGAGGTACAAAGATGAGATTTCTGTCCCTCCTGCACATCGATTCGACTCGTAACAATGAGAAACTAGAAAACGTTTTTAAAAAATTTTCTAAATTCCTGAACAGAACTCTACAGGTTATGTTGACCTTGAAGAATAAAGATTTAAATATAGTTTTCTTATAATCGACAAAATTTCTAATAGACAAAAAATAAGCAGAGCCTCAGACTCAGTTACATTACAATCTGTACGTCACTTTTGAGTGGGGAATTTTATGACATAATTGAAGAAACTGAAAGATTAGGAACGTGCTTCCCAATTAAAGTTTAGTCCCAATAGAATAGAGTTCTCCCCACAGGTAGTTTGAAAGATAAACTGAGAAAACTTTTACTTACATTCTTTGTCAAGGGCTGAACTTCGCTTTTATCCTTACGCTTCCTTTCAAGTTGTTTGCGCTTTATGCCACGAGCAAGAAGTATCAGAAATAGCAATAAAATGGCAGTACAAACCCCAATAAGAATCCAAATTGTCAAGTCAAAATTTTTCCTTGGCTCTGTAAAAGTTTAGTGTACTCAAGTTAACAAAGCAACCGAACACTTTATTTGGTTATGAATGTTAAATTATTTCATTATCATTAATATTCTCACTGCATGGGCGCTTCGCTAAACAATACCATATTAATGCGTTAAAACTTAATGCAAATATAAGCAGCATCAGAGTAATCGCATGAATAAACACGGTTGGTATAAAAGACCGGGAAAACAGCAAATTTTCACATTTTGCCACGAAGACGACCTGGCTGCATATACAGGAAGGAATTTTTTGCTGTTGGAGTGTCGCAGCCGAGCCATAAGTTGGATATGGACGACCCAGCCGTTCAACCTCTGGCAGTGCATATTGATGCGGTTTTAGCAGAACACCAACCACCTCACCAAGCCGTACAGTTAAACGATATTGCAGTCGAGATCAATAACCCCGTAAATCCGCCAGTACAGCCTCAAGAGCCGCGTATACCCAGTGCAGGTTTCTCTTCGTATTGTTTTTACTCGGCAGGGTTAGTGCTTTAGGCTTAGCTTCGTTGTAAGGGACAGGGTTTTTTAAGCTCCTCCTTCAAAAGCTTACGGGATTTGTCCACATGTCTCGTTTTCCTTCTGGTAGTGCAATTCCTACTTTGCTTTCTGTTCATCGGGAGAGGCACTCTTAGTACGCCTTACATTCTGTCTACGACGGGATACCCGTGTTCAGAGGCTGAGTCGGATGTCGTGCTTCTCACCGGGTCGACGTTTCGTGTGTATAACCCTTTCCATACTTGCCTGTTGCTAGATTAGGTAACGGGTTGAGGGCGGGAGCTTTGTATCCTATAATTATTATAGTTGTTCCTCAGTATACTAATACCACTGTTATATCTCCCCGCGTTTTGAAAGACATATAGGAAATTTTTTGCCTTTGGTCTAGTACAGGATATACATTCTTTACGCCTTTGTTGAGGCGGCATCAAATTCCTTTTGATTTGAATTAAGGGTTTAGATTTATGATACCTTTGTTGAAGCAATTTGCCACTTCGGTTTAATTACGCCTTTGTTGAGATGGCCAAGATTACCTACACTTGCGTTTAAGCGATATAAATTTATAGGCCTTTTGTTGCATTTGGTTAAAATACATAAATAAAATGTTTACGCATGCTTTTTGTCCAAGCGGCATAAGTACCTCTACGCTTTTGGTGAAGCGGTATAGATTTACGATGTTTTTCTTGAACTCAATCTAGATTTATTTACGCTTTTGTTGAAGCGATATACGCCTCCCAGTCTACGCTTTTGGTGAAGCGCTATGAGATTTACGCTGCTTTATTGAACTGACCTAGATTGGTTTACGCTTTTGTCGAAGCGATATAAGATTACCCAGTCGACGCTTTAGGTGAAGCGATATATAGGTTTATGAATTAAGATGCTTTATTGAACTGGTTTAAATCTACTTCCGCTTTGGGTGAAGCAACCTCTGAACGCTTTTGGTGAAGCAGTAGGGACTTACGATGCTGAATTGAACCATGCAATCTAGATTTATGCTTTTGTGGAAGCCATATAACTTACTTCTACGCACTTTTGGGGCAGCAGTGTAATTTATGATGCGTTTGCTGTACCAGTCTAGATTCATTTACGGCTTTTCATTTGTTGGTGTGCGAGTATAGGTTACCAGTCCATACGCTTTTGGAGAAGAGGTGTGAATTTAAGTTTTTGTTGAGGCAATTTCCCATTTACAATTTATTTACGCTTTTGCATTTAGTTGAGACGAACAAAATTGCTGGCTTGCGATCCAGCGATAGAAATTCATGGTGCTTTCCTTGAAGTCTTAAAAATTGTTTACGTTTTTCCTCAAACCGGTATAAGTTTCACGTACCTCTAATGCTTTAGTGAGGCGGTATGGATTAATGCTGCCTGTGTTCCAGCAATATAGCTCACCTATGAATTGCGACCGGTGTAAACCCGGACTTACGCTCCTGATGAATATTGTGATTTTTATAGATTCTGCAACACATATAAACGAACTTCAATGTTGTAAAAATCAAACAAACTTTAAAAAATATATTCTGCGTTGTTACGTACCAGGCTTAGATTCGGATTGTTCTACACACGCCGTGGATTTATGATACGTTTATTTACGTAATTACCCATTTGGGAGTACTTAGCTATATTTTTCGTTGAGGCGACCAAAATAGGGGCGAATCTACGTCTTGGTGGTAGCGGTATTAAAACGGTTTAGAACTGTTTATGAATTATGTACTTGTTAAAGCTATAGATTACGTTTATTGTTTACGGGAAATCATCTGCGCTTTGCTCCACCGGAATTATGTGCCTGGCGCGCACTTTCTTTCGATTTTTGAATCTTTGGATTAAAGATCTCCCTTTCTCTTTGGACAAACTCACTGATCCCCCACGTTATGTTAAAAAGGACCACTACCAAACAGTCATGCATGACAAGAGTGGTTACGATCACGTTCTCCCTACCAAGCGTAGTCAGGCGTTTTTCGGTCTCCAATGATTTTCCCCCGTTTGTGCTAATCGGTCCGCTTCTAAAGTTTCTTCAAACCCAACGCTGCCCGTTCTCTGTCGTCGTTCCGGATCTTACACCCAGGCGCTACTGGTGGCCGTTACTAAAACATCGTTTTCTACTTTATTCATGTTGGGAAAAAGGGCGCTACTGGTGTCTTACTTTTCCCTGATTAAGGATTTTCGGCTTCAGGACCCGCCCACTGCCATGGGACCTGTGGGTCTTCAGGATCCCTTCTGCATACTAACGTTTCCGTACTGTTCAGGCACGTGTACTGTGATGTTCCTCGTTTGTGGAAACCAGCTGAATGTTGCCCCAAATGCCATTATGCTAACGATGTGGATTTCAACGGTGTGGATTTCAAAACAAACATTCCATCGAGTTTATTCACCAAACGTTTCCATATATAGATTTACCGAATATCAACGCTCGCTTCCAATCCCTCCAGTCCGTCAGAGGCCAAAAGCCGTACGAGTGTCAGAAGTCCCGTTTACAGGAAGACGAGGAGGTATTCTTGGCGTCTCTTCCACAGCCAAAAACGTTGATTTCTGCTTCAACTGGGGATGTGATCCGCTTCCTGATTTGAAAAGATAAAACAGGTTAAACAAACGTTTTGACTCGGACGCCTGTCCATTTTTGGGTACCTCTATTGGACGTGCAACCTGCAAGTGTCGTACCAGGCTCGCGTCAGGTACGACCGACAACTATATAGCCAAGTTAAAGGCAATATTTACATCGCTGGGCCCTCTTGATCGCTCTGATGTCCCTTCCGTGGGCTTTGGTAACCCAGCTAGTCACCCAACTGTCTCTAATTATCTGAAGTCTGTCCACGAAGAACAAGTGACGCCAAAACAACCCGTTCCTTTGTTCTTTGACAAAATTTTTGGCATTGTGCAATTAATTCAAGGCGTCTTTATCACAACATGATATTAGCCTTTTTTCTGCCTGGATCTCTACTCCGGCGATCGTGTTTCTCATTTAGAACGCTTGAAAACGAATAATGTCATGTGTCTGCCTGGTAACGAGGGTTTCTTAAATCGCCACACCTGCGGTAAGACACTTCGGGGAAAGCACACCCATGTGTTCGCTGTGAAGCCTTCCCCTTCGCCATCCTCCTGTCCCCGATCGCTAACCTTCAGTTATACGTCCTCCTGTGTGACAGAATGCACGTCAACCTACGCCAGGGTTTTCTATTTCGCTCCACGGACCCCAAAGGTTGCGTTACTAACGCTCTTTTCTTGGCTCGGCTGTTACCAATCGTCTAAAGAAGTACCTCTCCAATTTAAACCTCGATGAAGGCGAGACCACCCACAGCTTCCGGGCAGGTTGTTCTATAACGTTGTCACTACTGGGCGCCTCCGACGAAGCTATAGCTAAACACATTGGTTGGAGGAGTGTCGCTACCGCACAATATTACACCCAAACGGATGCGGTCATGCATCCCACCCAAACCTCTTCTATCTTAACCACCGGCGCTTCTGCTTCGTCCGTCCTCCAAGATTCCCGCATGCGGCAACTTGGAGAAACCTTTCGAAGCAAGCCTTGCCTTGAAAGAAGCCTTGCCATAATGCTAGATAATATAACGCTTGTATAATATATCAAGTTCATATTTTTTCTGAGTATTGGAGAGAGTATTTGCACAGTAAACGCGAAAGGATTGATCAAATGTTGTTTCAGAGCCAGCGAAGCTCGGGCGTGAAAATCATTTGTCCCCATTCTTAGTTTATTTTCAGCTATGGTATTGTGCAGCGGGGCGAACGGTGAGAATATATTCATATTCTCACTGGGCGCTTCGCTAAACAATACCATATTAATGCGTTAAAACTTAATGCAAATATAAGCAGCATCAGAGTAATCGCATGAATAAACACGGTTGGTATAAAAGACCGGGAAAACAGCAAATTTTCACATTTTGCCACGAAGACGACCTGGCTGCATATACAGGAAGGAATTTTCGTCCCACCCACCTCCCCTCGGCTGCGACACCTCTCCTCGCCGCACTTTACTCTAAGCTGAAAATCATTTGTCCCCATTCTTAGTTTATTTTCAGCTATGGTATTGTGCAGCGGGGCGAACGGTGAGAATATATTCAGATTTACGTTTTTCGAGATGCAAGAGTTAAACGACGTATTGTGGTCCCTTTGATTGATTCACCTCGATTAATTTTCATTCCCTATTAAAATTATTATTGGTGCTGGGTGATTATAAATTCTAACAACAATGCATCTCACCTGTGTTCGTGGGCAGTAATGTTGTAGGGACACCGAGTGTTTTCGCAGCTGAAAATGAAGATGGAGGTAAAATATATTTTAAGAAATACTTTTAACTGTTTACCTCAATATCGCTTGAATCAGAATAACTATCCTTATTACAAATTGGGGCCAAGCTTTTCATATAGCCCCCTGTTTTGCAAGGGAGGCAACCTCTGATCCATTCCATCGGAATATAGTTGAAACATTAGGCACACTCAACCTTTTGGAACCAGGGACAATACCATAGGAAAAAATCAATGCAATTTTTACATGTGATAAAAAAATAAGTCAACCACCAACGCAAGTTCAAACCAGAGATGGTGCCATAATAATTCCTCTCCAGAGAGTTTGCATCGCTATGAATCAGGGTGTAAGAATTGTCCATAAAAACTTGCAAAAAATACTTTACAACCAAGCCCAGCCAAAGCAACTTAAAAATTCCAGAGTACAGTGGCGTAACTAGAACGATAATTGGGGGGGGGTGTGAATATTCATATATCCAGTTCTGCCCTACGGATTTCTTTTGTAATTGCAGTAGCTTACTAAAGAAATCCGTCGGGCAGAACTGAATATATCAATATTCACCCCCCCCCCAATTATCAATCTAGTTACGCCCCTGCCAGAGTATCTAGGGCATGGAGTGGCACAGCTAGAATCAAGTAGTGCATAATGCCAATACAACAGTAACCAATAATATCATTGTATATATTACATATACATTATATAAAAGAAATCAGACGACAGAAAAATGATTTATTACTTTAGTAACTAAGTCAGTCTGAGATTTTCAAAAGATTAAACTGGACGTTTCTGCCAGTTTTGCTACATTTTGTGAAAAAACGTCGCAATTAAAAATGTTTAACCACATGACTTGATCATTAAAAAATCAAATTCAAGTGTGTTCGAAAGTGAAAGTTTTAGAAAAACAATAAAGATAAAGAAACTCAGGCAAACACAAGACACGATAATTAAAACAGCACAATAACAACAACAATGTAGGCCCAACACAGTAAGAATAATCAGAACATGCATTATCACCACTTAGCATGCAGCAACAAAATAAACATGCAACATCGCTAACACAACAGAAATCAAAAACAAAGCTAGCACCTGTTATTGAGGGTGATGATGTTGTAGGGACAACCATCATAGTTGAAGCAACACTTGTGTTTGTGACTAAAAAATCAAGAAAAAACACATCGGTAATAAAATAATAATATATTATCAAAATAAAAAAGATATATAAATGCATGCATGAAGCGAAATTCACCATTACCTTGTTCATTTGTTATGACTCCAATGCCACCCAAAAGAAACGAAAGTTGGATAAACTTGATCATCGCAAAATGTCTCTTTACACTGTTAATTCAAAAGAGTCATTTTGACTCCTTCAAAGGAGTCGTTTTCTTGACCCCAGGACGACTCCTTGAAGAGAGTCATTTTGACTCATTTTGGGTTGACACCTGTAAAGAGTCATTTTAACCCTTTAACTAGAGTCGTTTTGACTACCCATGGAGTCGTTTCAAAATGACTCTTGCAACAGTTAAAATGCAAATTAACTCCTCAAAAGTGTCGTTTTAAAAGAGTCATTTTGATTTTTGACTCTACTTTGGCATCAATTTTACTCTTATTTGGAGTCATTTCGACTCCTTTTTGTCATCAATTTTACTCTTATTTGGGGTCATTACGACTATTCTGTGGCATCAATATTACTCTTATTTGGAGTCATTCGACTCTTCTTTAGCATCAATTTTACTCTTATTTGGGGTCATTACGGCTATTCTGTGGCATCAATATTACTCTTAATTGGAGTCATTCGACTCTTCTTTAGCATCGATTTTACTCTCATTTGGAGTAATTTTGACTCCTTTTTGATATCGATTTTTCTCTTATTTGGAGTCATTTCAACTCTTCGTTGGCATCAATGTACTCTTATTTTGGGGTCATTTGAACTCTTCTTTAGCATCGTTTTTGCTCTTATTTGGAGTCATATCCACTCCTTTTTGACATCGATTTTACTCTTATTTGAGGTCATTACGACTATTCTGTGGCATCAATTTTACTATAGTACTGTACACCAATATTAGTTTCATGAAGCTTGCATATAATACAAAAGCAGAGTTTGAGTAAACGATGTTTAATAATGTATATGCAGTGAGTATTACAGCATACCATACATGCATCCCGCAAATATGTTTCTTTGAAGAGAAATTATATATAATAAATATCTATATATAAGCATGCAGGCTTTAAAATATCGGCCAACAGGCCGTCTATCAAATGTCCGGTGTCTTTAAAAAATGGGTTGGATATACATTTTTAAAATTAAAATATGGTAAATCGCCATATGTTAGCAGCAATTAATTAAGTAATGGTTTAAAATCGAAGTTTCAAACGATTAAAACAGTACAAAACTTCAGAGACAAAGAAAAAGCCTCAAATGTTATTTTATTCTGTAATTACAGTCGACGGCTAAACGTTTTATACTTCATAGACATAGTGTGTATTTTTTATATCAAAATTCAAATTATACTTTCAAAAACACTTTTTGAAGTTATAGCAAAGGTGTAATAGCCTTTCACAGGTTTATCCGTTTGCATAAAAAGCTGAAAATTAAACAAATAAACGGCATACAAAGCTGAAAATTATACAAATACAGCTCATCCTTACTGCGAAGCAAATACGAAGGAAACAAAGTAAACACGCACCCTTTGAAAACACTTATAAGCTTGCAGATTATGAATTATTTCTCTTACACGGCTTTCGGTCTTGATTGTATCCCTGTTCATCTTTGCTATCTGTCATGCTTCATATATCTTGTTTCTTCCCGTTTTACTTTGCACAAAGTTTATGAAACGCTTTTACAAAAAGGTTTACGAAATGACAGTTAAATTGCTGACGTTCTCGTTGAAATTCAAACTTTCTGTCTTAGCCAATCAGAACGTTTGTTGATTATTTGTCATTTTTGATATCAGCATATACTACTTTTCAGCATGAGTCAGAACTATTAAAATGAATTTATGTATAATATATTTTTATGTGTGCATATCCTGTTCCAGCTGACATTTTCAAGAAATATAAAACCTATATACATGCAGTGTAATATATTTTTTATATTTATTTTATTTTATAAATTTGCCATGTTAAAAAGTTAGAATGAACTACACATAAACTACAAATGAACTACACACATGCAATGGCTGGAATCACCACACAGAGATATGTCTCCAATAACGGGGTTCCACAACTAACTTACAAATAGACAGACACAAACATACACATATAAGCAACTTAACAAATTTATAAGACTTTCTCGATACATGAAGAAACGATAACAACTAATATCAAGTGTATTTGTGTCATAATAATTGAGTATTTTTTTAATGTGCTGACTGGTTATTTGCTTCAAATACAAAGGATTTGTAATACATGTAACATGCCTAATGACTTCAATTTAATATTTTAAACATGCAAATTATTTGTTTTGTATATAAGTGGCTGTTATAAAACCCAGAATGACTCTAAGAAAGAGTTCCACCACTCCAACAAAGAGTAATATGGCTCCAAGAACGAGTCACATGACTCCATGTGAACTCTACTTAAGAGTCTATTGACTCTTGCGAGAGTCTTGTGACCCTTCAAATGAACTAAACGAGTCCTCCGAATTGTCATTTTAACCCAATGTCGGAGTTAAAACGACTATTAGAGTCGAAACGACACATTAGAGGAGTAAAAATGACATTTTGAATAAAGGTGTTGAAATGACTCGCCCTGGTCAAAACGACTCTTTTGAATTTACAGTGTATGTAACACTATACTATCTATATATAAAATATATGTTATCTCTATTATACAACAAGTTTTTAGTAAGTAGAAACGACATCGCTGGCTAATATTTATTAGTATAAACTGACTAATAGGCTATCACTTTTCCTGCGTTCTGATTGGCTACGCTACTAGTAGGCTATTAGTGATAGCCTACTAGTAGCAAAATTCAAAACAATGGCGGAAAATTCGCGTTTCGCCGAAGTATCTGAAGATTTTTTGGACGACTTGTTGGACAATTCCGTACCAGAAAAAACAAAAAAAGCAACAAAATACGGAATTGCAATTTTTAAGGGTAAGAAAATACATAAAAATAACGTATACTCAATTGAATTTTTATATTTAAACTGAATTTTAAAACATTTTACGCGAACAACAATTAAAATATTTTCTTCCCTTTAATATACGAAATAAATTTCAGTTTCAATATTTTTGTATTGTGTTTCCTAGTTGTAAATTAATGTTATAGTTTATACTAAAACAATTAGACAACTCGGCCTCGTTGTCTATGAGCAAATAGTCAACTCGGCTTCGCCTCGTTGACTATTCGCTCATAGACAACTCCGCCTCGTTGTCTAATTGTTAATTATATTAAATATCGTTAAAATAGCGCGCTTGTTAATGTTAACAGACATATGTCGCATCCTGTAGTCTGTAGAAACGGCCAGTAAATTAAAGTGATCAAGTTAAAAACAGTTGCGGACTGTCTTAGAGCGTTTTAAAATTTAGCCCTGCATTTCTGGAAATACGATTTGCAAAAAAAGTACTATAGTGCCGCATGCAACTATCAGTCAGTATAGGGCCTTGATCTAAGTGTTTCTCAATTAAATTGCTTTGAGTGCAGCAAACGATACAAAAAGGCGACAATTCCTCTTACATTTTTTTAATTACGCAAGATCAACTCATGCAGACTTCCTCGAATAGACCGGAACTCTAACATTTGTCATAATAGAAGATCTTCACGATATTTGACCTTTACTAGCCGACTGTTTTAAAAATATAATAAAGCTGCATGACCCCTGGTGATATTCGAAGACATTTTGCGCGAGTAGAACTTGATTTGACTGAGTTATGTGTTTGAAAATGAAACAGACTTAAGGCCCTGTTATAGAGTGCAATTTTTCAAGTGCAACTTGCCTTATAATTCTACTTTTGAAAGATGAACATTTTGTATTTATCATACTGAGCGAAACACTGTGTATTCTTATAAAATATACACAGAAACGGTAATCCTGAATATGAAGACACGATTTTCTAATGGAATGTTTCCATTTTACTTCATTATCAATATGTAATAGAAAATAGCTCATGCACCATTAGTTTAGGTTTAATTTTAAAAAAAACAAGGGCTGGTTGTATCAAGCCCGTTTAGCTTAAACGGTGGATATTAAGTTAAAATTAAATAACACACTTACATATCTCTTTAAATCTGTCAAGTTGAATATTATGTTTGCACTGAATATGTAGTTGTAAACTGTATCGTTGTTTTATAGATAAAAAAATTTAGTTTGCTTCTGGAATAAAACGGTAGGCTTTCTTTCCATTTTGAACTTAACCACTGTTTAAACTAAACGGGCTTAATAAAACCCTGTTGGGTTACATTAAATAGATATACTAGAAGTAATCAAAGATTAGCAAGTGCGTACGGTGATCGGATTTCTCATCGTTAAAACACTGCAAGATAGATTCCTGATGGTTTGATAAGAATCCTCACTGATATTTCAAACACTTCAAAATCAAAATAATCTATACAATTCCCACAACTTATTAATGAAACAGGCAAATACGAAGGCCCAATTGCCTGGTCCTAACTCCTAAAAACAATAAAATACGGAAAGCACGTGAAATTAGGACGCGACACAAAATCCGGCAGGCAAAGCAAACGCAAAAACACGAAAGCGAGGCAAATGCCGCACAAAAATCTCAAAACAACATAGCATCCAGCCGTGACGTGGCGATTAGGAACTCCTTCTTCGAACGGGGTTAAATGTGATATATATTCAAATACGTTAAATGTGATATTAAATGTGATATTCCTCGTTCGTAATGACGAGTATAATCGCATTCATTCGGAGTTACCAATATTGTCTATTTTGTGTCTTGTTATAATCTATTTTAGCATATATAAAGTTCGACGACGAATTTAACCAGAGTCTGGTCATGACAACAAGTGACATCTGAGACGGGATTGACTACCATTGCGCACGCGAGAAGCCGTATTATATACCTATTTGACTAGCTTTTCCGGTTTAGACCTAGATGAAATACGACTTTTTTACAGCCAAAATCACATAATAAAAACTTATCATCCTTTATATAGCAGTACTACAAAGGCGAACTGACAACTTATACTTTAAATCTGTGAGCATACGTACTTTGAATAAACATATATTAATGTTTAAGATAAGTTAGATAACCGGGTATTACAGCTTTAAGTGTAAACCTTGAATTTCCGTATGTTGCAAGACATTCCCAGAGAAATCTGAATTCAGTCGGCAGTAATTTCACAAAGTTATCAATTCGGTGTACGGTGAGGGATTATAGTCTTAGAGGAAAATGTCTAAAAAAATTATTGTATAATCAAGGCACAGTATACGAGACGATTGGAAAACATATACGAGTATAACTTTCCATCAGCGTTTATTAAACATCGGCATTGACGCCATACATTCCTTTGAGCTCAAAATTTTACCATAAAAACTATCTCACGGTCATGTACTAAGCGGTATATCAGCGTAACACAAGAAAAGCAGATTTATAGTTGTAAACGTCAGCCTTGAAGTTGGTATTAATATTGCGCAGTATAATAAATGAGTTTGGCTTCTTCCTACACGACTTATAGCTTCCGCGCTGTTGCTATGCTCTGTCGCGAAATAAATGACTAAAGATTTGCAAGATATACTGACTGAGGGATAATTAACTGGGCAATTTTATCGGACCGGTAGTGGGAATGATATATTTCATCTTTATATGATAATCCGACACTATTGTAAAACACACAACAGCCAGCATTAAAGTTCTGAATTTGTTGATGAACATTCAACCAATTCGGAATAAACACCAAACATACCTGCATCCAATGAGTTGGAAACACCAGACCAATCAAAATTTTGTGATATTGTTTATTAAGGTTGCAACCCTTGGCAGTTATTCAGCGGCGCGGACGGTATACAACATCGGGCATCGGCATTATGCAAAGATTGATTCAGTCTTGGTATCTTCCTCTTTCACACATTAGTACAAAATTTCCCCAGAAAGATATGAATATAGATACCTTATGACGTAATGCTATCATTACGTCATATCTAGCCGCAATAGACTCACCAAATTTAGCGTTTTATTGCGAGTCACTTCGACGGACGCAGCAGGAATATCGATTCCAAAGAAATCGCAGCTATAAAATCACAGTGAAAATTGCAAGTGTAAACTAACCTTAATTATCATATTAAAACATTGATACTCTTCAGGTTTAATAAATCCGATTAAATGGGGCGATTCAAAGTTAGCGTAACAAGACGCCTGATCTGGCGTTAACTCCGGCGCACGTGCCAGTCTTTAATATAGAGCTTCTGAACATAAACAATACAGTTCATATTCGCATTTAGATGCCTTGCGAGTTGCGAACCTATAAATGTTCGATTGCGAAATTTAGAAGCACACCGTACTTTAAAAAGTGTAGAAGTTCAATTGTTCAAAAATGTAAATAAACCGCGTGATACATTCGCTTTGTCTTACACTTTGCTTTTGGAATAGGCGCTTATACAGTTATATTAAATCTTCAATCCTGTGCAAACTACGACGTGTCAACGCGCCCATACACGACCACATCATCTTATTAAACGGCGAAATAGCAGCGATATTATTAAAATAGGAACAGAATCTACATGTATTAAATATATTCTTACCCCAATTCAATCTAAACTTAGTCGAACAGCATGAAAACAACGGTTTATTCGTTCCTCTTGGAGGAATTGCCGTATCATGCGAGCGAAATCGAATCGCGCATCGGAAAATTAGCCAAAGCTGTACACCACAACTCTTAGAAGATAAGACTGGAACGTAGATAAATACGGTTACATACACATTTCAAATACTAGAATGGTTCGCGCCATTTCAGACTTGCGACGACGAAAAATAATAAAAAAAAAAAAACAAAAACAAAACAAAACCGAGGCGAATTTTCAACTCCGTCGCTGACGCCGGAGTAATAAGATTGTCTTTAAAATACTCCCGAATAATATACCAATTTCTAAGTAAAAACTATAAAATTTTGATTTGGAGCAAAAAACACGACTGCCGATAGCGAAAGGATGATACACACACGGAAGTATTCCCCACTGTATAACTGCGATCTTGCACCGTGATAATTTTTAGAGCTAGGAAGACTTGATATCTAGACAATCTAGCAGCGAAAATTCACGGTTGGTCCCGTTATTATTTAGGGTGGGTATGCTAATGTTTTGTGTTCAGAATACTTTGTCTTTAATAATATTCTTGAATAACGGACCGAAAGCTTTGCAGTATTAAATACTTACGTGGTGTACCTACAAGCTAAATTACTTACTTTGTCTTTGTTCATCTAATAACTTGTCTCGGCCCTGTTTAAAACACAAGCTATGGTGTATAGTGAAAATTATAATACTGGTGAGCCTGCATGCATGATTAATGAACAAGAAATCACACTAAGCTTAGCTTCATACTATACAGATGTTATTAAAATGTTGGGAAAATATTTGGAAAATGTTTTGAAGATCAATTTCAAAGTTTTTCATAGTTTATTGCTAGCTATCGTGAATCAAAAGCAAAGCCAGTTCGTATAGGTAGATACTGACGCCGGAAGGTTGCATACAGCATACAACATGGTGCGGAGTATTTTAATTTTAAACCAATCGTCCTAATAGACCTTTTCAGCTTGTATGCAAATTAACATGGTCATTACAAGTCACATGGTCTCAAATGGTTAAGTTTTATTTTCTATTCCATGGTAACAACATCTAACATGAGGTTGATTCGCATGCAAGCTAAAAAAGTCTATTCATGCAGCACGAATGTTTTACCACTACTGTATAGTGTTTGTAACTGATTTACATATCTAGTCAAACTAATTCGTTTAAATGGCTTGTTCAGCACCGTCCTTTGCCACTTTGTGCAACAAAGACTATAAATAAACAAATATACTTTCCTAAAAACGTACGTTCTTAGCACTATACAGATTGTAGAATATTCAGGCAATCCAGCAGAGAAGTTTTAAACATGCACACATGCCTAAGAATGCCAGAAAATCCCTTGGTAATAAATATGTTTTAATGCATAAAATTTCGATTTGTGTTTTTGTATATTAAAAGCGTGTAGTTGTCAAATTGATGCCTATTTAACAAATAACCTTGAACCGTTGTCCGTTCAGTTATAGATACACGGATGACGTACGAGAACATGGAGGACACTGTATCGACTGTTGAGATCATATCAAACAGTTAAAGGATAAAGTTACACAAAAGAGATGTGATTAAGTGGAAAACTTCTTACATACCATCATTCGATCTTTCTTTAGAGAAGGTTGATTCGATTTCGGTTTTCAACCAGAAATTCTTGGTAATAGAAATCTTGACAAATGAAGTATGAATGCCCTATCGTCTGGACTTTGAACTGTTCGAAATAATTATACCTTTATTTATTCTTGAGAGGCTGATGGAAGAGCATAGTCAATGGTGGTGTAGTCCAACTTAGCTAACAGATGACTTGATAATTACAAGACTTTCCATTCTCCAGTGATAATTGGTCTAATCACATCTAATTTCCTGATTCCTTTCAAGCATTCTACCAGCTTCTTACGCGAGAAGTCTCTCTTGTGGTTGAAAATAGATAAGATTTTCTCAGCTCGTGAACGATTGTCGCTGTAAACAGCAACGTTGGATCTGATGTCATCTCTTTCTTCCTTGGCGATGTCCATGAGGCCACCAACACTGTCCCACTCAACGGCAATACGTTGACTTAACCTGAACATTTCACGAGGAGAGAGAGGCTCGGTGTTTTCCTCTGGAGGGATTTCAGGCTGTATTTCTTCATTTCCATTACCTTCAGACATTTCAGTTTGCAATAATTCAGTTTCGACATCAGCACGAGTTACATCACCCTGTTTATAACAAAGCTGTTTTTCAATATCTTCATCGAAATCATATCGACAGCCCGAATTTTTTATTGGAGGCAATAATGCACTAAGACATTGAAAACTTTACCTGGCTCTTAGGAAGGCAAAATAATAAAGACAAAAGTTCAGCATTTGCTAAATTGGCGTTTCTCAAAAGAAGAATTGCATTGTAGTGGCAAGAAAAATTGCACCTTAAGCTTGAAAGAAGGCAAATATGATTTAATTAGCAATAAATACCTCGTCCTCCATAGGATGTAATTTCTTTACTAAATCATGCCTTCCCAACTCATCAGCGCATTTTCCAAAAATATCTCGACCAAAGCAATCGCTGCCATTGAAGTGATTAAGAACTTCTTCCGCTTTCGACGGAGAATCAGGATATTTTGCATAGTTTGTTCTGATCTCTTCACGTTCTTCATAAGGAATATCCATCAGGCCGGCAAAACTGTCCCAATCCATCGCAACCATACGACTCACCCTCGTTATTTCTATTGTTGTGAGTTTTGTGTTCCGGCGTACAACTAGAAAAGGAGAGAGGAATTTTTTTCGAGCTGAAAGACGATGTAGCTAAATTCAGGCTTTCATTGATTTCGCTTTGATGATAAGTGTCCACGTTGAACATGCTGGTGAGGTATCATGCTTTATACTGATAATAACAATAGCACACACACATTTTTATTTGCCAATGCCCTTGTAGGGTGAGGCAATACTGATTTTTTATGTTGTTATTGTACATAAAAGTAAAAAAATATAAAATTGTTTGAAAGAAATTTTTTCGATGAATATTTAAGATAAATAAACATAAAAAAACGTATACCTTTCGGTTCCGTGGATTCGCCTGAAAAAAATTGTGAAATCAAAATTACAATGGAATTCAACAGGTCCAATATAGATTAATCTTTATGAAATCGCAATTTTTTCCCGATAATTACGCAGTTACAGAACAATGGAGCAATTATAGAATACCCTGCCAACCCAACTCTTAACAGTGAAAGCCATATAGTCTTATATAGATAAATCTACCTTGTGTTATGTTTCCTCATGCATGAATTTTTAAAGAACAGGGCAATTCTATACTCTAAAATTGATCCTCTAACAGATCTTTAACATAATGCACTATTGGCAGGATATTCTATAATTGTATACCAGAACAATGATGCGATAGAAATGTCCTTGCCTCATTATTGCTCTGTATAGGTTCTTGCAAAAATTGCTTTGTAGGTCTATTAGTCTATAGCTGGATTTTTTTAAGAAATTATACGAATACCAATTATAAGTTTAGTCAATTAAGCCGGGGTAGCGATAATTACGAAGAATTAACCATTCGAAATCTAGTTTGTCAAAATTTAAGTGGGAATATTTTTTCAATCAACAATAATTTACTGCAATGTATATCGATTTCATATTGTCTCAACATTTTAGGTATACGGCATTGAAATACACGCGCAAGACGTTGAGGTATGTATATTCGAGTAAAATAAATACCTGCTGGATCCATATCTGTCGGTATTGGTCGGACTAAATAAGTAATCGTGAACCTGGATTAAGACGAGGCATAAAAGCACAGTAAAATCAAGTACTGTTATAGAATAAGCAAGATTATTTCAAATTACCCATTAATTTATATTTTATGGCTTTTTGTTCCTTTTCATCAATTTCTAGCACCCACGGAAGATCACTTTCAGCTGTTGAATTTTCTTCGGAAAGCACTTCGCTTATAGTAACTGTTCCTTTTGCTGGATATTTTATTGGTACTCTCTTGAAATGGTCGATTACATAACCGATGGAATCTAATTGCGGTTGGTCTACATAGAACAATTTTGGTCTGTCTTTGTATTCTGGAAAATCTAAACACATTTGAAAACAGCGATCTGTTTGAAGACGTTTCGGTGTTCCTTTCTCACTTTTAACGTATCCTGCTTCATAAAGATCTTTCAACATTTTAATGTCTTTTTCGTCATTGTCATCAACGAATTCACTGACCAAGACGACTAAAATGTTTATCAGTTCATTACTTGCAGGCTGTCGTCGATACAAAGCATACGCAAAACAGGTGAACGAGTTATTCAGGTGACTCAAAAGATTGGCCAACACCCCGCGCGTCGCCAATATAAACAAATAGAAAGAAAACCCTTCAATACTTGCATTAACAAATCCTTCTTTAGTATTCTCTATAATATCACCGACTACAAGTTCCCATATGATTCTCCGATAATTGCAGTTGTAAGAACCACGCAGGATGAACAGTTCATTATCGGACACGGTCCTTTCATGTTTAAACATAAGATCAGCCGGTTTCAAGAATTTCAAGCCATTGGGGAGAAATTCAACAACACTCGAAGCTCCTTGAATTAAACCTAAGTCGAACAGTGACTTGATATCAACGTGTTGGTGGTCTATTCTTAGAGTAATTTCTGTATCTTCGGCCAAGCAACCAGAATTGATTCGAAGAATGACGTCGCCCAATTTGATGATACCACCATTAGCGGTGATGAGCTTCTTTGCCAAATCTGCACGTTCTACAGAGATACAAGATATACAGGTTCTATCATAAAAAAGTGAACACCAATTACGAATTAATATAGAAATGTTTATTACAGCCCAAAATATGTTTCCTTTTGTACTCACTTTTCTTGACGATATCGTCATTGTACATGTTGGGAATGCTTGGTTCATTACAACGCATCGCATTAGATAACGACGTGGTGGCATCACTCGAGGACACATTTCTACTTTGGGTATTTTTACTTTCAAACTGACGTGTTTCTTTAAGCAACTAAATAATCAGGTTGCAGATATGAATGAAATTTCCACATGCAGCTAGAAAGGTTGAAAATGAGAAACTTGCGATAGCTCCCCTAGCTAATAGGGAATTTCTTGTGATATTCTCCTAGATAATAAGGGGATGTGTTTAAGATTTCGGCTAATTTGAACGTGCCGTATATTATATAATAGGGAGTTTAAGATCGACTTCGACTCCAATATCCAGTCACGCGCATGCGCACACGCAACAATTGTCCAAAATGGGATAACACTGGAAGTCGCGAGTACCGTTTTGACGCTGAAAATGGAAGTGGATAGGTAGGCGAGTACCGAATTATATTTACTGTATTATTGTCATTTTCTACAGTAAGTTTCAAAACAACCAAAGCAGAGCCTCATTTCTTTTAAAATTGTTTTCTTTCATCAATGGACTAAATTGTATTTATGCTCACGTTTTCAGCAAATTCTCTGTCTCTGAGTTCGCTATTTGTTGAATTACATCCGCAACCAATATTTGGACGCGAACCAATTGAATCAGATCTCGCCTAATCTTAAAAACGTATATAATTTAATATTATATCTCAACTGTAAATCATCCAATCAGAAAGCTCGATTTGTACCACGTGATCAGTAAATTAATCATGGAGTTCCATCGAATTTTTTCACATTATGCTATAAAAGAGTTTGCGTGTACCACGCGTGGATGCCTCGCACACGACTCGAGGTTGTCAACAATTTCAAAATGGAGGTAAAAGAAGCCATTTTACCCAGATTTTGCTCTGCCTACACGTTGTTTCGATATAATATATAATTTATAGACCTGGAGCGAGGGGAATTCGACGAAATATTACCCCTCGGGAAGATATATCCCTCGGGCGAAGCCCTTGGGATATATCTTCCCTTGGGGGTAATATTTCGTCGAATTCCCCTCGCTCCAGGTCTATAAATGATAATAACCGCATATTAAAACTACTGAACTATTTTATATAGTGATAGTTTAAGCAATCTTGGAAATTATAATGCATCTATATTGGCTGCTTTTGGACTAAAATTCAAGGAATATAATATATATATAGTTTATTAATGCTCACATTTTCGCCAACATCACTGTCATTGAGTTTGCTATTAGTTGAGTTACATCTAGAACCAACATTAGAACCAGAACTAGTGGAATACGATCGCACCTAATTTTAAGGAAAGAGTATAATTATTTATAACATGTTGAAACTTCTACTGCAACGACATAATTTATATAAGTTCTCAAAGGAAATTCTAATAATTATGATGCAGTCTGGCTGAGGAGCCTGGTTGGGGTGACGATAGAATCTATGTCAAAAATCATCTAGCTATTAGTCGAAAAATTCAAGATGTAAGGGTGTATACAATCGTGTTAATGTATTCATTTTCACCAACATCACTGTCGCTGAAAATGGAAGTGGATAGGTAGGCGAGTACCGAATTATATTTACTGTATTATTGTCATTTTCTACAGTAAGTTTCAAAACAACCAAAGCAGAGCCTCATTTCTTTTAAAATTGTTTTCTTTCATCAATGGACTAAATTGTATTTATGCTCACGTTTTCAGCAAATTCTCTGTCTCTGAGTTCGCTATTTGTTGAATTACATCCGCAACCAATATTTGGACGCGAACCAATTGAATCAGATCTCGCCTAATCTTAAAAACGTATATAATTTAATATTATATCTCAACTGTAAATCATCCAATCAGAAAGCTCGATTTGTACCACGTGATCAGTAAATTAATCATGGAGTTCCATCGAATTTTTTCACATTATGCTATAAAAGAGTTTGCGTGTACCACGCGTGGATGCCTCGCACACGACTCGAGGTTGTCAACAATTTCAAAATGGAGGTAAAAGAAGCCATTTTACCCAGATTTTGCTCTGCCTACACGTTGTTTCGATATATATAATTTATAGACCTGGAGCGAGGGGAATTCGACGAAATATTACCCCCTCGGGAAGATATATCCCTCGGGCGAAGCCCTTGGGATATATCTTCCCTTGGGGGTAATATTTCGTCGAATTCCCCTCGCTCCAGGTCTATAAATGATAATAACCGCATATTAAAACTACTGAACTATTTTATATAGTGATAGTTTAAGCAATCTTGGAAATTATAATGCATCTATATTGGCTGCTTTTGGACTAAAATTCAAGGAATATAATATATATATAGTTTATTAATGCTCACATTTTCGCCAACATCACTGTCATTGAGTTTGCTATTAGTTGAGTTACATCTAGAACCAACATTAGAACCAGAACTAGTGGAATACGATCGCACCTAATTTTAAGGAAAGAGTATAATTATTTATAACATGTTGAAACTTCTACTGCAACGACATAATTTATATAAGTTCTCAAAGGAAATTCTAATAATTATGATGCAGTCTGGCTGAGGAGCCTGGTTGGGGTGACGATAGAATCTATGTCAAAAATCATCTAGCTATTAGTCGAAAAATTCAAGATGTAAGGGTGTATACAATCGTGTTAATGTATTCATTTTCACCAACATCATTGTCACTGAATTTGCTATTAGTTGAATGACATCTAGAACCTTTATCAATAATAAATTTTAACATTAGGAAGCTACTGAACTATATAATTATGGTGTTTGTTGAGAGAAATCCTAAAATTTTTGATGCAGTTTGGCGAAGGTGTATTCACGATCACGTGTATGTTGAAGAATTGTCCACAATTGAACCAGAATGACGGATTTACTCACAGACATATAATTATTTAAATCTGTTCAATTGTATTCATTAATGCTCACATTTTCACCAACATCACTGTCACTCAATTTGCTATTAGTTGAGTTACATCTAGAACCAATATTAGAACCAGAGCTAGTCGAATTCGAATACGATCTCACCTAATTTCAAGAAAAGGGTATAATTAATAACAAGATCAAACAATTGAACTATATTGTGTTGGTGAAGAAAAATCATAAAATTTACGAGGTGCTAGACTGCTATATAGTTAGTATTCAAGATCACGTCTATGTTGTGCATTTGGCTGACATGATTATGTAAGTCTGTATAATTGTATCAATTTGATGCTCACTTTTTTACCAATTTCACTGAATGCGCGATTTCTTGAAATTGATCTAGATCCAGTGTGATATCCAGAATCAATAGAATAAGATCTCGCCTATAGTGAGAAGAATGTATTACTACTGAACTACTGAACTATGTATACAGCTGATTCAAAGAAAGTTGTCTCGCTGTCATGAAAAATCTTGAACCTTAAAATCTATAAGTATGCAAAAGAATAATGGTAATTTGCATTAGAAATTTATCTTTAGCCGTTTATTGCAAGGAGCTCAAATATTCTTCCAACAAATAACTGCAAAAGGCCGCAAAAATACAGCCACGATTTGTGATGAAGCGTAACAATATGTTGGGTTATCGATGGCAAAATTTCATTATATATCATATCGTTTTTGCACACACTATTAAAATCCATAACTTGCAACCATTTTAAATCTCATAAATATTACTGTTAACTGAAAAATATGATTAGATATAAGTTTGTAAAATGCAAGCTCACATCTTCACCAACTTCGCTAAGTTGACTATTGGTCGAATTACATCTGGAACCAATATTGGTAACAGAACCAATGGAATACGATCTCACCTAATTTCAAAAATAGTTATAATCATTATAACATATTCAAACTACTGAACTATTCATTACGATGAGGTCAGGATGGGGAGCTCTTACTATACAAGGTTGCATTTACAACAACTGTTGTTATTTTTTTAATTAAAAACTCACAAATTTTTTCATTTTACCAGCATAGTTACTTCGATCAGGATTAGGATTTGTCGACATCGCAGAGTGACATGAAAAAGTCTTATCCTGATTAACAAACACGAATGTGTTGGATTTTGACATCCGACCAATTTCGGTAAAAAATTTCAGTGAATTGGCTTCGACGAACTTAGTGCAAACACAAAGTCTTAGTCATAATTAGATATGTACTTAGTCCTATATGTCTTAGTCATTATTGATTACGTACGGACAACGATGTAAAATAATAATTTAATATTATATAGTTCGAGGTTAGTTATACCTTTAAACATATAAAAATGACCCAGTCATTTTTCTACCCAGTAATTGCAGAAATGCGAAAGCATTTCGTATATTTTGCAGATTTCAAGTATACAGTGTGTATCAAAAAAATTCGAATCCAAATTTGACAGGCTGCTGTGTATAAAATACTAAAGTAAACGATATAATTTTTATATGGCAACAAATATTAGCTTATTTAGTTTGCGACTATACCGTTCTTATATCGACACGACCAAAATTGGCCGAGTTATCGTCTTTTAAAAATTGTTGCTCGAAATCAAATTTTTCCGCTGATGTGAATTCGAAGTGAGACCTCCAAACAAACTAAAATGCAAATTTAATCAATAAATGATCGTTGTTCCGTGCTTAATTGAGGCATTTGTTCTTCAAAGCTATCGTTGAACATGGAATAAACAGAGTTTTTGCGATAAATTTGCATTTTAGTTTCAGTAATAATTAGATTTTCAATAGGACAAACGTGCAATTCCCATCGGCGGAAAATTGTGATTTTTATGAATTTTTTTGTCGAACCAGTACTCCTTCATTTTTCAACCTAACAATGAACTTCACAATGGTGTAAAAATCAACCAAATTTGTCAAATATATTTCGCATTGTTACACGCAAAATTTCGATTCGAATTTTTTTTATACACCCTGTATACGGTGGGTCAAGCAGCGTTAGCTTTTCGTCTTTAAAATTCCATTTTTCCAGCTTTTCCATGTATTTTTTATTAGAGTATTCAATTGAAAGTAATGTTTTAAAAGTTTTATGAAAACGAGTTTTTCACGCAACGCATACGAAATAATTATCACAACGGCGGTTGGGACCAGACCTTTGATTCAAACTTACTTGTACTTTGGTGAGTTTGGCGGACCTGTCTTCAGCTAAAAATGAAAGGTATAATGGCTAAAATGAAAACAGGAATTTGCAAATCGAGCAAACACATTCAGGATATTGAGAATCGAAGTTTAGAGAAGGTTGACTGCAGTGCATGCAGTGCAGAATCTTTACTTCTTAAGTCTTAAGGCCAGTTACACGATGCAATTTTTCCCTTTTAAAACTCAGGTGTTTTATGAAGTTTGTTAGTGGATGAGGGTATTATAAATGTTGTAGTATATCTAGAAGTAAAATTCATTTCGAAAAGGTTCTTAACGCGCAACAGTTTGCTTGAATTTGTTCAGTTTGAAATCATATATTACTTTTACGGACATCGCATGTACTTCAATTTACTTACACAATGTACTTTGCTCATTCTCCTCAGCTATGCTGTTAAAGTTGCTGTGGGGATGATCCAATTTGGAACCAGATCGAAACCGACTTCCCGCATGGGTAGTAGCAGAACCATATTGATCTAAGGCATTTTTAAGGTTGGACGTTTGTTGGCCTAAACTCATTCCCACTGAAAGATCGCGTTCAAGAGATGAACGAACATCCACCTGCAAAAACGTGTTTTGGCCTTTAGATTTTGTCGAAAATGAATTGTATTGACAAGTTTTAGAGGCTGCATGCTTGTTAATTGCCTTATATATTTTGCAAAACCATCAAACTATATAAACCATCGTCTTCCTTAGTGTGAATCATGTACCTAAATACATTTAAAGGATTCCGAATTAATTCATCGATTCAGCATGCAGGACATTTATGATATTTCCTAAGAAGTATCTACCTTTTAGGTATTTACCAGCATTTATCGTAATACTGTTACGGAATATGTGGAATACGGAAAATAGAGGAGCCAGTCTATTCCTAGTAAACGCAATTTCTTTATCTGTAACGACCGCGATTGATTTTACCGGAGTAATTAAACCAACACGTCATACTACGTTTGAATCACGCCAACATTTTCGGCAGTCGTACATTTAAGTCTCTTAAATAGCTATCATTGTGCGGTCCTTTATCCTTACATCAGTTTCAGCTTCTTTTGACATCGCCACAGCCTCCTAGTCATTTCTCAGTACGAGATCCGCACGATAAATGACGCAGCGCCCGTGTGATGATGGCGTACGATTGGCCTCTCTTTTTGCAAGCAATAACGTTTCAGATAAATAAATTTAATTCGTTGATTCCTACACGTGACTTTTAAAAATCTTGGAGTTCGTTCGACTTACTTTTTCATCTGTGTCTTTTGGGTCCTTGTCATCGGCTAAAAATGAGGTGGCCAAAAACGCAGAAATGAGATAAGAAATGCGTGTGTTGTGGTGTGGAGTGAAATTATGAGAGGTCATAATTACTTTCATGGAGATCCTCCTTCGACTTGCACATTGGATTGTGCTCATTTTCCAAAGCTACGCTGTTGTAATTACTGAGGACATTTTTTGATTCCGAATCAGTTGGCTCCAGACTATCCACTTTAGTTGAATTAACTCCTTCAATGGGAACAGAAAGATCCAATACTTTTTCCGAGAAGTACGATTTGGCTGGAACTTTTATGTCATCTCCCTAAAAAAAAACTTTAATAGTTTTGCCCACAATAAAATGGGATTACCTATAATATTGTTCTATGACTTTTCAAACTAAGGCCGGGTCATTGTTTTTCTCACTGAGAATCATGTTTTACTAACTTGGCATTTCAATAAATATAATCTTAATAATCATATTAACTTCCTATTAACCACGCTTGCTCGGTCTTTACCGAGAAATATTTTACCGAGGTCGTAAGACATGCAGTTGCACTTGAAACAAACAAGAAATGCATGAATTCGTTATTAGTAGCCTAGTACGCACTTAAAATAACGATGCTCCCAATTATATACTTATGTATTATATAATCATGTATTATATACCATGCATTCAGCGACAGGCAAGGGATTAACTTCATCAATGTTAGTAAAGCTGTCACGATCAACGATACAAGATAGAGGAATATCATCCTAAATTAAAAAACAGACATATTTTTTAACTAGCACTACAACATTATTATTAAGGGTGAGGTACATTCAGTCTGTCCGTCCTTTGAATCGATTCGACTCGTAACAATAAGAAACTAGCTTTTTTTTTAAAAAAATTCTAAATTCCTCAACATAAACTCTGGTTATGTTGGTCTTGAAGAATAGAGAACTAAATATAGTTTCTTATACATTATACAAAAAGTAAGCAGTACGAGCCCTTTGTTTACATTACAACCTGTAAGTCACTTTCATTAGGTCGCGCATTTTATCATTTTAACTGAAAATTTATTAAAGTGGTTTCCAATTAAGTTTAGTGCCAATAAAATAAAGTTATCACCACTGAGAGAGTTTGAAAGATAAACTGAAAAAACTTTTACTTACACTCATCAACACGGACTGAACTTTGTTTTTATCATTACGCGTCTTTTTCAGTTTCCGTTTCCATTTGAATACGACGAGAAAAACAACCACCACAACCATTGCAGCAAGAAGAGGGCCAATAAACAAACGCAAATTATTAGAGTCATTTTTCCTTGCTCCTGCAGTAAAAATTTACATTGATGTTGACAAAGCAAACGAACACTTTATTTAGTCATGAGTGTATTATTTAAATCACTGAATTTCAAGCTTTGGTCGATTCACCTCGAATAATTTTCTTTCCCTAATCAAATTATTGGTCCAGGGTATTATAAATTCTAACAACAATGCATCTCACCTGGGTTCGTGGGCAGTAATGTTGTAGGGATAACTGTCGTTCTTGTAAAAACGAGTGTTTTCGCGGCTAAAAATTAATGAAGATGGAGGTAAAATATATTTTAAGGAATACATGAATGACCTCGGTATGTACTGATATAAGGGATAATAAAAGAAATTATTAAAGAAGTTAAAAGAACAGACGACAGAAAAATAATTCAATACTTTATTAACTTAGTCAGTTCTGAGATTTTCCAAGATTAAACTGGACGTTTCTGCCAGCTTTGCTACCCTTTGTGAAAAAACGTCGCTAATAAAAAACTTCCATGACAATAACTTGATTATTCAAAAATAATATTCAAGCGTGTTTGAAGGTGAAAATTTTAGAAAAACCACCAAGATAATAGAAACCGAGAAACACAAAGAAACCAAGAAAAACAAATAATTTAAACAGCTATAGCAACAATGTACAGCCAACACAGTAAGAATAACAAGAGCTTTATATCGCCATTAAGAATGTAGCAAAAAAAACAAAACATGCAACATCGAACAACATGCAGAAATCAAAAACAAAGCTATAGCACCTGTCATTGAAGGTGATGATGTAGTAGGGACCAACACCATAGTTGAAGCTACACTTGTGCTTGTGACTAAGAAAAGAGGTGATGATGTTGTAGGGACAACCACCATAGTTGAAGCAATACTTGTGTTTGTGACTAAAAAAATAAAAAAAAACACACATCGGTAATATAATAATTATATATTATCAAGATAAAAAGGATATATAAATGCATGCATGAAGCGAAATTCACCATTACCTTGTTCATTTGCTATGACTCCAATGCCACCCAAAAGAAACGAAAGTTGGATAAACTTGATCATCGCAAAATGTCTCTTTAATGTAACACTATACTATCTACATAAAATATATGTTATCTCTATTATACAACAAGTTTTTAGTAAGTAGAAACGACATCGCTGGCCAGTATTCATTATAGTAAATATTGTTAAAATAGCGCGGTTGTTAATGTTAACAGACATATGTCGCATCCTGTAGTCTGTAGAAACGGCCATATCGAGTTAAAAAAATGCTAATAAGCCTTTTTGTTGCGGACTGTCTTAGAGCGTTTTAAGATTTAGCCCCGCACTTCCGGAAATAAGATTTGCAATAAAAAGTACAAGTGCGGCACGCACTATCAGTCAGTCCGATTGTTTACACTATACCATATTCAATTCAATAAATGCAATATTGTACGCCGGAGATTATTCAAGTACGTTTATATTGAAGTGCGTGGGAGAATTCAAGTACCCTGTATATAGGGCCTTGATCTAAGTGTTTCTCAAGTAATTGGTTTTGAATGCAGCGAACGATATAAAAAGGCGACAATTCCTCTTACATTATTTCAATTACGCAAGATTAACTCATGCATGCAGGCTCGGCCTCGAATAGACCGGAACTCTAACATTTGTCATAATAGAAGGTCTTCAGTCTTCACGATATTTGATCTTTACTAGCCGACAGTTTTAAAAATATAATAAAGCTGCATGACCCCTGGTGATATTCGAAGACATTTTTTGCGAGTAAAACTTGAGTTGACGGAGTTATGCCTTTGAAAATGAAGCAGACTTTACGCCCTGTTATAGAGTGCAATTTTTCATGCGCAACTTGCAATATATAATTCTACTTTTGAAAGATTAAAATTTGGCAACTACGTGGTTTTGTGTTTTTATTATACTCCATGGACGTTTCTTACACTTACATTTTGAAGACTCTTCGATAATTTACATCTCTTAAAAGTTGAATTGCGATGCAAGTTGCAAGAAAAATTTCACCATGTAACAGGGCCTTAAGACGCAAGTATCACACCGGTGGGATGACTGAGGGAAACACTGTGTGTTCTCATAAAATATACACAGAAACGGTAACTCTGAATATGAAGACACGATTTTCTAATGGAATGTTTCGATTTTACTTCATCATAAATATGTGGTTTAATTTAAAAAAAAACAAGGGCTGGTTGTATCAAGCCCGTTTAGTTTAAACGGCGGATAAGTTAAAATTAATTGCACAGTCCTAACTCATAAACAACAACAAAATACGGAAATTACGTGAAATTAGGACGCGACACAAAATCCGGCAGGCAAAGCAAGCGCAAAAACACGAAAGCGAGGCAAATGCCGCACAAAAATATCAAAACAACATAGCATCCAGCCGTGACGTCACGATTAGGAACTCCTTCGTCGAACGGAATTGAATGTGATATATTTAAGAATTAAAAAACGAGTCGCGTGCCTTTATGGTGTAATAATGCACGATGGGGGAATGTTGGGAGAATACGAGAGAAGCTTGTAAAACACGAGGCGTAGCCGAGTGTTTTACAAACTTCTCGAGTATTCTTCCAACATTTCCCCGAGTGCATTATTACACCATAAAGGCACGCGACGAGCTTTTTTAATTCTTTTATAATATAAGAAGAAATTATAGGGCAACAACAAAATTTATTTATTTGATCAATAATGAAATTCTCCTTACATGTTATTTAAGATGTTGCTTAGCAACAAAAACTTCAAAAGCCAGAAGCGTGCATTATGGCCTCACAATGCACGCGCGGTAGCCAATCAAATTGCTCGTTATATCATACTTATATTATAAATTCAAATACGTAATACGTTAAATGTGATATTAAATGTGATATTAAATGTGGTATTGCGTACGGGAAAACCCGTATTATATACCTACTTGACTAGCTTTTCCCGTTTAGACCTAGATGAAATATGACTTTTTATAGCCAAAATCACATAAAAAAATTTGTCATCCTTTAAAGTTCACAGTAGTACTACAAAGTCAAAGGCGAACAGACAACTTATACTTATTATATGTTTATTCAAAGTATACGTATGCTCACAGATTTAAAGTATAATACTTTAAATCTGTGAGCATACGTATACTTTGAATAAACATATATTTAAGTATAAGATAAGTTAGATAACCGGGTATTACAGCTGTAAACGTTGAACTTCCGTATGTTGCAAGACATTCACAGAGAAATCTGAATTCAGTCGGCAGTAGTTTCACAAAGATATCAATTCGGTGTACGGTGAGGGATTATAGTCTTAGAGGAAAATGTCTAGAAGAATTATTGTAGAATCAAGACACACTATATGAGACGATTGGGAAACCTATAACTTTCAAAAAGCGTTTAAAAACCGGTATACATTCCCTTGAACTCAAAATGTTACCATCAAAACTATCTCGGTCACGTATTAAGCGGTATATCAGCGTAACACAAGAAAAGCAGATATATATAGTTGTAAACGTCAGCCTTGAAGTTGGTATTAACATTGAGCAGTATAATAGAATTAAGTGAGTTTGGTTTCCTCATAGCGGTCTTCCTGATTTATAGCTTCCGCTGTTGCTATATACTCTGTCGCGAAATAAATGACGAAAGATTATCAAGATATACTGACTGAGGGCTATACCTCTAGGAACGGTAGTGGGAATGAGATATATTTCATCTTTATATGATAATCCGACGCTGTTGTAAAACGTAACACACAACTGCCAGAATTAAAGTTCTGAACTTGTTTATAAACATGCCACCAATTATTATTGAATAGACCCCAAACATACCTGCATCCAATTAGTTGGAAACACGAGACCATTCAAAATTATGTGATATTGTTTATCAAGGGTGCAACCTTGGCAGTTATTCAGCAGCGCGACATTACAACATCACTACCTATGAGCATCGGTACTATATACAAAGATTGATTCAGTCTTCGTTTTATGTATAACTTCCTCTTTCACACATTAGTATAAAAATTTCCCCTGGAATATATAAATATAGATACTTAATGACATAATGCTATCATTACGTCATATCTAGCGGCAATAGACTCACCAAATTTAGCGTTTTATTGCGATTCACCCCACCCGACGCAGCAGCATGACATCGATTCCGAGCTGTTACAAGAAATCACAGCTATAAAATCACAGTAAAAATTACAAGTGTAAACTAACCTTAATTATCATATTAAAACATGAATACTCTTCAGGTGTAATAAATCCGATTAAATGAGGCGATTCAAAGTTAGCGTAATAAAATTGCCTATAATACTCCCGAATAATATACCAATTTTTAAGTAAAAACTATAAAATTTTGATTTGAAGCAAAAAACATGACAGCCAATAACGAAAGGAGTTTCCAGAATGTTTGCCGTTCATTACAAACATTAAACAATATAACCATGCTTTGGTTATGATTTCAAATATTTTGACATAGATAACCACGCTGTTTTAATGGTCAAAAGCTTGTCCTATGTAAAGTTTCCAGCATATTTGGCGCTCATATACAAACAATCAACAATATAACCATGCTTTGGTTATGATGCCAAATATTTTGACATGGATAACCACGCTGTTTTAATGGTCAAATACTTGTCCTATGTAAAGTTTCCAGCATGTTTGGCGCTAATATACAAACATTAAACAATATAACCATGCTTTAGTTATGATGCCAAATATTTTGACATGGATAACCACGCTGTTTTAATGGTCAAAAGCTTGTCCTATGTAAAGTTTCCAGCATGTTTGGCGCTTGTATTGCTTGTAAATTTTAGCTTGTAAATTTGAGCTGACTAAAAAATATTCTAAATTAAAGACTAATTACGGAAAAATTATTGGTGGGGCTAAAGCCCAGCGAGCCACCCTGATCCGCGGTCCCTGTTAGACCGTGATAATTTTTAGAGGAAGAATTGAGATCTAGACAATTTAGCATGGAAAATTCACGGGTGGTCCCGTAATCATTTAAGGTGGGTATGCTAATGTTTCGTGTTCAGAATACTTTGTCTTTAATAATATTCTTGAATAACGGACCGAAAGCTCAACCTCGTACCCAGGGTCTTTACTCTACACGAGTAGAGTAAAGACCCTGGGTACGAGATTGCAGAAAGCTTTGCAGTATTAAATACTTACGTGGTGTACCTACAAGCTAAATTACTTACTTTGTCTTTGTTCATCTAATAACTTGTCTCGGCCCTGTTTAAAACACGAGCTATGGTGTATAGTGAAAATCATAATACTGGTGAGCGTGCATGGTCAATGAAACATGAAATCACACTAAACTTAGCTTCATACTATACTAGATGTTATTAAAATGATGGCAAAATATTTGGAAAAGTTTAGTTTGGAATTTGGAAATATATTTGGAAAGGAATAGTTTTTCATAGTCAGTTATTGCCAGCTATCGTGAATCAAAAGCAAAGCCAGTTCGCATAGGTAGAGTACTGAGCCCGGAAAGTTGAATACAGCATAAAACTTGGTGCGGAGTATTTTAATTCTAAACCAATCGTCCTAATAGACCTTTTCAGCTTGTATGCCAATTAACATGGTCATTAATTACAAGTCACATGGCCTGAAATGGTTAAGTTTTATTGGCTATTCCATGGTCATGCCCAACATCTAAAATGAGGTTAATTTGCATGCAAGTTGAAAAGGTCTATTTAGCACGAATGTTTTACCACTACTGTATAGTGTTTGTAACTGATTTACATATCTAGTCAAACTAATTCGTATGGGGTATATATACCGGGTGTGCATCTGACCTAATTCATGAAATTTGGTTTGGTATAAACCTCATTAATTATTTCATGAACAAGTCACAAAATTCACTAACATTGAATTGAAAATGCTGAACTATATTTACAATGAAATGGCTTGTTTAGCACCGTCCTTTGCCGCTTTGAGCAACAAAGACTATAAATAAACAAATATACTTTCCTAAAAACGTACGTTCCTAGCGCTATACAGATTGTAGAATATTCAGGCAATGAAGCCGAGAAGTTTTAAACATACGCTATGCGCCAGAAAATCCCTTGGTAATAAATATGATTTAATGCATAAATTTCGATTTGTGTTTTTTTATATTAAAAGCGTGTCGTTGTCAAATTGATGTCTATTTAACAAATATAGATAACAATGAACCGTTGTCTGTTCAGTTATAGACGGATGACGTACGAGGACACGGAGGACACTGTATCGACTGTTGAGATCATATCAAACAGTTAAAGGATAAAGTCACACAAACGATATGTGATTAAGTGGAAAACTTCTTACATACCATCATTCCATCTTTCTTTAGAGAAGGTTGATTCGATTTCGGTTTTCAACCAGAAAGTCTTGGTAATAGAAATCTTGACAAATGAAATATGAATGCACTATCGTCTGGACTTTGAACTGTTCGAAATAATTATACCTTTATTCATTATTGAGAGGCTGATGGAAGAGCATAATGGTGTGGTCCAACTCAGCTAACAGATGACTTGATAATTACAAGAATTTCCATTCTCCAGTGATAATTGGTCGAATCACGTCTAATTTCTTTATTTCTTTCAGGCATTCTACCAGCTTCTTACGGGAGAAGTCTCTCTTGCGGTTGAAAATGGATAAGATTTTCTCAGCTCGTGAACGATTGTCGCTGTAAAAAGCAACGTTGCATCTGATGTCATCTCTTTCCTCCTTGGCGATGTCCATGAGGCCAGCAAGACTGTCCCAGTCAACGGCAATTCGGCGACTTAACCTGAACATTTCACGAGGGGAGAGAGGCTGAACGTTTTCCTCCGGGGAGTTTTCGAGTCCTGTTATTAACTTTTTGATTTCTTCATTATCAGCCCCGTCGATTTGCGATGATGGAATCCGTTTCTTCCATTTAACAATCCCGGTGCGTTTATTCTGTATAAGAGATTTTTCAAAATCCAAATCAGACGTCAAGGCTAAGGTAGTTAGAATCTACGTATTTTGAAGGTAGGTATAAAGTTAGAGTCAGCAAGTTTTTGCCCAGTCGAGATAAAGCATATAAACCATTAATACTTAGTGAAACTTTCCTACCATAGATTCTGGCGGAACGAGTTTACAATCAAGCCGATCTTAGAACTTTCAAGTCTGTGTGAAATGCCACACAACTCGGCCACTACGGAACATTTCAACAAGAAAATGTTAACATTGCAATTTATAGCACTTTCTCAAAACACGTGGCCTGTCTCGAACCAAAATTATTAATAGTTACGAATTCTGACTTCGGTGACGATTTAAATCAAGTTACTGTGATGTTTAAGTTCGTCTTAATATTAATTCTTCGAGAAAGTCCTATAAATGTTTGCGTCTGTCTATTTGTAAGTAAGTTGTGGAACCCTGTTACTGGAAACTTATCTCTTTGTGGTTTTTCCAGCCATTGCGTATTTATGTTTAGTTTATTGTAACTGTTTACCATGGCAAATTATTTATCGTTCTCTCAAATTCCCACACGTGTTTCCATAAGTGTATAGAAACTCACGTAAAATGTTTTCTATTTCTTAAATATTATAGGCTAATATAATGAAAATGAATAGGGGAGGAATAGAAATCTGCTCCGAACGGCAAAAATGTGAGGTTTATGCTATAAGATCGTGGCAAAAATCACGAGTTCTCTGAGTATTAAATACCTTGTTCTCCATAGGGTGTAATTTCTTTATTAAATCATGCCTTCCCAATTCATCCACGCATTTCCCAAAAACATCCCGACCAAAGCAATCACTGTCATTGAAATGTTGAGAACTTTTTCCGCTTTGGAAGGAGAATCAGGGTACTTCATGTAGTTGGTTCTGATCTCTTCACGTTCTTCATAAGGAATATCCAAGAGCCCAGCAAGACTGTCCCAATCCATCGCAACCATACGGCTCATGCGTGTTATCTCCACCCTGGTAAGTTTTGTCCTTCGGTAGACAACTAAAAATAATTTTTCATATCAACATACAGTTTGATTGCATGTGTATGGGTTAGGATAAATTGAAATTTCAAATTAAATTTTTAGGTGTCAGTCTCCCATTAAACACCAATTTGATCTTGGCAAATCTCAAAAACAATAAACTACAGATAAAGGAAAGGTTAAAAAAATGAGTAAATTTCTTAGTTTTGATGCAATGTCGTAAACTGTAAAAAATGTAGCCTGTGTAGCCCGCAAAATTTTGTTAATTTTTGTATATGTGTTATTATTATTCATCAATGCAAAAAGGTATAAAGGTGCTATGGGTGCTAAAGATGATAGGTTTCTATGCGAAAGCAGGTGCGTCGAATTACTTAACGTATAGTTGTTATTGTACGTGCTTACGTTCAAGTGATTCGACACGGGTAATCCTGCGGGAAATGTAGCAGATATAAACTAAAAGAATGTACCTTCGGGTTCGTCGTCCGGCTTTTGAGATTGGCCTGAAATGAAATGTAAAAAATTAGGCAGACTTGTATTAAAAAAAAAGAGCACGTGTTGACGAACAATCGACACAAAAGGCATTATTCATGTCTATGAAGACTGATATAAAATCCGCAGCTATATCTTCTGGATAATGACAGAGACTGAAAATCGGTGGGATTTTAATTATTTTGTAAATATTAATTTTGTTATTTGCTTTCTTAAGCGATCACAATGCATTCTGGGATAAGTCAGAGAAATAAAATTATAATATATAACAAGCGTCTAATTTGATGGCTAAAGTAACAAAAAGATATGAGCTATAATGAAAGGTATTCTCTTTACACGATTTAAATTATAGCAGTTAAGAACAGTATTCGAAGTTACCATTTTCATTCGTATCGTCTTCATTTTCGTGTATCTTCAACTTCCACAAAAATTCAGAATTTATGTCGCAAACTTCTTCGCCTATCTTGATATTTCCACTTGCTGGACTTTCGATTGAAACGCCCTTAAAGTGATCGATCACATAACCAATCGAATCCAACTGGGGCTGGTCTATTTCGAAAACAAAGGGGCTTAACTCTATTCCAGAGAAATCCAAGTGCATTTGAAGAGATCGATCAGTTTGGACACGTTTTGCCATTCCTTTATCACTTTTAATGTAGCCCTCTTTAAGATGATCTTTCAACTGTTTAATGTCTTTCTCTTCATATTCATCCACAAATTCGCTCACCAAAACGACGGCAAAGTCTATTTTATCTATTGGTGGTAGTCTGCGGAAAAAGGCATACGCAACACAGGTAAATGAATAGTTGAGGTGACTCAAAATCCGGGATATAAGTCCGCGCATTGCTGAAAAGAAGGTATAAACAGAAAAGCCGTCAATTTTGACATTTATGACTCCGTCTGTTTTGTTCTCGTCAATTCCGTCAGCCACAAGTTCCCAAATCATCTTCTCGTAATTGTGGTTGTAAGAACCGCGTAGGAGGAACAGTTCCAAATCTGGGGCGATTCTTTTTAATCTGATCGTGAGCTCGAGATCTGCTGGTTTTAGGAATTTCAAGCCGTCTGGAAGGAATTCAAAAACACTTGGCATAGCGCTGATTAAATCTAAGTCCACAAGTGACTTGAAGTCTAAATTTTCGCTGTCATTTATCATCGTGATTTCTGTATCTTCAACCAGACATCCAGCTCCGATACGAAGTACAGCTTCGTCTAATTTCATAACACCCCCCTCGGGGGTGATATTTTTCTTTACTCGCCTTGTGCTCGTTGAAACGGCTACAGTAAGAAATGAATTAAAAAATTCTCAAATTTATCGTTGGCTGTATTAATATATCCGTCAATATGAGCTAAAGCACGTACGGTAATGAGTATTATTTAAAATCAAAAGGCATTTATATATTTTATTTATTTTTAGGCATTTAATTTACGTATCTCTGAACATAAATTCTGTTCCATATTAATTTAAAAGGCGTATAGCGAACTAAAAGAGTGTCAAATATTCTGAACGTTCTTGATATGTAGGAAATAATATTATATGGATTGAAAATTCAAAAAAGCGTTTGTTTACATGACGGATTGTATCCCAACTTGGAAGTCAACAATATTAAAAATGTCGTCAGAAATGAAGTGGATTATCAAATAGAGTAAACTTACTTCGACTGCGCCTGCGGTGTTTCTTCGGCTTGAATTCTGATTTATGATCATCTGCGGATTCATCTTCCTCAACAAGCATGCCATAACTGGTGGGTTTATGTAAATTTTTCTTTTCGGGAAATATCAATTTTCCTTTATTGGAAATTGGTGATTCACATTGTTCCGAGAAATCCTAAAAAACAATTTATCTTGTATAATTTACAATTGATGTTGAAATTAGAGTTGGAAATTACGTAGCTAGCCGAGTCTTTGGGTGTCATGTAATTTAGGCCAACTTTCATTATTAAATTTCCAACTTTTCCACTCCCTCTAGTGACATAATTGCATCTAAATGGCATTAGTTTGGGAAGTTTGTTGACATTGGGCGAAGGTTTGATTGATTGATTGATGGACTTTATTTAAACAGGGTAACACATAACAGTTAGCAGAGATACTGACAAACCTGTGGCCCTAGGTTGACAGACCTGTGGCCCTAGGCCATTTATGAGTGGTTAGATCTTGAAAGCAGCCCAACCACGACTATAATTATATAACCCTAAATGTTCTGAAATGATACCATTATGTTTAGAATATTTAGCAATTTTAGTCACAATTATTTGTTCAATCTTTTGGTGGAATGACAGGCCATTTTAAGTAAATTTTAAACTTCGTTAATTTTTGGGAGGTGCCAAATCCTCCCACATCTCGTGGTCGCCACACACGCCCCTCAGTCACGCTATGCTCATGTCTTAGTGTCCCTTGACTCAGTAAAAACACTCAATTTGTGAAGAATTGAGTAGTTAATAAAATATATGTGAATGAATTGATAGTTGATAGTTTAAGATTTGCATGATTTATAATATAGGACTAAATTGCTAGGAAACTTGACTGATGGATAAATATTCACAGGTGTTGTATTCGAAGGCTGAATGTTTTGTATTCGATATGCCACCGTTTATCATTGTTAATTTGTTATTCAAACTCACAGTTTCATCAAGTTCACTTAGTACGCAACTACTTCTTTTAGAACTAGTATTCGTTTGATAACCAGAATCCATCGAAGTAGGTCTTGACTAATGTAAAAAATAATAATTAGATATTTTCATCATGTAAATTCTAATTAAAAAAATTAAAGCCAGATTTTCATATTCGGGATTTCACCAGGGTCAATACACACAAGAAGATTTTTTGCCATAATACGCAACATATATATCATCCTACATTCTATCAGCCGTCGAACTTTTCATGAATTTAATGTTAATGGGTAAAGTGTTCGTTTCAGTTCATTTGCGACGTCTGAAATGGGCGAAAGTTTTATATTAAAACTTACATATTCATTACTTCCCCCAGCGCCATAATATCGATATGCAAATATGCGTTTAGCACCTTTGAGAGACAAGTCTTCAGAATCACATATAGAATGAAAAAGGAAAGCAATCAGATAAAAAACCCAGCACGATATTCAATTTTTAAAGAAATCATGGGTTTCAAATTCGTCTAGTTTTTCAGTTTTCACACCCACTTAAATAGATCTTGAAAAAGAGCAAGTATGACACCGTGAAAATTGGTAAGCCGCAATTCTTTATTAATATAGTCTTCAAATTTTGTGAACAAAGACTTATAAATGGTCAACAAAATATAACTTGCACAGAGGATTTGAAGCTTGCACTTGGCAAAAACGAATCGTCTGAGTTCATAACCTTGGGTATACTTTAAGCCTCAAGATGGCCATTTCTCAATTGTCTGATGATTTTCTTTTAACTTTTCCAATAGTTTGCCCTCTTTGATAATAATACAAACATGCAAAATGCACAATTGTGATTAGATTTTTAGATTGAAACTTAAACCTTAATTTTTGCGGTGTTGGCAAGTATGTTTGTGCAAAACAAGCTATGTCGAGTCTATTTCCGGAATAATACATTATTTTTACCTCGACGTTTGGTATCCTTCAAAATGGGCAACGAACTAGATTTCTCTTTATCAGCTTCACTGACATAAGTATATTCTCTTTGGACATGTTCTAATTTAGGACCAGGTTGATCCGAACGTTTCACTTCAGTAACTAATGAATCGACATTGCTCGGTACTCCTTCTTTTGACTCGATAGGAGCAGTATGATGAAGGATTTTACCGGGCAAGGACAAAGTTTTCCTGGAGGGCTCTGGAAAAATTTCTCCGGAACTCATCTCAGGTAGTGCATCGGTAATATCAAGTTTTACATCGTCTCCCTGAAATTCCAGGTAATTTTGGTGGTGTTCATGGATTAATAAGTTTTGTACATGCAAAATATTTGTGCAAAATATTTCTACCTGTCAGCAAGTACAAAGAATCATCTTCATTTACCTGGATGTCCGTATTTGTGCTAACGCCAATGTCTGAAGAAGAATTGGTTTCGCCAATGCTAGTAGTGCTAATACTAGTACCAAGATTTAAAGACGATTTAACGTAATGCACCTAAATAGAAAGTTAATTGTGACCTAAAATCGCCGAATATCTTCACTGTAAGAAACATGCAGTCTGGCATTATTTTCAACGGTATACATAAGTTTCTCCCCATGGATAAGAAAACCAATGATCTGACTTACTGTCATATCTCGCTTTCTAAATTGCCTTTTGCATTTGCGTCTTAGGAATAAACATATAAGAATCCCCAAAATAAAAAGAATAATAGCACCAACAACAGTTGTAGTGATCAAAACCATTTCATTAGAGCCATCACCTTCCGTTGTCCCTGCGAAAAGAAGCAAGATCGAGAAGGGGTAAGGGTATGTTGATCGCAAGACAAACGAGCACACTGCTGGGTAACAGGGGGTTCAATTTAAGATGACACAGCGAACAATGAGGTTGACGACTATAGAGTTGAATACTTTGTTTACAAAATCTCCTTCGACTGTCTAAGAGAAACAACATCTAAATATCTAAAACTCCATATTGTGAATTTGCTCATTGACTGAATGACCCCTGCCAATTTCTTGGACCAATCTACTTTTGAGTCATGCAGAGTACAGACAAATTTATAGTTATTCATTTACCTGGTGTTGTCTTTGGGAATCCCGCCATATATAGCTAAGAAGTTAAGAAAGGAGGTTATCAGTCACTGTCACTAAATGGAAACAAGAACCCGTACAAACGACAAGAGACAAGCAACAAAACAAATCATGCAAACAGTAAACGACCCAATCAATAATACAAACAACAGAAACTGACGACCACTTTGACAAGAAGAAGAACCAGATACAACCATAAATTAGCAGCAACTACAATAGCAACAACAACAACAACAACAACATTTAGCTAAAAAGTTTGCACCTGCAATTAAAGGTAATGGTCTTTAGATGTTAATAGCCACTAGCACTTTATTTTGTGCCTGGAAAATAAATTAAAGAGGTAGTTAAACTCTAATACATCAGGATCAATCAGGTTAAACCCTTATAAATCAGGATCAATAAGATTAAACTCTCATAAATAAGGATCAATAAGATTAAACTCTCATAAATAAAGATCAATAAGATTAGACTCTCATAAATAAGGATCAATAAGATTAAACTCTCATAAATAAAGATCAATAAGATTAAACTCTCATAAATAAAGATCAATAAGATTAGACTCTCATAAATAAGGATCAATAAGATTAAACTCTCATAAATAAAGATCAATAAGATTAAACTCTCATAAACAAGGATCATATCACATATCCGGGTTGTATTTTCTGTCAATGAACAATGTCGCGGTATATTATTGAACTTTAAATTAGTTATCATTCTAAACATGCCAGAGTTAACGAACAAAAGTTAAAGGAACTTAATCATCGTAGGTCATTTAAACCTGGAATGAATATTAATTTACTGCGACCATTTGAGTTTTAATATTCTTGTAAGTTTGCATGGTGACATCAATAAATATTGCACTGTTGAAAGCCCGGGTTAACGGACCGAAAGCTTTGCTGTACTAAATACTACGTAGTGTACCTACGAGTTAATTTGCTTAACTTCAGTTTTTCTTTTAAAATCTACCTCTGTCGTTTTTATATCTAACATGCATGGTGGCACTGATTGAATCTGAGTCCAAGTAGCCTATTTTTCGCAAGTCGCCAATATTAAAGTATTGTTTGATTATTGACACCAGAATATATACAAAAATCTTTGGATAATTAAAAATTGATTTAAACGATGGTAAGTGCTAGATATTATAAGACAAAGGACTCTTTAACTAAGTACTTAGATGTACGTCTGCATTCTAAAAGCACACTCAAACTCATTGAGTGGGAGACCCCCAACAGTGTTGTTACGATTCTATATGAGGATTTCCTCTTTTTATTATTACTGTGAGTTATATAGAGACCTCTAAATGCATATTATTATTACCCTCTTTACTAGGGTCAATTATACATATTTTACAAAGAAACATATAAAATATTCAATCAAACTACACTCATAAAATATAGACCCTAAAAAGGAAAGGTATAAACGGAACTCGAAGAAATATGCAAGATACTTTCCCAAACTTTACTAAAACATTATACTATTTTATTTAACATTACACACAACACTACACACACCCAGTACAATACAATTTAAGTCCTATGACACGAGTAGTCACGAACCAAGGACCACGTACATGACAAGTCAACATCATAAAGAGAATCAGCAATACTAAAGTACCTACGTTTAACTAAACATTTAAAAGAACTAGGACTAGACACAGTGTCTAAACATATATATCTTGACGTACAGTGTTTGACTTTGTAGAATGTACTTTTAGGCGTTACATAGTCTCTTTGATTTTAAGCAATTTTTTTGAACAATATATTCGAGTGGATAATTGCTGCAAAAAACTTCAAAGAGTTTCAATCACTTTCCTTGTTTTAATTCAAAGCTTGAATTTTTTGTGATGTCCTTATTCTTCGAAATTCTCTTGATGATTTTCATACTTAAATTCAGTAAACAGCGCTGTCATGTGGGCGGATAATGAGATGGAAAGATTAGAATTCCTTTGACCACGGGAGTTACGATTTCGTTAGAATCGAAAGTTAAATTGTTTGAAGGATTATGACTTAAAATACTCAAAATCTTTGTGTAAACATTAATAAGGCACTTAGTCAATCAAATATTCCTATATTTCCTTGTATAGCTTCAATCCCCGCTACCATCACATTCTCATACTAAAAAAGCCGGAAATACTCGTAATTCTCGAGTATTTGACGAAACCGAGCAGGAAATGTACCCAAAATATCCGTAGAAAGTTTAGCCGGCCTTCAAAGAATTGTGACTTAATAATTATACTCTTAATCTTTGTGCACACATTTATCAGGGCACTCAGACAATGTATAGAGCTATGTGGCAAATATTTATCTCAACCAGATAATGATACTTGCATGTGACTCGTTTAAGACTATATATCTCATATAAATACATTGTTCGCCTCTTACAAGCATAATCAAATTCCAACAGAAATTTCGCGAATGCTGAGATGCATAGCTATATGCTTTTTTAAGTCGAATCAACTTTACTTGTAAAAATACGTGCACATTAATTACTTCACTTCAGTGTTTTAGAAAAGATACTCTGCAATAACCCACAGTAAAGAAGCTACATAGTAAAATTAGTTAGATATAGCTATACTAATTTTATAGTTATATCGTTCACGAGAAGAATCCTTTAGGTCTTACACGATATTCCGACCTATACTAAATAGAGCCATCGTAGAGGGGAAGAAACTTCAAATGACAAATGCCGGTAGATCGAAAGGTTTACAGATTTTGTTTTTTTAACGCCGATATTGAGATTTCAGATAGCTAAGTGGCATGTGCTTAGCGGTAAAAGATTGTAAAAGTACTGTTTAGTACTGAAAGTACTAAAATTTTATTTCTTCTATTCATGAGATATAATTACAAATAGCTATATAGAAAACTAAGACCTTTGGTAAACGAATTCCTAACAGGGTTAAAGACATTACGTAACCAAAATTGTACTGATCGAAAAAGTCTCCTAACACATACAAATGGATTAGCAAAAATTAAATTTCTCGAAATACATCACTTATTTAGGCTATGTATACGTATAAAAAGACTCAATTTCAAAGCCAGAGTGTTAGCTTTAGAGAATAGATAAAAAATATTGAGCAATATTTTAGTTTATGTTTACGTAGCTACTTCCTTTGCATATGGTAATGCCACTTGGGAAATATGTATTATTTGAGGCTACATCATAGGGAAATACTAGCTAATAGGGAAAATTTTTGAAATACGTGTTATGATCACTGATTATATAGCTACCTGGAGCAATTTAATGCATGGTTGTGAAATGTAGATTCCCAGTTTAATAATGATTAAAGATCACGACTGCCTGGGTTGAAGCTCTCTAAATGTAAACATGCACAGAGCTTTTTGATAAGATAAAAGCATCAACATACCGGCTGTATCCAATAGGCGGGAAACGCCAGATCAACCAGGATCTTGTGATATTGTGTAACAAGGTCACACTGGGGCAATGTCAAGCGGACCAATATCAAAAGTGACGAGGTTTCAAACTCATAACGAATTTTGCCTACAACAACTTCCTCATTCCATCAACATACGAGTTCCCCTATAATTATAAATAAAGTACGTATTTTCTGACGTAATAGCCAAGAATAAATGGTCTATTGAGGACACCAAACGCAAAATGTGATGTAAATTCAGACACAGCAAATAACTGTACAGAATAATAATAATTGTACATAAACACGGCATATAATACCTCGTTCATTGTTCATCGTTCGTTAAATAATGCTAAGAAATTTATAATTTAATTGAATTAAAAATTTGTATAAAAAATCTTTGTCTTGAATTATATTGGAAATTGCATCATTCTATATAGCTAAAATTTACAACCCAATATTTTCTCATCGGTGAAAATGACTCGTTCACGACAATTGTGATTAAATGGGAACCAGACTTTGAGTTCCAAATTTCTTCTAAAGAAAATGCTGTAATTATTACACCGCGATAGAGACAATGTTGATAGACATGTCGATTGTGCAGATCGTTCTAAATCATGCGGCTATCTATATATTAATAGCTAATATAGAACTTATGCATAGCGACCGGTTCTGATCGAACAAGCAAGACAATAACCACATGTGCTATTTCAAAACACTACAATGGTGTAGTGAAAAATGGTGCATGGTAAATGGTGAAAATAGCAAATGGATGGCAACACAAAATCCATGGCTGCTAGCTCTTTGTTCTAGTTTTTAATTTCATAGACCGTGGGAATTAGAGAAAATAGCTACTAAAATACGAAAATCTTGCTGTGGAAACACACGGGTGGCCGGGGAGGGTAAGCTAGTATAATCTGTTTCAGCTTGTTTATAATAAAAGTGTAATTAAATCATAACAAAAGGTTGAGTGGGAAGAGGTTCCACATGAGGGATCCAAGTCTAAACATTTTTAACGGGCTCAGTTTGGCCTCGTTTCTACGATGCTTCAATGTGTCTATTGAAAATTCTCAGGAATAGGTTGAGTAGTTGCGTTCTGTTGCACGAAAGGATTGTGAAATATGGCCTGTGGTAAAATTGCACGCAGCCAATATGCATGACATTCATGCAAATTGGTAATCCAAGGGGATTCCCCTGTCTGATGCTTATCATTTGCATATATATCACCCAGAGCATATTTAATTCCAAAGGGAACAAGACTATGTTTTGGATTTATCTCTGACTCCCTTTAGCCAACTTTTGTCGAATTACATCAGCTATATGCAGCGTGTTTGCATATTAGGCATTATATCATATTAGCATTGAATTCATGCACGTTGCTTATGACTCAAAGCTCATGTAATTCACGCGCAAAATTAAATTCCTAATAGGTATAACGGTACATACAACACAAAATCCCAAAATATAAGCAATAATTTGTGTGTAAATTTACTGTGACGAGAAAGGATTGATAGCAAAAGGCATTTTTGATGTTATGCAATAATCCAGCTTTTTTTTAAGATTTTATAAATATCTTTACAAAGTCTTGGACATGGTATGTTTATTAAGGCTAGCGCTGGTTTTCATATGACATGATTCGTCATAATTTGACATTTGTCGTAATTCACATGACGTAATTTGTTGTAACTCGGTTTTCATATGTCGTATTTCGCATAGCAACGAAATACAACGAGTTACCACATGTAAATTACGATGAATTTTGAGAAATTTTGAAAAAAAGCCTATATGCATGCTATCACCACGTGTATACAAACAATTGTTAATGTCATATCTGCTAACCGCTCAATGAAACACGAGGCAAACTAACGGCCATAAAACCTCTAAATTTTCTTTTAAAGACGTCCCTAATACCTATTATGAATTGTAGAATATTCAGTCAATATTGAATACAAAAGTTTTAGAAAGGCTTACCGGTAAATTAAAGCTTGTTGTTTACTGCATGGTACAAACGCTGCCAGAAAATTCCTTTTCGTAGCGTAGAAATGCATTTTGCAGTAAGTCACGTATATCCTAATGGATTGTTCGACAAATTGATGCTTTAAATTCAGACTGGCGGCTAGTTTTCGGCTAAAACTAGATGAACTAAACAGCATTTTGACCGCACGAGGAAAGACAAAGCCCGTCGACTTCGCCCAAACAAGCACTTTCCTCTGTATGTAGGTACCCTTTCTTTTATCCAACAAGTCCCAAAGGGAATTGTTGTATTGGCAAATTACGCAAACTCGGGTAATTTCTTTTCAAAATTAAATGCAGTTTTCAATCGAATTGTTTGTACTGTTAGTAAACCTTACTTTTGTGAAAGATAAATCTAAAAGTATTATAATATAAGTGCGATATAACGAGAAATTTTATTAGCTAACGCGCGTGAATTGTGAGGCCATAATGCTCGCTTGTAATTTTTGAAATTCTCCCGCCTCTTGTTCAGAAGTAATTAAAGCCCAAAATTTCACAAAACAAGTTAAAAATTTTGACATAAAACACTAAAATGCAATAGTCTGGTACTGAAAACCAAAGCGCTTATGACGGCAAAGAAAGGTTTGCAAAAATTTCAGAAAGAGTTTGAGAATTAATTACTGTCAAACATATAGAGAGAATTTCATTATTGATCTAATAATCAAATTTTGTCTTTGCCGGACCTGTATACACAAACTAGACAGAATTTCCTTGGCTGACTTGACATTTGGGTTGGAGTTGAACCTAAAATAATTATTTACCGTTCAGCCTAAGTCGAAGTTTTATATTTTATATAGTCTGCGAGATTTTTATTATTGCAACAGTTTCGAAGCTATACTAGTGACACTATCCATATTTATTCGCATCAAATGTGATATAACAACTGCCTAAAGAGTTAGTATAATTCTCCTGACGAAGGCCCTCAGGTCGAAACGTCGAGAAGTGTTTTGTCTATTTAGACAGTTGTTATATATATACCACATTTGATGCTAAGTTGTTTGAAGACGCTGCCACGCTGCTCCTTGGTTATATTGGTTGGAACTTATCCATTTTTATTAGTTTTATAGTTACATTGTTATTAACCTGAGATATATTTGTGGATATTATGGAACTCATGGAGCTGAATTTGAAACTCGACGAGATATCACCACTTAGACAAACTCCATTACGTCTATAAGGAAGGAAGGAAGGTCAGATGACTTGACTTTGTAGATGACTTTAACATTACAAGTTTTTCCATTTTCCAGTGAGAATTGGTCGAATCACGTCCAACTTTTTGATCTCTTTCAAGCCTTCTACCAGTTTCTTGCGCGAGAATTCCTTCTTGTGGTTGAAAATAGATAAGATTTTCTCAGCTCGTGAACGATGGTCGCTGTAAATGGCACAGTTGTATCTGATGTCATCTCTTTCTTCCTTGGCGATGTCCATGAGGCCAGCAAGACTGTCCCAGTCAACGGCAATTCGGCGACTTAACCTGGACATTTCACGAGGGGAGAGCCGCTCAGCGTCTTTTTCCGGGAATTTTTCGAGTTGTGTTATTAACTTTTTAATTTCTTCATTATCAGCCTCTTTGATTTGCGATGACGGAATTGGTTTCTTCCATCTAACAATCCCGGTGCGTTTTTTCTGTATAAAAGATTTTCCAAAATCCAAATCAGACGTCAAGGTTAAGGTAGTTAGAATCTACGTAATCAACACTTTCTCACAAAGTTTCTTTCATATACCATAGACTCTGGCGGAACGAGTTTACAATCAAGATTATCCTAGAACTTTCAAGTCGGTGTGAAATGTCACACAACTCGGCCGCTACGGAACATCTCAACAAGAAAATGTTATAACATTGCAATTTATAACACTTTCTCAATACATATGACCTGTCGCGTGTTTCTTCTCGAACAAAAATTATTCAATTTAACAGTTAAGAATTCTGACGTCGGTTACGATTTAAATAAAGTTACTGTGATGTTTAAGTTCTTCTTAATATTGATTCTTCATGTATCGAGAACTGGTCCTATAAATTTGTTAAATTACTTTAATATGTGTGTATGTTTGTGTCTGTCTATTTGTAAGTAAGTTGTGGAGCCCCGTTACTGGAGACTTATCTCTGTGTGGTGATTCCAGCCATTGCGTATATTTATGTGTAGTTCATTGTAACTCTTTACCATGGCAAATTTATAAGTCAAAAATTGAATTAAAATTGCTAACGGGTGGAGTAATGAAAGAGGCAAACCCCGCCTGTATATAGAAGACTCTCTATAGAAGAGCTAGGAATTAATATTACGGAACACATGTTTTCGCGATCGAATCAACAGACTAGAATTATCAGCAAGATTAAATGTACAACAACTAAGTATATTATAGGCTAAGAACTTTAATGAAATGAATAAAGGAGAAATAGAAATCTGTTCCGAATATATGGCGGAAATGTGAGGTTCATGCTAAAATCGTGGTAAAAATCACGAGTTCTCTGAGCATTAAATACCTTCTCCATAGGTTGTAATTTCTTTATTAAGTCATGCCGCCCCAATTCGTCCGCGCACTTCCCAAAAACATCTCGACAAAAGCAATCGCTGTCATTGAAGAGATTAAGAACTTCTTCCGCTTTGGAAGGAGAATCAGGGTATTTCGCGAAGTTTGTTCTGATCTCTTCACGTTCTTCATAAGGAATATCCATGAGGCCGGCAAGACTGTCCCAATCCATCGCCACCATGCGACTCACCCTCGTTATTTCCACTCCTGTGAGTTTCGTGTCCCGGCGTATGACTAGAAATGGAAGAGCGGGATATATTTCGAGCCAACGAATAATGTGGAGTTTATGATATCATCTCCATTAATCAATCAATCATGAGGGTGAACACATGTTATTACATCGGTTTGGCTATATGCATCACTATGAAATGATATCTGGGTTCACATAGAATTATAACACACTTATGAAGTATCATGCATTACATGCACTAATAATAACAACAGTACAAAAAGTGTTTCATCGGTTAATGTCCTTGCATGTAGGATAAAGCAATACTGCACAGAAGTTTTACTTCTTTTAATGTCGTTTTTGTACAAATAGAGCAATGTTTTTCAATCACGTAATTTAATGGTTTAAGTTGATCGGCAAGTGAAAACAAAAAATGGAATGGGGTAGGGGTTTGTTTTTTCAGGTGTGGAGAATATCCAAGTTTAAAAATATTATGCTGGGGGATAACAATATCTACAATAACAAAAGCGAATTTCTCCCAATTTGACGGTTAACTTTTTATTATTAAAAACAAATCTTTCCTAGTTTCGAAATACAGTTCATATTGTAATGTATTCGCAAAAAAATATTGCAAGAAATTTACCGATGAATGTTACAAATGAATGCATAAAAATCAAAAACATACCTTTTGGTTCTGATTCGGCTGCAAAAAATTGTGAAACAATAATTACAATGGAAGGAATTCAACAGGACCAATATAGACTAACCTTTATGAAATCACAAAAATCTCTTTCCCCATAATTATACAGTTACAGTTACAGAACAACGATGTGAAAGAAATGTTCTTGAATTATTATAACGAAAAAATTGGTCAATATAGTTCCACCAGATCTTTCAATGAATAAGAAATATTTTAATCCAGGTTTATGTGCTTTTTAGTAAAAGACTGTAAAAACAACTGAAAATTATTGCTTTACCTTGTTTTTAGTTGTTTTGGACCTTTGGCCAAATAGAGGTCCAATGAATGAATAACAAATTTTATTTAGGTAAGCAATTTTAAAGGCGACATTAGCGTCAATCGAATATCACTTGAGGTGGCCCATATTCATATATTCTGCTAGGCCTAATATATCTTTTGAAAACAATTCACTTTCAAAAGAAATCAGCTTGGCATAACAGAATGTACGATTATATTAATATCGTCCCCTCAATTAACATTCGTTTGACGCCCAAGAAATATACGAATACGAACACCATTTTAAATCGCGTTTAGCAAAATTAAAGAATGAATAATTTAAAAAGAATATAGATTCAATATTTTCGGCCGGAACATTTTAGATACACGACGTTGAAATACATGCACAAAACGGTGAGGTATGTATATATTTGAGTTAAAAATACCTGGTGGAACCAGATTTCTTGGTATTTGTCTGTCTAAAATAAATAATCGCAAATTAGATTATCCTGGATTAAAAAAGGCATAAAAACACATTAAAATCATGTACTGTAATAAAGCAAGATTGTTTCAAATTACCAGTTGATTTATCTTCTTTGGCATCCTGTTCAACAATATTTAGCACCCACGGAAGTTCACTTTCACCCGTTGAATTTTCCTCGGAAAGCACTTCACTTATAGTAACTGTTCCTTTTGCTGGAAATTTAATTGGAACCCCTTTAAAACGGTCGAGCACATAACCGATGGAGTCTAATTGTGGTTGGTCGATATGGAATAGTAAAGGCTCGTCTTTTTGTCCCGGGAAATTCAAGCACATTTGAAGATCACTGTTAATTTGTATACGTTTCGCCGCTCCTCTATCACTTAGGACGTAACCAACTTTTTTAAGATCGTTCAATTGTTTAATGTCTGTATCTTTTTCAACAAATTCACTCACAAATACGACTATAATGTCTATTTTATTTGAAAGTTGTCTTCGATACAAGGCGTATGCAAAGCAAGTGAATGATTTACGGAAGTGACTAAAAATTCTAGCCAATCTTCCGCGCTTTGCCAAAATATAGCAATAGAGGGAAAACCCTTCTATTTTTACATTAACAACTCCTTTTTCCGTATACTCTTGAATCATATCACTAGACACCAGTTCCCAAACAGTCTGTTGGTTATCGCAAATAGAACCACGCAGGATGAATAGCTCATTACCGGGCACGGGGCTTTCATGTTTGAACTGTAGATCAGCTGGTTTCAAGAATTTCAAGTCATTGGGGAGAAATTCAACAACATTCGAAGCCCTTTGAATTAAATCTAAGTCAAACAGTGACTTGAGATCATTGTGTCCGTCGTCTATTCGCGATGTAATTTCGGTATCTTCGGCCAAACAACCGGCATCGATTTGAAGAATGACGTCGGTCAGCTTTATGACACCTCCATCAGTGGTGATCAGATTTGTTGCAACATCTGCTTGCGCTGAAGACATAGAACAGAAAAGGTTCGTCCATTTATTTAAGATGCTGAATGAAAATTAGGCAAAATATTTTGTATAAAAGACTATTATTTACGTTGATTGCAAGATTGCTTTAAGTTACGCTTTGTTTCGTCCCCAGTTTCTTTAGCGACATCTTTATAGCAAAGTGCTGGGGCAGGTTGATACGAGCATTCTGGCGAAACATTTTTGTCGTCTTCCTGCAAAACGCATTTGACACATTACGTGTTGCCTGCATCATAAATGGTTTTAATTAGTTTTAAAATAAGCAATATTTATACCAAGCCGTTCTTCGAAGAGAATCCCTTGCGTTCAGTGTCTAGGCTATCAGTGTCAGGATGAGGATTGATTTCATCAATGTCAGTGATGTTGTCACAACCAAGCTTTGCCGAGGAAATGGTAGACTTTGTGTTCACGAACATGATCAATCACTTCCTGCTATAGCGGCGCCATTGCATGCTGTAACAAAGTATAGCTCTTTGCATTCACAAACAGGGAAAACTACCCATAGGTAAAGATATCATGGTTCACCGTAAATTATATATAAGATATTTAATTCTCGATGTATTTCTATGGATGTTTATACTGCTGTTTGCAAGCTACTATGAGACGTGCTACATTTTCATGTTTGTTTACGTATCAAAAAAATTCGGGTGTGACCGGAAATCGTCAACGTTTCTAAATAGACCAATCAACGTTTTGGCAAGGCTTTGCGAAACGTTGTTTGTTTCAACGTCAAACGTTGATTGGTCTATTAGAAACGTCAACTTCTTCAAACCGAAAGTAAGGACGTTTCCACGATTAAGGGTCATTCAGACAGTATATATACTGGATGTGATTGAATGTTTTCATCTATTTATTTATCGATCAAAGAACTCGTAGCGCGAGGAGACGAAGGGTTAAATAATTCTAGGCCTATCTTTAAGTCGAATTGTCTTTAGAGTAAGTTTTCTGTTGTGAGCCAATGAAATATCCAACTTACAATACATAGAAACAATAATTCCTCATTCTTCGTGCATGTGTTCAGATTTTAGGGTTAATATTTTCAATTGACAGCTTTCAAAAATAATCTGTAGCCATATATAAGATAATATTTAGTGAATCCACACTATTAATTCACGAAAATTAAAATTCACGAATTCACGAAAATTAAGACGAAGCTAGCTATATACTAAGTTTAACTAGTATAGAAATTATTAAGTAAAATTCTATTGAATAAATTTCCAATAATGCATGGGAAAACAAAGTTGACGTTTTAAAACTAAAGATTGTTGTCTTCTTTAAATTTTATAGGTAATTTATATTCCAGATCTGCGAGCACATACATAAGATACTGTGACATTGGATGATGTTCGAAACCATTTGGAAGCAATATTAACTAAGTATGAACTATGACTGGACTTACAGACTGGCTGTAGAATGATAGAATCGGCCCAAGACGCCCAAACGTCGGCAAGCGAAGCGAAAGATTAAATTTCAGGCTTGCAATTCATGGATATATTAAGCAGTATATAAGTACCGAAACGAAAGATTAAATTTCTGGCTTGAAATAGATATATTAAGCGGTATATTAAGTATACTAGTGCAGTTTGCTTCCTCGTAATGCGCTGTCTTTATGCTCCCGTATATATAAATTTTTGAGATATAGGATTTGTCGCAATGAATATTGTGGGGGTCTGATTAAGTTAAGCACATTTATTTCTATAGGATAAGTCATAAGTCTGGGATTTAATCCCAGCTTAATATGATAAAATCTTAAATAGACACCGGCAATGTTCTTGGGCTGTATATTTGCATGCATGCATGCAGCATTTTATTAAGAAAATACGTATAACATACCCGTATCCAATTGGCCGGAGGTTCCAAGTAATCCAAATATTTTTTATCGGGGTATCGCAAGCTGAGAAGTCCAATACCAGCAAGGCAAGTCCAAGACCAAACCAAGACTGTGCATTATCGAAGTTCGCAACAAATACTTAGCCTTTGTATATAGCTTCCTCATACCTCATTAATGATATATAACTTCCCGTGTATATAACGTAAACATATATAAATAATGTGACGTAATGACTATGGGCAATGGTTCTTCATTGCTGAGTCGAGAAATATGAAATCATGAACAGTCTATACTTTGCATATATTTTGCCTCAACTACAGCAGCTAGGATGAACAACCAATTAATCGTCTTCAAAAGCAAGTGTGGCTTATGTGAAGATGAGAAGAGAAAAGTATTAAATGTATGCATGCATAATGCATTACTGCGACAACTTTTATCAGGTCATCTATTGGACAGTTGTTTTTGCATGTCTGGGCAGGTCTGAACTATCTCTCGTCTCCGTTAAAGAATATTGCCTGTCTGTCCTATATATAGCGTATATTTTTCCTAATTTTCATCGGTGTGGTGCTAAACAGAATAATCGATAGCTTCCATTCGTTTTTGTCGTAGTCGTGGATTGTTCAGATTTTCTAACAAGTAAATTGAGAAAATTTTTATACATAATACTTTATAGCGGACCGAAAATTTCCAAACTGTCTACCAAAAATGTTTGCATAATTTAATTAAACCAAACATAAAGCATGTATCAATGAGCCAATAAATTATAGACGATACGATACGATATACAGGGTGTCCCAAAAAAAAGTCCCTGCTATTGAAATGAAGCTTTTGTTGGAATTTGAATGCATGATCAACGCAGTAGTGTGTAAATAGCATATTTATTAGGTTGAGGCATTCAAATAAAGCGTCTTGCTTTCAATTGGGTTTATCATAATATTAAGGCAATCAGATTCGAACAAAGGCTTGATTTCAATAGAGGGGACATTTTTTTGGGACACCCTGTATAACATCGAGTTTGAGGCAAACAACAAACATCTTAGATATACATCAAATATATCTATAAATTGTATTGGTGTCAAGCGGCGGCTAAGAAGTAAAACAACTTTCATGTAAACTTTCCTCGTTTCTGCACGATTTATAGGAAGTCGCAAGCCGGTTTGTATAAATGATAAAAAAATAATACAGCTATACATGTAGTTTCTTTAATAGAGAAGACTCTTTAATAATAGAAACGTGAGGAAGTCTAACAAACGCGAGGTTCAAAATAGCGATTGAAAGAAAAATAGAGCCATTTACTGCAACATTCCTAAGAATTTTATAGCAATCAAGCATGCAGTGGAAATTCACGGGTGGTCATTTTATATATGATGGGTGGCACTTAATGGGGTGCTAATTTGAACGTTCGGAATACTTTGTTAATTGCCGTTGGAACATGTCTCAGCTTGCTTAAAGCACTTGAAGCAGAGTATCAATTAGAGAATAGGGGAATCCCCAATGCCTGCCAAGGTCGTGGATGCATGATTATATGCACACATTTGCATAGGAGTTCGAGATCCCTATTGCATGAACCGTTTTTGCACATGCATGAGACTCATAGTTTTGGAACTCACTCGCGAAATTAAAATAGATTATTAGTATTTATTTTCAAGTCTATATAATTATATCGGTGAACAATTAGGATTAAAAAAGCTATATAATTTATAAAGTTTTGAAGTGCTCTCATATAGCTAGCAAATGTAATAATCCGTCAAATCACGATCCAATTCACTACAAATGGATGTTTTATAGTCCGTTGACTGAGTTTCAATGTCCATTGGCAGCTGAACGAACTATAAAGTCACACTGCTTCATCAATATCAATAACTATAATATTATTTCAAATATCAGGTGCGAATTGGTTCGGACAAAATTGAATATTAACGGACCTTTTCAGGTATCAGGATAAGAACTACGCTATGATTATTATCTATATGATATCTATGACCTATCTATTACGTTACCGTAAAAAAAAACTGTCCAACCCAAACAGTATTATAGGAAATTTATACAGCCGATTGTGCATACAAGCACCTATAAAAAGAAGCAGATCAATGATTAGACTACTGCCATTGCTATGATATAAGAACATATTTAGCCTGGCGTATTTCATTTTCATCACTGGCAAAAAGGAGCAAAGAACTCCGTTTTCGCCAACGAAATAGATTTATCATCTCATTATCCACTGTTGAATTGCATTCGACGAAACAAAAACTATGCGACGTATTAAGGGTGTAATTAAGGCTGTGTAAATGTATGGTAAAAATTGCGGCACAAATCAATGTACTGTTTATTTATTCGTGTATACAGAAATTAAAATAAAATAAAATAGATCCCATTCATAAAACAACGTAATAAGAAAAATCGACTGCAGGCCAGCTAAAGCTGGATTTTATTATTCATGATTAAAACTGCTGTTTTAAGATTACGATCCAAACTTTTCCAGTACAAATTTTAAGTGTCGGTCGGTATCGGACTGACTCACCTCAAAAATTTTGATCCGTTTGTCACAAGATTCTCCACTTTCCTGTTAAAATTGGCTCAACCCACTCGTCTTGACCGATTTCATTCAAGAAGTCAGCCAACGTCTTACGCGAGAAGTTTTCACCGCGGTTGAAAATCGACAAAATCTTCTCAGCCTTAGCGCAGTTATCCTGATATACAAAATAGTTGTATCTAATCTCATCTCGTTCAGCACTCTTTATACCTATAAGACTCGCAAGCCTGTCCCAGTGGACAGCGATGCGCTGGCTGAGTCTGAACATTTCACGAGGGGAGAGAGGAGTGTTTTGTAACTCGTCGGTTTCAGGGTCTTCGGGTTGAGAATTTGTTATCTCCGCACTTCCACCTTCTGTCTGTTAAGGAAACATATTCTCAATGTATGGGTAATACAACTTTAGTTGAAGATTATAGTTTTACACAATGTAGCTAACTAGCTATATTTAAAAGGACAAACTACCCGAGAAAGTAGTTTAGGGGTCAATTCCATCCCAGAACTTCCGAATTTTTTTTACCTTTTTAAAATTTACAGTGCATATAATGGGCGTAGACATTATCTATATATGCTAGTTCACAAAAATGCTGGCAGCACTACATTACACAGGAAACGAAAAAAACCAACCCTAGGGACTTGAAATAGATATAACTTTCGCTTGGTTAACACGAATTATAATCTATTTTTTGAAATTGTGCTGTATTTCATCCGTTATTTTAACTTGTGAAATTTTATTTACCACTTGATCCGCAACGAAATGTCGTGATGGATTGGATTTGTGACTTAACCCAATCTAGTGTATGCTGGTTGGTACAGAATGAATTCAACTTTAACAGAAAATTTCCAACATAAAATACCTCGTCATCCAAGGGAAGCATTTTTTCTTTGACATCGTGTCGCCCCAACTCTTCCAGACATTTTCTAACAGCATGACGACAAAAATCTTCGCTTTTGTTGAAATGTGTTAATATTTGGCCTGCTCTGGAAGAAAATTTTGGATAATTGGCGACGTTCAGTTTGATTTCCTCACGCTTCTCGTACGGGATATCCATGAGCCCACCAAGTCCGTCCCAGTCTATTCCAACTTCACGGCGCATTTTACCTACTTCCTCATCTGTGAGTTTTGTCGTCCTCTGAACACCTGGAAAACATAGTGTGAACTACACACGTTTAGTTAGCTACTGGGAGCGTTTTGTTGGTCATTTGTTAGCTGATAGAAATCGCTGTCACTTTCCCTATACACGTGATTCAGTTATCCCAGAAATATATATTCATATAGAACAGACCCTTTCGATAATTACTTCAATATATACCTTGTGGTTGAGATCCTGAGGTCTCGGGCTGCCCTAAAATAAAATGTGAAAATTTCGGTGAAGACCTGTTTACGTCGTAGGTTAAATTTTCTACATTTTTCTACATAATATTTTATACATACATCTTATACATAGCCAACATTCAATACAATTTTCTACATATATACTCATGCATGCAGTCAAATTCATATGTTGCATACACTGACTGGAAAATCATTGTCCAGTGGAGCATGCCATTAATTATTAAAAAGAACACTTTTAAGCCCCGTTCAAATGCACGTAGCTATATTATAAGCACACTCTGGAGTCAGTGGCGTAGCCAGCCCGACAATTTATAGTCACGCTATGCTAATAATTTGATTATATGAAAACAATGAATTTCTAAAGAAATGAATAATGATAAAACGTAAAATTTGCATAGCATGACTAAATCATCAGGCTGACTACGCCACTGTCTGGAGTATATAGAGACTTGAAAACCCTCTGGTTAAATATTGCTTGATATAACCAGAACTGGTTTAACTAACTGAGACCTTGTTTTAAGTAGGAAATGTGCTAAATTTTAAATAGTATCGTGGGATTTTTAAACAGGTTGTGTGTGGTAAACTATACTCAAATGGATTGACTAGAGGATTTAACCCAGTTTTTAAAGTGTACAGTATGTAAGTTTAAAGCAAAACTATTGCAAAAAAAAAATTATTCACCATAAACGTCTTCATGCGCGATCTGTACAGCCCCATGAACATCAAGCTCCCAAAGACATTCACCGTCTTCACAGGCCTCGCTAATCTTTACCGTTTTATTTTCTCGTTGTTCACTTGCAATTCCTCTGAAATGATTGACGGAAAAACCAACAGAATCCAGCTGAGACCGGTCGATTTTGAAGCGATATGGGTTGGTTTCAACACCAAGAATGACTAAACTCATTACAAGACGACGATTTGTGTGGACGCGCGTCAACCTTCCTTTCTCTCCTCTCTCGTAGCCTTCTCCAATATGATCCTTTAACTGTCTGATGTCTCCTTCCTCACCATCATCAACAAATTCACTTACAATAACAACCACAATATCCATTGTGTTCGCTGGTCGTCTGCGATGCAGGACATAAGCACGGCAGGTAAACGAGTGATTTAAATGACTTAAGATTCGAGCTAATCTCCCGCGCCTCGCTAAAATATAACTGAAAAAACAAAATCCGTAAATTTCCACATTGATGGTTCCTATCTTTTTCTCGTTAATTCCCGAAATGCCGCTGCTCAACAGCTCCCAAACGACTTTATCATAAATGTCGCTGTGATAACCATGTAGAACAAACAGTTCAAGATCCAAGACTTCTACCCGCATAGGTCGGATTGTCAGTTCTGCTGGTTTCAGGAATTTCAAGCCATTTGGAAGAAACTCGACAACGCGTGGCGTATCACGGACTAAGTCTTTCAGTGAAGTGAAATCAAAATGTTGTTCGCCATTTTTCAGCGTGATTTCTGTATCCTCAGCCAAACATCCAGCTCCGATCGTGAGTATGAAGTCGTCTAACTTTACTGCACCTCCCACGATGGTTATAACACCTTCATGATGCCAGCCACCTATTTTAATGTAATATAAAATAAACGAGAGTTGTTCTTTTAATATTTACATAAAATAATATTAAATACTTGTCGTGAATACATATATTCTGGTATAGTTTTGTAATTCATAACATAATAATGAAATCGATTTTTTATTCAGTAAAGAGTAAATGACCAACTGCGAACCAGTTTATATAGAAGAATACTGATACATACTTTCAAAATAAACATCCTCATAATAATCAACACCTGTTTAAAAGCATAAGGCACGTTAAATGGGATGGATTCAAGTTTTACTCTCACGAGCCACGCAAACAAGGGGGCAGAAAAATGGCTGCGGAGCACTTATATGCACTTTTTTTTGCCCTGGGCATAAAGGTTTGGGGGATGTGAGGGTTATCATTATTGAAAAGACCGATGTTGATAAGCCTACACAAAGGGAGGCATTTTGGGTACACAAATAAGATTCGTTTGTACCTTGGGGATTAAATGTAAGAGACTTTGAATAATATGTAGGGTAATTACTATAGGTATATGTATAAAGGACATTAGGCCATTGACTTCTATATTCATCCTTGAAGAAGGGGCATGCCCCGAAACGCAAGAGGTGAATAAATGTTGATATAGTTATTAAAGTTTATTTTGTGATTTACATATATAAATATATATATATATATATATATATATATATATATATTATATATATATATATATATATTTTTTTTTTTTTTATATACACCCATTTGCAAAAACGTTGGCCGCAGATAGATAGATAGATAGATACTCAAAGTCTAATTAGAATTGCATATGAATATATTTGCATGGGATTTGAATCATATTACACAACATATGCAATTCTAATTAGATTTCGGGTATCTATCTATATATCTATCTGCGGCCAACGTTTTTGCAAACGGGTATAATATTATATATATTATATTATATATATATATATATATATATAATTAAATATATAAATATTATATATATAATATATATATTATTATTTATATATATATAATATATAAATAATATATATATATATATATATATATAGATTATATATATATTTTATAATATATATATATATATATATATATATATATATTAACATTCAATCACAATGTAGTGAGAAAATACAGTTGTCAGTAAAGGTAGATGCAGAGAAACAGATTGCTATTTATTCCATTCTTATTCTTTTAAAATGAAGAAAACCACAAAAATCCGAGGTTTGCGAGCCATCACTCCCGGTCAAAACAATGGAAAAATATTTAAGAGGACTTGGGTGTCTTCCAATAGCTCCTTCAATTTCCGCCATCTTTGGCATCACCTACTACTCCATATTATATATAGCTCACTGGGACAAGCACGCGAATTTTCCGCGCTTGTGCACGACACCGCTGTAAAACGGCGGGCGCGGACCAATAATATTTCAGTGAAAATACCATCATGGGGTCGTTAATATGACACCGCAGAAATCGGTTCCCATTTGTGCATTTCTGTTTTGCTCTTGAGTAAAATACTACTGGCACTTGAAATGAGTTCAAATTCCCTTCTAAATACGTGCTGTGCAAACTTTTGAAAGCTAGTAGTGATGTTGGTGGAGGTATACGATAGTGTTGTAATCTGTTCGGTTAGTACAATGGCGTAGAAGTGTTCATGTACAAGTGTTGATATTTTAGTGGTGTAAGAACTAATTTACTGATTATAGACTTGCTGTTCGTTGTTCTCTCCGGTAATCAAGACTCTTTGTACGTATAGTTTTCAGTATAATCTGATGATAGTAAAAGTAAAATATTTAATTCTCGCTACTCACAAATATGGTATACCCCCTACCTGTGGGTGGGGTCGGTATTCTTGGGACTTTTTTCGGAGGTACTAGTAAAAGTAAATTAAATATTTAAGCCTCGCTATTTACAAATATGTGCTAGCGGTTGACATTGTTAGAATATGATTTAACACTATGAGCATGAGTCTTCAGTCTGACAAATAAGTGTGGAAGTAAGCCATGTATTACATATATTATAGAGTGAGGCAACCTGGTCGTGGCCTAAAACTTGAAATCCATCTTAATTTATTATTATTAATAACAATAATGTTGTGATGTAATTGTCAAAAGGTTCTATTGATTAAAGCTATAGTGATGGTCTCAATCAGTTATACGCCTATATATTCTAAAAGCTCATTTACCCTCATACGCATTGAGTGCATGACATAGAAATTTTGTTTTTACTCATCAATGCATGAGAACGTCATTTCTTAGTCAATGGAAAGACTGAAGGTAAAAAAAATGAAAATCAAACTCATATTTCAGTGGAAATACCATCATGGGGTCGTTAATATGACACCGCAGAAATCGGTTCCCATTTGTGCATTTCTGTTTGGCTCTTAATTAAAATACCACTGCATGGCACTGAGTAAGTTGAAACAACTTCAAATTCCCTTCTGAATACGTACTGTGCAATCTTTTGGAAGCTCATGCACCAAAAACATTTGGTAGCTGTGAAATGTCCATTTTGAAATTAAGTATATACACAAGATTTGTTTTCTACATGTGCAAGCTTCAAATCTTTTGTGCAAGACATATTTTGTTGAGGATTTATAAATCTTTTTGCTCCCCAAATTTGAAGTCTAAGTATAACGAATTGCGGCAAAGTCTATATGAATGCAAACCAATTTCGGCTATTCCCGTTACAATGAGATTGCCATTTCCAATTCAATGGATTTTTGAGAAACAGCGAACTTCTAATACAGGCATTACTCTTAAAACAGAAATTTAGACAACAATTCGTTTCTGGGGCCAGGACTGTATCTAGAAGCTTAATTTGGGGGGGGGGTGTATTTTCATATATTTGTCTTATGCCCGAATGTTTTCTTTTGTATACTATTGTTCTCAATGATATGTAAACATTAATATATGAATATACACCCTCCCCAATTAAACTTCTAGTTACCGCCCTATCTGGGTCTGATCATAGATAGGAACTAGGGATCCAAGGATAGTGCAAAGTTTCCATGCCCAAACATTTTGATTTATGCCAGTAAAATATAATGAACTAGGTTAAACATTAATGAAAAGGAAATTACTCAAAGTACTCAAGTTAGTGAAGTTACGTTAGTCGCAGCATAGGCAGCCCATGCAATGGCGAATGGTTTTATTTGATTTAAAAATGTACACTTTCATGAAATTCACACATATGTCATTTATTTACATGCTAATATACTTAAATCTTGTTACTTACAACAGGCGACTTGCTTGTCTGACAAGGCAATGTAGGTAGCTATTATATAGTATAATAATCCTAAGGTAGGCAACTTCAATCACAATATTCACATGCACACATGCAAACAGTCCGAAAATACGTCAATTTATCCCTAAAACTAAGCTAAAATAACAAGAGAAATGAAATCTACGATAATTTTACTATACACTGACTATATTTTAATAATTAAAACAAGTTATGGAACTAATGGAAGCGAGAAAAATGCGAAAAGTTTGTTGACTTTTGAGAACGTTTGAAAATGACGAATTTGCTATCTGATTGGCTGTCACAACAGCGAGAACAAAAACAGGCAATGAGATTACAAACTCGTCATTTTCAAACGTTCTCAAAAAGTCAACAGCGCGGGTCCAGCATCGGCCCATTCAAAAAATGAGTATAAAATCATAGGCGGCCCAGAACTGATCTCGCTGACCTTGCGCGACGCTCATGTTGTCTGAACAGTCTTTTATTATGACTGTTCAGACAACATATGAGCGTCGCGCGAGGTCAGCAAGATCAGTTCTGGGCCGCCTATGATAAAATATCAAAAACTTTTCGCATTTTTCTCGCTTCCATAACTTATTTTCATTATTAAAATATAGTCAGTGTATAGTAAAATTATCGTAGATTTCATTTCTCTTGTTATTTTAGCTGAGTTTTAGGGATAAATTGAAGTATTTTCGGATTGTTTGCATGTGTCCATGTGAATATTCAATATTGTGATTGAAGTTGCCTACCTTAGGATATATTTTAGTTGCTCATGTAAACCGGGCACGATTTTCTCAGTTTAGTCTCTTTTCTTCGTCAAACAACTGTGACGAAGTGTACATTCACTACATTTATATGATGGCAACAATTTATTCGTCATTTCATAAGAACAGCAAAAATAGTTGCGTTGTAAATAATGTAAATAAACCGCATTGCATATTATATCTATGATGTGGAACGTCGACGCGTAAATCGATACAAAACAATATACTTATAATCAATACTGTATACCGCTAAAATGATCTAATTACTGCACAAAATGTCGGTTTTGTATAGTATCATTTATGTACTGTATGCAGAATATCAGGACCGACTTGCTATTGACATAATATATATTCGTGTAAGAGATCTATCAAATTATTAATACATAAACAACACAGCGTCATTTCGTTCTATCCTCTTAGCTCTATTTATGGAATAAACCTTCCAAATTATACTTGTGTTGAATTGAATGCTCGTAATTCATAACATAAGTTGATAAATTGCGTAGATTCTCAAAGAATTGCTCGATTTTTACGCCCGAATGTTTTGAAGCAATGCTCGTCGCTCCTGGCTTCTTCACATTGTGAATAATATTCAAGGCTCGACAGCCCATGCGCAGTTGCGACGTATAAGAAAAAATCGGGTGTTCCGGGGGCAAATCTCTTTAAAACAAAACCCAAACCACGAAAAAACAATGCTTCAAAATTTACAGTAACGGTCAAAATTCATCAATATTTTGGTGAAATTAGCAAAAGGGATAGTGCATTAATAAATAAAGCAAGTTAAACTGATTTAAAAACTTTAAATTACAGATCATGTACAAAAAGTTACTAAAAGCATAAAATAAACTACCCCCCGGAAAGTTTACACTATGACCGTATGAATGACTGATGTGAATTTCCCTACTCATCACAATACTGCAAAGTTTCTTTGAAACTTTGCACTAAAAAGGAAAACAAAGCTTCACAAGTCCAGCTATAGAGAAATATAGAAGAATACTTACCATGGAAAGCTGCACAACGACGATCACCTGCGTGTTTAAAAGCATAAAGCATAAACTTTTGCGAAATCAGTGATGAAAATAAGAAATATAAACCACCCAGATGAAGAAATTGATTCATTCCTTTCACAATATTCTCAGCTAATAGACCCTTACGATAACGTCACAACATTATCGTTATTAATTTAGAACCACCTTAAATGAGATGGATTCAAGTTTTACTGTCACGAGCCACGTGCAAAGATGCAAAACATCCTTCTTCCACACATGCATGAAAAATATTTTCTCATTTTGACAAATAAGTGCGGACACAAGCCATATATATTACTGGAGGAATGAGGCTTCCTGGTCATGGGCTAAAACTTGAAATCCATTTTATTTAAATCTGAACGTTCAAAGGGTCCTCATCTCGAGTGGAATTATACACATTTCAAATCGGCATCGGAAAAGCGTAGATTCGATTCCTGCCGGAGGACCTATAGTTGACTTATTTTCCATCAACTGTTCCTGGCTTGAATTTGAAATGTGTATAATTCCACTCGAAATTAAGACCCTTTTAACGTTTAAAATTAACATTTAGAATTTACCTGCATCGAGTGAAGTGAAAAAAATCACAACTTATTTAAATGTGGTTCTAAACTTAAAACGGTAATGCTCTGACGTAATTATCGAAAGGTTCTATTGATTGAATTTACTATAGTGATGGCCTCAATCACTTATACGCCTTTATTCTAAAAGCTCATTTACTCTCATACTCATTGAGTGCATGACATAGAAAATTTGTTTTTACTGATCAATGCATGAAAACGTCCTTTCTAAGTCAATGGAAAGACTGAAGGTAAAAAAACTGAAAATCAAACTCATATATTTCAGTGGAAAAACCATCATGGGGTCGTTAATATGACACCGCAGAAATCGGTTCCCATGCATTTGTGCATTTCTGTTTTGCTCTTAAGTAAAATACCACTGGCACTTGAATAAGTTCAAATTCCCTTCTGAATACGTACTGAGCAAACTTTTGAAAGCTAGTAGTGATGTTGGTGGAAGTATACGATAGTGTAGTAATCTGTTCGGTTATTACAATGGAGTACAAGTGTTCATGCATGTACAAGTGTTGATATTTTAGTGGTGTAAGAACTAATTTAATATGGACTTGCTGTTCGTTGTTTTCTCCTGTAATGTAGACTCTATATATGTATGTGTAGTTTTCAGTATAATCTGATGATAGTAAAAGTAAAATATTTAAGCCTCGCTATTCACAAGTATGATATACCCCCTACCTGATCGTACGATCAATATTCCTGAGACTTCGCTCGGAGGTACTAGTAAAAGTAAATTAAATATTTAAGCCTCGCTATTCACAAATATTTGCTTGCGGTCGACATTGTTTGAATATGATTTAACATTATGAGCATGCAATTAGTTTAATCACAGGTTTAATAACTCGTTAATTCACTGCATAACATCGTATTTGCTAAAATATCGTCATGGTGCAACATATTAATATTTGGAAAATATTTATATTCTAAAACAAATCGCAAATCTTGCACAATCGTAATCTTCAGTCTTCAGTCTGCCCCCTCGAGGCCTGAATTATTCTGGATATCCTGCGAAAACTGAATTCAATGATTGTTTTATCATTCATTAGATTTTGAAAAATAAGCATATGAGCATAAAGAAATGGTATGCATGAAAACACGGAGTCGGAGTTTCGGAGTACGGAGTCCCGGAGTCCCGCAGTGAAGTGTCCAAAACTTTAAAACACGGAGTGGTAAAAACACGGAGTCGACGTAAAAACACGGAGTCGACGTAAAAACACGGAGTTCACGTAAAAACACGGTTTTTACTCAATATTTTTATTCTATATGTGGTTGCAGGTATTCAGATCCTGTGGAGATGGCTATGCCCTCATTGCAGGGGTGTTGGAGGGTGCCTTTTGAAGATGAGATGATTGGCAATGTGGCAATGATGAAGATTGATGATTGGTAACATTTTATGTGATTCCGTTATAGGAATTGTAGAATGCAGAATATTGTGGATAATTGTGGATTTGAAAATTATATTTATGAAATGCTACGAATATGTGTTTGTTGTTTGGAAAAACCCGGGTGCAATATGGAAACGCGTGAGATGCCTTGGCCAGAATGAACGCCGGTTATTGCCATTCTGGTCAAGTCCCTTTCGTTTGTTTTTCGTTGAAAACTGTAGTTATGTTTCATCAGGCTTCAAGCATAACTAGGAAAAGCACGTTTCTAACCCGCTAGCAGGTCTTGGAACGGCGTGCTCGCATATGTGATTTGTGGTAATGAGCGAAAAATGTGTGACGTGAATTCGTGGCGAGATCGGTGATGATGATGAAGTCCAAATATACATGAGCATGCTGTTTATCCGTTAAGTAGTGGGCTGTTCATTTGCTATTGGGGGCTAATCCTTGAATCGATTGGTTCCTGTTCTCTGAATTGATTGGTTCCATAAAACATCCCCAATGTGTGGTGATTTTGTGAGAAAGGGTGGTATTCAATCCCACGTGTATTCCCGTTGATGAAATTATTAAAGCGCGGCATGGGAGGGTGCCGGGGAAAATGATCATCATCATTGCCACATTGCCAATCAATAACCTCATCCTCAAAAGGCACCCTCCAACACCCCTGCAATGAGGGCATAGCCATCTCCACAGGATCTGAATACCTGCAACCACATATAAAATGATAATATTGAGTAAAAACCGTGTTTTCACGTGGACTCCGTGTTTTTACGTGGACTCCGTGTTTTTACCACTCCGTGTTTTAAAGTTTTGGACACTTCACTCCGGGACTCCATACTCCGGGACTCCGTACTCCGACTCCGTGTTTTCATGCATACCTAAACAAATCGTAACTATTGAAAACAAATTTATTAGTCTTCTTTCAATAATAATGTTGTGACGTAATTATCGAAAGGTTCTATTGATTAAAGCTATAGTGATGGCCTCAATCAGTTATACGCCTATACAGGGTGTATCAAAAAAAATGTCCCAAATGTTAAATTTCCGTTTTTCAGGATTTTTTGCAAAATTTGGCAAATTTTTGTGTTCCTAGAGATAGTTAAGACTTATCTGGTATACCTAGGCCAAGTTTGGTTTTTCATTAACAAAATTACGTTACCGGGGGGGTGGTTCCTTTCCACTGATATTGAGAGGGCTTGCGCGCGAAAATGTGAAGCTGAAATTGAGATATTATTTAGCTGTCTAAAAGTAGGAAAGCTTTTTAATAAACTGTCAAAGTTTCAGGAAAAATAATGCATACTTGGAGCAACGCGCGACCCCTAAAAGTGACAAATATTTCATTGCGCGCAGTGGATTAAATGCATCGTTGATTTTAGCGTGACCGATCTCATGTAAGGTTGGGAAAATGAATAAATTAAAGTGAGAAACTGAACACAAAAACAAAGCAATTTATTCGTGATGTTAATCCTCAGCATGTCCACTATTTCATTCTAAGCAAACTGCGGCTTGTCTGAGCGTACTAAACACTGAACAGCGAGCCATTTGTCTGTCCATTCGCCTAGATTTGCCGGTGGTAGCGTAGGCGATTTGCAAGAAAGAATTTCGAACGAAATGTACAATAGGAGGCAGGACAGACAAATGTGGTTCGCCGTTCAATGGTTGATTTTAGCGTGACCGATCTCATGCAAGGCTGGGCAAATGAATAAATTAAAGCGAGAAACTGAACAAGAAGCCCAAGCGATTTAATAACAAGATTTTTATTCTTGATGTTAATCCTCAACATTTCCATCATTTCTTTCTAAGCAAACTGCGGCTCGTCTGAGCATGGTAAACAGCATTTAATCCACTGCGCGCAATGAAATATTTGTCACTTTTAGGGGTCGCGCGTTGCTCCCAGTTTGCATTATTTTTCCTGAAACTTTGACAGTTTATTAAAAAGCTTTCCTACTTTTAGACAGCTAAATAATATCTCAATTTCAGCTTCACATTTTCGCGCGCAAGCCCTCTCAATATCAGTGGAAAGGAACCACCCCCCCGGTAACATAATTTTGTTAATGAAAAACCAAACTTGTCCTAGGTATACCAGATAAGTCTTAACTATCTCTAGGGACATAAAAATTTGCCAAATTTTGCAAAATATCCTGAAAAACGGAAATTTAACATTTGGGACATTTTTTTTGATACACCCTGTATATTCTAAAAGCTCATTTACGAGGATACGCATTGAGTGCATGACATAGAAATTTTGTTTTTACTCATCAATGCATGAGAACGTCATTTCTTAGTCAATGGAAAGACTGAAGGTAAAAAAACTGAAAATCAAACTCATATTTCAGTGGAAATACCATCATGGGGTCGTTAATATGACACCGCAGAAATCGGTTCCCATTTGTGCATTTCTGTTTTGCTCTTGAGTAAAATACTACTGGCACTTGAAATAAGTTCAAATTCCCTTCTAAATACGTGCTGTGCAAACTTTTGAAAGCTAGTAGTGATGTTGGTGGAGGTATACGATAGTGTTGTAATCTGTTCGGTTAGTACAATGGCGTAGAAGTGTTCATGTACAAGTGTTGATATTTTAGTGGTGTAAGAACTAATTTACTGATTATAGACTTGCTGTTCGTTGTTCTCTCCGGTAATCAAGACTCTTTGTATGTATAGTTTTCAGTATAATCTGATGATAGTAAAAGTAAAATATTTAATTCTCGCTACTCATAAATATGGTATACCCCCTACCTGTGGGTGGGTTCGGTATTCTTGGGACTTTTCTCGGAGGTACTAGTAAAAGTAAATTAAATATTTGAGCCTTGCTATTTACAAATATGTGCTAGCGGTCGACATTGTTAGAATATGATTTAACACTATGAGCATGCAATTAGTTTAATCACAGGTTTAATAACTCGTTAATTCACTGCATAACATCGTATTCGCTAAAATATCGTCATGATGCAACATATTAATATGCGGAAAATATTTATATTCTAAAGCAAATCACAAATCTTGCACAATCGTAATCTTCAGTCTTCAGTCTGACAAATAAGTGTGGAAGTAAGCCATATATTACATATATTATAGAGTGAGGCAACCTGGTCGTGGCCTAAAACTTGAAATCCATCTTAATTTATTATTATCAATAACAATAATGTTGTGACGTAATTATCGAAAGGTTCTATTGATTAAAGCTATAGTGATGGTCTCAATCAGTTATACGCCTATATATTCTAAAAGCTCATTTACCCTCATACGCATTGAGTGCATGACATAGAAATTTGTTTTTACTCATCAATGCATGAGAACGTCATTTCTTAGTCAATGGAAAGACTGAAGGTAAAAAAAATGAAAATCAAACTCATATTTCAGTGGAAATACCATCATGGGGTCGTTAATATGACACTGCAGAAATCGGATCCCATTTGTGCATTTCTGTTTGGCTCTTAATTAAAATACCACTGCATGGCACTGAGTAAGTTGAAACAACATCAAATTCCCTTCTGAATACGTACTGTGCAATCTTTTGGAAGCTCATGCACCAAAAAAATTTGGTAGCTGTGAAATTAAGTATATACACAAGATTTGTTTTCAACATGTGCAAGCTTCAAATCTTTTGTGCAAGACATATTTTGTTGAGCATTTATAAATCTTTTTGCTCCCCAAATTTGAAGTCTAAGTATAACGAATTGCGGCAAAGTCTATATGAATGCAAACCAATTTCGGCTATTCCCGTTACAATGAGATTGCCATTTCCAACTCAATGGATTTTTGAGAAACAGCGAACTTCTAATACAGGCGTTACTCTTAAAACAGAAATTTAGACAACAATTCGTTTCTGGGGCCAGGACTGTATCTAGAAGCTTAATTCGGGGGGGGGGGTGTATTTTCATATATTTGTCTTATGCCCGAATGTTTTCTTTTGTATACTACCGCTCTCAATGATATGTAAACATTAATATATGAATATACACCCTCCCCAATTAAACTTCTAGTTACCCCCCTATCTGGGTCCGATCATAGATAGGAAAAAGGAAAACAAAGCTTCACAAGTCCAGCTATAGAGAAATATAGAAGAATACTTACCATGGAAAGCTGCACAACGACGATCACCTGCGTGTTTAAAAGCATAAAGCATAAACTTTTGCGAAATCAGTGATGAAAATAAGAAATATAAACCACCCAGATGAAGAAATTGATTCATTCCTTTCACAATATTCTCAGCTAATAGACCCTTACGATAACGTCACAACATTATCGTTATTAATTTAGAACCACCTTAAATGAGATGGATTCAAGTTTTACTCTCACCTGCCACGCGCAAAGATGCAATACATCCTTCTTCAACACATCCATGAAAAATATTCTTTCATTTTGACAAATAAGTGCGGAAACAAGCCATATATATTACTCGAGTGTGAGGCGCCCTGGTCGTGGGCTAAAACTTGAAATCCATCTTATTTATATGTTCAAAGGGTCTTAATCTCGAGTGGAATTATACACACTTCAAATCGGCATCGCAAAAGCGTAGGTTCGATTCCTGCGGGAGGACCCATAGTGAACTCATTTTCCATCAACTGTTCCTATCTTGAATTTGAAGTGTGTATAATTCCACTCGAGATTAAGACCGTTTGAACGTTTAGAATTTACCTGCATCGAGTGAAGTGCCAAAAATCACAACTTATTTAAATGTGGTTCTAAATTTAAAACGATAATGCTCTGACGTAATTATTGAAAGGGTCTATTGATTGAATTTACTATAGTGATGGCCTCAATCACTTATACGTGTGTATTCTAAAAGCTCATTTGTACTCATGATCATTGAGTGCATGACATAGAAAATTTGTTATTACTGATCAATGCATGAGAACGTAATTTCTTATTCAATAAAAAGACTGAAGGTAAAAAAACTGAAAATCAAACTCATATTTCAGTGGAAATACTATCATGGGATCGTTAATATGACACCGCAGAAATCGGTTCCCATTTGTGCATTTCTGTTTTGCTATTAAGTAAAATACCACTGGCCCTTGAAATACGTTCAATTCCCCTGCTGAATACGTACTGTGCAATATTTTGAAAGCTCACCAAAAACATTTGGTAGCTGTGAAATGGCCATTTTGAAATTAAGTATATACACCCGATTTGTTTTCACCGCGTTACCCCCACCACGTAATACGGGCGTTACTCAAAAACAGAAATTTGGACAACAATTCGTTTCTGGAGCCAGGACCGTATCTAGAAGCTTAATTCGGGGGGGGGGGTGTATTTTCATATGTTTGTCTTATGCCCGAATGTTTTCTTTTCTATCTTATTGTTCTCACATGATGTGTAAACATTAATATATGAATATACACCCTCCCCAATTAAATTTATAGTTACGGTCCTATCTGGGTCTGATCATAGGAAAAAAGAAAAAAAAGCATCACAAGTCCAGCTATAGAGAAATATAGAAGAATACTTACCATGGGGGACAGCAACAGAAAGACTACCTGAGTGTGTAAGATGTGGTTCTAAATTTAAAACGATAATTCTGTGACGTAATTATCGAAATGGTCTATTGATTGAATTTACTATTTTATTTTGGCTATTTTCTGATCTTTTTGTGTGGGAAATGATAGAATTTTTAATTAAAGTTAAGTGCTGATGCTCTGTGTTAGGATATATTTAAGTTTCACTTAAATTTGCCATAAGAAAGGAGCAATATCTCAAGAGAAGTGAGTGTAGGTTGTTGACGTTCTCGCAAATAGCAGAATACACTCAAATAACGCAAATAAAGCGTTACCTTATCTCAGTTTTAAGAGCTAAGATGTGTATTAAGTTGTCTTCCATAAAAACAATAACTTATCAAAAGAAATTATCCGAAACATACGAGATTCAAAATACAAGAGAAAATATGGCATTTTTAAACGAACATTTCATGCAGGAAGAAAATCTATAAAAACTGCCCCATGCTATAGGACGATTGGCAAAAATAAAGGAATATCAGTGTCTTTAAACTGTGTCAAAATTACAAGGTAAAAAACAAAATTTACTCGAAAGGCAAAGCAAAAGTTTTAAGCGTACTTGTACTGGTCGACAGCGAAAAATTCATATTTACTCACACTGTAGTGGAAAAATACAGTTTTCAGATAAGGTAGTTGCAGAGAAAAAGATTGCTATAAAAAATCTACATTTTTTCCATTCTTATTCTTTTAAAATTAAGAAAACCACAAAAATCCGAGGTTTGTGAGCCATCACTCCCGGTCAAAACAATGAAAAACGTAGGAGGACTAGGATGTCCTCTAATAGCTCCTTCAATTTCCGCCATCTTTGGCTTCACTCTTAGCAACCAAGTTACTATATTCCATATTATATATAGCTCACTGGGACAAGCTTGCGAATTTCCCGCGCTTGTGCCCGACACCGCTAAAACGGCGGGCGTGGACCAATAATATTTCAGTGGAAATACCATCATGGGATCGTTAAGACGACACCGCAGAAATAGGTGTTTATGGACTTTCAACTTGAAACATGCACTGAATATAGAAGAATACTGGTACATACTTTCTAGATCATCTGCCTCATAACCCAAACCTGTTTAAAAGCATCAAGCATAAAATTAGAACCACGTTAAATGGGATGGATTCAAGTTGAAGTCCAGCTATAGAGAAATATAGAAGAATACTTACCACGGGGGACTGCAACAGAAAGACTACCTGATACTACGATAATGCTCTGACGTAATTATCGAAATGGTCTATTGATTGAATTTACTATAGTGGTGGCCTCAATCACTTATACGCGTGTATTCTAAAAGCTCATTTGCACTCATACTCATTGAGAGCATGACATAGAAATTTTGTTATTACTGATCAATGGATGAGAAAACTGAAAATCAAACTCATATTTCAGTGGAAATACCATCATGGGGTCGTTAATATGACACCGCAGAAATCGGTTCCCATTTGTGCATTTCTGTTTTGCTCTTGAGTAAAATACTACTGGCACTTGAAATAAGTTCAAATTCCCTTCTAAATACGTGCTGTGCAAACTTTTGAAAGCTAGTAGTGATGTTGGTGGAGGTATACGATAGTGTTGTAATCTGTTCGGTTAGTACAATGGTGTACAAGTGTTCATGTACAAGTGTTATATTTTAGTGGTGTAAGAACTAGTTTACTGATTATAGACTTGCTGTTCGCTGTTCTCTCCGGTAATCAAGACTCTTTGTACGTATAGTTTTCAGCATAATCTGATGATAGTAAAAGTAAAATATCTAATGCTCGCTACTCACAAATATGGTATACCCCCTACCTGTGGGTGGGTTCGGTTTTCTTGGGACTTTTCTCGGAGGTACTAGTAAAAGTAAATTAAATATTTGAGCCTTGCTATTTACAAATATGTGCTAGCGGTCGACATTGTTAGAATATGATTTAACACTATGAGCATGCAATTAGTTTAATCACAGGTTTAATAACTCGTTAATTCACTGCATAACATCGTATTTCCTAAAATATCGTCATGGTGCAACATATTAATATGCGGAAAATATTTATATTCTAAAGCAAATCACAAATCTTGCACAATCGTAATCTTCAGTCTTCAGTCTGACAAATAAGTGTGGAAGTAAGCCATATATTACATATATTATAGAGTGAGGCAACCTGGTCGTGGCCTAAAACTTGAAATCCATCTTAATTTATTATTATTAATAACAATAATGTTGTGACGTAATTATCGAAAGGTTCTATTGATTAAAGCTATAGTGATGGTCTCAATCAGTTATACGCCTATATATTCTAAAAGCTCATTTACCCTCATACGCATTGAGTGCATGACATAGAAATTTTGTTTTTACTCATCAATGCATAAGAACGTCATTTCTTAGTCAATGGAAAGACTGAAGGTAAAAAAAATGAAAATCAAACTCATATTTCAGTGGAAATACCATCATGGGGTCGTTAATATGACACTGCAGAAATCGGTTCCCATTTGTGCATTTCTGTTTAACTCTTAATTAAAATACCACTGCATGGCACTGAGTAAGTTGAAACAAGTTCAAATTCCCTTCTGAATACGTATTGTGCAATCTTTTGAAAGCTCATCAAAAACATTTGGCAGCTGTGAAATGGCTATTTTTAATAATTTTCAACACAAGGTTTTTAATTCAGACGATTTGTTTTTACCGTGTGCATTCAATGTGCATTCATTGGATGTTGAAAAACAAGCACGGGAGTATGAACAAATCGTAAATATTCAAAACAATTTATTAGTCGTATTTCAATAATTACATTCAATTTTCAAAAATAGTATTTTGTAGACTTCGTGTTTTTCGAGTCTTTATGAGCGAGTAATTTTTCCATTTCCCGCCTTGAAACTGATGTGAAATGAGCACTTGTGCTTGCAGCCATTGTAAATTTTATTGTGTAAAAGAGAGGACAAGCTCGCGAATTTTCCGCGCTTGTGCACGACACCGCTGTAAAACGGCGGGCGCCGCCCAATAATATTTCAGTGGAAATACCATCATGGGGTCGTTAAGATGATACCGCAGAAATCGGTGTTTATGAACTTTCAACTCGAAACATGCACTGAATATAGAAGAATACTGGTACATACTTGCTAAAGTTTCTACCTCAAAATCATCATCTGTTTAAAAGCATAAAGCATAAAATTAGAACCACGTTAAATGGGATGGATTCAAGTTTTACTCTCACGAACTACGTGCAAAGATTCAAAACATCCTTCTTCAACACATGCATGAAAAAAGTTTCATTTTGACAAATAAATGTGGAAATAAGCCATATATTACATAATTATATTATAGAACGAGGCAACCTGGTCGTCGCCTAAAACTTGAAATCCATCTTATATATAATTATTAATTACGATAATGTTGTGACGTGATGGCCTCAATCAGTTATACGCCTGTATTCTAAAAGCTCATTTACCCTCATACTCCCTGATTGAGTGCATTACATAGAAATTTAATATAGATCTTTGAGGACCGGGACCGTATTTATAAAAATTTGCTTTGTTCCCCGCTAAAAATCTTTGTGTCTCTGTTAGGCTGGTAGTGATGTTGGTGGAGGTATACGATAGTGTTGTAATTTCTTCTGTTAGTACAATGGTGTACAAGTGTTCATGTACAAGTGTTGATATTTTAGTGGTGTAAGAACTAATAATTAATATGGACTTGCTGTTCGTTGTTTTCTCCGGTAATCAAGACTCTATGTATGTGTAGTTTTCAGTATAATCTGATTATAGTAAAAATAAAATATTTAAGCCTCGCTACTCACAAATATGGTATACCCCCTTCTCTGTGCTTAAGGACGATGTGCTTGAGACACTTCTCAGAGATCCTAGTAAAAGTACATTAAATATTTAAGCCTCGCTATTCACAAATATGTGCTTGCGGTCGACATTGTTAGAATATGATTTAACACTATGAGCATGGAATTAGTTCAATCACAGGTTTAATAACTCTTTAATTCACTGCATAACATCGTATTTGCTAAAATATCGTCATGGTGCAAAATATTAATATTCGGAAAATATTTATATTCTAAAAAAAATCACAAATCTTGCACAATCGTAATCTTCAGTCTTCAGTCTGCCCCCTCGAGGCCTGAATTATTCTGGATATCCTGCGAAAGCTGAATTCAATGATTGTTTTATCATTCATTAGATTTTGAAAAATAAGCATATGAGCATAAAGAAATGGTATGCATGAAAACACGGAGTCGGAGTTTCGGAGTACGGAGAGTCCCGGAGTGAAGTGTCCAAAACTTTAAAACACAGAGTGGTAAAAACACGGAGTCGACGTAAAAACACGGAGTGGACGTAAAAACACGGAGTCCACGTAAAAATACGGAGTTCACGTAAAAACACGGTTTTTACTCAATAGTTTTATTTTATATGTGGTTGCAGGTATTCAGATCCTGTGGAGATGGCTATGCCCTCATTGCAGGGGTGTTGGAGGGTGCCTTTTGAAGATGAGATGATTGGCAATGTGGCAATGATGAAGATTGATGATTGGTAACATTTTATATGATTCCGTTATAGGAATTGTAGAATGCAGAATATTGTGGATAATTGTGGATTTGAAAATTGTATTTATGAAATGCTACGAATATGTGTTTGTTGTTTGGAAAAACCTGGGTGCAATATGGAAACGCGTGAGATGCCTTGGCAAGAATGAACGCCGGTTATTGCCATTCTGGTCAAGTCCCTTTCGTTTGTTTTTCGTTGAAAACTGTAATTATGTTTCATCAGGCTTCAAGCATAACTAGGGAAAGCACGTTTCTAACCCGCTAGCAGGTCTTGGAACGACGTGCTCGCATATGTGATTTGTGGTAATGAGCGAAAAATGTGTGACGTTAATTCGTGGCGAGATCGGTGATGATGATGAAGTCCAAATATACATGAGCATGCTGTTTGTCCGTATGTAGTGGGCTGTTTGTTTGCTTTTGGGGGCTAATCCCTGAATCGATTGGTGCCTGTTCTCTGAATGGATTGGTTCCATAAAACATCCCCAATGTGTGGTGATTTTGTGAGAAAGGGTGGTGTTCAATCCCACGTGTATTCCCGTTAGTGAAATTATTAAAGCGCGGCATGGGAGGGTGCCGGGGAAAATGATCATCATCATTCCCACAATGCCAATCATCTCATCTTCAAAAGGCACCCTCCAACACCCCTGCAATGAGAGCATAGCCATCTCCACAGGATCTGAATGCCTGCAACCACATATAGAATAAAAATATTGAGTAAAAACCGTGTTTTCACGTCGACTTCGTGTTTTCACGTCGACTCCGTGTTTTTACGTGGACTCCGTGTTTTTACGTCGACTCCGTGTTTTTACGTGGACTCCGTGTTTTTACGTCGACTCCGTGTTTTTACGTGGACTCCGTGTTTTTACGTCGACTCCGTGTTTTTACGTCCACTCCGTGTTTTTACTACTCCGTGTTTTAAAGTTTTGGACACTTCACTCCGGGACTCCGTACTCCGACTCCGTGTTTTCATGCATACCTAAACAAATCGTAACTATTCAAAACAAATCTATTAGTCTTCTTTCAATAATAATGTTGTGACGTAATTATCGAAAGGGTCTATTGATTGAAGCTATAGTGATGGCCTCACTCACTTATATGCCTTATTCTAAAAGCTCATTTACCCATACGCATTGAGTGCATGACATAAAAATGTTGTTTTTACTGATCAATGCATGAGAACGTCATTTCTTAGTCAATGGAAAGACTGAAGGTAAAAAAACTGAAAATCAAACTCATATTTCAGTGGAAATACCATCATGGGGTCGTTAATTTGACACCGCAGAAATCCGTTCCCATTTGCGCATTTCTGTTTTGCTCTTGAGTAAAATACTACTAGCACTTGAAATAAGTTCAAATTCCCTTCTAAATACGTGCTGTGCAAACTTTTGAAAGCTAGTAGTGATGTTGGTGGAGGTATACGATAATGTTGTAATCTGTTCGGTTAGTACAATGGCGTAGAAGTGTTCATGTACAAGTGCTGATATTTTAGTGGTGTAAGAACTAATTTACTGATTATGGACTTGCTGTTCGTTGTTTTCTCCTGTATTCAAGACTCTATGTATGTATAGTTTTCAGTATAATCTGATGATAGTAAAAGTAAAATATTTAATTCTCGCTACTCACAAATATGGTATACCCCCTACCTGTGGGTGTGGTCGATATTCTTGGGACTTTTTCCGGAGGTACTAGTAAAAGTAAACTAAATATTTAAGCCTCACTATTCACAAATATGTGCTAGCGGTCGACATTGTTAGAATATGATTTAACATTATGAGCATGCGATTAGTTTAATCACAGGTTTAATAACTCGTTAATTCACTGCATAACATCGTATTTGCTAAAATATCGTCATGGTGCAACATATTAATAGGAAAATATTAATATTCTAAAAAAGTTACAAATTCTACACAATCGCAATCTTCAGTCTTCAGTCTGCCCCTTAATTCGAGGCCTGAATTATTCTGGATATCCTGCGAAAGCCGAATTCAATAATTGTTTTATCATTCATTGGATTTTGAAAAAAAAGCACATGAGCATTAACAAATTGTAACTATTCAAAACAAATTTGTTAGTCTTATTTCAATGATTACATTCAATTTTCAAAAATAGAACTTTGTAGACTTCCTGTTTTTCGAGTCTTTATTTGCGAGTAATTCTTCCATTTCCTGCCATGAAACTTATGTGAAATGAGCACTTGTGCTTGCAGCCATTGTAAATTTTATTGTGTAAACGAGAGGAAAAGCTCGCGAATTTCCCGCGCTTGTGCACGACACCGCTGTAAAACGGAGGGCGCGGACCAATAATATTTCAGTGGAAATACCATCATGGGATCGTTAAGACGAAACCGGTTCCCATTTGTGCATTTCTGTTTTGCTCTTAAGTAAAATACCACTGGCACTTGAAGTTCAAATTTCCTTCTGAATATACGCACTGTGCAAACTTTTGAAAGCCAATAGTGATGTTGGTGGAGGTATACGATAGTGTTGTAATTTCCTCGGTTAGTACAATGGTGTACAAGTGTTCATGAACAAGTGTTGATATTTCAGTGGCGTAAGAACTAATTCAATATGGACTTGCTGTTCGTTGTTTTCTCCTGTAATCAAGACTCTATATATGTATGTGTAGTTTTCAGTATAATCTGATGATAGTAAAAATAAAATATTTAAGCCTCGCTATTCACAAATATGGTATACCCCCTACCTGTGGGTGGGGTCGATGTGCTTGAGACTTTTCTCGGAGGTACTAGTAAAAGTAAATTAAATATTTAAGCCTTGCTATTTACAAATATGGGCTAGCGGTCGACATTGTTAGAATATGATATTGAATAGTAAATATTGAAATTAAATTTATTAGTCTTATTTCAATAATTACATTCAATTTTCAAAAATAGTACTTTGTAGACTTTTTGTTTTTTGAGTCTTTATTAGCGAGTAATTTTTCCATTTCCTGCCATGAAAATTATGTGAATTGAGCACTTGTGCTTGCAGTCATTGTAAATTTTATTGCGTAAAAGAGAGGCAAGCTCTCGAATTTTCCGCGCTTGTGCACGACACCGCTGCAAAACGGCGGGCGCGGATCAATAATATTTCAGTGGAAATACCATCATGGGGTCGTTAAGATGATACCGCAAAAATCGGTGTTTATGAACTTTCAACTTGAAACATGCACTGAATATAGAAGAATACTGGTACATACTTTCTAAAGTTTCTTCCTCATAATCATTATCTGTTTAAAAGCATAAAGCATCAAGCACAATATTAGAAGCACGTTAAATGGGATAGATTCAAATTTTACTCCCACGAGCCACGTGCAAAGATTCAAGACATCCTTCTTCAACACATGCATGAAAAAAATGTTTCATTTTGACAAATAAGTGTGGAAATAAGCCATACATTACATAATGATATTATAGAACGAGGCAACCTGGTCGTGGCCTAAAACTTGAAATCCATCTTATATATAATTATCAATTACGATAATGTTGTGACGTGATGGCCTCAATCAGTTATACGCCTGTATTCTAAAAGCTCATATACCTTCATACTCCCTGATTGAGTGCATGACATAGAAATTTTGTTTTTACTGATCAATGCATGAGAACGTCATTTCTTATTCAGTGAAAAGACTGAAGGTAAAAAACTGAAAATCAAATTCATATTTGAAAGGAAATACCATCATGGGATCGTTAAGATGCTTTTCTGTTTTGCTCTTAATTAAAATCCCACTGGCACTCTGAATAAGTTGAAACAAGTTCAAATTCCCTTCTGAATACCTACTGTGCCATCTTTTGAAAGCTCATCAAAAAAACATTTGGAGCTGTGAAATGCTTATTTCTAATAATTTTTAATAACACAAGGTTTTTATTGAGACGATTTGTTTTTACCGTGTGCAAGTTTCAAATCTTTTGTTCAACTCATATTTTGTTGAGCATTTATAAATCTTTTTGCTTCCCAAATTTGAAGTCTAAGTACTACAAATTGCGGCAAAGTTTATATGAATGCAAACCAATTTCCGCGATATCCGATACAATGAGATTGATATTTCCAACTCAATGGATTTTTGAGAAACAGCGACCCTCTAATACAGGCGTTACTCTTAAAACAGAAATTTAGAAAACAATTCGTTTCTGGGGCCAGGACCGTATCTAGAAGCTTAATTAGGGGAGGGGTGCATTTTTATAAATTTGTCTTATGCCCGAATGTTTTGTTTTTTATATATACTATTGTTCTGACATGATATGCAAACATTAATATATGAATATACACCCTCCCTAATTAAACTTCTAGTTACGCCCTATCTGGGTCTGATCATAGGAAAAAGGAAAACAAAGCATCACAAGTCCAGCTATAGAGAAATACAGAATAGTTACCATAGGAAGCTGCAGCAGCAGAAAGATAAACTGCGCCTAAAAGCATAAAGCATCAATTATAAAATTTTGCGAAATCAGTGATGAAAGTAAGAAATATAAACCACCCAGATGAAGAAATTGATTCATTCCATTCACAATATTCCCAGTCAATAGACCATTTCGATAACGTCACAACATTATCGTCATTAATCTAGAACCACCTTAAATGAGATGGATTCAAGTTTTACTCTCACGAGCCACGGCAAAGATGCAAAACATGCTTCTTCAACACATCCATGAAAAATATTCTTTCATTTTGACAAATAAGTGCGGAAGCCATAATGCACAAGCCATATATATTACTCGAGAATGTGTATCCCTAGTCGTGGGCTAAAACTTGAAATCCACCTTATTTAAACGTGAACGTTCAAAGGGTCTTAATCTCGAACGGAATTATACACTTTTCAAATCGGCATCGCAAAAGCGTATAGGTTCGATTCCTGCCGGAGGACCTATAGTTAACTTATTTTTCCATAAACTGTTCCCGGCTTGAATTTGAAGTGTGTATAATTCCACTCGAGATTAAAACCCTTTGAACGTTTAGAATTTACCTGCATCGAGTGAAGTGCCAAAAATCACAAGTTATTTAAATGTAGTTCTAAATTCAAAACGATAATGTTCTGACGTAATTATAAAAGGGTCTATTGATTTAATTTACTATAGCGATGGCCTCAATCACTTATATGTGTGTATTCTAAAAGATCATTTGCACTCATACTTATTGAGTGCAGGACATGCATAGAAAATTTTTTTTACTGAACAATGCATGAGAACGTCCTTTCTTATTCAATGGAAAGTCTGAAGGTAAAAAACTTGAAAATCAAACTCATATTTCAGTGGAAATACCATCATGGGGTCGTTATTTTGACACCGCAGAAATCGGTTTCCATTTGTGCGTTTCTGTTTTGCTCTTGAGTAAAATACTACTGGCACTTGAAATAAGTTCAAATTCCCTTCTGAATGCGTACTGTGCTGTCTGTGCATTATATTGAAAGCTCACCAAAAACATTTGGTAGCTGTGAAATGGCCATTTTAAAATTAAGTATATACCCGATTTGTTTTCACCGCGTGCAAGCTTCAAATCGTCTGTGCAAGTCATATTTTGTTGAGGATTTATAAAACTTTTTCCCATTTTTTGCATTTCTCTTTTGCTCTAAAGATACTACTGGCATTGAATATTAAGTTGAAACAAGTTCAAAGCCTCTTCTGAATACGTACTCTGCAATATTTTGAAAGCTCACCAAAAACATTTGGCAGCTGTTAAATGGCTATTTAGAGACTTAGGTATATACACAAGGTTTTTAATTCAGACAATTTGTTTTTACCGTTTGCAAGTTTCAAATCTTTTGTCCAAGACATATTTTGTTGAGCATTTATAAATCTTTTTACCCCAAAATTGAAGTGGCTAAGCATAACGAATTGCGGCAAAGTCTATATGAATGCAAACCAATTTCGGCGATGCCCGTTACAACGAGATTGATATTTCTAACTCATTGGATTTTTGAGAAACATGCAGCGACCTTCTAATACAGGCGTTACTCTTAAACAGAAATTTAGACAAGAATTCGTTTCTGGGGCCAGGACCGTAGCTAGAAGCTTAATGGGTTGGGGGGTGTATTTTCATATGTTTGTGCCGGCCCGAATGTTTTCTTATGCATCCTATTGTTATTACATGATATGTAAACATAATAATATATGAATATACACCCCGCCCTCGAAATTAAACTTCTAGATACGGGCCTATCTGGATCTGACCATAGGAAAAAGGAAACCAAAGCATTACAAGTCCTGCTATAGACGAATATAGAAGAATATACTTACTTACGACTTTTGCATTCTGATTCTGGTTCTAAAGAATAAAAAAATATTTACGTGGAAAGTACAGCATTTTGAAACGAAAGCTAAAAACATACAGAGGCTATACATATTTCAGGTGATCCTTTTTAAGTGATCCATTTAGGTGTCCCGGCCTTTGTATCGGTAGCCTGAGCACGAATAAATTTTGATACTGGATTATTTTAACTGCGACGTAATTTTCGTGAACAAATCATACGTGAGTTACGCAACGAGCTCGACTTACCAACTGTCTCTGTCTCTGTCTCTGTCTCCAGCAGACAACGTACACCACCACACAAACAATGACAACAATTACGCCGGCGATAACGCAACCAACAATTAAGCCCAGCCTGGAGACATCATCGTCTGCTTCTAAATGACGAGGTAAATCGAAGTAGCAACCGGAAAGAAACAAGACAACCGCGTGAGTGTAAATAAATCATCGACAGAGCAGTCTAAATTATTACAAGCTACAATCTTGACCAAAAGTCAATGAAATGGCACGTGCTAACATAATTTTCACAGTTTTCCAACTACTGCGGCAATCTCCGATCCGTCATTTTGGCAAGCCGGCAATATTGATTATTCACGGCCTCAGCTAACTATAAAACAGTATATGTGATCAAATGGTAGGGATAATTATTTTATATAATTATTATTTTATTGTTTGATTACGACTTTTTTTTCAAAACCGACTTTTGCCGGCATCAACAAATTCAACAATTGCAGAAACGTGGAAACGTCACAGTTAGAGAATACTAGGAATTTATTTGTTGGTGCCAAAACTATCAAAACTGAGATTGTTTGTATAGTTAATAATATATTTTATCATTCACGTATAGTTTCGATGTGAAACATTTTCAAAACCTCGGCTAATGTGTCCTTGCCATACGGTTCGCTCATTCATTTCTTCTCTCTTATTTTAATATGCTGGGAAACTAAATTTTCAAAGCCAGTTTTTTATGCATTTTTTTATCCTTTGCGTGAAAAATTTCTTTCATCGTTTTTGAAATTTGTGCATGCAAACGTCGCCTTAGTGATTTTCAAAACCATATAGTTCTAGCTTGCATCAACAATTGTAGAAACTCATTATTTGTTTAGATATGAGTTCATAATGACAGGAATTATTTGTACACATAACGTTAATAATTAAAAATACGAGGAATTATCCGTAGGTGGCTAACCAATAAAAACAGGAATTTTATCCGTACAGTTAAACATAATGTACACTACCTGTGCCTTGGGTCGATAGTGTTGGGCCAGGTGTTGTCATAACTGATGTTGCTACAAAAAAACGTTAGGAAAAAATAGGATTGAACACAAAATATAACTTAATATCACATTTCAATTCCTTGCATAAATTTAGTTTGTAATCATTAAATTTACTTTAAAAGCATGTAACCTATATAAGCGCTGTGTTGTATGTATTGATATTCTGTATGTATGTATTAATTTTCTTACAATCACCAGTAGTGGCATTGTCCTGGGCATTCGTGACCAATCCCCCACACCAAAGGCAAAGGATAAACGCTATTTGAACGAACATGGACATCCTATAACCAGATGGCTTGTTTCAATCTAAATATAATTGCAAATTAAATTATTTAAAAAACTTTTTTCCACGTTTCTATGCAGTTATAGAAATACGCGTGGGAATTTTTCTATTTATTTTATAATATAACCCAATAAAAAGATTTTGTACAAATATTATAATTCGATTCAATTACAAATTCTCATTACATTACTTCGCTTGTCAATTCGCCGGAAGTCCCGTGCGATACACTTATATAGGAACACGCTTCTCGACCAATCAGCACCGACAGCACGCGCGTACTATATATGTTATATTGCAAGTTTATGTTTATATTGTAACGTGGTATTACAATACAAAAGACTTTTACCGCCGAAATTTTAGAAGGCTTGTAATCGAATACCAATAAAGGCTTGTAATCGAATATCAAGCCCTTAACGGCTATTAGATTATCAGCCGACTTAGCACAATTGTTCCACACAAACGCGGAAATTCGAAAGTTCTACACCAAGAATTGTTTTATTATCAGGGGCCAGGGCCGAAACTAGAACGATAATTGGAGAGTGTTTATTCATGTAGTCAGTTCGACAGACAAATTTCGTTTTGTCCGATCTCGCCCCTTTCAGACGTCCAATGTTTCATGTTATTGAACTGAAGTCTTTGACTTTGTTTACTTAGAGTTCACTCGAATTTGATTTGGCACATGAAAAGTTTGACGTCTAAAACGGGCCTAAGCTAGCTCATATTCGTTGGGCAAAACTGAATATAAGATAAATTCCCATTTAACAACATGGAAACCTCACTATTGAGACGATCAAAGTGATATGGTAATGCCTAAATAATGGTATAATACCGCGCGACTGCTTCCGCAATATGGCCTTCGACCTCAATGTATAATTATAGAGACATTAGTTTGATTGGGAATTGGTCTAAAAATTACACATCTCAAAATTTCGTGATGACATAAAGCATCAGTGCTTGCTTCACTTGCATGCTTCTGAGGTTTCGTGTAAAAAAACACTTTATAAGGCGTTGAAATTTTTAACTATATACTCGGCAGGTTTGTCATACTGACATCCGCTTTATTGCATGGCAACTTGCTGTTTACAGTAGATAAATCGTTTATTTAATAAACTTTAGTTAGTCTTACTCTAGTCTTTACAACATAACTGTATCCAATAACCAAATGTTTGATGAAACCGGCCGCCTCTTGACTTTCGACAAAGTGGACACAGTAGCTATATCGCTTTCGTTTAAGACTTAATTGAGTTGGGAAAATTGCTTACAAAGCACAAATAACCGTTTGGATTCTGTTTGGATATTCCAGGGTATTAAATTTCACTTTACGTCATCGTTTTAAAGTATTACTACAAAACTTTCAAATCAACAACAACATAACAAAAAACGTGGTCAAATCGCTTAAAATTGGTTCTAAGTGTGTCGCATTTAATAACTACTTTTGCTGTGGCAGTGCGATCTAAGATTGCAAAATAAATCGTTGAATAAAAGTATATATTGCTAACATACAGAAATTCTACTAAAATCTGTTATTTGCTCCCGGCGCAACCCGTCCATTTTGGAAAACTTTCAAACATCACTCCTATTATTAATCCCCAATTGTACACGCGCCATCGCAAGATTATCTATACAAATAAACTGTTAAAATTTTAATTTAATGTTGTAGTTACTATAGTTAACTTTCCAAACAAGAATTGTAAATTATTACTTTTTCTTAAATTATTAATAACAATCATTGGATGATATCAAGAACTATTATATACACAAGCGCTGGATATGAGCTTACGTGCAATCTGATTTGCTCTACTGGACATAAATCTGAGATTTAATCTCAGCTTAACTGGGCTATATATTTGCATGCATGCATGCATGCAGCATTTTATTAAAAAATACGTGTAACATACCCGTATCCAATTGGTTGGAGGTTCCAAGTAATCTAAATATTGTTTATAGGGGTAGCTATCGCAAGCTGAGAAGTCCAATACCAGCAAGGCAGACCAAACCAAGACTGTAGATTATTGACAGCGTTTCCACAACTTATTTGCATAAGACTATCCTCAAAAAAAAGCAACGGGGTTTGCACCATAGTGCAGCTAAAATGACTTTTAGCATTGTAAATGAAGGATTAAGAGCCATTTTCAATTCCCAGAGGTGCACTTTAGAGCTGTATTAATGTTCTTGCATATTTAAGTGGTTGCGTTTTTTCAGTTGAGACACCCTGTATAGGGGGATGGTAGAATGACAAAAAAGAGAAACAAAGAACTTTGGAAATAATGCATATATCCTATTAAGACTATATACAATCCCTGCATCGTTCATGCATGCATGGTGGTCATTTTGAAGGAATTTTCCTTCAATTGTGGAAACGCTGATTATTGACGTTCGCAACAAATATTTAGCATGCAATTGTATAGCTTCCTCATACTTCATTGGGCTCGTTAAATATATAACTTCCCTTGCATGACTTGTATATATAAATAATGTGACATAATAACTATGGGCAATGGTTCTTCATTGCAGAGGAAATATAAAATCATGAAAAGTACTTAATGGGTGCTAATTTGAACGTTCGGAATACTTTGTTAATTGCCGTTGGAACCTGCCTCAGCTTGCTTAAGACAAAGTATCAATTATATAGAATAGGAATCCCCATTGCAGTGCCTGACAGGTCGTGCATGATTATGCACATTTTGCATAGCCATAGGAGTTCGAGATTCCTATTGCATGATGAACCGTTCTTGCACATGTGACTCATAGCTTTGCAACTGACACCCGAAATTAAAATAGATTATTATAATTTATTTTCAAGTCTATATAATAATTATAATGGCAAACATTTAGGATTAAAAAGCCTATATATATAGTTTTGAGGTGCTCTCATATAGCTATATACTAATTAACTAATATAGCAAACGTAATAATCCTTCATGGGCCAGTTGTTCGAAAGGCGTTTTTCGAAAGGCGTTTAGCTTAAACGGTGGATAAGCCAAAGTTTAAAAATACTCTCAAACATTTTGTGAATGACTGAAGCTGCATCTTATGCATTTGATATGTACTTCCATTGACAATTAAACTATTTACATTGAAATATTTCAGTTCAGTTGTTGAATAAATAGATCATTTGATTTTCTATTTTTGACTTATCCACCGTTTAAGCTAAACGCCTTTCGAACAACCGGCCCCAGATCACGATTCCAATTTACTACTAATGGATGTTTTATAGTCCGTTGACTCAGCGTTTTAATATCAATTGGCAGCTGAACCAACTAAAGTCACACTGCTTCATCAATATCAGATGCGAATTGGATCGGACAAAATTGAATCTTCATGGACCTTTTCAGTTATCAGGATAACAACTAAGCTATGATTATTATCTATATCCTATCTATGACATATCTGATGACCTAGCTGATACGGTATCTGATGTTACTGTAAAAAAAAACTGTCGAACCCAAACGGTATTATAGGAAATTTATACAGCTGATTGTGCATACAAGCACCTATAAAAAGAAGCAGATCTATGATTAGACTACTGCCATTGCTATGATATAAGAACATATTTAGCCTTGAGTGTTTCATTTCTTGCCTTAGGCCAGTTATTCAAAAGAGAGATAGCCCTAGCCTTTGGATATCAATTTTTTCATCTTTTGCAAAAAGGAGCAAAGAACTCCGTTTTCGTCAACGAAATAGATTTATCATCTCATTATCCACTGTTGAATTGCATTCGACGCAACAAAAACTATGCGACGTATTATATAGGGATCTAATTAAGGCGGTATAAATGCATGGTAAAACTGCGGCACTCTAACTGCTACACAAATCCATGCATTGTTTATTTATAGAAATTAATATAGAATAAAATATATCACATGCATAAAACAATGTAATAAGAAAAATCGACTGCGCTAGGTTTTATCATTCATGATTAAAACCGCTGTTTTAAGATTATGATCCAAACTTTTCCAGTACAAATTTAAGTATCGCTATCGGACTGGCTCACCTCAAAAATGTTGATCCGTTTCTCACAAAATTCTCCACTTCCCTGTTAAAATTGGTTCCACCCACTCGTCTTGACCAATCTCCTTCAAGGCGTCAGCCAACCTCTCACGAGAGAAGTTTTCACCGCGGCTGAAAATCGACAAAATCTTCTCAGCCCTAGCGCGGTTATCTTGATATAAAATATGGTTGCATCTAATCTCATCTCGTTCAGCACTGTTTGTACCCATAACACCCGCAAGCCTGTCCCAGTGGACAGCGATGCGCTGGCTAAGTCTGAACATTTCACGAGGGGAGAGAGGAGTGTTTTGTAACTCGTCGGCTTCAGGGTCTTCGGGTTGGGAATTTTTTGCTTCCGCACTTCCACCTTCTGTCTGTTAAGAAAAAATATTCTCAATGTATGGGTGTTAAAACTTTAGTTGAAGAGTATAGTTTTACACACTGTATAGTTATATTAAAAAGGGACAAAACTACTCCAGAAAGTAGTTTCGGGTTCATTTCCATCTCAGAACTTCAGAATTTTTTTACCTTTTTAAATTTACAGTGCAGTTAATTGGCGTAGACATTATCTATATGCTAGTTCAAAAAAATGTTGGCAGCACTACATTATACAGGAAACGAAAAAAACGGACCCCAGGGATTTGAAATACATATAACTTTCGCTTGGTTAACACGAATTATAATCTGTTTTTTGAAATTGTGCTGTATTTCATCCGTTATTTTAAATTGTGAAATTTTATTTACCACTTGATCCGCAACGAAATGTCGTGATGGATTGGATTTGTGACTTAACCCAATCTATATACTGGTTGGTACAGAATGAATTCATCTTAAACAGAAAATTTCCAACATAAAATACCTCGTCATCCAAGGGAAGCATTTTGTCTTTCACATCGTGTCGCCCCAACTCTTCCAGACATTTTCTAACAGCATGACGACAAAAAACTTCGCTTTTGTTGTAATGTGTTAATATTTGGCCTGCTTTGGAAGAAAATGTTGGATAATTGACGTTCAGTCTGATTTCCTCACGTTTCTCGTACGGGATATCCATGAGCCCACCAAGTCCGTCCCAGTCCAACCCAACTTCGCGGCACATTTTATCTACTTCATTATCTGTGAGTTTTGTGGTCCTTTGAACGGCTGGAAAAGATAGTGTAAATATATTACTACACACGTTTAGTTAGCTACTGGGAGCGTTTTGTTGGTCATTAGTCAGCTGATAAAAATCGCAGTCACTTTTCCTGTACACGTGATTCCGTTATCCTGGAAATATATATTCATATAGAATAGCCCATTTCGATAATTACTTCAATGTACCTTGTGGTTGAGATCCTGACGGCTCGGGCTGTCCTATAATAAAATGTAAAAATTTCAGTGAAGACCTGTTTACGTCGTAGTTTAAATTTTCTACATTTTTTCTACATAATATTTTATACATACATTTTATACATAGCCAACATTTTATACAATTTTCTACATACTCATGCAGTCAAACTCATATGTTGCAAAGACTGACTGGAAAATCATTGTCCGGTGGAGCATGCCATTAATTAAAAAGAACTGTTTAAGCCCCGTTCAAATGCACGTAGCTATATTATAAGCCCACTCCGGAGACTGGAGTATATGGAGACTTGAAAACCCTGTGGTTAAATTTCGCTTGATATATAACCAGAACTGGTTTAACTAACTGAAACCTAGCCTGCAACGCAGACTATATATTGGGGTATATATAGTCTGCTAATCAGCGGCACAAAGCTTGTATGGTCACGTGGGTTTCCCGAGAAATTGTGGGACTCATTTTGATTGGTTAGCTTATAATTATGCAAAATAATCAAAATTTCAGAATATTTATTATTTTCACAAACAACTTGGCGTCCTTCATCGAACCATCTTTACTTGAAGGAGAGCACTTTTCGGAAGCTATTCGGATTGTATGTTGTTTTTTTCAAGTGGAAAGTCGAACGAGGTGTCTCGACAGATGTTACCGGTGGGCTTACGTAAACTGGCGCAAGCGTTCGAGGTTCCCTTTGCTCTGTGTTTGCCTCTTTGTCGAAATCGTCTGGTAGAGAACGCTTCGATGGGTGCTTCATCTTCACTGTTACACCATTTGCTCGGGCTTTAGCTAGGTAGTCATCCTTTAGCTTTTGATTAAAATTCGCCAGCTTTTGACGATGCGTGATTCTTTAAGAAACCAGACTGAGACATGGCCGACAAATATGTCTGGAAACAGGTTGGACAACGAAATCCAAATCTTCTACTTCGGCCGCAATGTCGAGAGAACGCTTTCCTATTACGAGATTTATATCTGACTTCTTTTCCAGCACAGAGAAACACAGTACGCATATCAGCGCGACCATGTTGTCACAAATAATTATGCAATTTGCGCGCAAATCATATACATAATCATAATTATAATACCGGAAATAGTTCGAACATTCATGTGACCATACAAGCTTTGTGCCGCTGATTAGCAGACTATATATACCCCAATATATAGTCTGCGTTGCAGGCTAACTGAAACCTTGTTTTAAGTAGGAAATGCGCTAAATTTTAACTAGTATCGTGGGATTTTTAAACAGGTTGTGTGTGGTAAACTATACTCAAATGGATTGATTAGAGGATTTAACCCAGTTTTCAAAGTTTAAAGTATATAAGTTTAAAGCAAAACATTTGCAAGAAAAAAAATTGATTTACCATAAACGTCTTTATGCGCGATCTGTACAGCCCCATGAACATCCAGCTCCCAAAGACATTCACCGCCTTCACGCGCCTCGCTAATCTTTACCGTTTTATTTTCTCGTTCTTCACTTGCAATTCCTCTGAAATGATTGACGGAAAAACCAACGGAATCCAGTAGACAGCGGTCAATTTTGAAGCGATATGGGTTGGTTTCAACACCAGGAATGACTAAACTCATTACAAGACGACGGTTTGTGTGAACGCGCGTCAACCTTCCTTTCTCTCCTCTCTCGTAGCCTTCTCCAATATGATCCTTTAACTGTTTGATGTCTCCTTCCTTACCATCATCAACAAATTCACTTACAATGACAACCACAATATCCATTGTGTCCGCTGGTCGTCTGCGATGCAGGACATAAGCACAGCAGGTAAACGAGTGATTTATATGACTTAAGATTCGAGCTAATCTCCCGCGCTTCGCTAAAATATAACTGAAAAAACAAAATCCGTAAATTTCCACATTGATGATTCCTCTTTCTTCCTTGTTAATTCCCGAAATGCCGCTGCTCACCAGCTCCCAAACGACTTTATCATAAATGTCGCTGTGATAACCATGTAGAACAAACAGTTCAAGATCCAAGACTTCTACCCGCATAGGTCGGATTGTCAGTACTGCTGGTTTCAGGAATTTCAAGCCATTTGGAAGAAACTCGACAACGCGTGGCGTATCACGGACTAAGTCTTTCAGTGACGTGAAATCAAAATGTTGTTCGCCATTTTTCAGCGTGATTTCTGTATCCTCAGCAAGACATCCAGCTCTGATAGTGAGTATGAAGTCGTCTAACTTTACCACACCTCCCTCGATGGTTATAACACCTTTATGATGCAAGCCACCTATTTTAATGTAATATAAAATAAATGAGAATTGCTCTTTTAATATTTACAAAAAATAATATTAAAATCTTGTCGCGCATATATTTATTCTGGTATAGTTTTGTAATTCATAACATTATGAAATCGATTACTTATTCAGTCAAGAGTAAATGACCAACTGCGAACCAGTTTTTGCGTGCATGGGATCAAGATAGAAGACTGGAACACTATCGTGCAGTGATTTTGCAAGGGCATACAAGTGATCCACCACTGACAAAAATTGCTCTTATATATGTTATAAAAGTACTTTTTGCCTAAAGCACTGATATAGTGCACTATATCAGTGCTTTAGCAGTGCTTAATTTTAAGCAGTGCTTAACTTTATCAGTGCTTAATTTTAAGCGCACAAAATGCTTAAAATTACCTAAAATAACTATGCTATTTCTGTCACTTTCTTTGCTAGAGGATTGGGACCTTTGAGGACCGGAACCGTATTAATTTTATAAAAATTTTACCCTGTTCCCCGCTAAAGATCTTTGTGTCCCTGTCAGGCTGCTGTATAGTGGTGATGTTCGTGGAGGTATACGATAGTGATGTAATGTTTTCGGTTAATACAATGGTGTACAAGTGTTCATGTACAAATGTTATATTTTAGTGGCGTAAGAAGTAATTTAATATGGACCTGCTGTTCGTTGTTTTCTCCTGTAATCAAGACTCCATACAAATTATGTATGTGTAGTTTTCAGTATAATCTGATGATAGTAAAAGTAAAATATTTAAACCTCGCTATTCACAAATATGGTATACCCCCTACCTGTGCGTGAGGACGATGTTCCTGAGTCTCTTCTCGGAGATCCTAGTAAAAGTAAATTAAATATTTAAGCCCGGCTACTCACAAATATGCGCTTTGGGTCGACATTGTTAGAATATGATTTAACACAATGAGCATGCAATTAGTTTAATCACACGTAAAGCATCAAGCATAAAATTAGAACCACGATAAATGGGATGGATTCAAGTTTTACTCCAACGAGCTACGTGCAAAGATTCAAAACATCCTTCTTCAACACATGCATGAAAAAAATGTTTCATTTTGACAAATAAGTGTGGAAATAAGCCATATATTACATATATTATAGAACGAGGCAAACTGGTCGTGGCCTAAAACTTGAAATCCATCTTAATTAATTATTATTAATAATGATAATGTTGTGACGTAAGTATCGAAAGGGTCTATTGATTAAAGCTATAGTGACGGCCTCAATCACTTATACGCCTGGGGCCGGTTGTATGAAAGCCGGATAGCGCTATCCACCGGATAGTGATTTTTTCAATCGCTTTAAAATCGCCTGTTGTTGGGTATAACTTTGATTAAATCTAAGTATTCCTAAATTCAGGATCCTCTTTTACAAAAGTTGGCTGCAAAGCTGCAGTTTTATAGCTATTCAAGCATTTTTAGAAGGGTTGAAAAAATCACTATCCGGTGGATAGCGCTATCCGGCTTTCATACAACCGGCCCCAGTATTCTACAAGCTCATTTACCCTCATTCGCATTGAGTGCATGACATAGAACTTCTGTTTTTACTGATCAATGCATGAGAATGTCATTTCTTAGTCAATGGAAAGACTGAAGAGAGAGGAAATACCATCATGGAATCGTTAAGACGCCGAAGCAATCGGTTCCCATTTGTGCATTTGTATTTTGCTCTTAATTAAAATACCATTAGCAATCTTTTGAAAGCTCATAAAAAAACCATTTGGCAGCTGTGAAATGGCTATTTTGAATAATTTTTAATAACACATGGTTTTTAATTGAGACGATTCGTTTTTACAGTGTTCAAGCTTCAAATCTCTTCTGCAAGTCGATAGTTATAACACCTAGCTCTATGATGCAAGCCACCTATTTTAATGTAATATAAAATAAATGAGAATTGTTCTTTTAATATTTACAAAAAATAATATTAAATATTTGTCGTGCATATAATTATTCTGGTATAGTTTTGTAATTCATAATATAATAATGAAATCGATTTATTATTCAGTCAAGAGTAAATGACCAACTGCGAACCAGTTTTTGCGTGCATGGGATCAAGATAGAAGACTGGAACACTATCATGCAGTGATTTTGAAAGGGCATGCAAGCGATCCACCACTGACAAAAATTGCTCTTATGTATGTTATAAAAATACTTTTTGCTTAAAGCACTGATATATTGCTCTAACGTGGCACAAAATGCTTAAAATCACCTAAAATAACTATGCTATTTCTGTCACTTTCTTTGCTAGAGGACCTTTGAGGACCGGAACCGTATTAATTTTATAAAAATTTTACCCTGTTCCCCGCTAAAGATCTTTGTGTCTCTGTTAGGCTGCTATATAGTAGTGATGTTCGTGGAGGTATACGATAGTGATGTAATCTTTCGGTTAGTACAATGGTGTACAAGTGTTCATGTACAAGTGTTGATATTTCAGTGGCGTAAGAACTAATTTACTATGGACTTGCTGTTCGCTGTTTTCTCCTGTAATCAAGACTCTATATAAATTATGTATGTGCAGTTTTCAGTATAATCTGATGATAGTAAAAGTAAAATATTTAAGCCTCGCTACTCACAAATATGGTATACCCCCTACCTGTGCGTCGGGTCGATATTCCTGAGTCTCTTCTCATAGAAGGAGGTACTAGTAAAAGTAAATTAAATATTTAAACCTCGCTATTCACAAATATGTGCTTGGGGTTGACATTGTTTGAACATGATTTACCACAATGAGCATGCAATTAGTTTAATCACTGGTTTAATAACTCGTTAATTCACTGCATAACATCGTATTTGCTAAAATATCGTCATGGTGCAACATTAATAGGAAAATATTAGCTAATATTCCAAACAAATCACAAATCCTGCACAATCGCAATCTTCAGTCTTCACTTATATTTGATCCCAAAATAAGCTCTCTCAAAATCCGAGGTCAATGTTGCCCCTCGAGGCCTGAATTATTCTGGATATTCTGCAAAAGCCGAATTCAATATTTGTTTTATTATTCATTGTATTTTGAAAAACAAGCACATGAGCATAAACAAATCGTAAATATTCAAAACAAATTTTTTAGTCGTATTTCAATAACTACATTCAATTTTCAAAAATAGTACTTTGTAGACTTCCTGTTTTTCGAGTCTTTATTATACGCATTGAGTGCATGACATAGAAATTTTGTTTTTACTGATCAATGCATGAGAACGTCATTCCTTAGTCAATAAAAAGACTGAAGGTAAAAACTGAAAATCAAACTCATATTTAAGAGGAAATACGATCATGGGATCTTTAATATGACACCGCAGAAATCGGTTCCCATTTGTGCTTTTCTGTTTTGCTCTTAATTAAAATACTACTGGCACTCTAAATAAGTTCAAATTCCCTTCTGAATACGTACTGTGCAAACTTTTGAAAGCTAGTAGTGATGTTGGTGGAGGTATACGATAGTGATGTAATCTTTTCGGTTAATACAATGGTGTACAAGTGTTCATGTACAAGTGTTAATATTTTAGTGGTGTAAGAAATAATTTAATATGGACTTGCTGTTCGTTGTTTTCTCCTGTAATCAAGACTCTATATAAATTATGTATGTGTAGTTTTCAGTATAATCTGATGATAGTAAAAGTAAAATATTTAAGCCTCGCTATTCACAAATATGGTATACCCCTTACCTCTGCGTGTGGTTACTCTTCTCAAGACTCCTTCCAGAAGTGCTAGTATAAAGGTAAATTAAATATTTAAGCCTCGCTATTCACAAATACGTGCTTGGGGTCGACATTGTCAGTATATGATTTAACACTATGAGCATGCAATTAGTGTAATCACAGGTTTAATAACTCGTTAATTCAATGCATAACATCGTATTCACTAAAATATCGTCATTGTGCAACATATTAGTATTCGGAAAATATTAAAATTCTAAAGCAAATCACAAATCCTGTACAATCGCAATCTCCAGTCTTCACTTATATTTGATCCCAAAATAAGCTCTCTCAAAATCCGAGGTCAATGTTACCCCTCCAGGCCTGAATTATTCTGGATATCCTGCGAAAGCCGAATTCAATAATTGTTTTATCATTCATTGGATTTTGAAAAACAAGCACATGAGCATAAACAAATCGTAAATATTCAAAAAAAATATTCAAAACAAACTTATTAGTCTTATTTCAATAATTACATTCAATTTTCAAAAATAGTACTTTGTAGACTTGGTGTTTTTCGAGTCTTTATTAGCGAGTAATTTTTCCATTTCCTGCCTTGAAACTGATGTGAATCAAGTTTTACTCGCACGAGCCACGTGCAAAGATTCAAAACATCCTTCTTCAACACATGCATGAAAAAAATACTTCATTTTGACAAATAAGTGTGGAAATAATCCATATATTACATATATAAAACTTGAAATCCGTCATATTTTCATAATCATTACTAACGATAATGTTGTTACGTAATTATCAAAAGTGTCTATTGATTAAAGCCATAGTGATGGCCTCAATCACTTATACGCCTGTATTCTGAAAGCTCATTTACCATCATACGCATTGAGTGCAAGACATAGAAATATTGTTTTTACTGCATGATCAATGCATGAGAACATCATTTCTTATTCAATGAAAAGACTTAAAATCAAACTCATATTTGAGAGGAAATACGATCATGGAATCGTTAATATGACACCGCAGAATTCGGTTCCCATTTGTGTATCTCTGTTTTGCTCTAAAGTAAAATACCACTGGCACTTGAAATAAGTTCAAATTCCCTTCTGAATACGTACTGTGCAATTTTTTGAAAGCTCACCAAAAACATTTGGTAGCTCTGAAATGGCCATTTTGAAATTAAGTATATACATGCACACGATTTGTTTTCACCGTGTGCAAGCTTCAAATCGTTTGTGCAAGTCATATTTTGTTGAGCAATTTTATAAAGCTTTTTGCTCCCCAAATTTAAAGTCTATTAGTATAAAGAATTGCGGCAAAGTCTATATGAATGCAAACCAATTTCGGCGATGTCCGTTACAATGAGATTGACAGTTCCAATTTACAGGCGTTACTCTTAAAAGAGAAATTTAGACAACAATTCGTTTCTGGGGCCAGGACCGTAGCTAGAAGCGTAATTGGGGGGTTGGGGTGTATTTTCATATATTTGTCTTATGTTTGAATGTTTTCTTTTGTACCATATTGTTCTCACATGATATGTAAACATTAATATATCAATATACACCCCGCCCCCGAAATTAAACTTCTAGTTACAGCCCTATGTGGGTCTGATAATTGGAATAAGGAAAACAAAGCATCACAGTCCAGCTATAGACGAATATAGAAGAATACTTACCCCAGAAAACTCCAACTGGAGATGGACCTGCGTGTTTAAAAGCATAAAGCATCAAGCATAAAATTTTGCGAAATCATGCAGTAGTGAAAGTAAGAAATATAAACCACTCAGATGAAGAAATTGATTCAATCCTTTCAAAATATTCTCAGCCAATAAACCCTTTCGATAACGTCACAACGTTACCGTTATAAATTTTGAACCACCTTAAATGAGATGGATTCAAGGTTTACTCTCACGAGCCACGTGCAAAGATGCAAAACATCCTTCTTCAACACATGCATGAAAATTTTTTTTTTATTTTGACAAATAAGTGCTGAAACAAGCCATATATATTACTCGAGAATGAGACTCCCTGGTCGTGAGCTAAAACTGGAAACTCATCTTATTTAAATGTGAACGTTCGAAGGGTCCTCATCTCGAGTGGAATTACACACACTTCAAATCGGCATCGCAAAAGCTTAGGTTCGATTCCTGGATTCCTGCCGGAGGACCTATAGTTGACTCATTTTTTCCATCAACTGTTCCTGGCTTGAATTTGAAGTGTGTATAATTCCACTCGAGATTAAAACCCTTTGAACGTTTAGAATTTACCTGCATCGAGTGAAGTTCCAAAAATCACAACTTATTTAAATGTGGTTCTAAGTTTAAAACGATAATGCTCTGACGTCATTATCGAAAGGGTCTATTGATTGAATTTACTATAGTGGTGGCCTCAATCACTTATACGCGTGAATTCTAAAAGCTCATTTGCACTCATACTCATTGAGTGCATGACATAGAAAGTTTGTTATTAGTGATCAAAGCATGAGAACGTCCTTTCTTAGTCAATGGAAAGACTGAATGTAAAAAACTGAAAATCAAACTCATATTTCAGTGGAAATACCATCATGGGATCGTTAATATGACACCGCAGAAATCGGTTCCCATTTGTGCTTCTCTGTTTTGTTATTAAGTGAAATACCACTGACACTTGAAATACGTTCAAGAGACTTAGGTATATATACACAAGGTTTTTAATTCAGACGATTTGTTTTTACCGTGAGCAAGATTCAAATCTTTTGTGTAAAACATATTTTGTTGAGCATTTATAAATCTTTTTGCTCCACAAATTTTAAGTCTAACTATAACGAATTGCAGCAAAGTCTATATGAATGCAAACCAATTTCGGCGATGTCCGTTACAATGAGATTGATATTTCCAACGCAATGGATTTTTGAGAAAAAGCGACCCTCTATAATACAGGCGTTAGTCTTAAAAAAGAAATTTAGACAAGAATTCGTTTCTGGGGTCTAAGCTTAATTGGGGGGGGGGTATATTTTCATATGTTTGTCTTATGCCCGAATGTTTTCTTTTGTATCCTATTGTTATTATACGATATGTAAACATTAATATATGAATATACACCCCGCCCCTGAAATTAAACTTCTAGATACGGAGTTGATCATAGGAAAAAGGAAAACAAAGCATTACAAGTCCAGCTATGTATAGACGAATAAAGACGAATACTTACATAAATCAGGTGTAGGAGACGCTCCCTAAAGAAAAAAATATTTACGTGGAAAGTACAGCAATTTGAAACGATAACTGAAAACATACCGAGGATATACATATTTTAGGTGATCCTTTTTAAGTGTTCCTTTTAGTGGCCTTTGTATCGGTAGCCTGAGCACGAATAAATTTTGGTACGGGATACTAATTTTAACCGCGCCGTAATTTTCGTGAACAAGTCCTTTTCGCCGTTGAGAGATAGTCCTTAAATATATATACCGTTGTACACACAGAATAGCTTAAAAAACTAGTGCTCTGCAAATCATATGTGAGTTACGTAACGAACACGACTTACATAGATCCCTCTATTCTCCATCCGTCTCTGTCTCAACCGGACAACGTACACCCAAACAATGACAAAAATTACGGCGGCGATAACACAACCAACAATTAAGCCCAACCCGAAGACATCATCGTCTGTTGCTTCTAAATGACGAGGTAAATCGAAGTAGCAACCGGAAAGAAACAAGACAACCGTGAATGTAAACAAATTATCGACGGAGCAGACTAAATTACTACAAGTTACAATCTTGACCAAAAGTCAATAAAACGGCGCATGCTAACATAATTTTCAAGTTTTACAACTAATGCGGCAATCTCCGATCCGTCATTTTGGCAAGCCGGCAATCTTGATTAGTTACCTCAGCTAACTAAAACAGTACGTGATCAAATGGTAGTGATAATTATTTTATATAATCATTATTTTATTGTTTGATTACGACTTTTTTTTCAAAACCGACTTTTGCCGGCATCAACAAATTCAACAATTGCAGAAACGTGGAAACGTCACAGTTAGAGAATACTAGGAATTTATTTGTTGGTGCCAAAACTATCAAAACTGAGATTGTTTGTATAGTTAATAATATATTTTATCATTCACGTATAGTTTCGATGTGAAACATTTTCAAAACCTCGGCTAATGTGTCCTTGCCATACGGTTCGCTCATTCATTTCTTCTCTCTTATTTTAATATGCTGGGAAACTAAATTTTCAAAGCCAGTTTTTTATGCATTTTTTTATCCTTTGCGTGAAAAATTTCTTTCATCGTTTTTGAAATTTGTGCATGCAAACGTCGCCTTAGTGATTTTCAAAACCATATAGTTCTAGCTTGCATCAACAATTGTAGAAACTCATTATTTGTTTAGATATGAGTTCATAATGACAGGAATTATTTGTACACATAACGTTAATAATTAAAAATACGAGGAATTATCCGTAGGTGGCTAACCAATAAAAACAGGAATTTTATCCGTACAGTTAAACATAATGTACACTACCTGTGCCTTGGGTCGATAGTGTTGGGCCAGGTGTTGTCATAACTGATGTTGCTACAAAAAAACGTTAGGAAAAAATAGGATTGAACACAAAATATAACTTAATATCACATTTCAATTCCTTGCATAAATTTAGTTTGTAATCATTAAATTTACTTTAAAAGCATGTAACCTATATAAGCGCTGTGTTGTATGTATTGATATTCTGTATGTATGTATTAATTTTCTTACAATCACCAGTAGTGGCATTGTCCTGGGCATTCGTGACCAATCCCCCACACCAAAGGCAAAGGATAAACGCTATTTGAACGAACATGGACATCCTATAACCAGATGGCTTGTTTCAATCTAAATATAATTGCAAATTAAATTATTTAAAAAACTTTTTTCCACGTTTCTATGCAGTTATAGAAATACGCGTGGGAATTTTTCTATTTATTTATAATATAACCCAATAAAAAGATTTTGTACAAATATTATAATTCGATTCAATTACAAATTCTCATTACATTACTTCGCTTGTCAATTCGCCGGAAGTCCCGTGCGATACACTTATATAGGAACACGCTTCTCGACCAATCAGCACCGACAGCACGCGCGTACTATATATGTTATATTGCAAGTTTATGTTTATATTGTAACGTGGTATTACAATACAAAAGACTTTTACCGCCGAAATTTTAGAAGGCTTGTAATCGAATACCAATAAAGGCTTGTAATCGAATATCAAGCCCTTAACGGCTATTAGATTATCAGCCGACTTAGCACAATTGTTCCACACAAACGCGGAAATTCGAAAGTTCTACACCAAGAATTGTTTTATTATCAGGGGCCAGGGCCGAAACTAGAACGATAATTGGAGAGTGTTTATTCATGTAGTCAGTTCGACAGACAAATTTCGTTTTGTCCGATCTCGCCCCTTTCAGACGTCCAATGTTTCATGTTATTGAACTGAAGTCTTTGACTTTGTTTACTTAGAGTTCACTCGAATTTGATTTGGCACATGAAAAGTTTGACGTCTAAAACGGGCCTAAGCTAGCTCATATTCGTTCGGCAAAACTGAATATAAGATAAATTCCCATTTAACAACATGGAAACCTCACTATTGAGACGATCAAAGGTATGGTAATGCCTAAATAATGGTATAATACCGCGCGACTGCTTCCGCAATATGGCCTTCGACCTCAATGTATAATTATAGAGACATTAGTTTGATTGGGAATTGGTCTAAAAATTACACATCTCAAAATTTCGTGATGACATAAAGCATCAGAGCTTGCTTCACTTGCATGCCTCTGAGGTTTCGTGTAAAAAAACACTTTATAAGGCGTTGAAATTTTTAACTATATACTCGGCAGGTTTGTCATACTGACATCCGCTTTATTGCATGGCAACTTGCTGTTTACAGTAGATAAATCGTTTATTTAATAAACTTTAGTTAGTCTTACTCTAGTCTTTACAACATAACTGTATCCAATAACCAAATGTTTGATGAAACCGGCCGCCTCTTGACTTTCGACAAAGTGGACACAGTAGCTATATCGCTTTCGTTTAAGACTTGAGTTGGGAAAATTGCTTACAAAGCACAAAATAACCGTTTGGATTCTGTTTGGATATTCCAGTGGGTATTAAATTTCACTTTACGTCATCGTTTTAAAGTATTACTACAAAACTTTCAAATCAACAACAATGTAACAAAAAACGTAATGAAATCGCTTAAAAATGGTTCTAAGTGCATGTGTCGCATTTTATAACTACTTTTGCTCCGGCCGTGCGATTTTAAATTGCAAAATAAATCGTTGAATGAAAGTATATATTGCTAAACATACAGATATTATACTAAAATCTGTTATTTGCTCCCGGAGCAACCTGTCCAATTTTGGAAAAACTCTCAAACATCACTCGTACTAATTATCCCCAATTGTACACGCCATCGCATAGTTATGTATACAAATAAACTGTTAACATTCTAATTTAATGTTGTACTTACTAGTTAACTCTCTAAACAAGAATTGTAAATTATTACTTTTTCTTAAATTATTAATAACAATCATTGGATGATATCCAGAACTATTATATACACAAGCGCTGGATATGAGCTTACGTGCAATCTGATTTGCTCTACTGGACATAAATCTGAGATTTAATCTCAGCTTAACTGGGCTATATATTTGCATGCATGCATGCATGCAGCATTTTATTAAGAAAATACGTGTAACATACCCGTATCCAATTGGTTGGAGGTTCCAAGTAATCTAAATATTGTTTATAGGGGTAGCTATCGCAAGCTGAGAAGTCCAATACCAGCAAGGCAGACCAAACCAAGACTGTAGATTATTGACAGCGTTTCCACAACTTATTTGCATAAGACTATCCTCAAAAAAAAGCAACGGGGTTTGCACCATAGTGCAGCTAAAATGACTTTTAGCATTGTAAATGAAGGATTAAGAGCCATTTTCAATTCCCAGAGGTGCACTTTAGAGCTGTATTAATTGTTCTTGCATATTTAAGTGGTTGCGTTTTTTCAGTTGAGACACCCTGTATAGGGGGATGGTAGAATGACAAAAAAGAGAAACAAAGAACTTTGGAAATAATGCATATATCCTATTAAGACTATATACAATCCCTGCATCGTTCATGCATGCATGGTGGTCATTTTGAAGGAATTTTCCTTCAATTGTGGAAACGCTGATTATTGACGTTCGCAACAAATATTTAGCATGCAATTGTATAGCTTCCTCATACTTCATTGGGCTCATTAAATATATAACTTCCCTTGCATGACTTGTATATATAAATAATGTGACAGAATAACTATGGGCAATGGTTCTTCATTGCGGAGGAAATATAAAATCATGAACAGTACTTAATGGGTGCTAATTTGAACGTTCGGAATACTTCGTTATTTGCCGTTGGAACCTGTCTCAGCTTGCTTAAGACAGAGTATCAATTATATAGAATAGGAATCCCCATTGCAGTGCCTGATAGGTCGTGCATGATTATGCACATTTTGCATAGGATTTCGAGATTCCTATTGCATGAACCGTTCTTGCACATGCGACTCATAGCTTTGCAACTGACACGCGAAATCAAAATAGATTATTACTATTTATTTTCAAGTCTGTATAATAATTATAATGGTAAACATTTAGGATTAAAAAGCCTATATATATAGTTTTGAGGTGCTCTCATATAGCTATATACTAATTAACTAATATAGCAAACGTAATAATCCTTCAGATCACGATCCAATTTACTACCAATGGATGTTTTACAGTCCGTTGACTCAGCCTTTCAATATCAATTGGCAGCTGAACCAACTAAAGACACACTGCTTCATCAATATCAGATGCGAATTGGATCGGACAGAATTGAATCTTCACGGACCTTATCAGTTATCAGGATAACAACTACGCTATGATTATTATCTATATCCTATCCAACTTATGACCTATCTGATGACCTAGCTGATACGGTATCTGATGTTACCGTAAAAAAAACTGTCGAACCCAAACGGTATTATAGGAAATTTATACAGCCGATTGTGCATACAGGCACCTATAAAAAGAAGCAGATCTATGATTAGACTACCGCCATTGCTATGATATAAGAACATATTTAGCCTTAAGTGTTTCATTTCTTTCCTTGGGGCAGTTATTCAAAAGAGGGATAGCGTTAGCCTTTGGATATTAATTTTTTCATCTTTTGCAAAACGGAGCAAAGAATTCCGTTTTCGCCAACGAAATAGATTTATCATCTCATTATCCACTGTTGAATTGCATTCGACGCAACAAAAACTATATGCGACGTATTAGGGGTCTAATTAAAGCCGGTTTTCCACTACCGATATATTTTATGAGCGACTTTATTCCTTTGTATTTGAGCAATTTGTTCAAGATGGGTGCAGTTGAGACCTCTGGAACAAAAGTAAACTGTCGATTCGCGCGAAAAATATCGCTAGTGGAAAACCGACGTAAGGCTGTAATACATCTTTCTTATAATGACGTCAAACACAGAAATTCTAATGTTTGATTGACTCCGCAAAACTATCGGGACAATCAAACTTCGTGTAGCATCAGACTTTCCCTGTTTGACGTCATTACGATGACGCCACTATTGCATGTTCAAAATTGCGGCACAAACCCATGTATCTACACAATGCAATGTATTGTTTATTTATTCATGTATATAGAAATTAAAATAAAATAGATCAAGTAAAACAACGTAATAAGAAAATCGACTGTAGCCAGCTTGCGCTGGGAATTATCATTTATTTAATAAAACTGTTTTAAGAGTACGATTCAAACCTTCCCAATATAAATTTATATATCGGTGTCGGACTGGCTCACCTCAAAAATGTTGATCCGTTTGTCACAAGATTCTCCATTTTCCTGTTAAAATTGGTTCCACCCACTCGTCTTGACCAATCTCGTTCAAGAAGTCAGCCAACCTCTCTCGCGAGAAGTTTCGGCTGAAAATCGACAAAATCTTTTCAGCCCTAGTGCGGTTATCTTGATATAAAATCTGGTTGCATCTAATCTCATCTCGTTCAGCACTGTTTATACCCATAAGACCCGCAAGCATGTCCCAGTGGACAGCGATGCGCTGGCTAAGTCTGAACATTTCACGAGGGGAGAGAGGAGTGTTTTGTAACTCGTCGGCTTCAGGGTCTTTGGGTTGGGAATTTATTATCTCCGCACTTCCACCTTCTGTCTGTTAAGGAAATATATTTTCAATGTATGCGTGTTACAACTTTCATTGAAGATTATAATTTTACACACTGTAGCTATATTTAAATTTATTAAAGGTCAATTCCTTCTCAGAAGTTCAAAATTTTTTTACCTTTTTAAATTTTACAGTGCAGTTAATGGTCGTAGACATGTACATTATCTATATATGCTAGTTCAAAAAAATGTTGGCAGCACTGCATTATACAGGAAAGGAAAAAAACCGACCCTAGAGACTTGAAATAGATATAACTTTCGCTTGGTATAGTAGAGTAACGCGTCAAGTTTAAGTGGGTCATCATGCGTCTAACACGAATTATAATCTGTTTTTTGAAATTGTGAAATTTTATTAACCACTTGATCCGCAACGAAATGTCGTGATGGATTGGATTTGTGACTTAACCCAATCTATATACTGCATGGTTGGTACAGAATAAATTCATCTTAACTAACAGAAAATTTCCAACATAAAATACCTCGTCATCCATGGGAAGCATTTTGTCTTTGACATCGTGTCGCCCCAACTCTTCCAGACATTTTCTAACAGCATGACGACAAAAATCTTCGCTTTTGTTGAGAAGTATTAATATTTGGCCTGCCTTGGAAGAAAATTTTGGATAATTGACGTTCAGTCTGATTTCCTCACGTTTCTCGTACGGGATATCCATGAGCCCACCAAGTCCGTCCCAGTCCAACCCAACTTTGCGGCGCATTCCATCTACTTCATCATGTGTGAGTTTTGTGGTCCTTTGAACGGCTGGAAAAGATAGTGTGAATATATTACTACACAACCGTTTAGTTAGCTACTGGGAGCGTTTTATTGGTCATTAGCTGAGCTGATAAATATCGCAATCACTTTTCCTGTATACACGTGATTCAGTTATCCTGGAAATATATATATTCATATAGAATAGACTCTTTCGATAATTACTTCAATGTACCTTGTGGTTGAGATCCTGACGGCTCGAGCTGCCCTATAATACAATGTGAAAATGTCAGTGAAGACCAAACATTAACAGGTGTTAAGCCCCATTCAAATACACGTAGCTTATTATATAAGCTCACTCTGGAGTCAGTGGCGTAGCCAGCCCGACAATTTAGTTATGCTATGCTAATATTTTGACTATGAAAACAATGAGTTTCTCAGTAAAGAAATGAATAATGATAATAACGAAAAATTTGCTTAGCATGACTAAATCATCCGGGTGGCTGCGCCAATGACTGGAGACTCCAGTCTGGAGTATATAAAAAACTTGAAAACCCTGTGGTTAAATTTCGCTTGATATAACCAGAACTGGTTTAACTAACTGAAACCTTGTTTTAAGTAGGAAATGCGCTTAATTTTAACTAATAACGTGGGATTTTTTAAACAGCTTGTGTGTGGTAAACTATACTCAAATAGATCGACTAGAGGATTTAACCCAGTTTTTAAAATGTAAACTATGTAAGTTTAAAGCAAAGCATTTGAATAAAAAAATTGATTTACCATAAACGTCTTCAGGCGCGATCTGCACACTCCCATGAACATCCAGCTCCCAAAGACATTCACCGCCTTCACAGGCCTCGCTAATCTTTACCGTCTTATTTTCTCGTTGTTCACTTGCAATCCCTTTGAAATGATTGACGGAAAAACCAATGGAATCCAGTAAACACCGGTCGATTTTGAAGCGATATGGGTTGGTTTCAACACCAGGAATGACTAAACTCATTACAAGACGACGATTTGTGTGGACGCGCGTAAACCTTCCTTTCTCTCCTCTCTCGTAGCCTTGTCCAATATGATTCTTTAACTGTTTGATGTCTCCTTCCTCACCATCATCAAGAAATTCACTTACAATAACAACCACAATATCCATTGTGTCCGCTGGTCGTCTGCGATGCAGGACATAAGCACAGCAGGTAAACGAGTGATTTAAATGACTTAAGATTCGAGCTAATCTCCCGCGCTTCGCTAAAATATAACTGAAAAAACAAAATGCGTAAATTTCCACATTGATGGTTCCTCTCTCTTCCTTGTTAATTCCCGAAAAGCCGCTGCTCACCAGCTCCCAAACGACTTTATCATAAATGTCGCTGTGATAACCATGTAGAACAAACAGTTCAAGATCCAAGACTTCTACCCGCATAGGTCGGATTGTAAGTTGTGCTGGTTTCAGGAATTTCAAGCCATTTGGAAGGAACTCGACAACGCGCGGCGTAGCATCGACTAACTTTAAGTCTTCCAGTGATGTGAAGTTAAAATGCCACTCGTAATTTTTTAGCGTGATTTCTGTATCTTCAGCCAGACACCCAGCTCCGATAGTGAGTACGAATTCGTGTGACTTTGCCAAACCTCCTTTGGGGGTAATACCTTTACGAGATGAAAAGCAACATCATCTTACAATCTGCATATTCCAAACGGTAATGATTTTGCAAGCAAATATTATATAAAGCACAAATTATACAGATATCCAGACCTAAAACATATATAAACCGGCTGCATGGATAATTTGATTGAAAAATTTACAAGATTGTCATTAGTGAAGAGTCTTCAAATTGTAAGTGAATGTAAGGGCCTGTTTATATGATCCCGTCTAGCCGGGACGGGATGTTTTCATTCCGCATAGCCGGGAAACTTGCCTAGGTGGGATAACGTGTTTATATGGAGTTCATTTTGTGGTGCAGGCTCGTTCGACGGCATGTTTTATTGTAGAAAACGAATATCCCAATATATACACATGCTCCAAATGTATGTTTATCGCGAATCATCCCGGCCGAGCGGGATGGAGTTTTTATATGGCCATTTCTCGTCCTGTCTAAGCGGGATCCCGGCACTTCTTGCCGGGATCCCGCCTAGGTGGGATGGAAAAGTGGTCATATAAACACTAATTAGTGTTTGTATTATACAAGCGGGATCTCGGAAACTGTCCCGTCCCGGCTAGGCGGGATCATATAAACAGGCCCTAAGAAATGGCATGGAGTGTAATTAAGACAAAAATTCGGTAGTTGCTAAATTTACATCTCTTAAAAAAAGAATTGCATTGCAGTTGCAAAATTACACCGTGTAACAGGGCCTTAAGCATTACAAGTTCAGCTAGAAGAATACTTACGGGTCAAATTTGGATGCGAGTCATATGCCGGAAGAGCACATGCGGCACTGGTGTAATTCTAAAGGATAAAAATTTACGTGAATTTTCTTTAAACGACTGACAACAAAAAATGCACAAAATATTTAATTTCACGCATGCCTTTCTCATATGCATGCCTTTGTTGGGTGATCTATATTTACACGTAATCTTAGTCCCGTTTACACAACAAGGAGGAATTTCGTTTTAAACTATAACTAGCCCATTTGTTTACATTTTTCAGGCTAAGCCAATTAGATGGCCTACATATCTTATACTTCATGTAAACCGGTAAATAATGTACCTTTAATCGGAAATAGTCAATATTTATGCGTTGTAATTGGGTAACTGAAAATGTAAACAAACGGTCTGAAACGAAACACTGCACTCAATTTATGGGCACACGGCACGGTTAAATGGCACCTGTACCAACTTTATCTATATATGCTCGGCCCTTGTATAGGTGTTTGAGCTATTTAATTGAGTACGAATAAAATGGGTACGGCGTACGGGTACTAATATTTAAACCGTGCCGTGCCAATAAATTCAGTGTAACGTGGAAGAGAGGAATAAGAAAAGAACAACGAATTTTCGTCAATACTCTTGCCGTTCTTTAAAAAAAACAAAAATAATTTGCCATGCATAACTTTTTTGAGCCTGCTTTTCATTTTATCATAGTTGTCGTGAGAGAGTCATTTTCAAGAAAAACTGAGTCCGAATGTAAATTTTTTGGTATTTAAAATTTGAATACCAAATGGATAAGGGCGTGTTTATGCCTGGTTTTCATTTAGTAGTGCATGGGTGTCGTGAACACGGTTCAGGTGGCTGCAACAAGGGGGAATTTCGTTTTAAACCAATCAGCAAGTTTGTTTAAATTTTTACCAACCCAATCAGAATGCATAAATTTTGATAAAAAGTTCAATATATACCATTTTACATGAAGTATTAAGAATTTAGGCATTCTGATTGGCTTTGCCTAAGATATGTAAACAAATATGGCGATTAGTTTAAAACGAAATTCATCCTTGTTGGTGGGTGTTTGATAGCTTAATGAGGTTTATCATCTCATCTCATTGCATTCGACGTATATAACCTAGGCCTAAGCTAACAGCCCATTCAACAATGATTTTAGGAGTTGAGTTTGCTCGTATACGTTAAAAATAAGACACTCTCTTGGTTCTGTTCTTAATTGAGCCATTCTTAATCGAAGTTTAATCCATTTTGTGTGCTTGTTTTCGATAACCGTGCATGGAAAACGTATTTTGAATCCCACAATTGCACAGCAATTGGAATTGTAATGTGTGATATCGTGCATGCAAATTATGGTATTCGTAGTCTTGTTGATGCACCCTGTAGTGCTCTGCATATCATACGGCAGTTAAAGCAACAAACTCCACTTACTCGTTCTATTATCCACCTCCAACAGCGAGTGCACACTACCACAAGAACAACGACAACAATTACGGCGGCGATAACACAACCAACAATCAGACCCACCATGGAATCATCAGCGTCTGTTGCTTCTAAATAACATAAATTATAGCAGGAGGCATTTTTTACAATCGTACCAAAGTGTTTGTGCATATTCATGTATACGACGGATTTAATTTGCAGAGCATATGCCAAAATAAATTCGTCGGGCAGAACAGAATATATGAGTATCCCCCCCCCCCCCCAATTATCACGCTAGCTTCGTCCCTGCATGTTTTCGGTGATGACAAGATAGATTGCGGTATGCGGATAAAAAAGTAAATCATGTGGATTGTGAATTTGAATCTACTATAATAAACACGTGCATATATATTAAATAATTAGTTGGGTGACTAACCGAGGCCTTCATAATTCTAAACATCACGTGAAAAGCGAATTCAATATCAATTGCATGATTATTGACCGAGCGTGAGGTTTGTGCTGTAATATTTCACAGTACAGACCGAACCATTAATGATGTTCGATGAATGAACAATGATGAGGTCAATGGCTCAATGCTCTTTGTTTATATATGGCTGAAGTGCATGAGATAACCGGGATACTGGTCCAGATACGGAAAATACGGACGCCGCAACCCTTGCCATGCATGTGGTTCATTCAATTTCTTCCCCCTTATTCTTGACATAACTCTCAACCGTAATGCTTTGCGCCGCTATGTTTACAGTTTCATAAATTTTTATACGATCATCAAGTTTTCATAGAGACTTTTGCAAGCGCCGCTATATGCATGCAATGTTTGATTTTTTCAAAACCGGCTTTAGATTGCGTTAACAATTGTACAAACAATTATTTGTAGGGTCATAATTATTGAATTATTTGTACATATATACACTTAATAAATTATATCTATCTATCACCACTACCTGTGCCTTGGGTCGATGTTGTTGGGCCAGATGTTGTCATAACTGATGATGCTATTAAAACGTAAGGAAACAAAATAATAAACATCATAACATTTGAATTCAGTTCCCTGTATAACTCATATTCCGGTTGAAATATTCTGATAGAGCAATAAATTACCGAGCTAAATATATATCAGTATTCTAAGGCCCGGTTCAAACAGTTTTTACAGTTGTCGAAAATATGCATTAGTCCAAGTCTGTATTATATATACTGTGATCCTTGCATGGTTACTTTTTGAAGTATTATATTTTGAGCTAAGGCTTTAAGTATGTAGTAGCCTGATATTTTTCACTGTGCGCTCAGAGTTTATTGTTTTGAGAGGACAATCCTAATCGAAATAGCTGTATATTCCTGAAAGAGCAACTGTTTAAAACGTGCTAGAGAAAAACATATATATATATACTAAGGCCGGTTTACACTACTATATTGGCTTGCTTCCGGAGTGTGTCAAATCTTGTAGCTATATTATAAGGCACTGTAAAAAATTTTACTGTCAGAGATCGAAATAAATACACCAGATCTATCAAACTATTAAGCATTTGCTATACTAATCATATCTGGGGCCGGTTGTATCAAGTCCGTATGGCTTGAAGGTGGATAAATCATAAGTCAAAATTAAATAACACTCTTACATCTCTCTTGAATGAGTCAACTTGAATATTATGCATTGAAATCGAAATATGTAGTTCTAAACAGTATATATGTTTGCATTAAAGCGACAGACTTTCTTCCTATTTTGAACTTAAGCACCGTTTAAGGCACTGGGGCTGGGGTGATTCACGCATCAATTATGCATGTATATAGCCATGCAGATGTATATATAAAGACAATTTCCCATTGCAGTCGCTTCGCCCACGCGGGGGAAGAAAAAAATGTTTTATTCTTTAACACATAAAATATATGCATCGCACGCGATTTTTTACACTATCTACAAGAAAATCCTAACAATTTATCGTATGCAATAATAACCGCAGGTGTTCAGTCATAGAATGAGCGCCAAAGTCCTGTACTACTCCAAGTCTAGCTAGGCTTAGTTTAGCCTATAGTATATAGCGATAACCAGCCTTTGGTTTTGTCACAACGAGACTTGGGTTGTTTAAAATATATTTCAGCGAGAGCATGATAGGAATAAAAAAATTCTTACAATCACCAGTAGTGGCATTGTCTTGTGCATTCGTGACCAATCCGCCACACCAAAGGCAAAGGATAAATGCGATTTGAACGAACATAAACATCCTATAGGATGTTATAACCTATATAACCAGATGGCTTAATCTAAACAAACATTGCAAATTCATACAATAACTGCAAATTAAAATTGCAAATTATACGGTACATTGTCTCACTTATAAATCATAAAAACAGTGTTTATATAACGGAAACGGGGATGAGAAATAGTCGATATAGCGTTGCGTTAAAACAAAGTCAAAAACAAAGTATATTATTGAGACGAACTGCTATCAAAATGGTAGAGAGACATTAGTTTGATTGGGGATTGGTCTAAATTACACATCTCGTCAAAATTACGTTTTGACATAAAACATTATACTGTAAAAACTGTTAAACTGTTTTACATGCTTCTGATCAGGTTTCGTGTCACAAAGAACAGTTTAAGGCGTGGAGATTTTAATTAAACTATATACTCTATAGCTGTAGGTTTGTCATGCATAACATCCGCTTTATTGGCAACTTACATTTTACAGTAGATAAATCGTTTATTTTATAAACTTTACTTAGTCTTACTCTTAGTCTAATAGTCTTTACAACATACCCGTATCCAATATCAAAATGTCTGATGAAGCGGGCCTCTTTTGACTTTCGACGAGGTGGATACGGTACCGCTTTCGTTTAAGACTGAAGCCCAGCGCACACTGGACTGACTTGAGAAAACAACTGAGCTAAGCGTCACTCACGTCTGTTAGTTGAGCTGTTTCCTCAAGTGTGCGGCGTGGTATTCTGGCACGCGCGTGCACGCGTCAGATATTCACTTTGTCTTTGAATAATCAGTTTGTGCACGAGTGAACATTTCCTCACAGTGCATGTGCGCGCCCACTGAGCTATCGGTTCAAACACATTTAAAGGTAAGAAACATTACATTAATTACTTTTTACCAGTCAACAAATCATTTAAGACTTAACGGCGCCGAAAAAATTAGTAAGTGGGTCACTCAAGACACCTTACCTCGTATAGACAAGGATAATCGGGCCAAAACCCGCTAATTTGTTTTCCAGTACCGATTCAGCAACTCTTGAGTAATTTTGCGCCCACTTGGGTTGTGAAAATAATTCAAAATATTAAAAGAAAATACTTGCATTCGCTCCAACTGCTGAGCCGATAGCTCTGCCTCAGGACGCGCGCACACTATGAGGAAATGTTCAATCAATAACTATGAATCAATGATATAATCAATGACTATGAATGACTATGAATGAACTAATGACATTTAAAATACACAGCACCTATATATAACAATACGCGATATAATCATCTAAACGGACTCTTCAAAATGGCGGCGAGTTGTTTTTGCCAAAATGACGGATAAAGAAAGCGAAAAATTCGGCCTAAAATTATTTTCAAGATAAAAACTATCGGCAATTAAAGTGTTTTATCAGTTGAATTGCCTGTTCACATATATGTTTACGTTTGTTAAGCATGTATATTCTACATCGCTTTCTCAATAAATCACCTTTGACTTTGTATTTTTACTAAAACAATTATATATTCACCTCAGCCCCTTTCGGTTTTTAACCGGTCGGCGAATAATTGTTAATTAAGACTTAACACCTTGATCAGTTGGTATCAAACATAAGTGGCAACTTCACAGTATTCTGTTTTTCTTCACAACTGTAATGGATCAGACGTAACTTGCGGTAGAGTTTACTAAACCGCCTGACGGGCGACGCCTCAAAACTCGCAAATCCTTGCTTTATCACGTTTATTACAGTCGCACTACATCACGTCGCCGTTCGACAGCACATAAAAACTATACTACATAATATTTATACTATATAACAAAGAAGGAACCAAACACACACAACCAAGCCTGTAGATGGATCTCCACTTCTGGGGGAGGGGGCACTCTGCCTCGTACCCAGTCGCATGGCTCCGTGATATATTTCCTTGATTATCAGCATATATCATGTCAGCTCCCCAGAAAACGAAGTTTACTTAATTTTAGTTCCGCTGTCTTCAGTCAATTTGCTTTCCAAAAAACTGAGGTTGGCGAAAACGACTCCAAAGGAGCACAAACTTTATATAAGTGGCTGATGCATCAATTCTGATACAGAACGTTGGGTCAAAATGCGGACGCAAAGTTTAGCACTTTTACGCTTTCAGATGTGCCAATTTCGTTATGGCAAAAGGCGGCTTCTCCACGTTCCCAAAAAAATTGGTTCAATCCACTGGACCTGTCCGATTTCTCCTAGGCAGCGAGCCAGGTATTCACGCGAAAAGCTTTCTCGACGATTAAAAATCGATAAAATTTTCTCAGCCCTAGCGCAATCATCATGATATACACTAAAGTTGAACCTGATGACATTTTTTGCAACACTCTTTATATCCATAAGACTCGCAAGAATGTCCCAGTGGACGCCGATGCGCAGGCTTAGTCTGAGCATTTCACGGGGGGAGAGGGGCGTGGTGTCGAGGGCTTCAGTCACTTCGTGTTGAGAAGGTGTTGTCCCCAAACCGAGTAGTTCTGCCTGTTCAGAGAAAAACAAGAAGTGTGTACCAGAATTTGTCGCGATCAAACATTTTTCTAGCAGAAAAGTTTAGAAGGGCTAGTGCATCCTAGGCTATACGCATGCAACATATTTCTGATTAGATTTAACATCGAAATACCTCGTTCTCAATGCCAATGGGAAGAATTTCTCTCTTTAGATCGTGTCGTTCCAATTCCTCGAGCCATTTTTCCAGAGAACAACGACAGAAATCCTTTCTGTTGTTGAAAAGTTTAAAGATTTGACATGCTTTCAATGAAAATTTTGCATAATTCGCGCAGTCCAATCTGATTTCTTCTCGTTCAGCGTATGGAATGCCCATGAGCCCACCAAGGCGGTCCCAATCTATTCCAACTGCGACGCTCATTCGACGTATTTCTTTTTGTGTCAGTTTTGTGGTCCTGCGTACAACTGAAATTACACAATAATAATAATGGTCTATAAGGGCCAGTTGTATATTAAGGTCAGAATTGACCAATCAGAAGTCTACTTATTATATTTCGTTGATTCAGTTGAACTTAATTGATGTAATATTTGTAGCGGTATAACCTTTACAAACAAAGAGCAATAATTTCAAATATACCTTGTGGTTCGAGCTCTGCGGTCGGATCTAAAATGAAATCATTAAAAATGTTAAGATTTTATATTCTTTTGAATAAATCTATCACATTTACATTGAACATTCAAATATTGTAGGCTAAGCAAATAGATAACTGAGTAAATCTATATTGTCGTTAACCGCTTATTATGCATGTAGAATAAAGAGATAATTGCAATCAAACTATAAAACGTAACAACAGCTAGCAGCAAAAAATCGATGGCGGACGGTTAGTTATATATTTCATGCACTAACTTGACTAAGCAAGGAATGACAAATTCCCAGAAGTCACTTAATGGAATTTGAAATTTCTTTTCAAATATAACTGTTTTCTTTTTGCCCATATATACAAAAGAAACAGCGGAACAGTTTTTATACTTTTACATAATTATACCGGTTAAATTACTAATGAAACAATTAGATTACCACAGACTTCTTCAACGTTAGTCTTCTGTACTGTCCGCTCACTAACACCCAAAATCCACAGTAATTTGCTGCCATTACCACATACTTGGCTTATCTTAACCCTCCCATTTACTGGACGTTTTATTGCAATCCCTTTGAAATGATCGACAACAAAACCAACTGAATCCAATTGAGCCTGGTCGACCTCGAGCGAGCACGTGTTCGCCACACCCGAAAAATCTAAACGCAAAACTAGACGACGGTCCGTATGGATACGTTTCAACATTCCTTTCTCTCCTCTCTTGTAGCCTTCCTTGAAATGATCCTTCAACTGTTTGATGTCTTCTTCTTTTTTATCTTCAACAAACTCCGAAACCATAACAACCGCGATATCTATGGTGTCCGCGAATAAACCTTGGCTTTGGTACAAGACATAAGCACAGCAGGTAAAAGAACGATTAACATGACTCAAAATCCGGGCTAACCTCCCGCGTTTCGCCAAGATATAGCTAAAAAAACTGAAGCCGTTGATTTTCACATTCACTAGCTGCTCTTCGTGACTGTCTGTGACGTCATTAGTCACCAGTTCCCAAACGACCTTCTGATAAACGTCGTTGTAAAAACCATGCAAGACAAACGGTTCAAAATGGAAGAGGGATTTTTTCAACCGAATTGAAAGGTTTGCTGGTTTCAAAAATTTCAAACCATTTGGAAGGAACTGAACGACACGTGGTGCGTCAGCGACTAAACCTAAGTCCACCAACGACTTGAAGTCACATTTCTGCTCTATACTTGTCAACGTGATTTCTGTATGCTCAGCGAGACACCCAGGCTTGATTTGAAGCTTGAAGTCGTCTAACTCAATGACACTGAAGCCTCTTTTAGTTTTTGCCGCGGTAGTGTTATCTTTCACTTGCTGGGGAGGGGCGTTTGGAAGCACTATCGGCATTGCTGTATCTGCAACGACTGTTTAGAAATGAGATATGAACAACAATTATAGAATATAATTATATATATAATTATATCAACAGTGGAGAGCGGCGGCGGAACTGCGTTTTCCGTGATGCAAAATAACGATATGCCTGAACGCACAAGACCGGAACAGTTTTTAAAACACTCTAAAATACCAGTAATCTCACTTAATCTGTCTGTACTGAAATAGAAAAGGACCGGTATGGCCGTTTTTACCGTATAAAGCTAGGAAAGCATCGTATGTCTATGGTCTATTCCTTTTTTAAAAATTTCCCGCGCTTTCGTAAATTAATAAAAAGTATCAAAACGGGCAAATTTCTGAGAGCTGTATTTAATTAGGGCCTGTGTACATGGAGCGAGTTATACCGGCTAGGCGAGGTGAAAACTGCATATGAAAGACTAATCAGGTTAAGCCCGAATTCGATGCATGTAATGCCTCGAATTTACCTCGCCTAGCCGGGATAACTAACTCCATGTAAACTGGCCCTTAGCACGGCCACCATGCAGACCTCTATAATATTTCGCTAGTCGCTACCATTCTTCAGTTTTACGAGTTACTGGATTTGGGATACTCTTCCAGCTGAGCTAAAGGAAAATAAACAATTTCGAGGCCAAGGGCTAGGTTAATACTTTTTCGAAAGCTTAGTGTATATGCGGTAACCACGTGCGACTATCAGCAATGGTAATAGCAATAAATAGGTCCGTAATACTAGTAGTGTACCTCAAAAACTTACAATTACAACTAGGTGACAGTCGTCCATGACCTGCCCCCATTTTTGAACAGATCTCGTCTTTCTACACCTAAGGTAACAAATAAAATAAAACGTCAGTCTGAGTTGGGTCTCACAGCCAACGCCAAGGGATGTAGCCTAGCTGGTTCCCCACGGCACTAGTCTATATGTCAATCATTACATAATTGCCCAAGAAGTTTCAAATCCTAGAAGTTGAAGCATATTTAGCAGCACTGGTATAGGTCTTGAATTGATATTTGCCGGCGATATTCTCTGACTGTGTCTTACTTCAGTTGAACCAAATTATACTGCTTGTTTAATGTTATGCCTCGAAAACAACGAATTTTCCGTATTCGCCATGGTGTCAGCGGTCATATCAATGTTAATATAATTTTCTTATTATGTTTAAGTACAATTTAAGAAGCTGTACTTTCTAAAACCTCCGAAATCAATGTGGTAAAGCTTATAAAAGCTAGAAGATCAATATTTTACAGAGCTCATCAAAATTAGCATAATTATAGAAGAGTTAACCAATAAGCTATCGTATTTTTCAACCAATCAACGAGCAGCGAATATTAATGTCTTCTCAGACGTCCGACCATTAGCACAGGATATAAAAACCGAAAACGATAATTTATAATTATTCTGATTATCTAATCAAGCCATTTCAAACACAGCAAAGCTCGCGAAGAAAATATCGAAATTTGAAAGATGTCTGGACGTGGTAAAGGAGGCAAAGGTCTTGGAAAAGGAGGCGCTAAACGTCATCGTAAAATCTTGCGAGACAACATCCAGGGAATCACGAAGCCCGCCATTCGCCGTCTCGCTCGTCGTGGTGGAGTCAAACGTATCTCTGGTTTGATCTACGAAGAAACTCGCGGTGTCCTCAAAGTTTTCCTTGAGAATGTGATCCGTGATGCTGTCACATACACCGAGCATGCCAAAAGAAAGACTGTCACCGCCATGGATGTTGTGTACGCGCTCAAACGTCAAGGACGAACCCTCTACGGTTTCGGCGGTTAAACGACTGCATCTCAAGACTTAAACAAACCAAACGGCTCTTTTCAGAGCAACAAATTTCGCAAAAGAATACGAACGAAAATTATTCGATAGTGTAAACTGCTTGTTAGCCTATAATCGCGTCTAACTCGGTACTCCCTCGAGTGAAAAGAAACCTGTTTATCAAGCAAGGTCTACAGCCTTGAACGCTTGTCACTAGGCCTTCGGTCTCGATCGTCTAACTGAAATATAAACCATTTTTACTTAATATTTTCACCACGTGGGAGAACAGATTTTGATCTTCAAAAAATATGGTCCAAATTTTAGTTGTAAATATATGTTTCATTCTATATAAATTTTAGCATAAAGTAGTTTGGTAAAAAAATGAAGCAAAGACAGAAAACCTGTATATTTAACTGATTTGGATTGATTTCTTACAGTTTTAAGTCCCTATTCGTTATTTGAATTCAAGCTATTTTAGACAAGGAAAAAAACAAGGAAATTAATACACATTGCATATTCGCATGGGTATGCTTTGATGTTGCTGCATCAAAATTAACCAACTGGTCAAAATAGTGTATACAAATATTGCAAATCACAGTCCCTAACCAGTAATCTGTGATATTTACAGCTATATCTGAAGTCTGAACATAAACCTACATGATATTTCATTTTTCTAAGGGGATATAATCTAAAAAGTATCATGATCATGCTGAAATGATGCTATATGCCTGAAAACACATTCTCTACCCAACCGTTCTTTAAGATCTTCTCACTTCTACAGTGTCAATTTTGTAAATCCTTACCTATTAAGTGAAAAGTTGACAGTGCTCTTACAAATCCATAAGAGATGCTTTTTAGACTTTAGTTCAGTAACTATCCTACAGAAAAAACCCAACAGTCTAAGAATGATATTCAATTACTTATATGCATGCAAAACCCCTTTTAAGGCTAAGTTTTAGGGCTAATTCAGATGGAGTCAATGTTGGAAAAAAAACATGACAAAGTTAGCACAATGAAAGAACTAACTAGCATAAAAACTTCTCAAATTTAGTCCAGCGCATTTCATCATTAGCTTAGGTTGCAGCTAGATACATGGGAGGCTATAAATAATTTGGAAAGCATTATCTTTCTGTCATATCATGCAGCTTGTACCACCCTCCCTTACACAAGGGAGCATGAAAGCAGGTCAGAATCCCCCCAAATATTTAATGACACTTGCTAGACTCTATTGAGAGTTGAATGATGGTAAATGAAGACAAACATAGCATCATAGAACCATTTTATGGTGTACCAGAATTAATTTATTGCAACCAATAGTCAATTTTTTCAAGGAAAGAAACTGTATTTAGCCTTAACTTACTTTTAAGGAAACCAGAATACTAAAAAATTGCTACACAGAAGAAACTTAACTTAAGCATGACCTTATATGGCTAAACTAATCAAACAGTTCCAAGCTCCAGAGTTCTATGCAGCTCTAAAAACTCCAATATTCAACTCCATCCTAATGTTAAACATATCCAAGAACAATTGTCATGAACAAAGTCCCTGGCTGAAAAATCAAGCAATTTCAATGCAAGTTTAAGCCTTCTTAAAAGGAAGTCAAGTTTTAAAAGGAAGTCTGTGCATGTGTTGTGTTTATAGCAATGCACAGACTGGAGCCACCCGAGGTAAAAATTGGCCAGTTAAACCGTGAATAAGTAAAGTTGTGCTAAGTTTTTGCCACTTGCAGTTTTTTAGATTGATTTTATATTCCCCTGTGATGGACACTACATCATGACAATAAGACCCCCCCCCCCCTTATCAGGAAGTACAATAAACAATACATTTTTTTAAATATAGTCAACCAAGGTCATGCAATATTTTTGAACAATTCATTGCTTTAAATGGTTTCAGCAAATTGCATTCTTATCATGCAATTCTAAAATGTTATCATTTATTAATATATTTTATGCAATACCTGATGACGTAACACTTTGCGACATTGCACCACGAGGTACGTCTAATTGCGACATTCCACATTCGAATGCATAATAAGCCTAAACATAGCCAAATTAGGCGAATAAATGCATTCCTATCGATGTTTAGTACGCTCTTGAAATGTTATGATTATACCTTATCCAAATATTGCTGAGTCGTTGTTAAAATTCACGAAAAATTCCGAAATTTTACAAAAATATTCTCAAATAAAAATGGGCCGAGTTTCTTGGTTTTCTGTTCTTCATTAACTTTGCTTCCACTTTTGCGAAGTGAAATTTTCTCTGAGATATCACCATAACTGCAACTTGTTATCAAAATCTCACTTAAAATCGACTCGTAACGCACACACAAGCGTTATTATGGCTTTCTGTACTCACAGGAAGCATTTTAGATCCATCCACACGCATTTCGCTCCGAAAATAATCGAATTTCTTAAAATTTCTTCCTCGTTTATCTTTCCAAAGTGGATGCTTTACTTGGCCATTCATTTCCGGTTTATTGCGTCACAAGGCAACCGGCTTCTACAAGCGAAAACAAGTTTTTTTCATCGAAAATTTTCAGTCTCGATCACTACATTGGTGTGGCAAAGACTTTCCCATATTGTTGGGGGCAGTTTTCACAAAAGGATCTGATCTTCAATGAGCAGAGATTACTCTGTAAGTATACGAGATATCTGAGGCTTTTCCTTCGGCATTCTCGCGAAGCGATCGTTTGTAGTAGGGGCCATGATTTTGGGTTGTGATTTCAGATTTCTCGCCTTTAGAAACAATTTTATGGTCTTTGTTCTGCCTTCGGTGATCGCGGCTTTATGCCAAAGCGAGGGCCATTTCTACTAGTTTCCGATGTCCTGATTGTGCCTTGAATAACCTTTCTCGATCCCTTTTCTAGCTCTTCGGCTTTAGGAGCAGACTTCAGAAGTTTATGGAGTACTTCCTGAAAGACAGTGGAGAATTTTGCCAAGCACAACACGAGTGATTTTGAAACGCGTTTGCCCGTTCACATTCCACACGGATGGGCTAAAAAGACACGGGAAGGGAAGAAGCGTAACTTGATTAAACAACGGTGAAAAGCGATCGAAGTTCGGTGTAATTTTTGATAGAAAATTTGAACAATAAAACAGAAACATGAAGACGCCTTCGGACACGAAATCTGTTGGCATTACCGCTGTAGCAAGGCTAAGCACTCCCAGCGTTCCGGCGATGATCGAGTACAAAAAGATGCGATTTATGATCATGGATAGGCCTACAAACGCTAACCTTAAAACCTACATAGAGGTACGTCTTCAATGCTTTTGTAACTGGCCTTTCTTTCGAGAGTTTGCGGCGTGCGAATTCGTAAACGAAAGTTAAAATTTTCAATATGCATACTTTTGTGCCCACACAGGAACTGAAGAGAAGAGATGTGCACGACGTTGTACGAGTCTGTGAGCCAACCTACAATGTAGAACCGCTTAAAAAAGAAGGAATAAGCGTCCTGGTAAGTCTGGTTGGATTGTGAGGCGAAAGCTTTAAACTTTTGAAATGATTCGTTTCCGCGAGGACTTCGTCACTTCGTTCTCGATGAATGACTCGAGATAAGGATTGCCAATTAGGTTTTATAAGCTCTTAACTTCAACGAAACAAAATTTATAATGACCCGAATGTTTTGTCATGAAAGGTTTGTAAACGAAGCCTTTTAAGTCCTCTTTGCTATTCACAATATACCTAATTTAGCTAGGAGTTCACTGTTCCTTTCGAAATATCGAAAAAGATTCGTCTAGTTCTCTTTATAATTTTGTTTCACATTAAACAACAGACATGTGACTTGCCCATTAGGAATGTCTGTAACTGTGTCAGAAGTCATCACAGACCAATTATAAGTGGTTGATTTAAACGACCACGAATCTGTTCATGGATAGTTTGTTGCAAAATTCTCATTTCGATGGGAAGTACATGCATTTGTGTTTGAAATTTGAGATTATGTCAACTTTAAATATCTTATAGCGATTAACAGATTTTGTTGAATGTTCTTTGAAGGTCATACTTAGTGGGGGCCATAGTAAATTTGACATTTTATAGTCCTGTGCTACACATCCTACTGTTTATAAAGGCTGAAATACTTGTAGGAGAATTGGTTTCTCTTGATCACCAGTAGTAGTTCAACTACAACAAGCAAAGTTATTTTTTTTGTCATGTTAGTTTTTTTTCATTGCAACCAGGAAATTTTAAGGACCTCATTTGAATTTTTCATATCAACATGTTAGCCTGCTTTACAAAGCAGAGATAATCAGTTCATAAATTTTAACAGTTTACTCAAACAAATTTTATTATGCCATGTTTTCGAAAATGAAATGGACAATCAATTGTTTTAATCTTGGCTACAGCTGTGTGCATGGTCAATGTTGATAAAATATTCTGAATAACATGTAGATATGCTGTTAAAGTGCTCATGTTGAAAGACAGTTGCAATAGAAACTTGGCATTGCACAGGGTTTTACCGAATTACCAAACTTTATCTGCCAGAAATGGTTTACTAATTCTGAATACTGCTTACCTTTGGGTTTGAAAAGCTGTCATATCCATGGCTAAGTGCCATTTTGCATTTGCCCCTTCAAATCAGAAGAAAAATAAACTTCTGAAGTGTATTAAATTTAACACAAAAACAATAGGTTTTATCTCATCAGTTGAAGTTTGAAATTGCCTTAGGGATGTTAGGCAGTTGAGTTGCAAGCTATTCAATCTTGTGAAGGCAACAGCAGACAAGGCAATCTCAAGGCTCATTAATGATTCATTACTGCTGCGTCTATATTATTTGGACTTTTTTTGCTAGGACTGGGCATTTGATGATGGTGCTGCTCCGCCAAAAGCAGTTGTAGAAGACTGGTTGAATCTTATAAAAGTGAGGTTTCATGATAAAAATGGATCCTGTATTGCTGTGCATTGTGTTGCAGGCTTGGGAAGGTAAGTGTCCTAATAATTTATTATTAATATTTTTTATTATACTAAGCAGTTTTGTCATGAAATGAAACCCACACTGCCACTTTAAAATTTTTCAACAACACTTAACAACAATGTAAACATGAGTTGAGGTTGGCTAATTTTTCTGATGGATTGTTAGGTTGTAGGCTTCGATATAAATAGACTTGATGTTGAGGTCTACCACCATGAAGAACTGTTGGCTGCTGAATATCTAAACGGTACTACCTCTTGTATAATATTATAGGGCACCAGTCTTGGTTGCCATAGCATTGATAGAAGCTGGGATGAAGTATGAAGATGCTGTTACCTTGATTCGAGGGTAAGTAATCTTGTACTTTATGTAATATTGTTTGGTATTCACATTCATGTTGGCACTGGCTGACAATGTCCTGATCATCTTTTGTTTTTAGCCAAAGACGTGGTGCTATAAATGCCACTCAGCTATCATATCTAGAGAAGTACAAGCCAACTAGACGTCTTAGGGTAAAAGAAAATGGCTGCTGTTTACAATGACTGTATGAACGGTTTATAAAACAGATAAATATGCCCTGATTTATTGACCATTTTCTACAAAAAAATATTTTTTTGACAAATTAAATAGCCAATTTAATAGTAGAGACATGTAGCAAATTGGGTGAGTTGAACAATTTTAGTAATATTGGATTGTTGAAATCCAGCTGAAACTTGTGAAATACTAAAAATTGTGATATTTTAGCAAGGTGTAAATGAATTAATGTGGGATATAAAATATGTATTTGAACAGAAATGACAATGTACACACTAATGGATTAATGCCTGTAACTAGTCTTAGTATGTTGGATAAGTAATAATTTTATTTTTAACCAAGTTTTCACTGTCTATATTGCAGCTAATTCAAAAAGGTTTTCTCTCTAAAATGTTTAACACTCTAAGTATGCCAAACACAATGGAAATATCTGCTTTTACCAAAACAAATTGATAGTAAATTTTGCTGTACTATGCATTGATTCTTGGAGTTAATGAGTTTTATCAGATTCACCAACCGTTTTTGAATTAGATATGTTCAATAAGTAGCCACCCGGATTGCATTATTGTGAGGAAATAGAGTTTTAGTCTTTTCTTCCCAAAGAGTACGGTGTGAAATAGCTTTAAGTAGCTTGTGTTTACAAATCACCAAATCTTGTCAAATAGACTTCGAAAGATTTATTTCTAACCATGTGTAACATAATATGGTAGTTAGGGTTTAACAAAGTACCAAGTTTAAAGATGAGAAAACTTTGCTAGTTTAAAAAGGATTTCTCAAAGATAATTTTAGTGTTATCTAGATGAAACACAATTATGGTAATGCTTTGGCAATTGGTGATAATACCTATTTTGTGATAATACCAAACAAACTGTTCTTACAGATTGAACTTACCAGACCATGTTTAGAATTGAGCTAAATTATTTCCTCATTTTAGAAATCAGGTTCATACAAACCTGGCTTTACTAATTGCCAAAATGTTTCATAAATCCTGTGCTTCTAAGTCTGGAATACAATGTATCTTAGCTATAAAAGATTTTAATAAATTTTGAATAAAGCTTGTGTTGTTGTTTTGATACTTGCACAGTGGCACACAATGTGTGTTATTCACATAAACATGTCGTCTTCAAAGCCAGGAGGTCGTAAGTGATCTGGGCCAGGTCTGCAGGAAATTCCAAGATTTTGATAAGAACTTAAAATTTTAAGAAAGCAATTAACAAGTACATGACAAGATGACTTGTGACTCACTCGCCATATCTACCAGATCGAGGGTTGCCTCCAATGCCCCCATCTGGATGAGGTGGTCCAAATGGATCAAATCTTGCCCCTGGAGGAACTGCTCCTCTGAAAACAAAATAGAAACAACACTCATAAAAAACACCATGCTATTTAAAAAAGTTATATACCGGTAGGTACCTACTTAGGCTGCAGCAAATTCATGTTTACATTTAAAAACCCGGTTTAAACCAAGGAAGTGCTCTTAAGGTTAATATACCTTGGCAATCCTGGATGACCAAAGTCACCTTCAGGCCTCCTGTTGCGCTGATGAAATGGATCCATGAACATTCCACCAGTTCTAGAAAAAAAGGGCATACCATCACCCAGTTAGTTACAAATTATCAATACCCAAATACTTCAACTTGCAATGACACTCACCCTGGATGCCCAGGCAAAAGGTCTGGATCTCCAAAACCTCGTGGATCAAACATTAAAGGATCCCTTAATTAAACATGAAAATCGTTTATTATGTGGTCCATGATTATCAATTTCATTGCATGAATCAATAGGAATTGATATCTTAAAAATAATATTCGTCAGTTAGATACCAGGCATAGGTATAATAGCTAGGCCTAAAAAGTTGGGTACCTACAATCACGCTAACAAAACACATATGTACATTATATTATCAACACATGTAGTTGTTGTTCAATTAGAACATACCTTCCTCTTGACCCTTGCGGAATTCTCGGTGGTATTCTTAAGGGGTCATCAGGATAAACAACAGGTCTTGAGGTTGAGCTAAAAATGGAACAGTATTGAGTTATAGAAATACAAAATAGGTTTCACACTCATATAAAGTCAAACACCTGCAGATGCGCTTAATGACAACTAAGGAATAAATAATATTTACAAGATTTGAGACCCTCATTTATAAATTACAAGGCAAGCTCACACAGACTTCTGTGAATTTAGAAAACATTTGAGATAGCATAAAAAAATATGTCACAAAAACATTTCATCAGTACTGATCATAGAATATATGACATACACCTATAATCTCTTTGTTTAGAGGTGGTACACAATGACTAATAAGTAGAAGTCAGAATACCTAGTTGGTTCATTTTGGGTGGACTTGGGTTCTGGTTTTTTCTCTTTCTTTGCATTCAATTTACTTGCGATGTCTGATTTGAAAACTTGCTCAAGTTGATCAAATTTCTTTATAACTCTAAACAAATGTGTAGAATGCATCACACTTTTGACACTCAATATGCCCAAGGACTTTGGTTAAGGGCAATAACCAATTGCAGTAAAAATGAAATTATCTACTTCCTTTAATGTGGTTCTCCATTTACTAAAAAATATTGCATTAGGCAATGTCAAAACAATATCTTTGAGAACTCAAGAAGTACAGTCCACATAGGCAACCAGCATCTACAGAGCTAGCATAGGGTGAGGTATTCCAGCTCAAATAGTACTATTTCCTGTAATCATTTCTGTTTTCTCAAATTTGTAGGAGACATTTCTAAGCAAAACTGGTAAAATTTACTTCATTTCTTCTAGGCTTTGACAGCTAAACTTCAGATTTTAAAATGTTTCATCTTGAGATTGCTGCTAACAGCCACTTACTGTGGATAGTCATAGAGGTTTTGTAACAGTTTTTCATTGTCTGTAGTGACGTAATCAGTGGTATCAATGGTTAGATCATAGCTGTCTTCTTTTTCCACATCCTGATAATTATATGTTATTCAATTTAGCTTCCAGTTGGCAAAAAAATAGTATGTTCCTTTCAATCATGCATAACACCAAATTAATTGAGATTAGGATGAAGTACTGCACATGTATGTATGTTAATCATATTTTACTAACCAGTAGGAAAAAGGCCAGTCTAGTATCCAGACGTAAAACTTTAAGAAGGAATTTCCGTTGGTATGAACTGGGTTGTTTGTACTGTATGGCATAAAAGTCTGGCGAATTATTCCAGCCTTGAGGTAAACCATCTGTGGAAATGTTTCCAACAGACTCTGAGACCTAGGAAGGTATATTTTAAGTATAATTATAAGACTATGGAAAGTAGGAACATCCTTCATGTTCACAATACAATGTTTTGATTTCCTGAAACTATTGTGACCTCAGACTATGTGCTATTCATGGATGGTACCAAGCAATACAACAATGCAGCGTTTGTTAATATATTAGAAATTGGATATGCCACTAGAACCTAAGTTCATGACAAAAATCATCTCAATTATAGCTACATACAGCCTACACAGATTAAAACATAGTAAAGGAAATGCAGTTTGAGAGTAGACTGCTCATAATTTTCATTTGTATGCGCATAATAAAATGATTGTTTGTTGACAGCCTACAATATCAAAGGAAAATCTGAAGGCAAAAAATGATCAGGTTGTCCCATCAGGAGTGACCAATGTTGTGCTGCACCCCATGAACAGTATTGTTAATAATGAACCTTGTTGAACCATCAATATTGCTGTATCAATTGCCATAAATTTGTCAACAAGTTGCAACACTATTGACGGTTCAACAACCATTGTTAACAATGCTGTTCACTGGATGCAGCACAACATTGTTAACTTTTCAACCACTTGCACCAAAATGATGATTTTCACGCGAGTAGACTTTCACTTTCACTTCTTGATCAAACTGGCGTGCACTTTTGAAAGCATAAAATCTAAATTTTAGGATAGAAATCCTATTTATACGTTTAATAGTATTTTTATCTGCAAGGAAGTATAAAAAAGACGTTATGTATGATGCAAAATAAATATAGGTGATATACAGAGCTGATAACAAATGACATTAAAATGATGTATCAAAGCGTAGTATAGTTTTGATGCAATGAAAATAAATCAATAATAGACAGAAAATAAACACAAAATGCAAACCTGTTCCCCAATTCCAATACATTTATATCCAGCTTCTATCAAAAATGAATGAACGGCAACAACCAGAGCATCGTGGCCATCTCTGACACCGCAAAATGGCAAGGTATTTGCAAATCTCTCTTTTGCCATCACGTCGCCATATTGTGAATATTCACTATAAAATACTTCATGTAAGTAAAAGCAAAACAAAGGGTTCAGTCCAGTGGTTCAGTCACACCATGGATAGTTAAAAGACGATTGATTTTAATATCGGTGATTTTATTATCCATGGTCACACTTCTTTTGGCAGATGTGAACAAGAGCATACGTGACAAAAAACCATTTCAGCTTGCATGCAAATTAACCCATTTCAGAGGTTGTGACCATTGATGGTTTCTTAATGATTTCAGACCATGTGAGATGTAATTGATTATGATAGACCTTTTCAGTTTGTATGCAAATTATTTCATACAAGCTGAAAAGGTCTATTAGTCAATTACATCTCAAATTCAAGCAAAAAATTTGCCTAAAAATATGCTTTTTGTAAAAACAAATTCTCCTCTCGAGATATATTATGGAAGGAGAAATAGAAAAAGTAATTCATGTGATTTTTTCCAATCCAAACCATTAAAGCGTCGTCAAAATTAAGCGTTCCCAGCCTCCCAGGGTATTTTAAGAGGGAATTGAGCACCCTTGCATCTGCATACTCCCCGAGAAAGCGAATTCTATTTCCGCAGTGTGAAAGAAACCCCAGGCCCAGCACCAAACCCTCTGCACGGCGGTCTTGAGAGCACCCCCGGTACGTCCCTGCTCACTTAAATGAAATTTTCAGGCAATGCTTTTAAAATGTTTAAAACTGTACATTGTGCTAATAAACTGTACATAAAAATGTACTTTGTCGAACACTGCTTCAAACTTTCAACGCTTTCGTTAATTTAAAAAATTTATACAAGATACAATAACCTATATAAGAAACCTAAGCCATAAAAATCCGAGAATCCAACGCAGAGGTTGAAACATGTGTGATGTTTATCAAGATATTTCATGCAACTCGTGTTTGCTCATTTTTTTTCAATATGTCATTAAAAAAAATACTGAGTATGGCCAGATCTATCCACTAATGTCAAACAGTGCGCCGTCTGCAGTCACCGATTCACCGTTCCTTTACTTCAAATTTACCTCAAATAAATTTATTTTAATATTTGGATAGGCCTCTACGGCCTTTTTGAAACACTCCTGCATGTCAGAATTTCTTGCCTTCCTAAAGTGATGCAAATTACCAATAATATAACCAAGCTGCCTTTGCTGTTCACCAAAGAGTTTGGGATCCTCTTTTTCGGTGGACATTCTAACCGCATTCTCTAGAAGGTCACGGGCATCCACAAGATAATTCAAGATTGGCATGTTTCGCCCTAGAATAGACCGCGTATCCTTTTTATCCGTTTTGATCTTGAATATATTATACTTTGTACATGCAAAATGGTATGCAAGGTTGCCGTGTTGAGATATTAAGCGACGGCCATAGGCTTCTAATAGCTGGTGGGCTGCTTGATTTGATTTCAGCTTTAATCTTCGCTTATTAACTGTTCGTTCAGTACATAGCTCACAAACAAATTCGGTTACGCCCGATAATTCATCTACGTCAGCATCGGCTTTAATCAATTTCTCAACTAATAAAACTCCAGCAGGTATGCTGCTTCGTGCAAGCTCTTTGTCTTCCAACCACTGCCCTAGCTCTTTTAGCAGCTCACATCGTTTTTTTGTGTTAGCCTCGATATAGCGTTCATATTTTTTCACAGTGGGATGCTCGCAATTATTACCTAACAAGGTTATCAGTTGTTGTATTAAACGTTGGCTAATTATCTTTGGATCCTTATCAAATGCCTTTTGCAGAACCTCGCTTGCTTCCAAATTTTTTCCACCAGCCTCCAACTCCTGAACTTCTTTCATTAACATAGCGGCTTGAAACTTCGGATGAGCAGGCAAGGTTACACGGAAGTATGTAGGATCGAAATCAAATTTTGGGATTGGATTTTCGTTATTCTCCATCGTGCGAAATATTGTTTGGATACCAGTATTACGAGCTTCAGCCAAACAGAGGTCTCTAAGAAATTCACCAATTCTTCGGTTTCTTGCTTGAACCGGTGGAACTGATCCTTTTGTGAAATCTTCTTCTTTTAGACTTGGGTGTGGTCCAGGGTAACTGATTATCTCCAAGCAGTGGGGTCGTATGTACACTTTAGTAGAGCTGTCATGCTCGGGTTCGTACCCCCGATGATAAACGGCATTAACAATGGATTCTCGCAGAGCCTGGTGAGGATATGTTACCAAGCTTATTGATTCCTCCTTCTTCGTCGTAGAAAAAACATAATCCATGCATTCTTTAATTTGCTTCTGCAATGGACCGGTAAATTCCTTTTCACTGCTGAAGATAACTGTATTATCTCTTGTAAATTGAGTAACTTCAATTTTTGCCCCCGGAAAATATTCGTGCGGGACACGATTAAACATGAGAAGGGCAACATTCTTTGGCATCAAGACTGGTGTGAAGCGCCCATCGATCGCTTTATTACCGAACGGTACAACAAGGTTTAATTTCTGAAGAATATTACGATTTTTGCTTCTTTCCATGCAGCTACCCACGTCGTCGAGGAAGGCCATTACAAGCCGGTAACCTATGGCATTGTGATCAATTCGAATTCTTGAACTTATATATTCTATAAAAAGGAACCAATTATGTCGATTTAGCAATTGATATGATGTACATAGCAAAGTTAACATAGCAAAGTTTACAGCGGCTTCTGCGCATCGCTTCTGCTCATAACATTGGAGGACCCATGATTTTGAAATTACCCAAATTTCGCATAAACAGATAAACAGAACTCTTATGATATTCATTTAGAAATATAGTGAATTGAAATGGTGATAAATAGTCCGACATGACAAGATATTTTAATAGATATAGCAATGCAAATTGTAATTAAATAAATTTCCATACATGATCATATGGATTTAGGGAATATTTCATTGAAGTGATTGAAGTATGCTAAAATGCATATACTGGCTGACTTGATGTTTCTATGAAACTAAAGTAAACATTCAATTGTTGAAAGATGACAGAGTATTAGCCTCCTCGATAGGCATGCATGTCATGACATCTGTTACTATTATATAATTATATTTCTATTCCCGATGAGACAAAGAAATTTTATACCTTTGTCCATGTCTTCCATAAATACACTATAAACCCAACATTTGTATTGCTCTGAATTGACAGAACTTAGAAATAATAGAATTGAATAGACTGCATTCATGCAGGCTGCAATCCACAAACCAGCCATCATCAACAACAATGCAGAGATCTCGCGGACTACAGCTATTTAACATTTGGCTTTTGGTCACAAATTATTACTTGGGCACTGAGCCTCACAGATACTAAGATATACAAAGAAGAAATTAGACTAACCTGGTCGTGCCATTCGATCGTCAAAGGGTATCTTTTGCGCGTTCTCCAGCAAAACTTTAATTTCATCGTCACTTGCCTGAGTGGTTTCAGGCCCTTTACGAATAAAATATTGATAGTCTCCCTTCGTAGCCACTCTAGCTTTATGGGGTCGATTGTCACTGGCTTGAGCCCATATGACTAAAACGTGTTTCCCTTGGACTACTTCAGGGGATACTATCGGAACGTAAAGAGGCTTGATGAGGCTCTTACAAGCGCCGAAAATTTCCTTTTGTATCCGTTCAAGATCCTTCCCCTTGATACCGACTGGTGGTAGTTCAATTTGTTCATCGGTTTCTTCACTATCATCCTCTGCAACACCAATAATTATGTAGCCCCCATTGTCGTTGTAAAAGTCGTTTGCAAAGGCACTGATAGTCTTGATTATTTGAAATTTTGTTGGGCCGTTGTTCCACGATTTTTTAAATTCTAATTTTTGCTTCTCAACGCTTCGACAATTCACAAGATCGTCGATTGGCACAACTAAATTCGATGAATAGTTCGAGCTGCTTGCCATTTATACACAAAAGTAAGAAACGTATATGTATTGATATATCTGGACACAAAGTAATTGTGGCTTACAACCCATAGCTGGCCGCCAAAGCATGCAAAAGTTGCAATTGCTTTTAGTGTAGAAATTCCTTTTCTAAACTGACTTGTATTTTGAGTTTATATTTCCGGCTGATGTTGTAATTGAATCCACGGATCGATATTTGCGAGTCAGCGGATCGTCGATGGAATAGTGAACACAAAAAAGACTGGAACGATAACTCTGACGCCATCTTGAAGCCAAATCGAAAGTAAGTAAGACAACTGGGGACTGGGGTGACTGCATTATCGCGTTAACTTTGAGTAAACATTGCTTTTTACTGGTTTTAAAGAAATTTATCGTTTTTTCAGTCATACGCCTATCGGATAAGACAGTTAAACATGTATAGTAGGAAGAGATTAAAGTGGTTAGAGATTAAAGATTAAAGATTAAATCTTTCAAATTTGTTAAAAAAAAATTCCAGTAGTTGAAAGTGCCCGACAAGCAGCATTGTAGGTACATTGTAGGTGAAATCGATTTTTCTGCTAAAATCGAAATATATTTATAACCTCATTGAAATGGCCTTCTGCTAAAAATAACTGGAACCTACGTTGAACATTTTAAAGTTTATTGAAAATCTATTACCTCTACAATCCAGATTATTGACTCTGGATCTATTTAACTAGTGCTTTATACAACTGGCTCCTGATTATGACCTTAAATTATGATAGGTTAGACATCCCCAGGGTACCTTTAACTGAACATACGAGACAAAATCGCCGATGAAAATGGCCTGTTTACCCGCGGCTTAAGTGAAAAGTCAATATTGTCTTCGAATCTTCTGCGATATACGCCGACTGGGCTCTCAATCTAAAAACAATAAACTGATGAAAATCGTAAATTACATTATACAGCGGATTCCGTTTGACTTCAAAACAACAAGCGTTCGTAAGGCATGTTGGGTCGCTAAATATATGACATTTGAAATGTCACATGCACTGCATGTTTCCAAGGAATGGGCGGAGCGTTCCATTTTTCGCTTTGACAAAGTTGCAGTTTTGTTGAAAGAAAGTGCTTTCCCATGACTGTAGGATTGCCCTTTCGTATCACTTTCCAAATTTTAAAATACCGGAAGCGTTTCGAACATGTTTACATGTAAGTGATGTATAACTGATGTAAGATGCGCGCCAGAATTTCAAAATTCAAACGTCATATTCTAAACGACCCAACATGCGTTGCTAACGCTTTGTTATTTTGCAGTCAACGGGAATCCGCTGTATTATGCTACATTAAATCAACAATCAAACAACTCCGATGTCTGAGCAAGCACTTACGATGGATTTTTGCGCAAATATAGCTAGCTATACTTGTATAATAAAAATTTGGCATTAAAGGGGACTAATCACATTTACATCAGTTGTTTCAAAGGCCATTAACTGACTTTCGCACCGAAAAGTTGTGTTCAAAGGGCATACACAATTAGTTCAATCAATTTTAACAAGAGGGAAAAACGCCGCTTTAAGTTTTACTGCATGTAAAGATTTTTCAGCATATGCTTGTCGAATTGTCCAAATCTCGGGATCAGTTTGCTTTACAAAACGCGGGGAATCAACGAACTGCCAGAACAGCTATAATTATAAATTGTGCGGTTAAGAGAACCCTTAAAGGCTGATCTACACGATGCGATTAGTCGCATACGATTCGTATGCTGGCGTATGTATTCGAATAAATGCGTGTAAAGGTTTCCCATTTTAAATTTCGTTATAAACTGATGAACAGACAGAGTGACGTTACCAATCTTTTTCATACGTCAGGATAAGAATCGTATACGACTAATCGCATCGTGTATATGCACATGTGATTTTTATCCGCGATTTTCTCTTACCAGCGAATGTTATTGTATGAATTATGTATACAATTGTATAAGCTTGGCGAAGTAAAGTAACCTAATCTGTTAAATTGACTTAATAGCATACACCATGCAGAAGAAGAAGATCGACGTCAAAAAACGCCAGTGTAGTCGGAGCTTTCGACTAAACTCAGTAACAAACAAAGAGAAGCATGATCAGAGGAAGTTAAACTCCGGATGTTTGGCAAACATTCTTTGTAAATATGCGCGCATGAAAAAGTGATCTTAAATCGATATTGGTTCATATACAAAGGCCATACTTTGGCGCCGGTGCAACTTCAGCTAGTGAACATGCAACAAGTAGTCCTTTGACCAAGATTTCCTGTTGGAAAATTGAACCGTTTAACCGTTGGAAAATTGAATTGCAGTTCTTTCAACGTTCTTTCGAATAACAGGAAACATTTGAGAACTGTATGATTTAGCAAAGGCAACCGTATTTCGCAAACACGACTAAAATAAAGAATAATAAATTTTTGAATCAGAGCAGAAAATAAGCTTATAAGACCGTTAACAAGACGTTGATACGTTTTATCAGTAACGTCAGACCTATTAGGGAGACGGAGCCGAGAGCTTTTATAAGGATACTACTAAATTAATTTTCAATATTATATATTATATCAAAGAGCAGCGTGTGAGCATCTCCAAACAACTTCGCATTAAACTTGGTATATAACAAATTTCTTTGAAAGGCCGTGTAAAATCTTTGCGGTTATAGACAGAGCGTGACAACGACTAAATTCTCTATAGTTTGTTACAGCACTAATTTTTTTTTGTTTCTTCTAGAATTTTAACGCATGTTTATCAGCGATCGCCGGTTCTAATGACAGACCCAAACCGTGGCCAAAAATATAGGCATGCCTAACTGCCATGCATGCATAAATAATGTTGTATCACTTAACAAAGAGGCCTGTCTATGTTGTTATCATGCACAAATTTAAATCAACGATAACATTGAGTCACATGAGGAGAAATACTTGTCATGATCCCAAACGATCGACTTTAAATCAAAATAAAGCTGACCGGAAACTCCATCAGATGTAGGACTTCCGAGATAGTATAGCTAATTAAAAGAGAAGTACAATATATATACCCGCTGATACATTGCCCTTTTTCAGTTCCAAACGACAGTTACTCTTTTACAATTTAAATATTTATCTTTTAGTTTTATTCTTCAAATTTCTGCAACAGGTATAAAGTGTCGTACTAGATTGATTTTGATACACATGTTTCGAACGTTGGCGGCCAACTATCTCAGCTAATAATTCAGATTAAAAACTATTTTGGATTCAGACATACATATATAAGCGTGTTTATCGCTAGTTAACGTTTCATTTATTCATTGAGTTCATTGAACAACGATAAAAGAAATTATTACAACCGTTGTCAAAAGGAAGCTATTGACTCGTGGCATGAACATATAACCTATTAAACTAACTTTAAATATGTTTTTCGGCCGTGGGAAATTCATAGCTTTAAGGCTTCCCCTGTGATAGTCTATAATTCTATATTAATTTGATTGTTTGTCGATAAATCGAGAATTGTTAATGCGTGAGAGATCAGTGTCAAAGTGATATTGCATGCCACTTAAATTAATCTACAAACACATTAATTAAGCACATTTTAAGGACAGGATATGATAGCGGTCAATTTATGAACGTTGCAAATGAAATTTGACTACAAAGGGGCCATTATGAATAAGACTTGGCATTCATTATAGCAGCAACCACAGGAATGCATCTCGGCCCGTTTCGTGTGTGTAATTTGAAGCGAAATGTTATTTACTGATCATGAATGCATTGAACTCGGCGAAACGTGACCTGCGTAAACGCCAAGATAGTTGTGCTATATAAAATATGTATAAGAACTATGCAACTCTATATTTCGTTAATTAACATTGCTGCCAGGCATCTTAGCTAATTATATTAGCAATTAACAAACCTCCGATTAGGTACGACTGACAGTTTGACAGCATCTTACTTATAAACTCAAGAGCTAAGAGACTGAGATTTTAAACACAAGTTTACACAGTGATAGATAGTTCGACCGTATTTCGAAGTCACTGTCAAACTAGAATGATATAACAACACACTTCAGGTTTTACAGACGCCTTAAAAGACGTTTTTCGTCGGAATATGTTAGTTTCTAAAACTTTCTACATTTCAACATACATGCATGCTTCCTTATCCTTTATAATATTATTTTCGGATGCCGATCCAAAATCAAACAGTATATAGACATTTTAGAAATGGGCATAAAAGGAATTTTTAACAGATAGAATAAGGCGGTATAATAATTCAAACCAAAGCAGCTGTAGATATTTAGATATTTGAAACACGTCAATAGGGTTTAAACTTATTTCACCTTTGTTGAATATCGAAAAACACGCCGCTTCGCAGAGAATCCAACCTTGTTTGCGTGGGATTTTCTCAAGCCCCGCCAAACCTCTAGAAAAAATTGTCCAAATTCCAACTTGTTGGTATGTGGCCATTTCCATAAAATCATAAATTAAATCACGAATTGGTGTAACGTATTTTTTCTGTGCAGTCAAGCCATCGACAAAAATAAGCATGGAACGCAAATCCATTGAAGCGACGAATTTGAATATCAAAATGCGACATGAGATTTTTTTGTATACTCCAGTGAGGCTATATTTAGCTCAGTGATATCTCTAGCCAATCAGGACACAGAATCAGAGGTACCGAGTTGGCGGTTAGTGGGATCAAAATAATGACAGCGGGACATTTTAAGCAGCTTGGTAATGTCAATAGGTTATAGCCTTTCGCTTGAAGAAAAAGCAATTCCCATTGAGAAAAAAATGCCCTCCGAAATTCGATTCACATAAATAATTATCAGGTTCAGTGTCAACAGCGTACTTCACATATGTCAATTTTCAAGAGTCGATTAACGAGGCACTAATATTGAGGTCTAATTTATGCTTTTCATGCGTGCACGCCTGACGCAGAGTCCATGCATAAGATATTTATCATTTTTTGTTTTATACATTATATACGCAAATGGATACAGTACATGCATGTGTATAAACACGCCCTTGGCGAGCTTGTTTTTTTTTATATCTGTAACTGCTTATTAATTGCTTACTGATTGTCTTCACCGGGGAATCCAGCAGCATGCATTGGCCAAAATATAGTTGAATGCTGCACATTTTTAAATTCTGCCTATAAACTGCCTAACTATAGCAATGCTATTAGTTGCAATTAAACTTTTGAAAGAAATTAATATTTTAGAATTTAAATATACCCGTTGGATATATCTTTAAACACGGGTTAAAACGATAATTTACACCCGGCTGAATTTGCCGCTGATTTTTTCCGCTTTGTTTTCGGTTATAATTTGAAATCGGTTCTGTACGCAAATTGTCAAGAGTAGAGTTAGCAAATAACGTTTTGCCTAAAAACGCACTTGCACAAAAACCCCTCCTGATATCATTAGGACAATGACGCACATAAATTTCATTATCTTGGGAAAGAGTCCTGTTTTTACGTCGACACCATATTAAGGGAGTCTAGAGGGCCAACCCATATAGTTCGTAACAATAAGATATTTCGCATGATAACGTTCAACGATAAACATCCAAATTTTCTTCATAAATATTGAAGTAGATCAATGGACGAAGTTAAACTAGGAACCGTATGACTAAACGCGATGGCTTTGACTGACAGTTTGGCGTGGGCGCTTATAGCATTCATCATGTATGCCATGTGAAGGACTTCAAACGCTTTCATATAATATTCCCTGGCTGTAAGTCTAGCCAATTTTTGAAAACAAAAAGCAGGGGTTAGTTAAGTCTTGCACGCCAGCAAATCACGGTTAAACTCTAATTTAACTGAGGCAGGTTGATAAGACCAATATAATAATTATAAAATACGCATGCATGTGAAGGTTAATTTAAAATCAAGAAATATTTGAAATCGAGAAATATTCTTATCAAATTGCTAAAAACATTTCACCTTTGTCAACGTCAAGACATGCAAAGCTATGCTTAAACATGAGTTCATCATGTCTTTCATATATTAAGCGAGTTTTACGGCATGCAGCAATGAAACGAAATTCAGACGGTGATCCGCATTTGATTAACTGAAAGGATGAACGGCGAAACTGATAGTAAGTCATCAGCCAAGTGCGCTTTTATAGGTCGATTGGTTTTTAAATATAGAGCGCCATGCAACTGAAAATAAAACAGACAGTCAAAACATCAAACGCTTCATTAGTTATCCCATTATAGTATCGCTTTACATGCATGCAACAGTGTTCCAAATCCATGCATTCCGAAATCCGAAGCGCTTCACTTCCCCTTCTCATTCCACGTACCTTTGTGTTCTAATCGAAAGCAAAATTACTATATGCACACGAATGTAGGTCACACCCGCTCCTCGACTTGCCGTTGAAACACAATGATTATCTTCAGTGCTCTTGAATATACTCAAGTGGTCTTCAGTTTAATGTGAATGTCGCACAACAGTGAATTAGACGCATGCCAAAAGCCTAAAATAACGAATATTCTCAACCGTCTTGCATTCCGGACATTGTTTTCACACTAGAAGACAGTATAAGAAGAGTACATGTTGGCCACAGTTGCTTGTCATTCGTTGGAGTCGAGAGCTTGAACTGAGAACAATCTCTACGAGAAGTTGAAGATCTCTGAGTTACTCAAGTGTATCCATCAAGGTGATTTATCCACTGTAAAGCTGAAAAAAAGTTTGAAAATGATTAGTTGGTTCGTAGTTTTGACGTTGTTTCTTCACGACAGCTTGGCTTACAGTGTTTTGGATGAGTTAGACGGTAATACAAATATATATTGCTGATGTTTCTGCATGCTTAGCGAGTTAGCGTATACAATACAATGCTTAGTCGATGCTTGCTTTCATCTATTTTTTACAATGTCGCTTGATAAAGAAATTAACAGTTGCGAGATTGTCATACAGACTCAGTTCAGTCGCCAAACGGGCTCCATTATATATTGCGTGTCATGAATATTATTTCCCAAAATAATATAATATAAAAAAGGTCAGAAATACAAAATTTCATGAAGAATCGATTGGAGTTTTCGAGTTTTCTATTTAAGATGTACATACAACACGGTGATCTATTTTCAACAATTGAATATTGTGTGCCAGAGATCACCGCATGCGTACATCTATTTGATACCAATGTTGCTACACGAAAGGTTTCATCTTACATTTTTCGGCTAGTAAATTTTCTCAGTTATTCACTTATTGTTAATAAGTTTTAAAAGTATTATCCGTTATCCTTTTAACGATTCTTCCAAATATAATGCTTTATTCCTTACTTGGAAAACTTGCGCATAAATACTTGTATCCCGAGAATTCCCAGGCTTAATCTTTATATTGTGTTTTGTAATCTTTATTTTGTGTTTTATACTAATAAAATTTCATTTTTTACTACGACAGATTACAATCTTTGGCGCCGAAATGGACCATCGGTAGATAATGAGGTTAGAACAGGTAATAAGCCTGAAATATTATAAGAGTACTAATTCGTAGAATATAGCCAATATATTTAGTGACGTCACCAATTCGAATACTAAAATATTCATGGCACAGAATCGAACTATGCAAGCTCATGAGAGTTATATAGTTAATTATTAAACCAATTTAAATAGCTAAAATCGTCGCAAATTATCATTGTTTTGTCTGTATTACTTACAATAGTTTCACTATAAATCCCTTCAAATATCCCTCGCCATTATTTTGATAATGCATTTCAAGAGAAAATTCCATAGTTATATCCTTATATACAAATGCATGCAAATTGCCTGGTTGAATATTTAGACACACAACTGCAAAATAGTTTGAGAGTCCGTGCAACGACACAACCTCTAGAACCAAACGAGTCAGTTTTTCAAACGGACTGAAAATCACGGACTTTGAGCTTTTCATGTAACTGCAGAACGACTAAATTTTATTTACTGCTCATTGTACAGCATATATCCAATATTATCATGTGATGTTCTAGATTAAAGTGGAAGTTCAATCCGTTCTGTGCGTAGGTTCTCCTGCAGTGAACTGAAAATAACTGGAACGCTACCTTCTGACCGGAAGTTGAAACTAAGTGACCCCCAGTCTTTACACGCAAAAACAAACACGGCCAAAACATTGAAAACAAAAGTATTTTGTTGTGATTTCGTCAATCTGATAAAAAAATTTGGGGAAGATAAATAACTGATTTTGTTAGTACTTCCTGCCGGCTGAGACATTCTTGATGTTAGTAGAATGCATTTTATGGACCTATTTTTGGAAATGCGGAGTAAGACGGTTCTTTGCTATAAAAAACGTAAAGCCTAGCGTGAAAATGCGGGAATATTTGTCTTACTTTATAATCAATGCAACTGTTTTCCAATCTAATCACGTGGAATTAAAAAAACATAAACTTATAATATTAAACAATGTCTACCAAGTGTATTTTGCGATGAAATTTTAGCTTAGAATATCCCTTTCGTACAAATATTGTTGTCAAAATTGCACATCGCTATAAACTTGTTCCGTTTAAAAGAATTTGTTCTCAATCCGATCGCCAACTCCAGTCGCAATTCGTAAAACAGTTCACCAGGTTGAATTTAAGATTAATTCCACTATAATTCCATAAAAAACTGAAACATTTAAAACCATGAAACAACCCCCCCCCCCCCCAAATTTCTTTAAAATTCGCTCTGCATCTGCAGTGATCTCGCGAGTCATCCGCGAATGAGGCCAAAAATTTTGCGGGACTTTACCTCCAGACACGCGTGCCTGGAGGTAAAGTCCCGCAAATATTGGCCTCGCGAAAACAATCATAAGGTAGCGTTCCAGTTATTTATTATAGTTCACTGGTTCTGCTGTGGATGCGAGGACCCTCTGATGTTAAAAATGCCTAAACTTTGAACTTTCGAAGTTTCCTGGACGTAAATTCTAGTTCATATTCATTTAGAAGCGTATATAAAGCGAACCTAAATGGCGTTAGTGATTTATACAACGCGTTGCACTGTTTATGAAGTTTTTGACTTGACTTCCACTTTGAAATTTGAAGTTCCACTTGAAAACACATACATATATATTTATTATATAATTCTAATGAATGAATTATTACAAATTTAGAATGCAAAAAGGACATCCTTATATTGTGGGACAATTCTGATTCGATTGGCACCGACAACTTCCCAAAAGTAGTACAATTCTTAGAAAACCTCATCACTAGCCCACAGTTGAATGTCGGAGAATACGGAACGCATATTGGTTTTATTACCTTCTCGAATGAAGAAAGAACAAGAGAGTTGTTAAGCATTGGCCATATCACCAGTCAAACTGGGTTAACAGATTGGCTGGAAAGTGTGAACTATAATGATCTTCGAGGGTCACAAACATTCACTGGTACAGCCATGAAGCTCGCGTTAGATGTAAGTTGGGCCTGGCTAAACATCCTCTATTTCTTCACAAAAGCCGCGTTTCAATTCCACTTTTAATGCAAAGTTTCTTGTTCAAAAGCAGGTTAATATAAATCGCATATATTAATAAGACAATGTTTCTGACTTTGTTTCCAAGAAACTTCAATCAAAATCAGTTCTAACGTTTTATTTTAATTTTAACTTTTCCAACAACAATTTTAAACAACGAAACAACGATTTATGGACGAATTAATGCTGCTCTCCAAGCGATGTACGACTGCACAAGTCTCCCGTTCAATAAACTGTTTTCGATGGCAAAGCTCGCGGATTTTAATCTTTAATGTATCATTTTGTTTTCGAATGAAGGAGTTCAGCAAGAGAAATCCGGAAAATTATCGTGCCGATGTAGAAGACGTTATCTTGCTGTTCACCGATGGTGCCCCAAATCCTGATTATACCGGATATCGCAGCCAGAGGTTACAGAAACAAAATCAGAAAAGAATAGCTGATGAGACGGCAGAAAAACTCAAAAACAACAGCGTTTTAATTGTCGGGCTGGCTGCAGGGCAACCAGATAAAGTAGCAAAGTTTAAACCATTCCTTGAAAATTGGGCAACTTCGCCAGATCTAGTGTTCGAAGCACAGTTGGACAAGTTGGACAAGGTCTTAAATGAATTAGTGGATGCCTCGTGCATGCCCAGTAAGTACTGAAATCCTTGTAGGTAATTGCATTCCGTATTAGCAAAGTTGCATGTTTCCTTTTTTATCGATTTGTTTGTCTACTTTTGTCTCGACCCAAATGCCACATTGCCATGACCAGGGAAAGCAGAAGCGTATAAGGCTCAGAAGTATTTACGTCCAGTTTCATATTGCGGTCCGTGGCGCACGTACGCTACATTGCCCATAGAGATTATAAATAACACTAGAGGAGGCAATGGTATCGAAAACATCAGTCGAAAAACGCGATAATTGGGGGGCAAACTTAACTCCCGGATGCTAAGCCAAGCGTTGATTGGCTAGATCAATGCGTCCTTAGCAACCACGTTAGCAACAATATTAAAAAAGTTATATTTATTATTTAGGTCGCTTTGCCGGTTTTTTAAGGAAAAACAGTGTTTTTTAGAACCGGTTTTACTACCTTAGACTTCCTGAAATGATATTTTAGGGAAAAACATTTAGAAATAAAAAAAATTCGTTAAAAACGACATATTTTGGCCTCGGAAATCGTGAATGAGTGATCATCCGGGACTTGGATTTACTCCGCATTAACGCGCTCCCCAATTTCTCCTCGATTCCCCCTCTAGTGTTATTTATAATCTCTATGACATAGTCGGCTACGTGCGTCACTGGCCGCAATGTGAAACTGAACTCGAATACTTTTGGGCAATTGATGGGAGAAGTTAAATGATTGCTTTCACGAAGATTCGACGGAAATGTCATTCAAACTGATAAAAAATTCGTAAAAATCATAGAAAAGATGGCAGCATAACGATAGCCAGGTTGAAATTGGCTTCAATAGCAATATCATATTATAACTTTGTCAATTTGACGAAGACTAGGAGAAGTTAATTAAATACAGCTGGTATAGAGGTTTTTGCTCTTGTGTTAATGCGATGTATAAAAAAACAACTAAGCAGACTGTCCTAACAACCGTTCTAGACATCTTAGAAACGGACCGTTTCTTAAAATTAACAGAATTAGGCAGACGTTATAGTGCGTTTTGTTCTTTTTAGTTACACCTGCCCAAATTTGTAATTGCGCTGGCGATATTTCAGCGGATATGGAGTTTACTAAACCAGGAGAAGACACGGTTTTGTTCAAATGGGTTGAACCGAATTTGAAATGCAACAAACCCGTAGAAGATCTGCACAAAAGTGTGAACCCTGCCAACGTCGACCCCTCAGGCACGGAATATGGCATCGGAGAACACAAAATCAACTATACGTTCTCGTATATCGATAGCAATGAAGAAAAACAAAGCAGAAGTTGTCTTGTTAATTTTGATGTGGCTGGCGGTGAGTGAGCGCTTTTTGTATCGTTAAAAACTACTATTATTACAACTAAAATTATTTCAAAGTGGAGAAAATAACGTTGCAAGTTCTGAATAAAGCAGCGCATATTTCATTTACCTTACAACTGGGTAGACGATCTTGACCGTCTGAAATGAACACGTTTCGCCGCAATGTCTATTGGTCCATTACTACATAAAATAGACTAAAACCTCCAGCAAACCAGCTATGGTGAAAATAAGTTCTTGCAGAACAAATTTAGATTTAAAGTGTCTGATATAAAATACAAATATGAGCTGTTATAATTCATTTTGAGTAATCCTAAATAGGCTATCTTCTGATATGTGTCATTTTCGTCGTGTAGCCTGTGAATGTCCCGAAACCAAAGAAATAACAGAACATATCAGCAGAAATGGAAAAGCTTGGGTCAGTTGGAGCGAACCTAAACCCGACTGCCCCGTTACAGCAGGCCCTGATAACCCACAAAGTACCAGCGCAACTTTATCTGTGGGTAAATACACGAAAACATACGCGTATACCTACACAACTGCTCTACAGAGTTTCAAAATGTACTGCAATGTCAACATTGTTGTTTCAGGTAGGATAATCGACAACCAGTATATTGCATCTAAAGATAATACGGAGACCGATATGCGCATGCTCAGATAGTACGTAGACGTATAACAGTTAAATGTTACCTTATCTTTTTATACAACCGGCCCCAGGTTGTCAATGTGATGGGCAAACGTGCACCCTATAACTTTATTCGTCTCTTTACGATAAAAAATTCTCTAAAATATAAACATTTTTCAAGAACATTTCGGTACATATTAACCTCCATCATGAAAATTATACTTTCCAATGTGAAAGGCTTGCGTAAAAGTTTCTACTTCAAAAGTAGACTGGGCCAAAAGTTCCCGCATTGCTACATTGGCTTGTATCTACTATCAATAGCAATGAAAGTAGAAAATGCTAAAAATCCATGCGACAGAGGAAACAAATGAAGATTAAACAACGAGTGATAAGCTAGTGACAAACTTTCTCTATCCAATAGTGTGTCCGCTCTGGATCGTAAGCACACGAGTTACGCTCATAATTGCTTTAAACTCTGTCATTTAGGAAAATATTGCGGCAAAAACGGTTATGATCCAGCAGGTGAAGATTGCTGTTGTGGAGCGATCCATCCAAAAAGAGCGGACGCTAGCTACGAATGCTGTGGCTCGAATTACATCAATTCTCAGGAAAAAATGTGCTGCCAGGATGCTAGTGTCGTGTCAATAGACAGTCATTGTCCAAACGATGTCGTTGAGTGAAAGCTTTATACTTTTCAACGAACTTGCATGCCTATATAACTCTTACATAGCAGGACAAACTCTTTTGTGTAGTTTATGTGTGGCGCTTTTGAAGTCATTAATATTACACTGATTAATATTACACATTATTCGTGTTATCATGTTACAATTAACGGAGGAAATAAATTTAATTGAGTCTTTATTTATCGTCTTTGAGCGTATTCATGCATGCCGTCTGGCATTAGTTCCCAAAATCTTTGACTTTCGCCCGCAATTCTTTCCTTGCCAACAACCCCCCCCCCTCCCCAATGAGCAAAAATTAGGATAGGTTTGATATCCCCAGGGTACCCATCCAAGAGATTTTCGTGTGCTATGCTATCAAAATATATGTAATAACTACTGCTTATGAGAGTACTGTGTGGCAATTCAAAAGTCAATATTATGTCCTGTCATATACCGCACGGCCAGAAAATTGACCTCCTACTTCCGCCTAAATCATGTTGTTGAGAACCCTCTAACTGTGCGTGAAAATACCATGATCATTGTTGAACGTCCACTGTTCATGGCATAGAATTTGGGCAACTTTGGATTCCGCTATGTTCTGTCACAATGGCCGGGTGTAATGCCAAATCTCCGGGCGGAATTAGTACCCTCGCACGGCGCAGGCTGGCTCGAGGATAAATATTCCATAAAACCTTTGGAAAAGCCAAGATTACTTTTTATGATGCCTTCGAATTTTTATGATAGAATATGTTGAGATTTTAATTAGCATTTCCAACGTTGTTGTGGGGAAAATCAGACGTCATTCTTAATAGGAATGTCAAGATTGAACACACTATTTGCATACCAACGAATTTTGATCGGAAGGTAGGCCATGAAATTTTCCCACGGAGCTCAAATTGCCGTTTGGCAAAAGCAGTTGAAAGATCAACAATTTAAGAGGCTCGTGAGAAAAGCGTCGTCTATTCAACGTCGAAGACCGTTGTAAAGTTGTAAATACAACGGAATTCATGAAAGCATCAGACGTTAGGAAATAAATGAATAATTTAAATGCCCTAGACTGTTTGTTACGGTAAATTGCATAATTTCACATCCTGTTTTCCGCCGCGAAGCTGAAAAGCATAAGATGTCATACGTCATGCACTCTAATATTGTTGCATGTTAGTTAACCCAGACCTCTTATAAAGTACTTCAGTTTATACGCTATTGTTCATCTCGTGTGCGATGAGCTAAACGCATCTTTTTCTATTTAGATTCACAACTTTCAGTTTGTGTGTCGTTAATTATGAACTTAGTTTAGTTAGTTAACAATCGTTTGACGTGAACTGCTTGTACAATTTCCGCTAAAGCTATCGACATTTTATTGAGAGAGCAAATTCAGTTTACTATCATCGTTTAATCCTGATTCATGCGGCTACGTGTGCATGTATCAATAGAGACCTTTAGTTTGACGTTTACGGCAAACGCCAAACCGCTAACAAAGTTTGTGTTTTAACTCCACTCTCCTTAAGTGTGCGACAATTTCGCTAAATTACAAACGTTCTACATAAATCTTGTGATGTTCAGCAGTAATGTCAGAAAGCAATAGGCTATTTCTGATGTATTTAGAAAAGCAGCAAATTCAGCTTTGCCGTATGTGTTTCACGTTCGCCGTATAAAATTTAATGCTTGAACGACTGCATACACCCTCAGCCGTTCAAGCATTAAATTTTATACGGCGAACGTGAAACATATACGGCAAAGCTGAATTTGCTGCTTTTCTAAATACATCAGAAATAGCCTATTGCTTTCTTACATTACTGCTGAACATCACAAGTTTTATGTAGAACGTTTGTAATTTAGCGAAATTGCCGCACACTTAAAGATAGTGGAGTTAAAACACAAACATTGCTAGCGGTTTGGCGTTTGCCGTAAACGTCAAACTAAAGGTCTCTATTACTGCGTGCTACGCAACCTGTTTTTTAATTGCTAAAAGGCTCATTTTCAGGATACAACTAATCGTACAAATCTCACCCTGGCGTATGTAATCGAAAAAATACGTGCGAAAACGTTGAATATCAAAAATCTGTTAACAAACAAAAATATGACGTCAGCACTCGATATCATTCCTCAGAATAATGAAGATCGTGTAGAACTAAGAAAGAATTTTAGTAAATATAACCTAAAAAACTTTCAAATCGAAAGTTTATTCAGTGTTATATGTATATGGACAGATTATTTAGTGTTATATGTATATGCCCGGAAATGATTCGATTGAAAAGTCTATAGCTGGCCTCGAGTCATGCTGTTGAGGTTGGATCAACTTCAAGAGGCCTTCCAGTCCTGTAGTTACTTGATTGTCACGTCAAGTGATTCTCACTATGAATGTCTGGGTAAATCTAGATTTGTCGATATATTACCGACAGTGAGAAAGTTATCGTGAGGCATATCAAAATAAACTCCATCGCTGTTCAATCTCATCACTTACTTGCATTCTTGGCCATACCAAAACATGCATCTGATAGTCGATTGTATTTAAATTTACTGCGTTTTTAGCAGCGAACTCTATACAACTGGATCGATAACTCCTGACAAACATCCCTATTCAGCTTGAAGTCAAATCGTTTTGCGGAGTTTTGAGACCGAAATACTTGACGCCAGACGTTGGGCTGTGTGTCAAATTAAAGCTATTGAAAAGTTATATTTGGTGTAGAAAGTTCAAGACTTAAACTACAAAGGAAATATTTAAAAAAAACAAAAACAAATACCGACCGGCGAAAAACCGGGAAATTTTAAAATAATTTTTAGATATTTCCCTTTAAGCTAAAGTCTCGAAATTTCTACACGAAATAGAACTTTTTAATAGCTCTAATTTCTAAAGCCTTGATTCGCACGTTCTTTATACGATCAGCATTATCAAAACACAGAAATTTAATACAATCAGCATTATCGATGGAGTACATTGTTCAAAAATGTTAGCTCTACCGGTAAAATTCCCTTACCAACCTCGCTCTTATCTCCTTCGATATCTTACCTATACTAAAAGATAAAGATTTGACTCGGGAAGTGAACTATTTATCCAACTTTAAGTTAGCCATGATGGCAAATGATGCGTTTTCCGCTTTTCTAAACAGTATACTGTATATAATATTCAAAAGGCTTGTTATTCCCTTTGAGTTACTGAGCAGTCCAAGCACCTTTACGAGAGTCCTTGAAACGCTCTCTTGAAACAGCGTTTGTTTGCAAACCCTCTTGCGTGCCCAACGACTTGTAACTGACGTCTGTCAGTGCGACAGCCGTAGGGCAAAATTATATTCGAGTCCTAAACCTGAGTATGATATATCTCTTTTTTTCATGACCTCATATTGCGGTATTAACAAAAGCGATACTAGTGCAACAAGCTTTAAACTTAGATTCTTTGACCGCGAGCTATATAAATGACATGTTATTCTCAGTAACACAAATACTTGATTATGACCATTTATGCCGCCAATACATTATATTTAGCTCTAGACGTATTCTTTAAAGCCTTGCCCGCATTGGTGCACTTTGCAAACAATTAAATAGATATATTCTGTCTGTCATTCTTGCTCGCTTTTACGACACTTATGATTCCGGACCCTGTCTTTGCGAATTGGAACAGCTTACCATAGCAATATGTCAACGTGCCACGTCATGTTTGAGAGGAACTTTTTTTACCTTTGCAAAGAAAAGCCTAAAAAATTCGGCAAAGGGGAAGCGTTAAGATACAGAATTTTCGTTTAGGGAAAGAGTGTGTTGATATCTAAATTGATGACTCGAAGCTTGTGAAAGCTAACTTGTCAAGAAGGCATGCAGCTCTACATAAAGTGTGTATAAAAGACGCCGTTTTGAGTGATATTTGAGTCAAATTTTGAGAGAAAAATTTCTACGACCAATACGCAGCCATCTACTTGGTTTAAGCCAATTGATTGAAACTCAAAATTCAGAAACATGCATCAGAAAAAATAAGTGAATATAATTGAAATGCATTTGACGTCGTTCATAGGCATACAGCACGTCCGAAACGGCAAATTGCAAATCTTACATCCTGTTTATCAACGCCAAGCTGCAATTAGAAAAAGTATTGTATGCATATGAGATTTATTACGTCACTCTAATATTGCTGCGAGCTCGTTAACCCAGGCCTCTTATGCAGTACTTCAGTCGATACGCTATTGTTTATCTCGTGTAAGGCAATAATTGGGGGGGGGGGTGAATATTCATATATTCAGTTGAGCCCGACGGATTTCTCTTGTAAGCTATTGCACTTACAAAAGAAATCCGTAGAGCAGAACTGAATATATGAATATTCACCCCCCCCTCCTCAATTATCGTTCTAGTTACGCTACAGTGTGTGATGACAGCGTGCTGTCATGCAATCTGTTTTTTTAATTGCAATAATCCCATTTACAGAATGCGACTAATTGTACAAAATTACAAATCTCACCCTGACGTATGTACCCGGCAAAATACGTGCGCAAACGTTGAATTTCAAATATCTGCGAATATAATTTCATTCGTAAGAATGATCATGGTGTAGAACTCAACGCATCACGTTAACTGGCCTAAACTTGTGGCCTAAACATCTACGAAATCTAACGTTTCTTATATGTATAAATAGTCCCTTGGAATGATTCCATTGAAATGTCTATCGCTCCACCAGGCCATGCCGTTAATTGAGGTCGGATCAAGTACAATCATTGCCGTTAGACCGCAGACCTCATTAGACATGCTCGTCCAGCCGTCAAACGTGATAAGCCCCGTTGACATTACACTCAATTCATTAGCACGGCACCGCCAAATTTGGTAGCCAAAATTAGCCGTATTAGTCCTTGCTACCACTATGCAAGGCCGAGCAAGGGTGAAATTGCTATGAAACCCATTTTAGCCGTGCCGTGCCGATAAAACGAATCTAGAGTATAAACCGAAAACTTTAGCTTACTTTCGTCAAGGTTTCATCATAGGTTTTTTCCTGAGGCTGCATGCACTGTCTGCATGTTTATACTCAGGAAACTACTCTCAGGCATGCATGCATTAAGTGGTGCTGGTCAACTGTTCATCTTCACCTAAACTGTGCAACAACAGTTCATCTTGAGTTAAACTGTGCAAAAACTGTTCATCTTAAGTTAAACTGTGCAAAAACTGTTCATCTTGACTTAAACTGCGCAACAACAGTTCATCTTAACTTAGACTGT